CATTGATCACGCCCGCGAACATGGCATCCGGTTTCTTGGGGTCGTCGTCGACCATCCGGGTAAACGGCATCGCAGGAGCCTTGTCCTTGTACTTGCCAGCGAAGTGGTCGGCAAATGCAACAAGCTTCGCACGCAGGTCTTCCACAAGGCTCTCGCGCGTCTCAGTGTAACGCACGTCTGGGAGTTGTGTAGTGACATCGCGGGTGAACTTCTCAATCGTAGCCGGCTCGGCGTCTTCGTCATCTTCGGCCACGAGGGGCTCTGCCTGGTTCAGCGGCACGTCGTGGATTGCCGACGAGCGGCGGCGCAACGGGGTATCTTTCTTGAGATCGTGACGATTGATCTCTTCGATCACGAACCGTACTTCCTTCCGGGCGCGATCGTCAGCGGCTGACTCGCGTGCCATCTTGGCGGTCTTCGGTATCCAACCCGGTTGGTTCGGCTAAACGCAGGTGGATGGATTTGGTTTGTCGGGTCGATTGAAACAACGCTTTCAATCTTTGATCTTCGGTTCTTCGGTGGGATATTAATTATACCTTCCCAGGTAAGAGAGATTGGTCTCAGTTTGTGACGAGAAGCAGATATTCCATGGGGTCAGGCCACCAGTCAATACAACTATAATATCGAAACTGAGACAAAGAGAAAAAGAGAGGTGGTGGGATCGCTAGCGATCGTTTCGTGGGGAAGTAGGGCGAGGCGCTATGCGCGCTAACCCCGATTGAGCCACAGTGCCATCACAGGCAACCACCTCTCGTGACAGTACCTAGTATAACTATCCTTCTAAGATTGGGTTTTAGAAGGTAGTTCAACCACTAAATCTTTAGTAGTTTGGGCTAGGCTATACCCTGTACCAACTATATTAATATAGCTAGTAAGATGGAGCCTTGGCCGAAGGTGACCCTCAATTTGAAGGAAGAAGCCTGATCTCTGGAAGTCTAGAGCTGTAATGGTAGACCCTATAGGGCCTTTCAACGTTTCCCGGTCCAAATAGCCTCCGGCCTTATAGTGCCGGATCCCACTAAATAGATTGATATCTATAGAGGGTATATAGAGGGCCTTATTAAGGACCAACTCTAAGTATTTCGGGGGACTCTTCTGGACTAGTACTTTGAACTTTGTAGTTCCAATACCTTTGGGTTTTATAGGGCTACTACCTATATAAATAGGTGGTATTTAACCAGTATTTTTAGTAAAACTGGTAAACCATTTCCTATTGTTTATGATATAGTCTGTGGAACCAGTATTATAGAGTAGAGCATTAGAGGTAACCTGGTAGCTACAGTGATCTTTACAGGCTGGCTTCGAAGATTTCCTACTAGTTGGTTTAGTGGTAGATTTTGAGGCCTGGTAGGTAGCATTGAAGAAAGAAGGTAGTTCTTTAGTATCTGAATCGGATTTAGAACTACTATCTTCGCTACTATCACTATAGTACCCTATAGTAATATTGTATACCCCTGTAATACAGGTAAAGGAATCGGGCTGGGTACTGTGGTTCGAACTGGAATTTGAACCCTAACCCTTCTTCTTCTTCTTCTTTTGGCCGTTTTAACCACTATTCCTACTACTGCCGTTGGTATTTTGTTGGCTTTGGGGACCCTTTTTCCCCTGTTTTTTAGGGCCTTTATAGGGGCCTTTAGCACCCTTATTTTCGCCGTAGGCCCTATTAGCTATACCTTTATTGGTAGTAGAGGCTGGAATTCTATGCTCTTCCAGAAGGTCGGCTATTAAGAAGCTCAAATTCAGGTTTTCAACACCTTGGCCAACTGTCCTCAGGGCCCGCATTTGACTACGTTGCCGTTCAGCCCACTGTGGGAAGGCTTTTTCCATAGCCTTTAAGTAGTGGTTCACTTGGTCTATAGGCTGTATTTCAACCCCGTTTAGGGTTAGCCGGCTAGCTAAGTTGGAAAATTCAGCGTTGAAATCCGCTAAAGAACCACTAAATTTACTGAAATCCAACTCGTGGAACTTCCTATATAGTTGGTCCCGTTGAATTCCAGTAGAGTACGAATACCGTAGTATTAGAAGCCTATAGGCCGCTACAGGGTCTGTTTGCCAGGCTATGGCGGCCTGTGGTCCAGGGCCTATACTATTCTGTAATAGTATTAGAAGTAGAGCTAACATTTGGTCGCTACCCCCTATAAATCCCTCTGGGTTAGAAGGAAAGGTAGGTATGCCGATAGCCCTAAATATGATATTTAGGCCCTGTTTCCAGATATCGAAGTTATCTGGCCCTGTAAGACGTAGATTTTCAGGGAAATCGTACACCTTTCTTAACAGTTCTTTTACCAACCCACTGTTTAAATTGTCTTGCGGTATAGTAGGTTGCAGGGTAGGGCTTGGAGGTACTGTATTTGGCAGTGGTACCGTATAGGGTGGTACTACTAGTGGCTCCGGAGGGCCCTAGCTAGTATTACGGGCCTGTTAGGCCTGTAAAGCAGCCTTTACTCTATTTTCTACTTCAGAAGCAATAGCTTCTGTAAGCTACTGTTCGGTAGGCATCTAGGGCCGTTATTATTGTTGAACAGTAAACTATTGTAAACTATCCGTCAACGTAGCTATAGTAGCATACAGTTGTGCCATTTGGGTAGCCTGGGCCTCTAATCGGGTTTACAACTCCTCTATTTGGGCTTGGAGGCTCCTAGCGCCTCTAGGCTGTGCTATAGTGCCTCTGTATAGGCCTATAGGCTATAGCGGCTATACCAGTTGCCGTAGGCTAGTAAGTACTATCCTATTACTACCTTCGCTGTAGTTATAGGGCCTATACTACTATATAGGTCTAGGACTTCAACAGTATAAAATACCGGGTTATATTCTATACCGTAACCACAGTAAGTTTTTACACGCTACTAGCCTTAATATAGCGTAACTACTATTCGCTCTTATAGTAGTAGTCTAGTTACCTAGACCAACAACCTTATAGTGGGTTGTTAGGGCTTTAAGTTCTACTTAGTGCGGCTCTTAGAGGTCCTTGTTTTATATAGTTTAACTACAACTACTAGCTATAGCAGTAGTTAGTACTTTGAGTGTGACGAACCTGTCTCTGGACCCGTCCTGTTAGGGTTCAGTATCGGTCGAAGGTATTCTCTCAAGGGTGCTTAGGTTCGGTGCAGCCAAAGGGTGCACAACAAAGACTTGTCTCAACAGTAGGCTCTCGAGCTTGTAGCGAACTGTAGTTGTGATTGCTAACTGGAGAACTCCCAGAGCTCTCCAGAACGAGTGACTATATACCTATCTAATTCTTGGGTGCTCAGTGTGCTCAGTGTGCTCAGTGTGCTCTCCGGACACTGAGCCTACTGAGCGGACTGAGCTCCCTGAGTACCTTCCTCGTGTCCTGATTGGTGGCGCGGTCCAAGTGCTCAGTGTGCTCAGTACACTTGGCAAGTGCTTGGCGACTGAGCTCACTGATCACCCCCTTTCTTCTTTAATTGGTCCGTCTACCGTAACCAGCTCGGGGCGTCCCGCGCCCCGAGGTCGGCATACTCGTGACATTGAGGTACTACATTTTACCTACCTACTAGAATCGGTAGAACCAATATAGTTGATTAGGCTGTTAGGAAGGCCTATAAATATAGTACCTTTAGTAAGTGTAATAACCCCTAGCTTTCGAAGTTAAGCTAGATTTTTCTATCTCTTTAAGAAAACCAACGTTTCGGGCTTTATTGGAAAAGTTAAAATATAGGCCCCCAGAAGCTCTATATTAACTGTTAGCTATCTAGTATAGTTGACAACCTTGTACTAGGAGGTCTATCTATAGGTCGAAGTTCCTATAGTAGTTTCTAGCTTAGAGAAACGAAGAATTCAAGGATTCTAAGCTGTAAGTAGTAGAAACAGGCTAAGCTTATAGCGTTCAAAGGCTCTAAATTGTAGGGTAATTTATAAGCCTACAGCTAGAAATAGTACTTTTCCGGGCTCATAACCTATTGAGATTTAGGTGGGTAAGGCCCTGTAGTATATATACTGATAGGGCTTACAATATACTTTAGGGAAGTAATGTACAGTACTATTGCTTAGCTACCAGCAGTAATTATAGGGCCTAGGCCCTGTAACAGTGGTTAATTTAGTGGGTAGACTACTATTGTTTTGGGAATACCTCTATATTTGCTATCTTAACTACTAGAGTTGGATTTACTACTTCCTTCTTATATACCTACCGACCGGGGCGTAGTGCCGAATTCGGCCCAGCGGTCTTAGTGGTAAAAAACTGAATCCCGCAAAACTCATTTGTATGGGTTTGACTAAAAATGGGCTCACCTACTCGCAGCCGCACCCAGAAGTACCCGGGCCCACTTGCACTACTACCTTAAAAACCGGTACAGGGTAGGCCGGTTGGGGCCAAGCGGTACAGGGTAGGCCGCTTAGGAGCCAACTACGGTATAGGGTAGGTCGCTTGGGATGCTAAGCGGTGCAGGGTAGGCTAGTTGGGAACAACCGGGTGCAGGGTAGCTCGCTTGGGAAACCCAGGTACAGGGTAGGTGTAGGGTAGCTCGATTCGGGAGAAACCAACACTTAGTGAAAAGAAGAACCAACCTTCTTCAAACTAAGATAGCTAGCCACCCAGTAATCGTACCGCTACAACCAAGATACCAGTATATAGCTACAGGCCATACGAATTCGATTACAGTACTGTAGAGCCCCCCAGATGGCCACAGCACTAGTAATCTGAACTCTAGGGTTCAACATATCTATAGCCTTATCTACCTACCAATTCGGTAACTACATCGCGTTTTTCCCTACCCGGAGCCTTAACGCAAACCAGCGCGCAAGGGCCAGCCGTAAGCCCCTTTTTCTTTACCGCTAAAAAGTTGGGTTAGCAAAAACAGGGCTTCCAGCCAGTTTTGCGTACTATGGCTTGGCGACTAAGCCTATTGCAGGGAACCAAGCGAATTCTTTAGTGTAGTATATTGCTGCTTGGCGATAGAAGGGTAATAAGGTATTTTCCCCTTTGTACCTGCAAAATTGGGTGCCCAGAAGGGGAAAGCGCCTCTTATTTACGTGGCTACGCCTTTTTTCGCTACTTGACAGGGGTTGAAAATTGGGATCTAATTCATTACTCTACATTACCCCCCGTTCCGATCAGGGCCTAGGAGAGATTTTGAGAACTGCGCAACAGAGCTACAACAACATAATAATCCGTGACCTCGGGTGCTAGGATTTATCACACCCACCCACCCCCGCAGTCGACCATCCCACGAACCAACTATCGCACCTATTCTTCAGCCAAGAAGGGCTTGGAAGCTCCGGCTGTTCTTTTGAACTTTGCATCTTTCCTCAGCTCTCTGATTTTTACCCTTGGATCGCGTCAGTTCTAGAAGACGAAGTGGCATTTTGAGGGTCAAGGGGCAGCCAGTCTGGGGAGCGATCGCGATGGCATCCACAATACTACCGCCTGAGATGGCCATTCCAGGCGCAGCAGATAGCGGGCGTCCTCTAAGCATTGAGGAGCTCTGCTTCACATCAGCCATGAGCTGTTTCGAGGGCTGGCTCAAACTAGATCCGGCCATCGGCCCCCGCACTATGGCATACGTCACTAAGTTCATCTCGAAGACGCTGGAGAAGACACACAACTTAAAAGATGTCAGGTACGAGGAGCCCTCTCCTCTCTCCTTTTTATGATTTGTATCCTGATGTTTCCGCAGGGAAACGCTATCCAAGAGCGTCGAGGTCTGGATCTGGCTCACCCGGGACTTCGCCGCCGCGATTCCGAGTTTAACCACGCGGTCCATCGGTCCCCTTGCTAGCCTCAATGACCCCGACAAGGGTGTCACTCCCCAGGAGAGCACGGCGTTGATAACTAAGAATTATCCATCGCTAAAGGAGGACCTGCAGCTGCTCATCAAGCTCATGCATATCGCAAGGAATCTGTTGGTCGTGCCCGAGCCCGAGATCCCCCAGGACCTCTGTGCTGCCGCCCAGTTTGACCAGATGCTCTACCAAACTATTATCCTCTGTATCAACGTCACAAGTAAGGCTTATGATGGCGACGTTCTCGAGGAGGCTGCAAGGCTAAAATTGAGTGAGATCACCGAACTATGCAAGTTTCCTCTCCCCGTTTGAGACTTTCCGTTTCTAACTCGCTGCTAGATAAGAAGCTGCTTGTTACATGTTTGCAGCAAGCTCATAACTGGATCGCCAAGAACGACCGCAACAAAATGGCCTTTTGGTCCACCGTTCTATTCGACGACGATGCCCTCTCTGACGAATCCGACGGCAACGTCTACGGAGAGTTCCGCCCCGATATGGCCAAGACTGAAGTCCAAAACTGGTTCGAGCGGAACTCTCGCTTCTGCGACAAAGCCCGTCAGCTACTTACTGCTTACGAAGAGAACCTGGCAGCCAAGGGGCTGCCACCTGGCCACCTACCCTGCATTTCTCCACTCGCTTGGAATTGGCTCCCAGAAGGTACTGTACGGGTGCGCGCGGACGACTTCGACAACGTCACCAAGATCACCCCTTTGTGGAAGGAAGACGAGCCGGACAAGTTCGAGCAAGACAAGGCCTACGGTCGGGTATCAAGAGAAGTCGATACGTGGTGGCTCAAGATCCGAGACCCTAACTACGATGGCTGGGTTGTTCCTATGCCTACCGTTGAGTTTGCCCAGCAGAGGACCGAGAACTGCAAAGCCAACCTTGTCAACCGATATGCTCACTCGTATCGTACCGCCGAGCACGAGGGGTCTGTCCACTCCGCCGAAGGTGCTCCGTTGCCAGAAGGCGCTGCGGACCAGGAAGGAAGAGAGGGTGGACATTATGTCCACGACTACAACGACGACATGATTGAGGAGGAAGATATCGATGACGACGATTCATATGGCGAGGGCCCGATGAATGGGTTGCTCACTGAAGTTCCTAACATTCTTGATCCTAAGCAGATCGAGGCGCTCCACATGATCGTCAAGTCGTGCATTCTCGATAACGCCGGCTTAGTGCTGAGCAAAGCAGGCGAAAACCTCCAAAAGACCAGATGCAGGATGTTTATGGCCATGGAATGCGGCAGGAGCCTACTCCGAGAAATCTTGGTCTTTATTGCTGTCTGGGAAAAGAGCGAACAGTCACTCATCTTCCAGTTGACAACTCAGATCGTCGAGGCGATTCATCACAGCGCATTGGTTCCTTACGCCTGGCAATCGTTACGCATTCCCAAAGACATCATCTCTCCCGCCCAAACCGTTCTGCTGAGGCTCGTCAATACCATGTTTCGCGCCAGGAATAACGACCCGCCGCCCGTCGAATCGAAGGAGCATATCCGGGACGCCAAGCTGCTGCACTTTCTTTTCATCCAGTTCCGCAGTCGGATAGTGCCGGAGTGTGCGGCACTCATGCACCTCCAGGCCCAGATACGAAATGACCTCTGCGACCCAGCCGACTTCCCCGTCGATAGTTGGGACATGGAGCGCGCCAAGGACGGCATCCAACAGTTCCTCGAGCTCCTCACCACCGTCAACGAACTCCCGGAGACACGCCGTTACCTCATCGAATGGGAAGCCGCTTACGAGCTCCTAACTCTCCTGAAAGGCCTCGAAGCCGGGGTCCCCAAAAAGCCCATGGTGGAAATGCCCAACCGTTCCAACAACGCTCGTCAGCACCAGCAACCCCCACCACACCCGGACGACCCGGACGCGGGCTACGACTCGGAAGACCACCCCCTGGCCCCACCGCCGCCCCTCGAAGAACCAGCGCACAAGTACCCGTGGGCCGGAATCAAGGGCCAGATCCTGCACATCCTCGCGGGCCTCCTACAACCCCCTCACGGGCGGAGCAGCCCGGGCAACCCCGAAGTCCAATCCCAAATCCTCCGCCACAACGGCGTCATCAGCCTGCTCAACTGCTGCGTCTACGACGACCACAACCGATACGCCCGCGAGCGCGTGCAGATCTGCCTAAAATGGCTCATGGACGGCTCCGACGAGGCAAACAAATACCTGCGGGAGCTCATCGCCATGTCACCACCACCCAACCTGCGGGCACCACCACAACAGCAACAACAAGCAACCCAAGCCCAGGGCAGCGGCAGCGGCAGCACCACAGCGGCACAACCGCAAACAGCAAGCCTCCGCATCGACGGCATCCCAGGCGAGGTCAAAGTCCGTCTGCGCGCCCCGGGCGAAACCGTCCCGCCCCAACCGCGCCCTCTCATCCCCACCTCCTCATCCGGCCCGGGCTCCGGCGCCGGACGCGCCCTCCCGCCACCATTGGCCAACGCCACCGCCACGGCTGCCGTCGACGACCATGGCTACGGCTACGGCCAGACGCACAGGTACAGCAGCAGCAGCAGCAGCAGCAATGTCTTGCCGCCGATCCAGGGTGGTGGTGGTGGTGGTGAGGCTGGCGAGGGGGGAGCGAGGGCGGGGTCGTCGATGCCGCCGCCGCACAGGAGCCGGCCGGAAGAGCTGCTGAGGGATATCATCACGCTTGCGGACGAGGCGGCACGGTTGGCGATGGGTAGGCCGTTGGAGGGGGATGAGACGGAGGAGGAAGGGGAGGAGGGGGAGGAGGAAGGGGGGGAGGATGGGGATGATGAGGAGGGGGATGAGGAGGGGGAGGGGGAGGGGGGGGATGATTTCATGTAAGGGGGTGATGTATACGGCATGTGGGAGGTTGTGGAGGGAGATTTCTAGAAGGGGGTTGTATGGATGGTGGTTTATATAAAGGATATCTGTAGGGTGGGCAGATGGTTCAGGGTACAGGGATCGAAAAGGTAGGTTGGTTGGGTTCCTGGAGTACGCGTTTAGGGGCGGGCTTCCAAAAGCAAATGCCTGTGATTGATTTCTTTGTTATATTACTGCACAGCGACGGAGTATGTCGGTTTAGGTACAGAAAATGGAAAAACAAACGGACGGTTTACTCAAGGTTTTCAGTTGAATGGTCACCATCACACGTCATTCGAGTTCTCCATCCTCCGGCGATATGGCTGTCATGTCTCAGTTCTTACCTTCGAAATGTACCGAATGATGGAGTCCCTGTACAAGTTACTCAAGACCTACACTATGTGCCAACCATAACATCCTGTGATGTAAATCTTCCGGGCCCTTGTTTTGTGCTCTCGAACTTCGTTAATGCATACACCCATATCCTCGTCCATGTAAAGGGGCTGGCTCGGTCCATGATAAACACAAGATAGAACCACTCAATATACCCAAACACCATGTGGTGATTATTACGAGGCAAACAAATGCGTCGAAAAGTATGGACATGGTTGGAAACGACAGGCTCGGGAAGGGAAAATTGACTGAGTAGAATCAAACTTGATAATATATAATGGCTATGCCTGCTCCATGCTGTATCCCTTTTTGGCTTTTCCTGTATCCGCCCCCCTGCTTCCTCAATTATGCCACTCGTACATTCCGGTAAACAAAACTAGATGTGGTATCTCTTCCTCCCATATCAAGTCGGCCACGCGAGTCCTACTCGCGCGGCGGCCGCGGGGCGCTGCCCTCCCTCACAGCAGCCAGGATTAACTCCTTGGCCTTCTCCACGCCCTCCTTGGTGCCGACGACCTCGATCGCATCGCCCTGCGTCTGGTCGCGAGGGACCGTGATCTTGCACCCGCTCTGCTTGCGAATCGAGTTGACCTTGCTGCCGCCCTGGCCAATGACAAAACGGTATGTCTTGGGGTCGGGCAGAACCAAGTAGCCGATGGCGTTTTGGTTGCTCGCCTGATCGAGCGCCGACTGGATAGCCTTCTTAGCCTTCTCGATGTTTTCAGGCGAGCCGCGGATGACCCAAGGGATGTCACCCTCCTCGGTGGATGACTGATCCACCACGTTCCAAGAGTGGGCGTCGGCAGTGGTATCGTCGTCGTCGGTGATCAAGGGAAGCGAGTCGCCATTCGCACGAGCATTTTTCGGGGCCGTGGGTTTGGCGGGGACGGTTTCGCCAGCGTGGTCGACCGTTACGCCGAAGTCGCTCCTGAACTTGCGGAAAATCTGGCCGTTGTTGGAGACGACGTGGTGGAGGGCCCGGGGAACTTGGACGGTTTCGCCCGGCTGTTCCTTGACCATCTCCTCAAGATGAGCCTTCGCCTTCTCGACATCAGCCGGCTGGCCGGTAATCTTCACGCTCGTAGTACCACTGCCTTGACGGGGAACGTCGATCGAGACTTTGAACTGGGTCTCAATATTCCGCTTGGTCTCGCCGCCGCGCCCGACGATGGACCTGTGCTTCTCGACGGCCACGTCCAGCTCCTCGGAGACCTGGCTCTCGCGCTCCGCCACGATGGCTTCGATCCGGGCCACGATCTTGTCCACAACTTCACTGCGGCCCTCAACTTTGATAGCATCACCGTCAGCGTCCTGCTTCGGGAACTGGATGGTGCGCGCTAGCTCTCGCTGGTCACTGGAGCCGCCAGCCTTGACAACGATGTCACGGAGAGTAGAGCCTAGGGACCTGTTAACCATCGTGATCTATGAATATGGGGGAAGGTTAGACTTACCACCAGTGCCGATGAGAGTCCTGTGGTACTTCCGAGGGACTTCGATCTTCTTGACCACAGTGTCGTCAAAGACGGCCTTCTTCTCCTCCAGGATCTTTTTGGCCGCCGCGACCTGCGCCTTGGTACCCTTGATCTGGATCTCGGCCTGGTCCTCGGTAGACTCCTTCGCGCTGGGGACGTCAATCTTGGCGCCCGTCGATTGGCGCAGCTGCTCCAAGACCGCGCCGCCGGCACCGATCAAAGAAGGCACTTGCTTCTTCTGGACAGTCACGGTGGCGGTAAATGAGGTGTCCTTAAGGTACTGCAGGAGCGACAGCAACTCGTCACGAGCTTCGTCAGCACCCCGCTTCGGCCCGCGGATGATGACCTCGTCGGCCGCCTGCTGACGGCGGCTTTTCCCTGCATCGCTCGCCGAGTCGCCGAGGGAGTCGTCGTCCTTGGCGTTCTTGGTGTTGCTGCGGGGGAAGAAGATGAGAACCTTGTAACGTGTTTGCAGCTTGTTGACCTGGTTCCCCTGCGCACCAATAATCTCGCGGTGGAACTTGGGGTCAATCTTGAGCACATGCGTTGCCTCATCCTGCAACTGGCGAGCAAGAGCATTGATGTGCGTTCTCGCAGCCTCCGCCTTGGCCTTGGGGCCTTTAAGCTGGACCTTACCATCGTCCACCTGGATCTCCACGTCGAACTTTTCCCTGAGCTCCCGAATGTTACTGCCGCCCTTGCCGATCAAGTGGTTGGCAAACTTTTGGGGGAATTCGAACTCCAGAATGAAGCCACGCTCCTTCTCGTCCTGCTTCTCTTGCTCAACGAACTCGAGGCACTTGGCGACAAGCCAGTCTACAACAGAGCTGGGACCACGGATATGGACGGATTCGCCGCTGTTGGACACACGAGCCCGGATGGGGTTGGAGGCGCTGTCTTGCTCGTTCTTGATGAACTTCTGGAGCTTGGTGTGGAATCTGCAACTGTGTTAGGAAGCTGGTCGTCTCGCCACGTATTGGTAGATAGGAATGCACTCACTTTACTGGTACCTCGATGGTTTGGGAGGAGATAGGTTCCCGTTGGTTCATCAGGCCGAGAATATGTTTTTGGGCATCTTGGAGCCCCTTCTGCATTTCGCTAATGTCTTTCTTCGCCGGCTGATCCCGTGCGATCTGGTACGAGTCAGGGTCCGAGGAGCCTTCGTATACCAACAAAACAGGGGCGTTCGGCTCCGAAGCCTCCGGAACAACCAGGTGGACACCGAAATTCTGTCGCACGTAGGGCAGCAAGTCCTTCCTGATGTACTGGTGGTAAAAAGGATCGACGGCCACGGTAGCCATTCGTGCCGGGGGGTGACCATCAACCATGGCCTTGATGTCGGCCTGGGCCCTAACAATGTTCGCACCATCACGAGCATAGAGCTCCCATGGCAAAGCGCCTTGCTCCGAGAACGGGGTGTTAAAATGCACGTTATGCAAGTTGCCCACCCGCTCAAGCTCGCGCTTCTGCTGGAGATAGCGTGTGACATTGCGGGCGTGAACGGCAGCGCCGCCAGCGGCTTGGCGATAGAAGCGCGAGATGTCAATGTTGGAGCATTGCATATCCATGGCGAGGCTGACTGTTTTCTGCACGCCGGCCGCGGCCTGGTTGGAGGGCCCGATGACCTTGACCATGTCATCGTCTTCATCGTTCGGCATCACAATGGTGCATCCCGTCTCCTCGAAAAATTGATCCATCGAGATGCCCTTCTCTCCGATGATGAATTGGTGACGGCCAGGTTGGATGTGAACCAGCTGGACCGTCAATTGGTCCCGGAGCTCCTGGACTCTCTCCTCGATCTTCGTCCGCGCAGCTCTCGCGGCATAGCGCTCGCCGCGCAGCTGGATGAAGTTGTCGGCCGCGGCAAGGAAATTGGGGCGCCCCGAGGAGACCGCGACAGGCGGGGTGGATGAGAAAGGTTGTGCAGCAGGAATGCGGATCTGAACATTGTATTCCTGCTCGATCGCCTTGACGTCGCCGTTGTTTGCGCCGCCGATAAAGGGGTAGAATTCGGCGGGGACTTCCTTCATCGGGAGGTTGACGGTGCCAGCGCGCTCACCCATGATCTCGTAGATGAGGTTCCGGGCGTGGGCGGCCTGCTGGGTGTTGCCCTCGACGACGACCTTGATGAGCTCGTCATCGTCTTCACCCTCGGGGGCCGGCTGGCCGTCTTCCTTGGGCACATGAATCCGAGCGCCTGTCTTTTCCTGAATGGCCTTGATGGTGGATCCGCCCTTGCCAATGATATGGGGTCTCGCCCAGCGATGAACGTCCAGCTCCAGCTTCAACTTGGCGCCGATCAAGGCCACAAAGTCCTTCAGCGATTGGGTGGTGCTGTCGCCCTTGGGCCCGGTTGCCTCAATCCTGAGCATGTTTTCGGTATGGGGAACGAGCTTGATCTGGGCACGGGACTTGCGGTTGAAGTCCTTGATGATGTCGGGGAGCGGACGCTTCAATTGCTCGCGGGGAAGGATGTCGTCCGGCTTCAGGAGAAGGTACTCCTTGTGTTGGCCCGGAATGGAGAGGCTCGGGGCCGCCGACGCCTCGGGGGCAGGCGTGGTGGTACCGGAGGCCGGGGCAGAGGTCGGTGCAGAAGCCTCAGGAGTCCGCGCCAGCCAGACGGGTGCCACGTTGGCCACGGCCCTGGGGGCGCCGCCAAGTTCCGGGAAGTCGTTCGACATGGTGCTGGACGACATTGTAGAGGTACCGTGGGACGAAACCGAAAGAGAACAGCGGAAGGGGAATCGAGTCGAGTGTGTAGGGGTTGACCGAGTCTAGATGGCTGACCGAGTTGGGACGGCTCTTGGTTAGAACTTGGGATAGCAAAAAGATACGGATACGGGGCTGGTAATCCGGGGGAAGGCGCTGGTAATTTGCAAATGGCAATTAAACCAGCAAACCTGGACTCAATTGAATAGGAGGCAACAGAAGGAAGGAAGGAATTACCTGTGAAGTGCGAGGCTGCAGGGTGAGGTGGTCCGGGTTTGGGGGTGGCCAGCGGATTTATACTGGAGAAGTGGACATTTCGCCTGCTCCTGCAACGTCGTACTTTCCCCAAAAAATTGTTGGGGTGCGGTGCGTGCGGACGTTGCAAGTCTTGGCGCCAGGTCTTTCATGTGCGCTTGAATCGTCAAGCTAACAGATTCGTGAGGAAGTTACTCAATCGAGACTTGAGACAGTCTGCCACCATGCCGCCTAGCCACACCACTTCAATCAAGTTCAGTAACCACCTATGAGAAATCTAGAAGATGCACATGGAGCTACTTGCCAGGCAAGAAACTCTGCATATGGCATAGCTGGCGCACAACCCGATGATGTTGCAAGATCTCTGGAATACGACAACTACATTACATACAGCGCATGAAACATCCCGTCACCTTACGCATACCCCTAACGAAGTACACATGTCATGACGGAATTTGTTGCATCCGTCGCGCAGTATGCATATTAATCGACTTACTGGCGACTCCGCCCAGCAGGATCCCCACGTCAGTATATGTTTAGTCAGTGTCAACTCGTCGTGCACCCGCGAAAGTCAAGTTCATTTGTAAACAATGATGCGCGTCAGTGCGGCGTTGCCCCCTACCCCTTTGATAGCACCTGGACGCAGGTAAAGACGGAGAGTTACCTGGAGATCCGCACCTGGGCCCTTTTGGAGGTCCAACCCAAACTGCAGCTTGATGGTGGGCCAAAACGAGCAATGCCGCATGCAAGATCGAAGAAAACTGGTATCCCGAGCGGAGCTTGTAAGGCATAAAGTGTTCTCACACGTGACGGGGGAGCACTGGGGAGATTGAGTTTTAACTGCAGCTGCATGTCACAGCCACTTGGAGAAACAGCATCGACCGGTGACAGATCTAGGGTTAGGGTTGAGATTCCCTCAGAACTCGGAATCTGCAAAGGGGCAAAAAGAAAATGGGCAAAGCGCGGCATCAAGCAGGATCGACGGAGGGACCCTCGGGGCGACCCATTGCCTCCAAGATCCCAACCCGATCCAAGGAGCCAACCTCGAGCCTTGCCAAACCACCTGTTATGGAGGCCGCCTCGCCGCGTTGGGGGTGTTCTGGACACAAGCCCGACTGGTTAGCGCGCCCGAGACGGTGGCAATGGACGGGCATGATAGGTGGCATGAGTGGAGTGGGATCGAAGGTCGGCTTCAAATGTTATGCAAGTTCTTTACCTGCGTGACTTGTTGGGGATACACTAACTAACTGCTTTGCGGCTCCCCGCTCACTCGCTGTTTTTGCTGGGAAAGGCCGGCCGTAGATGAGCTGATATTAAGGACGAGCATGAGGGTGGCGAGGCAGTTTAGCAGCTCCGGTCTTTTTGCGAGATGGAGGCACTTCGTGTGCACACAGACCGAGCCGTTGCGAGCGGGACGGGGTTCATGGGGTGTCATTAACTCCTACCGTACTTCGTCCCGTCTCGCCCGTTCACTCCCGTCTGCGGGTTGGCAGTTGAGCCCTTCATTGCGTCCTTGCGTCATTGCAGTACCGATCCATCGGCATGGACCCTGAAGCTTTCCTGTGGAACGAAGATTCCGATGTACCCAGCCAGCCAGTCGCTCCATCACCGACAGCCTGGGAAAGAGACGGTGGCATCCTGGCGAAAGCCGATGACTGTTGACATAATCCTCACAACAATGGAACCCGCAGGCTGGACCGAGTCTCCAAACCGCATCATGGCAGGAACAAACTTGGCCAGATGTGCCCCGCTTCCGAAGTTCTGGCTGGAGTCCTCGAAACGGCTGTGGGGTCCGAGATGCCAGGCGATGGAACGGTCCTTTTCAGCCGAACGTCGATCGCCGCCAAATCCTATGTGGCCGCTTGCTGGCTCCGGGTCATGAGAAAACCAAGCTTCTCATTCTCTTTTCTCCGGTTGCCTCCCATCAAAAGATTTGTTGCCAGTAGTTCGCGACTGTGTAAAACTGGGAACCGCCCGTGTCCCGTTTCCGCTCCCACAGTGCGCCTCCGTTTCAGCCCCACCTCAACCCCTTCATCCCGCACGGATGGCGGCTAGCCCCACCAGACCCTTGACTGGGCTGTTTGCTCAAACGTTATCTGTGCCATCAATGCCCATTCCACATCGGAAAAGAATGGGGGAAGCGGTTGGGTTGGATATTCGCATGTGCTTGTTTACTATGTATAGCTTTGGCTGACTCGGAAAAAAACAATCAAACCTTGCAGACAGTTCCAGCTTTGTTGCAAGCTGTGTTGCACATCCCATGTTCTCGAGGACGGCGCGGGCCGTGAGTGAACGAAGGGACGACCGGGGCCTCCTCAAGCGGTGGTGCGGTGTTGCAAGATTCATCAGTCAAGCCTTCACAGCCAGCGAAATGGATGTGATTAACCAGTGCCAGAAACATACTATGAGTTGATGAGTGGTGCGACAGGATCTCACACCCACACCCAAGCATCTGTCCACTGTCCGGTTCCGTCCCACCGGCTGTCGTCCCGTTTGCTGTCTTCCAGGTTCATCTGTCCTTTCGAACATCGAAGTTCAGACGAGCCCCCAAGCGCCCTTGAAAACTTGGCTGTCCACTGCCGTTCCATGTGGTGCAGGAGAAGATCGAATAAAACGCTGCAACGGGTCCCGACCGTCCGTTTGGAGTGCTTCTTCCTTGCCATCTCAAGTCCACACTGTGTGTGCCAGTCCCTCCACCCTTTACCCAGCTTGCAGGCGCCAATCACGTCGGGCCCCGCTGGATGCCACCCCAGGTGGCCAGTGTGCAGAGGCCAGGGCATCTCGAACCGCAGCCAAGCGGAACCTGGAAGAGGCCCGGGGAGCCAAGCAGAGGACGAGATCAAGCAGGAGCAACGAACGGCAAGAGAAAACGCAATTTTGCTCACTGCGACCCTCATTCGGTGCCTCAATTACCCCGGCACCCATCTAGCAGCTTTGTCTGGCTCCCAAACTGTACGTTGAAATTTTTGATTGCTATTTTGCTTCATTTCCCGGGCGCCTGGGCCGTGAGATGGACAGTCCAAAGATTGCAGGTGGTGGCTCCAGCGCTAGCTCACAGCGTCGCAGGCTCACTAAGAAGCCTCCGTCGGCGGCGCACTACCACTCTCACCACTCGAGCTCCAGGTTCAGCGCTGCTTCCGACGGCCGTGTTGACGCCCAATCTCTAGGAAGCAAACAAAGCTCGACCAGCTTGCGGCGGGCCCCCAGCGCTCCCATCGGCAACAGAACTCCCGCCTCGAACGCGACCGACTTCTCGCCACGCTTCCCCGCCGCACAGTCTCCCGCTTTCTCGCTCGCAACGAGCCGGTCACACACCTCTCCCGCCCTTCCCGACGGCACGCCTGCGGCGCTGTCTGCCTCCTCGTCGCACTCGCATTACCGCTCCCTGCAGACCCGAGCTGACGCGCAGCAACCACGATCCGTCCCGGGGGACATCCTTCAACCCCTCAGCTCCAAGACTTCAGACGAGTTAATTGGCGCTCCCTTTGACGGCACGGCAATCCTCGACCGAATTGCCGCCACGAAGTCGCCCGCTCAAAGCAACAATAGCAGCAGCGGGCACAACAACAACAACCACCACGACCACGACCACCACAACGACGGAGACAACCACAATCACAACCACGGTCCCGGCCACGGCCCTGACCATCGACCCCCACCTCGACTTACACTTCAACAGCCACCCCGCGCGGATCCCGGGACGCGAACCATGGGATACTCCCCGCCGCCGCTCCGCCAGTCGGCAACCTACCCGGCTGGCGACCTGCCAATTCTGAACGAGAAGGGAGGTCCGCCCAAACCCGACAGCGCAGGCCTCCACAAGCGCTACTCGGACGAGTCGAAGGAGAGCAAGATCCCCAGCATGCTCAGGAAGAAGTCGGGCTTCTCCGGTTTCATGAACAGCTTGGTGGGGTCACCAAAGAAGCCGCTCATCTCTGCGCCAGAGAACCCGGTGCATGTAACACACGTCGGATATGACAGCACCACGGGCCAGTTTACAGTATGGGATTGCCGGATACTGCACGCTTGCCAATTGTGCTAACTTGCCAACAGGGGCTACCAAAAGAGTGGCAGCGACTGATCAATGAGAGCGGCATTACCGAGAAAGACACGCGAGAACACCCTCAGATCCTCGTCGATGTCTTGACATTCTATAAAGAGACCCAAGAGAAGCCGCAAGAGGACCAGCAATTGGAGAAATTCCACGATGCCCGCGCAGACTACCGAGGCCTCTCCACCCCGTCGCCCGCGACTGCTCACCCTTCACCGGGGTTGCTCCAATCTGGCTATGGCGCGATGTCCCCCTTGATCAGCCCGCCCGCAAGTCCGAGGTTTCCTAACGTCGGCCACGAAGGCAGCTTCGAGAACCCGCGCGCACCACCCCCAGTTCCCAAAGGTCACCTCATGTCGGGCAAGGATATCAATCTCATGCCTAGCCGGCCTGCGCCCAAGCCGCCGACGACCCTACCAACTAGAACACAGCCAGCATACGCGACAAAGGACTCGGGGATTGGCATGCCCCCGCCAGGCGAGGACGTCTCACCATCCCATCTCCCTAACAAGGACAATGTCCCAATGTTGCCAGAAGAGCATAGGTCACGGTCCAACTCACGAGCCAATGGCACATCGCCCTATTTGCCGTCCCAACCATCTCCCTCGGTCACCTCGCCCCCGGCCAACCAACAAGCAGTGTACCAGCAGCAGCTTCTACACCAACAGCAGGAGCAGGCAATGGCACAGGCGCAGGCGGCCATGACAGGCCAGCTAAGCCGCCAAGCGAGCAAGCGGCAGCAGCCGACCCCGCCGGCTTCGCAACACCAGCACCTGCAACAGCAGCAGCAGCAGCAACAACAACAAATGCAGCAAATGCAGCAACAACAACAGCACGCAGATCCGAATGGGCCCAACCGGGGACCACCAACACAGCAGACGAGGCTTGCGCAACCGGGCTCGAGGCCGCGGCACAGACCACGACAGAGCAACGGCGTTGACGTGGTCGCCGCCCTGAAGAGGATATGCTCCGAGGGCGACCCCAGGGAGGTCTACCGTGGTTTCACCAAGATCGGCCAGGGTGCGTCCGGCGGCGTGTACACGGGCCACGAGAGGGGGACCAACCGGCTGGTGGCCATCAAGCAGATGAACCTAGAGCAACAACCCAAGAAGGACCTCATCATTAACGAGATCCTGGTCATGAAGGAGAGCTCCCATCCCAACATTGTCAACTTCATTGACAGCTACCTGTGCGGGGGGGAATTGTGGGTCGTCATGGAGTTCATGGAGGGCGGCAGCTTGACCGACGTCGTGACATTTAATATCATGACCGAGGGGCAGATTGCATCAGTCTGCAGAGAAACCCTCCGCGGCCTGCAGCACTTACACTCCAAGGGCGTCATCCACCGAGACATCAAATCGGACAATATCCTTCTCAGCATGGAGGGCAACATTAAGCTGAGTAAGTTTTGCACCCCAATTCTTGTATTATATTTTCCCCTTTTCGTCGGTGGCTATGAACTAACTTGGCCTCCCCCCCCGCCCCATAGCCGATTTCGGGTTCTGTGCAACGATCAACGAGGCGCAGAACAAGCGTACAACGATGGTCGGCACGCCGTATTGGATGGCGCCGGAGGTGGTTACGCGGAAGGAGTACGGCCGCAAGGTGGACATTTGGTCGCTGGGCATCATGGCAATCGAGATGATCGAGGGCGAGCCGCCCTACCTGACCGAGTCGCCGCTCCGTGCTCTGTGGCTGATCGCTACGAACGGTACGCCACAGATCAAGAACGAGCAGGACCTGTCCCCTGTGTTCCGCGACTTCTTGTACTTTGCGCTCAAGGTCGACCCGGAGAAGAGGGCCAGCGCGCACGATCTTTTGAGGGTATGTTGTTCTTCGCATTTCGGGGGTCAGCCTCGACCAAACCCAGAGGATACTAACCTCGCCTCAGCACGAATTCATGAAGACATGCGTCGACCTCTCCACGCTCGCACCCTTGGTCCGGGCCGCGAGGGAAGCCAGAGCGCAGGAGAAGGCCCGCAAGGGGCATTGATAGGCTCTATAAAGCCAGCCTTTCCCGCCTACTTCGATCGATCGAGACGGCATTTTAACCAGCAAATATTTATCTGGCTTTCTCCCTCATGGTTTATGCTACCAAGGGCGCATTGCATTTTTTTGACCATCAAGCAAGGAATCTCGTGCAGCCCCATCAGAGCCTTTTTTTCTTCCCATTTTACTCAACTCTCATGGCAGGCAGGCAGGCAGGCAGGCGGACGGGCAGGGCGGGCATTGTGCATTATTTTGCGATTTCTTTACTCTCTCGGCCCGACTTTTCTTCTTTTTTTTTCACAATTTTATCTCAGTTCTACATCAGACCTGACATTGAAATAAAACGGACCTCCTCTCGTGGAGGGCCTCTTTTCTCTCTTGCCTCCTCGCTTTTTTGCACTTATCTTTGCTTGGTCAACCGTATCGATCTCCATCGGGAAAAGATGGGTATGGGGTTAATGAAGGTTGTCTGTGGTCTTGATTCAGAGCATGCATGCTAGTAGCAGCCAGCAGCAGCAAGCGAGCATACCCATTCGCGAGGGAATGGCCTCGATAGAAGTGCCATAGCGTTTAGCGAAGCGGCTAATTAGGTACTCTGATGTTGTTTAAAAGTTATCTTACTTCTTTCTTCCCTTAATCTTCTCCCCGCCTGCTTCCTTTCTCTCCCATACTCACTCTATACACCCTGCTATTCTACGGCTCTCCTTGGAGTAGTCAGTGGCTACATGGGAAAGGGTGGGGCAAGTTGGGAATGGGCGCATTATGTTGAGAGGGCCAGTTGGTGTCAAGGCACGATTAACTCGGCCTTTTTTGCTCGGGTTTTATGCGTTCACCGCTAGAGAAGTGCCGGGGCGGTTTATGGTATGGGTGCCTGATCTATGGATGGGGATGGAAGGAAGCCAGGCTTGGGGAAATCAAAGGCCGTCGCCTCTTTATCTATTCCTTACAAAAGTCACCGTGGGGGACTATAATGTGAAGGCTCTGAATTTGTGCAAGAATATGTGGTAAAGAGGCGTGATGTGCGTGGATTGTGTTGTGGTCATGATGTTTAACTGGGAAGAAAAGGATTCTTACCTGGTCCCACTGGCTTGGTGTTCTGAGCTTGCCTTTTTATTAGCAGTGTTCTCACCCTACCTTCATAGTGGTCTGAGGTAAATGCAAGAGTTCAGAAGGAAGGCGAGTATATCTGATAAACTGATAAACGTGTAAGAACGCGTGCAATGTCAGGTATGGAAAACTTGTGCAGGTGAGGATGAATCCGTGCCTCAATTTCATTAGAATATGTGAACCAGTTTTATGTTCCCCGCCATGACCGAAGGAAGCGTTCCTTCGGGAACCTCGCCGTACGCCGCCAACCCAGAAGCCAAGTGAAATCAAGCACCAGCTAGAAGATGAAAAACCCGAAAATAGTAAGGTCATGGCTGCCACAACCAGTCACCCTTCCCGAGATCCATTAAATCGCTGTATCCTCCCTCCCATGTGCGAAACCACCAAATCCAGTAAGCCGTCTATAGGGTATCCCGCATAGCCATGAATGCCAATCCCGTGTCCCATATGTAACGCTTTAGTAAAGCGTGTAGCCACCGTCAATGATGACGTTGGAGCCGGTCATGAAGCCGGAGGCGTCAGAAGCCAGGAAGACGCAGAGACCGTTGAGGTCGTCGACGGCACCGAGGCGGTCCTGAGGAGTGAGCGACTTCCAGATCTTCTTCTGGGCGTCCAGGGCGGGGACCTTGTTCAGGGCAGTGTCCATGTAGCCGGGCGAGATGCAGTTGACACGGATGCCGTGCTTGGCCCACTCAGCACCGAGGGACTTGCCGAGCTGGATAACACCAGCCTTGGAGGCGTTGTAGCAGGACTGCTCCTGGGGGTAGTTGACGATGGAGCCAGACATGGAGGCAACCAGGATGATGGAGCCCGTCTTGCCGGCAGCCATCATGGCGCGGCCGACAGACTGGGACATGAGGAAGGAACCAGTCAGGTTGATGTCGATCAGGCGGCGGAACATGGCCGGGTCGTAGGTCTCGGCCTTGATGTTGGAGTCGGCGATACCGGCCGAGTTGACAAGGACGTCAGGGGCGCCGTAAATGTCAACGACGTTCTGGACAGCAGCGTCAATAGCGCTGCCATCACGGACATCGACCTTGAAGAACGAGACCGGGAGGCCAGTCTTCTGGTGCAGCTCAGCAGCAGACTCGTCACCAAGGTCCTGGTTGGCATCGAAGATGGCGATAGCCTTGGCACCGGCCTCGGCGCAGGCACGAGCCATGTGGTTACCGAGACCACGGGCACCACTAAGTGATCGGTTAATGAATTGTCTTCTCTTTGTAGATTTACAAAGCAACTTACCCAGTGATGATGATGACCTTGCCGTGAACGCTCATCTTTTGGAGAGTACGGGGCATCTGCTTGTAGACCTGGTCGTCCAGAGGCTGAACAGCCTCCTCCTCCTCGGCAATGGCCTCGGGGCTAGCGGCACTGTTCTTGACGGGAATGTTGAAGTGGTCTGAGTTGCCAGTGGCAATGCCCTTGTGGTCGGGGCTGTACACGGTGACGGGAACCTCGGTCTCCTTAATGACCTCGGATTTCATGAGGCGGGCCGAGCCAGAGAAGGCGGCGCGCTGGGCGATGGAAACACCGGCACGGGGGACGGCAGGGCGAGAGATGGCCGCAAAGCGCGGGGCCAGGCGGGTGGCGCGTGCAGCAAAAGCCATTGTGATGGTTTGTTGTGATTAATTTGAACGATTGGAACCGGGGCGAGGATGTGGTTGCTGATTGACTTGAGAATCAATCTCAGCAGAGGGCGAGAACGGCGGGGATGAGATCGGTTGGGATTTGTTGGCGTGAGCCAAAAAATCAAATGGCCGGTCGGGATGAAAAGGCGAGACCTTTCCAAATTTGCACGATCGTGAGGGGTTGACCACACAGTTGATAGTGCGGTGTTGGTGGTTCTGGGGGGTGTCCCGGAACAAAGGGAGGTGAGGATTCCGTGTAAGTGGGCGTGTCGGGTTTCAGGGTACGTCAAAGGTACCAAATCCCCTCAATAGCGACTCCAAAACTGCACCGAAAGGGCAGAAACCTGACAGCAATGGGGGACCGTCAGGTTCTCTTATTTATAGGCTGTAGGCTCTTCTTCGAAGGCGAACGGGAAGAACTTGATGTTCCTGGTCGTTGAGGTGGCTAGCTCAGGTACTCAGGGAACCAGAAACAATGGCGGAGTTGGGATGAGGCAAAATGGCCGGCGGGGTCCAGAACGGTGGCGGCTGCGAGTCGAGATCGCTCTTTTTTGATGCAATGCAATCCTGGGGCTGTGGGTCTGCGGGTTCCACGCACACTGCCTGCACACTGCACTCTCGGTTGGCAAATGCCGGCGGACACGGGCGGATACGATTATTTTAGTCGACGATTGAGTCGTGGGAACGAGAAACCAAGAAACGGCTGGCCCGAAAGCAAGGTCAGCGTGGGTTCTGCACGTTTCCAACACTTCGCCTGCTGGCCCCTATCCTAGTTTTGCGGGGAGCGGAAGGTCCGAGGTGGCATTTTCCATCTCCACAGTCGATGGCGTCAGTGGAAGTTCAGTTGAACTCCCCAACACCACCCACCAGCCCCAGATAGGTACCGAATATTTTGACCAGCAACAAAACCAGGTTCACAGGTCCACATACCTCTTCGCTGAGAAATCTCAGTAGTACTTTGTGTTGCTGTCTTTGCGTGGGGGGTCGAAAATGGGATGATGTCGTCTAATGTTCAAAGTTGTGTACACAGTTCAGACACGCTCCAGATGGTCCTGGCCTGGTATTTATATCTGGAAAATCTTTGTAGGATTACCCCCAAGGTAATCAGTCCGAGCATCCCGACACATCAGGAGCGGGCGGTGAGTTGTGTCTTGTGGAACCAAGAGATTGGGAGGTAGTCACAAGACCATCCTCAATTTTCACCACCCACGCCGCATACGTGCGGTGTTCCAAAAGCTGGCGTGGCGGCCGCGGAAAACAGCCGGGCTTGCGCGCCTGTCCTCCATCCTTGCCAAAAAGGCAAATATCTGCGGCCTATAATCTGGTGTTTTGACATTGGTACTCCTCCTGCTTAACTTAACTGGGGAAGTGGAGCGCGAGAATAGAGAAGGGCGGGAGGGCGACGTGGACGATCAGTCAATCTCCGCCTCGCGCCTCGAGGGACCTTGCATCTCCGACAGAGATTTCGTTGTGGGTTTGGCTTCGACTGATCAGCAAGGACGATACCGGACCCCTGATCCGACCCTGTCTCGGGCCGCCCTTGTTTGGTTTGTTCTCACGGTTCTGCCCTTGGCCGAAGCTCCAGAGGCAAAACGCATGCTGGCTGTCTCTCGGGGAATCCATGGTGTTCTGGCGGGGAGCTTTGCTGGTCGAACTTGACTGACCGAGATGGACGTGCCAAGGTTTAGCGGGGTCCCCTGTCAGCCCATCTTGCCCCGCGGCAGGTGTGCATGGAGTTGCAGTGCAGAAGCCTCGCCCGTTGGCTTGGCGAAAGAAATTCGATGGATGCACCGCGTGGGGGGGCCAGTATCTGTCAATTCCCATACTCCCCTCACACCGGTGCCTTCTACCTGTAACACCAACCAACGGGAGCACTCTTTTCGTCGTTTCCCCCCATTGAGACCCTCGGAGCGGTGAGTAGCTGCGTGTGCTGTCCGAATCCCCTGCATGCGCTTGAGACGCGTCTCTTTCTACGATTGCATTAGTGGCAAACGCAGGTGGCATTCCGAAGGCGGCGACGGCGCCGGCGCGTTCTGCGGCTCACCGAGTCCCCCCAAACGCGTCGTACTCCGGAATGGTGTTACGGGAAGCTGTTTAGCAACGACTCAACCTGTGGCGGGCTGGAGTCAAATTCTGCCCATACACGCCGTACTATTCTATTCGTACATACCTTACTGCGTACATTCAACAACCATTCCACAGAGAGAATGCCACAACAGCAGCAGTTACAAGTAGACTGGATTGGGGAGCCGGGAAAGTCACCGACCACCGAGTCACGCCCGAGGAGGGACCACCAATGTTCTGACGGTGCCGTTGTCAATGCCAATGGCAGCACAAAGATCTCGGTTGCCAGCCTTCGGGTTTGATGCGTTCCCCCACAACTCGCCAGTTGTCATGGGCTGACCCCTGGTCGGTACGTACCTTGATGTACCCAAGTCACCATGCACGTCAGCGGCAGCAAGAAAAGTTTGGTGGTCATGTGGCCACCTCGACTGCTGGATTCCCGAATCCCGGGCGCACTTGGCTCGGAAATCAGGGGCAGTGCCGGGGGGCTCTGGAACAGTCTCCATAAATTCGAGACCAGGGTGGCAAGCTTCGACCGCGGGAACCTCTCCGGCACGCATGCGCGCGACTGCAACCCAATGGGCACATCCACCACTCCATGCAGCTGTATCAAAATCCCCAATCGCTTCGGTCGCCCGCCGATCGTCTTGCCGCTCATCGGAGCAACACGACCGCAAGTCACGGACAGTGGCGAAGAACACGAGCAGTGACTTCGGAGAGGACAGGTAGCCGCTCTCCACGTTGTCCAACCACCTTATCCGGGTTTGACAACGCTGTGCAACGGGTAACTGAGGTCCCTAACGGGCATCAGGCACCCCGCTCCTCCCGCGTAGCTCCTGGCCACCTTCTCCACCAATCCTCCTATCTTGAGGGTTTTGTTTGACTCGTTGAAACTGGAAATTCATTCCCTCCGCCGCTTTGAATGGATCAGCATTGAGCCGAAGATACTATCCTTGACCGAAGCCCACGTCAACCCATATCCTTGATGTCAAAGGATTCATCAACTCCCCGACCGGCGATGAAAGACACCCCCAATTCGAAAATTTCTTCCCCCCCCCCCACGGCAACACTGTCCAATCGCTCCCGTCTCTTCGCCCCGTGTCGCTCGTGTCAACAAAGTTTGCCAGCAGTCGTTATCCTTGTCTAACTTCCAGAAGGTTGGGTACCCACCTCGCGCCGTTCGGTTGCCGTTCGAGTAAAGTGGGCGGTGTATGCTCGGAACCAAAACATTTTCACATCTCAGGGAGTCGAGAGAACGGGGGGAGAGGATGGCCCCCTTGGGCAGCTCACTTTACTTCCCGAACCTCTTGACCTTTCTCTTCTCTTTTATTGTGGCATGTTCATCCAGTCTTCTTAAAAACTGAAGTCGGGCAAGCAGCGGATCATCCGATGATCTCGACCCCAAAACACAAAAATGCCAAGAAAACGGATGACAGATCCAAGCGAGCCGCCACACCTTGTCCCAGCCCGCCGGTAACACCAATCGTGAAGCCCTGCTCCCCCAGATCTCACGATGGCCTCAAATTTTCGCCACCCGGGATCGACCGCAAAAACACCCCTGACCCCCTAGGGGAAAAGCTTGGACCACAACATAACGTTTCCGCCCGCAGCATGCAGCCCTACGCGAGGTGCCGCAAATTTTCCACTTCACGATGTCTCGTTTCCCGTCCCGCTTTCCGCCCGCCACGCGTCGCCGGCCACGGGTGGCCCCGCTGCCATCGCCCAGTCCGCTCGACGTGAGATCGTCGGGTCCAGCCGGGTCGCCCCGTCGATTGCGTGGGCTCAGGGATTGGGTTCAGTCGAACCCAGACGGGACAACCGTCAACAGGGTCCTCTCAGGGGAGGAGCATCGTGACTCGTGACTCGTGACTCGTAAAACCCAGAATGCCGGCCTGTCCCCTGTCATGTAGCGAGCGTCCCAGGAATATTTCTGATCGATTGTCCCCCCCGTGTTCTTCTGCTTCCACGCAAGTGTTGCCTAGAACTTGCGTAGCCCGACAAAACATGTTCCCGACCCCCGTAGCTGGCTAGGTAACACTTAGTCATGAACGAACGTGAAATTACAATCATCATCAATTCCATACAGACCGTACTTGCCCCCTCCTCCTCGCTAACCCCGATAAACTCCACGCAAAGGAAGGGTATTACTGTACATACATTCCAATGACAAAAATAGTCCCGACACAACGGTCGGTCATCATGGATCCGCGCCCTTCTCCCGCCGTCCCGTCTCGTCTCGGCCCACCCATCAATGGATACCAACCCTAGCGAGGCTCCGCATCAAGGAATGGAGACGAACGGACGGACGGGCATTAATGGCGGCAACTTAGCTGCCAAAAGCGAACCCGTCCCTCTCCTTCTCCAGCAGCTGGAACAGGCTGGTCACATACGGCGCCAGCAGGCGGTTCTCCGTGAACACCTCCCACAGACGGGGCATGACAGGCCTAAACAGCCGCTCATTCCAGCCCGCATCCTCACCCCCATCCTCACCACTACCCTCACTATTACCACCCTCCTTCCCTTCACCACCCTCACCACCACCACCCCCAGCCTCCTTCTCCCGCCTCTCCGCAGCGCGCTTGACCAGCCGCTCCTCCGCGCCCGTCTTGATGACGTTGCGCGCGATGTTGCGCAGGATGAGCGCGGCCGACAGCGGGATGCCGGCGGCCTGGGGCGGGGCGTTGGCGTTGCGCTCGTCGCGCGCCGAGGCCGTGTCCTCGAAGGTCAGCGTGATGGTCTTGGCGGGACGCACCACGCGCGCCCTGCTGCTGTTGCTGCTGCCGCTGCTGTTGTTGTTGTTGAGGGTGCCGCTGCCGCCGCCGCCGCTGGCAGAGGATATGGAGCCGCGTTTGGAGGGGGAGCCCGTCGCGCTGCTGCCGCTGCCGCCGCCGCCGCCGTGCGGGGTGGACGGGAGGTCGGCTTGTTGCGAGGCGGCGGCGGCGGCGGCGCGGGAGGCTTCCTCGGCTTTGAGGTGGGTTTTGATGTGCGTCATGAACTGGGTGAGGTGGAGTTTGGTTGGTTTGTGGTACTTGGCGCACCCGTCCCAGGCGCAGACGTAGGTCGCCTCGCGGTTCTGGTACTTGCCGTCCTCGCTGGGGGTTTCGTTCAGGTGGTCCGTGAGGATATGTTCCCACATCTTTTCGGTCGAGATGTTCCAGGTCCCGCACTTGATGTGCTGGCCGGGCGCGCGCTGCCATTGGCATTGGAAATAGCCGCGGCCGTCGGTGGTCACGGGGAACGCCCGGGGGCGGATGCCACGCATAATGAACTTCTGCGACTCGCCGTTTGCTTCGCGAATGACCTGCGCGCCGGCATTTTGGTGGACTGTGCTAATGTGACGGATGAACTCGGGTGCGTTGATCATGGTGCGGCCCATCCTCTTCAGAGATTCGAGGAATGACGCATTGTACGCCTGCCAGATGGCAATCTGCGTGATTTGAGCTTCCGGATCCTCCTCGAAGAAGCAGCGAAGCCACGCAAAGCAGCGCTCGGGCTCTTCCATGGCGAGGAGCCGCTCTTGGAGGTCCCTGGGAATCGGAACGACCTGCTCCGAGGCGGGTTCGTAGGCAAGACGCTGCTCGCTGACGACAATTTCTCGCTGGTAGCGCTTAGCTCCGTGCGAGAGCAGCCGGACAAGGTGTACTACGAGGTGCTCAACCTTGGTCCCCTCCAACATCACGTCCAGGTTGGAGATGACGGCTGTGTACTGGTACAAAAAGTCTAGGCAGGCATCCACGAGTTCGTCGTCGTTGAGCATCAGCCAGTCCATGAGACATTGTAGGGTGGTAGGCGGGACGTCACCGAGCTGGTTGGTCTCGGTGGGGTGGTTCATGGCAATACGGCTGATAGCACGGAGCGCGGTAAGAATCATCCCGCGATCCGAGGATTGAAGCTGCGCGAGGAGCGTTTGATAGAGCGGGTCCTCGGAGTCGAGGATGAGGTATGGGGTAATTTGTTCCGCAATGTCGAGAGCAGAATGCTTGAGCTCCACGGCCACGTCCATCGGCGGGAGATGGAGCAGGATGCAGAGAAGATCCTTCACAGGCGGGTAGTCGGCGATGAACCAGGCGTTCTCGGGCAACATGACCATGTTCCGGATGGTCAAGACAGCCTCGGTGACCAGCATCAACTGGTCTGTGAACTCAACTGGTTGGAAATTGTCTTGCACGTCCTTGAGTTTGAGCTGGGAAATCCTCTCGAGAATGTCGGCTGTGCCATTGAGGCCGTCAAGCTCGCTGATCTCGCCGTCGTCAAAATCGGGGTCGTTGGAAATGGTCCACTCGACTTCATAGAACATGTTCCCGACGCCAAGAGCAAACTCGGTCAAGCCTTCTGCTAGTCCACTAAACTGCGAGAATTTGTACTTGTCACCGCGCTCATAAGATATCTTGACGAGGTGGTTCAGGCCGAAGGCCTGCTCTGCTTGGATACCGGAGCGAAGAGCCAAGAGGCACCTTTCGTAAATGTTCGGCCCGTCGAGAGTCCCTGCTTCATGTTAGAACGACCTAGATGGACATGATAGCAGTCGATGGTTGCGAATAGCTTACCCGGAGGAATGGACGCCCGCACGAGTGCCCCTGGGTTGGGCGCCGGAGCCGTCGGCTGGCGCAAGAGCCGCTGCTTCCTTGCAAACAAGTCGGGGTTGCTCGCGGGGGTGTCGACGATACGCAGCGGTACCTGTTGGGAGGGCTGCGGTTGATAGTTTTGCACGAACGGGTTGCTCATGTCGGGTCCTGGAGGATTGTAGACCACAGAGGGCGCGCCGCGGCCCGGGTGGGGGTGGCTCTGATGCATCGCGACCTGGGTGCCGCCGTGGGACTGCGAGTTGTGATGGGGTTGAGACTGGGGTTGTGCGGTTGAACCGGACGCGCCAGATTGTTGGCCTGAAGCGTGCCGGGTCTGCCGCGATGAGTTTGTGTCGGGATGGAATATGACCCTGGGGGCTGGAGCTTCTCTAAGGCCGCGAGAGGCCCGGCCAGAGGCGGGGGTTTCTTCGGCGCGCCGTTCCCTACTCGGCGTACCATCTTCAGTTGACCCTTCCCTATCTGCCTTCGCTCGAGCTTGGAATGTCTCCAGTGTCCGGGTGAGTAGAGACCCTCCCTTGGCTGTAGTAAACTCGAGGATCTCGGGCGGGGGAGGTTCCTTGTTGTGAACAGTTTTGATCTCGTATGCGGCTAGATTCTTGTAGAAGATCTGTTTCAGAGTATAGGCATCTGCTGGGGCATTATGCCGCATCAGACCCAGGCCTTCGCACATTTTCCGCCACATAAGCTTCTCATCGGACACCTTGTCATAGCCGCCATGCTCGATGATGTAATTGAAGAGTTTGAGGAGGTCGACTGTGAAGTTGCCCATCTTTGGCTCCGGGTCGAAATTTGTGCCGCGCTTCTCGTGGAAGACGCGCAATTCCTCGATGAATTTCTCATACTCGGGGGTTCGATCGACCGAGTGCTCGACGGTCGCCTTGGTGGGTGCCATTTTGGCGCATTGAGCGCAGCAAGGCGCCGAGAACTATTTAGCTAAACTGTGAAAAATATCGGAGACAATATGATGTTAGGTTGAGATCGCGATATTCGTTTGCAAGACGCGCCGGGATGCAGTCGACCGAGGGTACACGGGTTGCGAATCGGCGATGCGACGCGATGGAAACTGCGATTGGCATTTGCGGGAGGTTTTTGGCTCCGATCTGCTTGGTGAGTGTTAAGGTTGTGGGCCTTGCAGCCTAGCGTGGTGCACGGGCCATCTCTTGTGTGAGTGACCAGCTTGACAACCAACCCTTCGGTCTCTCTCTCTCAACAACCTAAGTTCAACCTTCCTTGCAGCTTCGCTATATCAAGGCTATTAAATAATAGCAAAGAGCTTGATACAAAATATTGCCACTTGCCGGCCAAGTCTAGTTTATAGAACAGAAAGCAATATCAAAGGCACAGAATTGCAAGTTTGCATATCTTTGACTCCGATAGTTCCTTCCAAGACGGGAACTCTCCCGCTCAGTCAAGTTGGCACTTGCTCTTTTGGCCGGTCTTGCTCGATATTCTTGCTTCACGGACTCGGACACTTCATGATTTCACACCCAACAACTTTGCCAAGTCATGTCCATTACACGCTGGACCCGTGAAAGCTAGTGACTATGCCACCCTCCCGGTCACAGAACACCCCAACCACCCGGCGCCCAATACTGAGGTTCGACTTGGCGAGCATCAGCATCAATGGTAAACCAAACGCATACAAGAAGCCGCAGCTGGTCCTCAAACCGCAGCTCGAGCTTGCTCCCCGTAGGCCTTACACTGGATCGCGCCCACGGGTACCTCTTTGGCGCTACTTTTTGATGGTGCATGTGAAAGACAAAGCCGATGAACTAGTTTGTTACCAACTTTGTTTCAAGACGTACACGTATGCTGAGACCACTCAACAGGTGAAGTTGGATCTGGACACATTCAAACCGTCTCCAGCAGATGGCGATGCTACTATTCGCTGTTCTATTACTTGTTCTTCGTCTGAGTACTCCCTCCTCTTTCAGTACCCAGGGAGTACAGAGAGTGTGAGTTGAGCTGTCAACTATCGAAACTCTTGAGTGATAGTCACCAGCTCATCCAGTTTGTCAGGTTTCAGCAACACTTAGCATCACCGTACAGAACGCTTCGGATTTTGAGATTATTATGCAAGAGCTTAGCACTCTGGGTATCTGCGTAGAAGATGACCACGGCAACCAAGAGCAGAGGTCCCTCTCTGGATCAGCTATCTTCAGATCATGGGGACCAGCGGGCCAGACGCTTCGATCAACATACCGACCACCCGGCGACGTACGGCCGTTCGAAAGCACGAGCCCTCGTCTGGGTACGGGACCAACCTCACAGGCACAATACCCATCATACCCGGAAAGACATCTCTATGGTTCCCTTCAACGACCTCCTAGCCACCCATTAGAGCCGCCTACAGATTTACAAGCAGGACAGCGCCCTTGGTCACCGGCGTTTATACCATCTCGGCCAGCAACAACACTCGGTGTACCCGGAATTCTAGGTGAAGGCATCTACAAACTCAGCAAGATCGGACCTACCTCCTCCAGTCGGCTGAGAGCAAGACGGACTACCACACCCATCGAGCAGCAAGGCCATGGGTTGTACACAGTTTCTAAGCACTTCGATAAGACTCTCAGCAGAGCGGATATTCTTCATGCGACAAGGGGACGATATCTGGGGCGAGGGTTGTCTTCGAGCTTGCAGGGCGAGTCGACATCCTCCTACCCGACTAGATCACCCAGCCTGGGTAATTCGAGGGCTGAAGACCAAGGAAAACCCGGGCAAGAGCAGAAAGCATGGCAATACCCGGCTCGGATGTCGAGTGTTTTAGAGCGCATCCCGGTCAACGCCCAACACCAGCCAGGGCTCAGACGGCTACGAACAGCGAACCATGCTCTAGATACAAGCCCGTCTGCCGGTTTTAACTACAACGAGGAGAACCCCCTTCTCTCTAGCGTTAATGAGGAGAAAAGCAGACATGGGTTTTCCTTTTCACAGCCAAATCTGGCATCAAAAGGCACTGACGATGTCTTCCTCTTCAGTTCAAGTCCGACACTCTTCGAGCAGCCAACCGAGCGCGAATTACGGGACGACTGGTTGATACAATGCTCGCAGATTCAGCATCAAGGACTGTGCGAAGCAAGCAAAATATGGGATGAGTTCGTGGATAAAGCGAACAAGGAAATGGCAGCGGCGGAGCCATCCAGGGATTTGTCGGATGTGTTGTCGAGATTCGAAGACGAGTTTACGCGGCGTTGGGAAGGAGTTGTGTCTGCTACGGCGCAGAATATGAGACGTTTCTGAGACGGAAGCTTTGTTGTTTTGGTGTTAAATATGGTTGCGTTCTCCATGATAAAACCGGCATCTGGGTTTATGTTGCGTAAACCTGGTCAAGATGAACCATGATGGCACTTCCACCACCAGAACATGCCTTGGGCTCCGTCCATTCCCTGTTACTTCACAAAGCAGCGCCGACAACTCCAACCTACCCACCAAAATCCAGCCACTCAAGACCAACCCCCTTTCCTCAACCCCTCCTCCCACGGATTCCTACACCTTACTCTCCCCTGCTTTCCCCTCCGCCCCCGCCTCACCACCCCCCTCCGCCCCCTCCTCCTTAAACGTCAACGAAACACTATTCACACAATGCCGCTCATCCGTCGGCGTGTCATAGCCCTCGCCCTTAAAAACATGCCCAAGATGGCCCCCGCAGTTGGCGCACACGATCTCGGTGCGCGCCATGCCCAGCGAGCGGTCCTCGTGCCGGACCACGGCCCCCGGAAGGCTGTCGAAGTAGGCCGGCCACCCGCACCCGGACGCGAACTTGTGCCGCGCCTCGTACAGCGCCGCCCCGCACCCCGCGCACGCGTACGTGCCCGCGGAGGGGTGGTGCTTGTCGTAGGCGCCCGAGGAGGGCCGTTCGGTGCCTTTTTCGCGGAGGATGCGGAATTGTTCTGTTGGGGCGGGGGGGTGGGTTAGTTATTGGGTTGAGATTGGTGTGGTTTTGGTGGTGTGGAATGGGTTGGTGTATGGCGTAAAAAGGTAGTGATTCACTTACCCGGGCTCAAGACGGCGCGCCACTCGTCAGGGGTGCGCTGGTCTGGGTATGATGTCATGGCGTTCTTGGAGGATGGGGCCGATGTTCCAAAGAGAGCGCTGAGAAAAGGGATGTTCATTGATTTGAGAGGAGGAGCCGTGTTTCTGAGTCGAGGAGCAGCTTGGAAGGGAGTAGGCCGGGTGAGATTAGAGAGGGTAAGTAAGAACCGGAAGAATCGCGAGCGCATGGAGGGTGAGCTGTGAGTGAGACGGTGCGGAGAAGTTGGGGTTTATATGTTCTCGTTAAGATGGGAAGGAAGTTGAGGCAATGCATCGAATACAGCGGAACTGGAAGTGACAAATCATGGTTATTGCGGCTAGTAAGGCGGGGTGGGTTGAGGTTTGGAATCAAAGTGGCGGAGTTGAGCATCACCCGCTTGAATTCCTGCCCCAAGGCCGAGGGGTCGATGATAACGACAGCAATTGATATCAAACCATGATATTGTATTTCACACACTGTATGTCCTCGGGGTGGTCAGGGCCATCCGAAAATTACAGTGCAGACGAGGGCTCTTCACACTCTTGCACGGTATTTATGTAACATCATACACGCAAGACCTTCGTTGCCTTGATTCAAGCTCACGAGGTTTGAGAATGAATCTTGAAGACATAAGTGAGTGTCCTCAGTATTTGGCTTTCCTTTCGGCATGTTCGCGGCTTTAGAAACTATTTGTTTCTGCATGCTTGAAAGTTGGGAAAGTCGCACTTATATATGCTACTACCCGAGCTATGCACCATATCAATCTCAGAACGGCTCGGTTAAACGGTTCCCCACCGCCACTCCGTTTCGCGTTGCACTGTCCCGCACCTTTATCTGCGAACCCAACGTCTTGAACTTGTCCTGAACTCGAATTCTAAGGTAGTTCCGAATACCGTCTGCCTTCCCGCGTACCCATACGCCAACCCACACCACTACCAATCAACCCAAAATTTGCCATGTCTCGACGGCCCCCGAACCCCGCTGCAGAGCGGGCAGCGCAAAACCAGCAGACGATTAAGAACCTCCTGAAGCTAGAGCCTAACAAGGTGTGCGCCGACTGCAAGCGCAATAAACGTGGGTTTCTCCTACGGCACACCCAGAATATCACTGACAACTTCCCTATTAGACCCGAGATGGGCGAGTTGGAACCTCGGCGTGTTCGTCTGCATCCGCTGCTCGGGCATCCACCGCGGAATGGGCACTCACATCAGCCGAGTTAAGTCGGTCGACTTGGACGCATGGACCGACGAGCAACTACAGAGCATCCTGAACTGGGGCAATGCGCGCGCGAACAAGTACTGGGAGGCGAAGTTGGCGGCGAACCATGTTCCCTCCGAAGCCAAGATCGAGAACTTTATCCGCACAAAGTACGAGCTGAAGAGGTGGGCGATGGAAGGACCCATCCCGGATCCCGCAACACTCGACGCAGATGGCGATGACGATGTACCACTGAGCGTTGTTAAGGAGAAGCAAAACGTGGAACGCCGTGAATCCGTCCGCAAAGCATCCGTCGGCCGGTCAGCAGCCCCTCAGGCCGATCTTATCGGAGGGGACCAGGTTGCGGCTCCGGTACCACCGCCGCTGAGAGCCAGTAGTACTGGACCGACGGCGATGCAAGTACCTCCAAAGTCTGGGCCCGCCCCGCCCAAGGCAACCAGTACAAAGGACTCGCTACTTGGGCTCGATTTTCTGGGCGGTGAGACCACCGCGCCGCCGCGACCAGCCAGCACCACGGGTACACCTAGCAGCGGCCACTCACGTCCGGATCTTAAGCAGTCTATTCTCTCTCTTTATGCGACGGCTCCGCGGCCGCAACCCCAGCCGGCCGCCCAACATGTGTCCCATGCTCCGTCGGGTTCGTTTGGCGGAATGTCCTCCCCCACCGGCATGAGCCAGGTGCAGAACCCAGCGGGCGGGCTCAATGACGCATTTAGCGGTTTGAGCTTTGCCAGCGCACCATCTCCTAAGCCAGCCCAAAACGATGCCTTTTCCGGCCTCGGCTCCTTCGGGTCCCCCCGTCCTGCCCCTCAATCGAGCGGCTCCGCCTTCTCAGCGCTGAGTGGCGGCAGCTTCTTCGACTCGAAGCCGGCGGCTGCCTCGCAGCAGCCGAAACAGTCCGTTGGTAGCCCATCAGGCTGGGGTTCTGTTGCCTCCCCCGCGGCAGCACCCAAACCCGCTCCAGCGCCCGCGTCCTCTGCACTGGGCGACTTATTTGACTTCTCCGCATCTTCCGCGCCCGCACCCGTTCCTCAGCCTGCGCTCGCCCCGACCACGACGACAACCGGTTCCTCAGTCTTCAACTTATCCGCAACGCAGCCGAAGCCCAGCCCTCCGGCCGCCACGGCTAGTTCAAACCCATTAGGTTCACTGGGCGGGGGCAACTGGGGGGGTTCGGACGTCTGGGGCGGCAATGCGTGGGCTTCGGCTGAAGCGCCCAAGGCTACTCCGGAGCCGGCAAAACCGTCTGCACCTGCGGCGACAAACGACATGGGATGGGCCTCGCTCGCCAGCCAGCCCATCGTTCCCGGCTCGTCAGGAGGATTTGCGCCCAAGGTCGCGGCAGACGAAGAGTTTGGTGGGTGGACCAGCAGCACAACGACGTCGAATACAAACAATACATCCAAGCCGGCGTCCGGATTTGGGGGAGGGGACGACTTGTTTTCGAATGTGTGGCAGTGAGGCTGCGTGGTGCTCTCGATAGGGGTAAGGTAGTTGTACCTAGACAAAGGGGCGTCTTGCCTGGTTGTTTCGGTCCTCATGTACATGAAGCGCATAGCGAGGACGAGGAAAAACAGGAGGCCGGGTTGCTTTGCTTTGCGGAAGACCGGCTTCATGAGCCAAGATACATTATTTCTGACACATCACGAAGTGTATATATCGTATTATTCAACGCGGCTGAGTTAAAACAGCCAAAGCCAGCCCACGCCCAACGCCTTGCCATGCCCAAGTCCAGAGCCGGACCAAACCATAATACATGTCCAAATACATCCCATACACCGCGCTGCGCTGCGTAACTGACCGATCCAACCCCTCGACAGCCGTTTAGGCCGTTAGAACACGTCCATCACGTCCTTCTGCCCAACCCCTGTTTGGAAAAGCAAAAGCTAACCGACCCTCAACTCCCACACCATTTAGGTGCCCGCCTAGAAAAACAACCTCCAGATATAGTATAACACCAGCACCACACCGATGATGATGCCCGACAATTTGAACACGGCCACCTTATTCCCCGACGCCGCCATGCGGCCCAACCGGCCGGCGGAGCCCTTGATCTGTGTCGTCATCGACGAGAACGTCTCGCTCTGCACGCTAAGTCAGCCCCTACTTTTTTTTCTCTCTTTTCACGTTCATTCCTTCCTTATTCCGTCCGCAGATGCATCATGTCTTCTGTTGTTGCGGCGTCGGGGGAAGAAGGGGGGGGGGCAAAACGTACGGTCGACTCGATCACCTCCTGCGAGCGCGCCGAGTCGTAGATGTCGATGGTCACGCCGCGCAGGGCCGACACCTTGGCCGAGAGCTCGTCTAGGCGGGCGTTGTTCTGGCGCTCGCGCTCGAAGGCTTCCGACATTTTTCTTTTGGTGGGTTTTGAGGGGTGCTGCTGAGGGGGTTGGTTGGTTGGTCTCGGCTCTCCGGTTGCTTTCCTTCCTTCTCTTCTTGCGCTTGGCTGGGTCGGGTTGGTTTGCGCACTGGGAGGAGGTCAAGGTCTTCGGTTGAGGTTTGGTGAGGTGGTGATTGCGTGTGGTTGGTGCCTCCGTGGGCTAGGGTAAGTTGGTTCGGTTGTGGTTTGGTGGGCCGCGATGAGCGGTGTTCCGGGGTGGTGTTTCGGATTGGTTGCGATGCGCGGGTGGATTACTACACTCGGGGTCGGAAGGACTGAAAGGCGGCGATATGGAAATGCTGGGTTCGTTTTAGCAGCAGCCGGTGTGATTGGAACCTTTGTTTGTTGAAATGTTCGGAATAGCTGCTTTTGCCGCGAAGAGGTGGCAGTCGGCAACTCAAGAGGCCGCGAAAGGGGTTGGCGGTGCTGCAGTCAGGGGTCCAGCCAGCGTCCCAGCCGAACCGGAGCCAGAGCCAGCTTGGCATTGGGCTCGCTCAGCCACAGTGTGGCGGCACCCAACCTTTGACGTCAGCACGCGGCTGGGGAATTTGGGGGATGTGGGGTGGGAATCTTCGACGTTCGGTCCATCCTCAATTCGACTCCGAGGACTTATTGGTCGGTATCGAGGGTACAGAATGATATACTGATCCAGGTCGTGACCAAGTAATGTGTCCATTTCCCATAAGTAAGGTAATAATAACATGCATTCCATTTTTCCGATTCCTTTCCTTACGAGACTTCGCAACCGTGATATTTCCATTGGCGCCCTTGTGACTTGGTTGCTGCGGGGAACCGCCTTCTCCCGTCTTGGACTGCTTGCCATCCGGCCCTCACAGCCGCCACTACGACGCGCGGCTGCCTCTTTTACTCTTTATCATACCTTAGTCAAGGTCGCCCCTTCCCTAGAAAATAAACTTCTTGTCAAGAGCATCAATCTTTGTGCGCGCCTACGATTAACAGCCAAGCCGGCTAACGGAACTTTGAAAGCCAAGGTTAATCGCAAATTCACTCGGCGCCGACCCGGTAACCCCACATTCTTCCTGATCCTTCGGTGCTGCCTCCAGCTGTCCACTTGACCACCACGCGACTGCCGACCTTGATAAACATTCAGCACACTTTCTACCCAGGAATTCTTCAGGCTTTTTGAATATCTTCAACGGCGCGCCTGCCCACCCAGCAGCCATGGGTATCAACAACCCCCTTCCGTCGTCTATGGCGTGTAAGTTGGTCCCGGCCGTTCCGCGCTGATTAGTGCGCGCGACAAGACACATTGGTGTCCATGGTGGTCGCTCGTCGCTCTTGTCTGCTGACACTGAAGATAGCGGAATGCAAAAAGTGCGGCAAGATCCTATCCTCCTTCGTCGACCCGCGACAAGCCTTCAGCCCAGAAAAAGTTATTCCGCCGTCCGTCCTCGCCGGCGCCAAGGTAGGGAAATGCCTTCCCTCCCCTCCCCCAGCCCTTCCCCCCTTCGGCGCATCAACCCCCCTCATACTAACTCGGCCCCCTATATAGGGCCTCGCAATCCTCACAGTCATTAAAGCCGGCTTCCTCGGGTCGGCTCGTTTCGGCAGCGGGTTGGTAGTGGCGCGGCTGCCGGACGGGTCGTGGAGCGCACCGACGGCCATCGCAACGGGCGGCGCGGGCTTCGGCGGACAGATTGGGTTCGAGCTGACGGACTTCGTCTTCATCCTCAACGACGCGAGCGCCGTCAAGACCTTCTCGCAGGCGGGGTCGCTCACACTCGGCGGCAACGTATCCATCGCGGCGGGGCCGGTCGGCCGCAACGCCGAGGCCGCGGGCGCCGCCTCCCTGCGCAGCGTCGCGGGCATCTTCAGCTACTCCAAAACCAAGGGCCTGTTCGCGGGCGTGTCTCTCGAGGGCTCCGCTATCATCGAGCGCAAGGATGCCAACGCGAAGCTGTACGGGCGGCCGATCTCGGCGAAGGAGCTGCTTTCCGGCACGGAGCGCCCCCCGCCGCAGGCCGCGCCGCTGCTGAGCATCCTCAACTCGCGCGCGTTCCGCGGCATGGCGCCCGCGACGGCCGACGACCGCATGTACAACGACATCCCCGTGTACGACGACAACCGCGACAACGTGGTGTGGGGGGACAACAACACGGGGCCCGGGTACCGCGAGGGCGAGCAGCGCGACAGCGGGTACGGCGGCGCCGCCAACGGGCAGGGCCACGACGAGTTCGGGCGCCCTAAGCGCTCGTCCACGTGGCAGGACGACGTCTACGACCAGCAGCCGCGGGCGTTCGGCCAGGCTTCGAGGTCGAGCACCTTCCACGACGGCTACGGGGCCGGGGCCGGGGCCGGGGCGGGGGTCACTGGTGCGGCGGAGAAGAAGGTGGGCCCCGGCCGGCCGGCGGCGCCGAAGCCGAATTATGCCAGCAAGGAGGCCTTGCTGAAGAAGAACGAGGCGGTCGCGCTGTTTACGTTCGAGGCGGACCAGCCGGGCGACCTGGCGTTTAAGAAGGGGGATGTCATCACCGTGCTGAAGAAGACGGAGAGTGATAACGACTGGTGGTATGTCTATTTTCCTGGGGCAGCACTGGAAAGTCTGGCGCTAACTTACGATTGCAGGACGGGCATGATCGGGACGAAGCACGGGATATTCCCTAGCAACTACGTGAAGATGAAGGAGTGATGCGGGGAGGCCATGTTGACAACACATCTGGTGACAAGCAAGAGGGCGTAAGGGCCGGAGATGGCACTTGGGTGACAGAGGAACTTTGGGCACGGACTAAGATATCGCTTAGAGGGGCCTCAGAGGCATGGCACATCTTCCCATACGGATGGCGAGAATGATTTTGGGACGAAGAGATGGTTTCGGTACTGGCTTTGCGGTTGGATGTTTCCCCCATTCCCGGTATGGCGTCGGGCGAGACAAGGAGTTTTCGTTAGTTTTTACCAAGGGCAATCTGAGTTTATTTGCTATAGGCAGGCGAAGTACGTGATGTTAAATCCAGAGATGATGCTAGATTATGGGACTATCTTACTATTCCTACGCCGTACGGCAGCAGACCGAATCCTGGTCCCTCCTGCGGGTGCGCGGCATCCATCCAAACTTCCCTGAGATCCTGGGGCCGAGTGAGCTCTTCCTGCATGCAATCACGATTTGGGTGTGATTCATCGGTGGAACGGCAGTCGATCTTCCTCCCGGGCCGTCCCATAGATGGCACATTGCGGCACGTTTGTGTTGATCAATCTGTACCACCACGCCACAAGGTGTTCATACTCCCGCTTCCCAACTGCTGTCAAGCAGTGATAATAACATGCCACAGCCCTACCGTTAGTAGGGTGACGACAACTCGGCCGGTTAGTTTGAACCCCCCCCCTAATAACCCCCAACCGGCGTATCCGGAGGCGTCAGGTAAGTGCAGGCCGGGCAGTCCCCGCGGCGGGTCCCGCGAAGGGTGCTGGTCCACCGCCGACGGTCGCAGTTCCGCTTCCGCCGCAGAGCCCTGGTGCAGCGGAGGACGCCGTTGCTGTCGTAGCAGCCGCAGCCGTAGTAGTGGTAGACCTTGTGCGAACACATTGTGGTTGTCGTGGGTTGGTGTTTTCTCTCTCTCTCTCTCCAATGTGTGGGTTGGTTTGTTTGTTTGCAGAGGGGATGGGGGTTGGTTGGGTATCGTCGTGGGGGGAAGTGTTCGTCATGATATATTTGGTGTTGGGGGGTGTGGGTTTGTTCTGTGAAGGGGGCGGTTGTTTGGAGATGGCTTCATCTAGGGAGTTGGTGACAGTATCTAGTCGACTGAACATAACTCATAGCACCTGTAGTGTCATCTGCGTATGCTACCCCTTTGTCTAGAGCATTGATAGCTCTGGGGATAAACGCTAGTAGTGTTTGACAGACACCTCAGATGTTTACAGAACAGACTCGGCCCTACCTCTGCAATCGACACCCATCGTCGTGCCCATGACCTTGATGAGTACCCGGTCATGGCATCAGGGCACAGTGTCAACTACCGGTTCATAGCGTTGGTCATGCTATGCCCGCACGTGCTATATGTATTATATTCAGCATCTCCAAATCCCACCGAGGACCACCGCCCACTCGATGGTTGGCCAAATGGTAACCGGCAGTGGTCCTCGAGGCCCCGGCGACTCGGGTTCAACCCCTCTCCCGACGGGGAGGTTATGGGTTCGAACCTCAACTGCCCGGGCTTTTCTGAGCAGTGACGCTGCTCAGAACGGAGTAAACCTCCAAGGGGGTTTCGTAACCGGCCACGTCCCCTTTATCAGTGACGACTGGTCGAGGGGGGTTGGCCGGTGAGCTTTTGCCTTTTTCTCTTCTCTTTTTCTTGACCACACCGGTATCCACCACAGTCCTAGATTTCCATATCGCCTAACTAAAAGTTGAAGCTATTCACACATCGGGATGGTGGCAAATAATGTGGTTTGGGAAATAATCAATTGCCAACACGGAACCCGAAGTGAAATGAAAACAACCGAAGCCAAGTTCGATCCATAAAAGCAGTCAGCCGTTCTCGTCATAATAAAAGGGCAAAAATAGTGAGCAGAGACTTCAATCTGGGTGCTCATCCAAACAAACGCCCGCAATCCCGAGTCCCGACCACAAAGGAGTGAAAGCAAGCAAAACAGGTCTTTTTTGGGGGTTTTCTCTTTTTTTTCTTTCGCGCAAGCCGACGTATTGCAGCATATCAGCGCGTAGGGGAACTGGGAGAGTTCCACTGCTCGTACCCGACAAAGAAATAACACTCCTCTCCAGTCATAAACCGACTCGACGCACAGGCCGTTATGGCCATCCTAGGGTCGAGCGGAATAAAACATCGCGATCATAACTCATCATCATCATCAGTCCCGCCAACCGGAGTTGGAACGGGTGTGTGACCACTGTCGAAGCGGCCCAGCGGTCAGTGGTCAGTGGCCGATCTGTGCAACAACAACAACAACGACGACCAAAGAACTCACCTCACTGGCCCTGAGTCTCCACCCCCTCAACCTCGCATGACATGATATGCAATGCACGCCATACATGCAGTTACCCGTCCACCACATCCCTGCCAAGGTGGGTTAGCGTTGTGAGGTACGACATGAGACGAGGCTAACCCCGTGTCTTGTTTTGACGACATAACATCGAGAGGTAACATACTGGGAGGGGGACCCGTTTTCCTCGACCCAGATCCGCGTCTGGTCCTCCCGAGAGAGCTCGTCCGTCGTCGCAGCGGTGGCAGCAAATGTAATAGTGTCGCCGGCCTGGGCAAAGCCGACCTGGAGTTGGCTTGGGGCCGGCCAGGTTGACGCATTGTTGGTGAAGCTCCCTGCCGCTGCCATGGGGTCGTGCACCGCAGGACCCGGAAACGTAGTCGACTGGCGTGGGGAAAAGTCGAGATGGACGAGAGGTTGGATAACGTTGATGTACGGCCAGCTCGTGCCGTAGAAATAGTCGACAAACGGCTGGCCGAAGATGGCGGGCAGGTTCCCGTACGGGTAAGTCTCGGTTTCCAAAAGGGAAAGCTGGACCAAGACGAAGCGGTCTGCGCCGGCAGGCTTGACGAAGAGATTGATAGCCCTGGTGCAGTGAATGGCCCCGAAGGGCGTCATGTACGACCGTACCAACTCGGTGATGGGGAACCCGGTTCCCTCCGCATACCAGGCATGGAAGAAGCCGTGGGGGAAGTCTCGGCTGAATAGAAACGGGACAGTCATCTCGTTGCCATGGGCGAGCATGATGGTGAGCTCTGACATCAGCTCATCAGGCCGGAGGTTGTTCGTGTCGAACGGAGGTTGGATGAAGCCTCGTCTCCTGACCCCTTGCCGCCTGCCAGCACGCCTGAATTGGTGGTTATCGGGCATGGTGCGATATTGATCCATCTTTTTTAACTGTGCTTTGGCCCGCTTTCATGAAGGTCGATATCAGGAAGAGCCCTCCTAGATATGTGATGTGTATTGTCGTATTATATCCGGGAAGAGAGAGAGAGAGGCGAACCAGGGTCGGGTTGGCTAGGTGGATGTGGTATGTAGAATGTTTGTGAACTCTAGGTTGTCAGCGTTTTGCCGAAAACGCTCACAGCGATTCTCGGCTGGCCTGGACTCACTGTTTGAGTGGCTGATGTTGACTTGTACTTCCGAGTAAGGCTTGCGATACAAGGCTGGACTCTTGGCCACACTTTATGAACCTCGGGCCTGGGAGGCGGGAGGGGGGCGAGGGAGGGGGGGACACAAGACAAGGGGAGTCAAGAAACCAGACAGGACCCGGAACTTATAATTTTACTCCATAATCGTTGCACTGCCGCGGTCCGCACAGCACTGTGCGTCGAGATATAGGCGAGGCGACAAGGCGTCGTCCCTCTACAGACGGCTACCACACGGTACCTGGGCGTCCGGCGGCTCTGGGGGGACTTGGCATAAGGGTGGCGTAGGCTGAGCCGATAACCTACCGAAGCTTGGAGAGGCATTTTAAGACTCGTCCGCGCCAGGAGCCACTCAGACACGTTGGTTGTGATGCGTGATGCGTGGCCAGAAGTGACGCGGGCCTCTTTCGGTCGTGAACACTTCCAAACTCCCAAAAAGGGAGCTGCACATGCATGCGGAGAACCCTGGAATTCGGTGAGCGTGCCCGTTGCCAATGGCCAGACTGCTGCTGGAGCAAACCGAGCAACGAGGTGCGGGTGAAGTTCAGCTCCCCCCTGAGATGGTGTGTTGCTTCTCCTTCTGACAGGCTCGGCCCCGCTCCGCTTCCCAGGACGGGGCAAAAAGTACAATTCCCGAAACGGGATGGGAGTGGCAGCTGGACGTTTTGTAAGATAATGCCGGGCCGGAACTTGCGTGGGATACGCCCAATCAAAGAGGGATTTTAGCCCCAGCCTTGCCGCTACCAGCTGTACTAACATTCCTGAGAAGAACCCCAAAGCTGTATAAAGACCATGGCTAGCATCTCACCGTCAATCCTGCCCCATGCCGCCTCAGTCTCTCGGATGTTTGCACAAGATGTCGGATCATGTTCCAAACACTGAACCGCTCCCTTGTTCTGCCTCGGTTTGCCCCCCCTGACACATGAGGAAGAGAGAGATATTATTGCTAACGTCTGGCAGGCGACGATACAGGAGGAAATCTACCTTCATTCACTCTCTGTATACGAAAAGCCGAGGTTGGCTGCCCAGTCCCTGAAATATCTTTTAAAACCCCTGAGCCACGGGCCCGGACAGCCCCATTATATCTCAGTTTACCTCTTGTCCCTGCTATTGGACTACAGTCTGGAAGACCTCAAGCAATGGGCAGCCGCCAAGGATTGCTTTGTCAAGCTGGTCTGGATCTTCCCCGGCTGGGACCATCCCAAGTTCACGACCCGTCACCTCCTCGTCACGGACACCGCGGCGCCGGGCCACGTGAGCTTCAGCGGGGGGCTCGACTGGGCCGTGAACATGTGGAAGGTGGCACAGCGGCTCCAGCCGCCGAGCTGCCCCTTCCTCGGGCCCCAAAGCGCGCCCCGGTGGAATCTGGGCCGGCCCCGCGGCGACCCCAAGCTATCTCTCCCGCCGGTCCCCTTCATGGATATGGACAAATGGAAGCCGGAGTACCCCGCTCTGGCATACCCCGTAGGATACCTTCCCGCCGGACCGGCAGACGACGAGGTCTCCGAGTTCTCGGAGCCGGAGCCGGGCCATGCGGACACGGCCTCGGTGGGCTCCAGCAGCGGCCTCTTCTCCGAGCCCTCGGAGGCGGCGGACTCCAACTTCGGGGAGGACTCATGGAGCAAGGACCGAGGAGGGGGCAGCAGCCGAGCCGAGCGGCTGCTGCAGAGGGAAGTCCTGCGCAGGAGGATGAGGGACGCAGAGGCCCTGTACGCCCGGAACGGAGACCCGAGCGGCTTGCTGGCGGTGCTGTCAACCGCGTCGCAGTCGCCGGACAATTGGGACTCAGCCGGGATGCCGAGGTTCTGAGGCTCTGTTTGGATATGTTGAACAGGGGTATATTACGTTGGAGGTTGGTGGTCTTGAAAACGAGGACGATATAACTATCCGGGTGCTACCAAGGTTGCAAGTGGTCCGGAAAGGTCATGCAACGGTGGATATGACGGCCTGTCTTTTCTTTCTTTTTCTTTCCTTTTTCTTTTAGGGTCTGTTCTTTGCACTGGAGTTTAGCCAGTACTTATTCACGTCAGTCTTTTCCTATTGCTGATACGTTTCTCTGCTGAATTCTGTTTTCTGCTTCACTAACTATGTTCTGGCTCGTTATGTCGTGGCTCACTATGCGGCAACAATTTTAGGAGGGTGCTGAGAGATGACATCTCAGCCGTGGAGAGGGAAGAGTCGTGGCCATGCTCTTTGCTCACAACCGACTGTCACACATGACAGATTAGGTGGCCCTTGACACAAACATCCTTCTAGAGACATCTCTGTCAAAGGGGCGGGGGGTGGCATTGATGGCAGTTGACGCGTTCTCACTCTGGAGGGAACAGCAGTCCGTTTGTTTGGTTGCCGTGGCACAACAGATAACAACCATTCCCTTCTTTTTGCTGGCTAATCACTCAACGAAGCAGCTAGTTATTGATCGTCAAAGTTTCTATGCATTGTCACAACTAGCGACTCAACTGATACTTGTACAAGCCCTCGCAACATACAACACTCGTCATCATCTCACCACCGACATGCAACATGCATCCCCTCTTGCCGTTGACCAAACACAAACACAATACCGGCAAGGGTCCCAAGACCAAAAGGTAAGTAAACCCAGCCCCAAACCTGGGCAGGCTTCATTTTTTATGCCATCAAAACAAAAACGGGGGGAATCTCTATGATACTAATAGGATCGAGGTAATTAAAGCTCGTCATGCGACTCGGGCTCGTCCTCCTCGCCACCAGCCTCGCCACCAGAGTACAGCTTGCTCGTGATCGGGTACGCCACGTTGCTGAGCTTCTCCTTCTGCTCCTCAAAGTCCTCAGCGGAGGCAGTAGCGGCTGTAGTCTAGTTAGCACTTTGTTACTGGAAAACCAGAGGAAGGGAGCAAGCTTACCGTTCTCCTCGAGCCAGTCCTGGGCCTCCTTGACGGCGTCAAGGATGGTCTCCTTGTCCTCCTCAGAGACCTTGCTGCCCATGCCCTCCTCGTCGTTGACCTGGTTCTTCAGGCTGAAGGCATAGTTCTCCAGGCCGTTGCGAGCCTCAATGCGCTCACGGGTAGCCTTGTCCTCCTCGGCATACTTCTCAGCCTCGGCGACCATGCGGTCGATCTCCTCCTGGGTGAGACGGCCCTTGTCGTTGGTGATGGTGATGGACTCGCCCTTGCCGGTGCCCTTGTCGTGGGCGGAGACCTTGAGGATTCCGTTGGCATCGAGCTCGAAAGAGACCTCGATCTGGGGAACGCCGCGGGGGGCGGGGGGGATGCCGGTGAGCTCGAACTTGCCGAGGATGTTGTTGTCCTTGGTCATGGAACGCTCACCCTCGTAGACCTGGATGAGGACCACGGGCTGGTTGTCGGCGGCGGTCGAGAAGATCTGGCTCTTGCGGGTGGGGATGGGGGTGTTGCGGGGGATGAGCTTGGTCATGACACCGCCAGTGGTCTCGATACCGAGGGTGAGCGGGTTGACATCCATGAGCACGATCTCCTCAGTACCCTCCTCGCCGCTAAGCACACCAGCCTGGACGGCGGCACCGAAAGCGACAGCCTCGTCGGGGTTGATACCCTTGCTGGCCGGCTTGCCGAAGAACTCCTCGATGAGGGACTGGACCTTGGGGATACGGGTGGAACCACCAACGAGGACGATATCATCGACTTCGCTCTTGCTGACCTTAGCATCCTTGAGAACCTGCTCGACAGGCTTCAGGGTCTTGCGGAAGAGGTCGCCGTTGATCTCCTCGAACTTGGCGCGGGTCAGGGTCTCGCTGAAGTCCTTGCCCTGGAAGAAGGCCTCGATTTCGATGCGAGTGGACATCTGGCTCGACAGAGTGCGCTTCGCCTTCTCGGCCTCACGCTTGAGCTTGCCCATGGCCTTGGCGTCAGAAGTAACATCGACGCTGTTCTTCTTGTTGAAGGTCTTGGCGAAGTGGCTGATGAGACGCTGGTCGAAATCCTCACCACCAAGATGGGTGTCACCGGCGGTAGCCAGGACCTCGAACACACCCTGGTCGATGGACAGGAGCGAGACATCGAAAGTACCACCACCAAGGTCGTAGACGATGATCTGGCGCTCGCCCTGGGTCTTGTCCAGGCCGTAAGCGATAGCGGCGGCGGTGGGCTCGTTGACGATACGGAGAACGTTGAGACCAGCGATCATGCCGGCATCCTTGGTAGCCTGACGCTGGTTGTCGTTGAAGTAGGCGGGGACGGTAACGACGGCGTGGGTGACCTTCTTGCCAAGGTAGGCCTCGGCGGTCTCCTTCATCTATCGGGTTGTTAGCCACTGTCACAAATGTGTCAAGGCGTGCAATGCGCAAGCCAACGTACCTTGGTGAGAACCATGGCGGAGATCTCCTCGGGGGTGAAGGTCTTCTCAGAGCCGCCAACCTCGACCTTGACAACCGGCTTCTCATCCTTGGAAACAACCTTGTAGGGGAAGTGCTTGATATCGGTCTGCACGTCCTTCTCCGAGAACTTGCGGCCGATCAGACGCTTGATGTCGTAGATGGTCTTGAACGGGTTGGCCGCGGCCTGGTTCTTGGCGGCGTCACCGACGAGTCTCTCATCCTCGGTGAAGGCGACGTAAGAGGGGGTGATACGGTTTCCTGGGGGTGGACTGTCAGCTGTGGCCGTTGATGTGAGGTGCCCGTGATATTGGACGTACCTTGATCGTTGACCAGAATCTCGACCTTGCCCTTTTGCATCACACCAACACAGCTAAGTGCATGTTAGCACCGTGTCCTTGCCCCTGTGTGTGCTCCACTCCTGCGCCATCCTTGACACTGTGTCCTCAACCGCCCACACCAGACAGAGCGGAATAGCGCAGATGGTGGGGGAGTCGAAGTTCGCGATCGAGGTGACTTACGAGTAGGTGGTGCCCAGATCCTGTTAAAACCGTGTTAGTTCTGCTTGCAATTGGTTCCCAGCGTCTATTTTGGAGTGAACCTACAATACCAATGACGGTGCCGTACTCAGAGACATCGTCCGCCTTGACTTGCTGGACGAAGCCCAGAGAGAAGAGGAGGGCAAAGAACCCAATGAAGCTCAGGCCGAGGGCCCAGCTCCGCGATCGACTCTCCATGTCGAAAGCTGTGTGGTAAAAAAGAAGAGAACAAACGACAACCCTCTTTGCGCTACTGCTTGCAGGCGGTGAGAAGGGTGTTAAGAAATGAAGCCGCGCTCGCCTCGAACCGTTCCTACCGGGCTAATGGTCAGGAAGTAGATGAAGAGGAACTCGAGGATTCCGGCGTCGTCGAGTGAGGTGGTTGGTGAAACGGGAGAGGGAAGTTGGAGCGGAAGCAAGTTCAGCCTTTTGAAGGTTGGCTCCTTGTTTTTTTGGGGCAACCGGAAATCTGTCCTTATCCTGGCTTAAGCCACCTCGCGCTTCCGCACTGGCCCATTCGTCGCCTTCTGAATTGGGGCAACTCACTGGCCCCACTGTGCGGGACTAACGAGGTCGAGCGACCAACGGAGCGTCTCAACCGACCGCAAGTTTAACAAGGCTGGCGGTACACGGTACATGCTACCCCTGGCGTTGGGGATCTGCATGACCATTGAGCACGGAGAACAGCTTGCATCTTTACTCAGCTCTCCCTCCCGACAAACGACCAGTAGTCACTTCGCAATTCTTTTTGACATGAGAAATCTTTGATTATTTTTGGAATTATCTCGACACTGCAGCCACGGGATATTTAGTACGCGTATAAATTACTTACTAGTTCAATTCAAAGTCTTCCATTCTTCCTTTGCGTGACAGGATCCCCATCTTCCGGCGATCGGGTTTCCAGCGACTTCCATCTCCAAATCGGGGACAAGCAAACGGCGGGAATGCGGTGGGCTTGCCCCGCAGACAATTGCCCATAGGGCGGCAGGGCGGGTCGTTGGGCCCTGCAAGTGGCACTGAACCCCCTGTTTGTGCCAGAGTGGCCTTTTTCACTGGTCATGGGCGGTCTGGCCTGTGGCGTTCCGCCTCCCTGGGGAGAGACAGTGTTTCATCGTTCAGAACGACAAAGAGAACTTCCATACGAAGTACAGAGTAAGGATTGGAACTCAAAATGGAAGCATGAGAAAAGGACAGATCTCAATTTCATGACCGATGCGGGTATCCGAAGCAAGAAACCTATGCTGCCACCACATTTACGAAGTCCTGCGTGCAAACGAACATCGGGTAGAAGCGGGACCAGTTGAAGCGAAAACAGTGCTAAGTTCCATGATGCATGTTGCACCCTTACCCCACGCTCCCTTTTAAGTACAGACACATATTGCCGAAGAGCCTCAATTCTCGTGACCACCTCTATTCCAACAACCCGGCAGCCACCGTCTGTCCGCCGCTCCTCAAAACCACTCTCTGTCCCGCCTCTAGCGGCACCTGCGACTCCAGCTTGACCACAATCCTCGCCACCATGCCAGGTTTGATGATCTTGGGGTTTTTCTTGACCACCGCCCCTGTCGCCTTATCCAAGAGGGCCGGGATGGCCTCGATCTTCCCGGCTTGGTTCAGCCGGCCCCTGTGAACTTCCACCGGCATGGGCATTAGAATGTCAAAGGCTAGCGCCTTTAGTTTGAACGTGTCGGCCTTGGGAACTGGTTTCGCCGGATCGCAGATGATGTCTCCGTCCCGGACGTGGATGGGATCGATATGGCTGAGGTGGAGCACGACATTTTGACCAGCGACTGCCCAGTCAACTGCAGCCTCGTTGGCAAGGATCGACTTGACATATGCCTTTTGTCCGCTCGGTTGAACGAGGAGTGCATCGCCCATCTGCACAGATCCCGCCTCGATGCGTCCCGAAACTGTTACAGGACTCTGCATGGTGCGGTACACCTCAAAAACAGTCATCCGCAAAGGTTTCGCCAGCGCCCGCGCGCTTGGCTCTGAGTTCTCCAACTCTTCCACTAGCGTCGGGCCGGTGTACCATGATGCTGCCAGATCGGAGGACCTTTGAACCAGGTTGTCACCGTTCAGGCCAGAAACGGGGACGAAGGCCATGTTCTTGTGCTGAAAGTTTGCCGTGGACAGGAAACCAGCCATTTGGTCCTTGATCTCGCTGAACCTCTCCTGAGACCAGGCAACTGTGTCCAACTTGTTGATGGCCACAATGATGCGCGATACTCCCATGCTGCGAATTAGCAGAGAATGTTCCTTAGTTTGCCCCTTTAGCCCGGATTCGAAGGCATCAACGCTGGCGTCGATGACTAGAATGGCAAAGTCCGCCTGGCTAGCGCCGGCGATCATGTTATAGATGTATTCCGCGTGGCCTGGCGCGTCGAGAATGGTAAAAGCTGTGTGTTCTGTCTCAAAACGTCGGGTGGCGATGTCCATGGTTATCCCCCTGCTCCGTTCTTCTGGACGTTGATCCAGAACCCAGGCGAGGCCAAAAGAACCTTTGCCTTCGGTTCTCGCCTCTCTCTGGAGCTTTTCGACTGTGCGCTGGTCGACCACCTTGAGATCGAAGAGCAACCGGCCCATCATGGTGCTCTTCCCGGCATCTACGTGCCCGACCACCACGAAGCTGGCACTTTTCTTGGGCTTGCTCTTTTCCAACTCGGAGAGGACATCGAGATTTCGGCTCTTGGGAAGTGGCGCATCGTTAATCTTTAGTCCTTCCATCCCCGTTGTGGCGGCGTCTGTGGATGCCGTGCCCTTCTTCTTAGGCTGGGCTGCAGCTGTCTTGGGTCCAGCTGTATCGGCTATTAGTATCCACGTTAGCGCTTGCTCTTCAAGAGCGAACCTTTCATCGATTTGGCCTTGGCTTGGGCCGTGAGAACGACGTCATCCGGACTGGGCTGGGCGAAGGTATCTCGAACAGACTGGGGCAGGTTCGGGTAGAGAATGACTTCCTCTTCGTAGTTGTCCGAATCATCTCTTTTCCGCTTACGGACGTCGAACCAGTCGGTAGGGGCCGACGGCTTGTTCGGTGGGTTTCCCTTGTTGTCCGCTCCATATCCACACCCAAACCCGTATAAAGGGTCGCTTTCCATATCATTCGGCGGGCGAGAGGCGGATGGATTCCGACAGAGGAGTTGAGCAAATGCAGATGGTTCGGCCATGATTGCTGCCCGCTCGTCTTCAGATGCCGTTGGCTTGGAGACGCCGGGTTGAGAACCGAAAAAGCTCTGCCCCAGCGGCGATTCGTCGTCTGGCACATCCATCACCATGCCCAGATGATGCGATGCTTCGGGCTGCGCTGGCTTAGAGCCTAATATAGGCGCAATGCCCTCAGCAGTACATTCCGAGGTCCTGGGACGCTTGCTAGATGGCTCAGCCAGTGGAACGTTCTCCTTCCCAGCCGACGTGTGTTCCATCGAGAGACTTTCCACCTGCATCCGCGTTTGTTCCGCTTTATTGTCGATAGCCTTCTTTTCCTCGGCTTTCTTTTTACGCGCAGCAGCAAGGGCTTGAAGCTTGGACATCTTTGGTGGCGCCCCTGATCCTCCGAGCAGCCCACCACGAGGCATCTGTGGTGCGATGAAGGTTGTCTCTCTATGCTTCGGGATGTTGCCCCACGGCATATCTTGGAAGAGATGCGAAGTCGACGTCCCGTGCTCAAAGGACCCGGCAGTGGAAGACGATGGTGTCCTGGCACTTGATGGGTGTTCTGCGGGTTGACGCCATGATACCAAGCTTGGAGAATATGTCTGCATTGCTGAGAGGCCGGCGTCTGTCAGGTCCAGATACTTCGCCGCCCAGTGCGATGGAACGCCAAGTTCAAGGGGAAGGCCGGCCGCTGCGGTATCAATTGCACGAGTGACGGACTTACCATTGGGTGGTTGTACTGCCGATTTTGTTGCTTTGGGGCGCGGGTTGACAAATTTGGAAATGAGATAGGCGACCGACTTGTCGACATCGTAATAATAATGCCACAAGGCCTCCTCGATCTGGGCGACGGTGACCTTGGAAACCTCAACACCGAGGGCCGCCTGGACATCGGCGGTGCCTTGGTTCATCAACGCCCGGTCCTCCGGACTGAGCTCGTCCTCCTCTTCCGAATAACCCTCGTACTCGTCCACGGCATCCCCATAATCCAAGTTGCGAATGTACTGATGGCGAGACATGTTGGCGATTGATGAGGACGGATGAAAATGTTGCGGTGAGCGAATACGTGGAGTAGGTTAGGGGTTCGGTGTTGAAGATATTGTGCTGTGCGTCTGCCGGAAGGTGAGCGAAGCGTCTGCTTCCATGGTAGGTAGGTAAGTAAAAGAGAAAAGGATGAGAACGTTGAAAGTGTGACGACGCACCAACCTATGTACACGTTCCGCAACTCCAATTCGGCAATGATCCGAAAACTTTAACCAAGCGGCCGATAAATGTTGTTGCAAAATTCAAACCGAGAATTCCTGCCCTAGATGTACTGTACAGCGGTTGACCGAAGCTTTGAGTTTGGTTGGAGTAGGGGCGGATCACAGTGCTGGAGTTCGATGCCTGGTGTTGCGGGGCAGCAGCCAGGGCCCTATCTCAGTGCTCAGACGAGTATCCTGGCCTTTTTAGCTGAGGCAGCTACACGCCAATGGGCACCAGCCGATGAGAATTTTCCATTTACTGCCGCAAAGGGCTAGTGCAACAAACTTACAGATAAAATTCAGTAAGGCGTCCTCGCACGAAAAAGAGCCCTGGGTGTCAGCACTCCGTGAAATGGATAGGGAGTGTGAGTTGTGCCAGGTTTACCCCACCATTGTGGTTGGAAATGACTCCATCAGGCTAAGGCGGTGAGGGCCTAAATCGCGGGGCAGCATGCGGGTCGACCGCCATAACCAACCACAGCACCCTGCCGGACTTAGATTCTGCCGTGGTCCGCCTGAAATCAACGGGTGTGGTGCCTCAATTTTTTGAGCTTAGGAGATACAACAGTGTAGAGCTCCAAGCGGACCCCTGGTGCCTGTTCCATCGACACGATAATTTGGACTTCGACCTTAAAGCTCCGTTTTTGTTTTTCTCGGACAAGCTTCGCGCAACTCACGGGATAAACAGCAGCAAAAATGGCAATGAGTATGTCTCCGGTGACCCCCGCATCAAGCGCAAAAACGGAGGGCTAACAGGCGGACCCTTAGATTTGGATTTGGCGAACGGTATGCGGCAACACCTATATCTCGCCAGGGCTCGGTCAGCTCGCTAACCAGGATATGTGATAGCCTCCGTGATACAGGACGAGCAGGGCCGGCCGTTTATCGTCGTTAGAGAGTCGGTCACATGCTTGCCCTCCCCCCCTTGCTCTCCCCCGCTAACCCCTCCTATAGCCAGGGCAAGAAGAAGCGCCAGTACGGCAACGAGGCCGTCAAGTCCCACATTCTCGCCGCTCGCACCGTTGCCAACATCATCAAGACTTCATTAGGTCCCCGCGGGCTCGACAAGATCCTCATCTCCCCCGACGGCGACATCACAGTAACAAACGATGGCGCCACTATTCTGCAGCAGATGGAGGTTACGAACCATGTTGCGAAGTTGTTGGTAGAGCTCTCCAAGTCACAGGACGACGAAATCGGCGATGGGACAACGGGCGTGGTCGTTTTGGCCGGTGCTCTCTTGGAACAGGCGGCCGAGCTCATCGACAAGGGGATCCACCCCATCCGGATTGCCGACGGGTACGACCAGGCCTGCGACATTGCTGTGGCCGAGCTCGACAAAATTTCCGACGTGATCGAGTTTAGCAAGGAGAAGACGGAGAACTTGGTCAAGGTGGCAAGGACAAGCTTGGGAAGCAAGATCGTTTCGAAGGCGCACGACCAGTTCGCCAACATTGCTTTGGACGCCGTCCTCTCTGTTGCCGACTTGGAGCGCAAGGATGTCGACTTCGAGTTGATCAAGGTGGATGGCAAGATGGGCGGCGCTCTCGAGGACACCATCCTCGTAAAGGGCGTCATTGTCGACAAGGACTTCTCACACCCTCAAATGCCCTCCGAGGTGCGGGACGCCAAGATCGCCATCCTGACGTGCGCCTTCGAGCCGCCCAAGCCCAAGACGAAGCACAAGCTCGAGATTAACAGCGTGGAGGAGTTTAAGAAGCTGCAAACCTACGAGCGTGAAAAGTTTATCGAGATGATCCAGCAAATAAAAGATGCCGGTGCGAACCTGGCCATTTGCCAGTGGGGTTTCGACGACGAGGCCAACCACCTTCTCCTCCAAAACAACCTTCCCGCGGTAAGGTGGGTGGGTGGCCCGGAGATCGAACTCATCGCAATTGCGACCAACGGCCGGATCGTTCCTCGGTTCGAGGACCTCAAGCCGGAGAAACTCGGAACGGCGGGTATTGTCCGAGAGATGACGTTCGGTACAACAAGAGAGAAGATGCTCGTCATCGAGGAGTGCGCCAACACGCGGGCGGTCACCGTCTTTGTCAGGGGGAGCAACAAGATGGTGAGTCTCCTAACCTGTCTGCCTGTTACCAAGGACGCCTATCTAACTTTCCTCAGATCATCGACGAGGCCAAGCGCTCCCTCCACGACGCCCTTTGCGTCGTCCGCAACCTGGTCCGCGACAACCGCGTCGTCTACGGCGGTGGCTCAGCCGAGATTGCTTGCAGCCTAGCAGTCGAGGACGCCGCCGTCAAGACCCCCGGTCTGGAGCAGTACGCGATGCGTGCATTTTCCGAGGCTCTCGATTCTATCCCCATGGCTCTAGCCGAGAACAGCGGTCTCAACCCGATCGCGACCCTCGCCGAGGTCAAGAGCCAGCAGGTCAACGACCCCTCCGGCCGCGGTCGCCTAGGCGTCGACTGCATGAGCCGCGGGTCCAACAACATGAAGGAGGCGTTTGTGATTGACCCGCTCATCGGCAAGAAGCAGCAGCTCATGTTGGCCACCCAGCTGTGCCGCATGGTGCTCAAGGTGAATAATGTTATCGTGGCTGGGTCAGGCGAGGACGACTTCTAGGGATAGACATATAAAAGGGTCTTTGGACAGGGGTAACTGTCTCGGGATAGCTAGATACCTACCTGTGGGCGTCGATACATGCATGAATTAATGTATGAAATCAGAATGACACATACGGGTCCTATCATGTGGCGCAGATGCAACCGTTTCTGCATGCAATACTCGGGTATACAACTCGGGGAAGCCGTGTCTCGTTGAGATTCTATACACGCTGAAGGTGGAGAGCATGTAAGAGAAGAAAGAAGCGCTTTTGATTTCCTCCAGTACAGCCAGGCCTGTCTGTCTAAGAGGCCTGAAATCTGCCTGGTTCAGAAAAGTACACTGCCGCTAGCTGAATCACACGCCATTAAAGGTATTTGTTTGGTGCTCCGGCACAAATTCGCTCACATCAGGCTCCAAATGAATAGCACCTCCTTCCCATCCCTGCCACTCCACCCCCTTTCCGCTGCAAATTGCCGAGAAACGAATGCCAATGCTGATGCGAAGAGAAAGGAATCCTAGATAGGCGCTCAGATCGAAACTGAAATCATCGCTTCCCATGGCCCTGGCCCTTCACATCCTTCCCTGCCTGGTTAACTTCCTTATCAACCCCCCCTCTCCATCCGCCCACCCTTCCAACCCGCACACACAACAGAAAGGAAGGGAAAAGCCTCAAGCAAACCCAAACCCCTGCGCATTCTCCAAAGCCATCCCCAACCGCTGCCTCAGCATCTCCTTATCCTTATACTCGGGCAGCAGCAGGGTGCCGTAGCAGGTGTACGAGGTGGGCAGCCTGCCGGCGGGGTCGTCCTCCTCGCCGTTGCGCTGGATGATGAACATGAGGTTCTTGACGCCGCCGACGGGGACGCGGTCGCTGGCGGTGACGAACTCGAGCAGCTTGCGCTTCATGGCGTCGTCGTAGCGCTTCACGACGCTCCAGAAGTCCTTGACGGTGCGGTGCGACGCGTCCCACCCCACGTAGCGCGCGTGCCGCTTCAGCTCCGCCACGTCGATCTCCTGCACCCCCTCCACCACCGACTGCAGCAGGTTGGGCGTCAGGAGCGAGAGCGACTTGGGGTGCAGGCATGCGTGGAACCCGCGCGCGAAGGCCTCGTACTGCGGCCGCACCGACACGTCGGCTAGGTAGCGGATGTAGTCGGAGACGTAGGCGTTGCGGTTGGCGCTGGTGACGAGCGGGGCCTCGTCCTCGGTGGGGTTGCCTTGGTGTGGCGGCGGGTGAGAGGAGGATCGGGAGGTTGTCTTGGCGAACTGCGGCCAGAATTCGTCCTTGCGGGTATGATGGTGGTGGTGGTGGTGGTTGCTGTTTAAGGGCGTTTTCATTTCTCTGGTGATGTGCTGCCCAAAGGCCGAAACCGAGAACTCGTAGGTGCGGGCAAAGACGTCTTCTACAGCACCGTCCTTTTCGTCCCACTCGAGCAGCGAAGTAAGGCCGCTTGCGAGGTCAGGCCAACCGTCGGCAATGTGGTGCAGCTCGGTGACAGGTTCGCCCAGGAGCTTTCGGTAGAGGGCTCTTGGAAATGTAACTGGGAGCGTCAGGCCGTTGTACACGGCGAGCGATACCAGCAGACCGATCAACTCGAACTTCCATTCGTCCTCCATCGAGCCCGGCAGGAACCAAGTCATGCGGGTGCGCTCGTCGACAGTGAAGGCGCCGTGGTCAGGATTGAGAGCTTCTCCGATGGCCAAACGGAAAAATTCTTGTTGCACGCCACCGGAATCAAAGCCCTCTTCCCCGGTTGCCTCTCCCAGGTGGACCTTCAAGGGCTTGAGCAGCTCGCGTTCTTCCCGACGCCATAACTGGTCGAGCGCGTCCTCTAGAACGGTGCCCCTCCGAATGTCAAGGATCAAATACTTGGAGCCCGCAGGCCCCAACCGTTCCACCAAGACGTCCTTATGATGCTGGGTGAGACCTGCCCGCTGAGCGATCACGGTGATTTTATCATGAAAAGAAGTAGACTCCTCAAAAGCACGACTCATGCGCGAGAAATTGATTGATCGGAAGTACGACACCAGTGTCGATGGGCTGAAAATGTAGGGGAAGTCTAGGAGGTGGAGGCGTTGCCGCGTCGGGGTGTGAGACAGCCACGAGATGGGCATTTTTATCGTGTCAAGCCGCTCCGTGAAATAGTCGGACCGAAATTGGGCATCGGCTAAGAGGAGATCCTGTCGTCTCTCATCTGTGACGGACATCAGAATTGCCTCGCCCTAAAACAAAGGGGTGGGGGAAGGGGGTAGGGGTGGTTAACTTACGCATGGCTTCGATCAGGGCGAGAGCACCGCCGAAGGGACCGTCCCCAGGAACCTCGGGGGAGCCGTCCCAATCGTTCAGCATGACAGCCCGCGCCCAATCAAGTAAAAGAATCGGGACACGAGTTTCGTGCAGGGCGCGGTCGGGGAAGGAGAAGTCTAGCACATAGACCGCGTCCATGTTCAGGAAATCTAGTTGCGAGAAGAGGGGGGCTAGCACATCCTGTTCGCCGTGTTCGTGGGGTCCCATGGTCGACTCGCTCAGCGCGTCAAAGCGGCGGCGCGTGGTGATGGCGGCGAATAACCTTCGAGCTAGCCTCAGAGCCATATCATGGCTAAAAGCATCCTCATATTGCACGCACAATTCTGTCGGCTGCCTTGCTACCGCGCCGCTACCCGCAAGACTCAGGCCATGAGATCGAATCCTCGACATGTCGAACAGCTGTCGCGAGTCGCTAACCAAGGGCGCGGCAGCGATCAAGGCATGCAAGCATATCGACATGAGACGCCCCGCCTCCAAGTTTGAGAGTGACTGCCCGCTTTTGGGGAATACCTTTGTCGACGGCGACCTCAGGGTTTGGAGCGATCTGGGAGGCGCGAAAAGACTAGCGGCGGCCATCCACAAGCTGTGAAATACCAGGCTAGGCGAAACTCGCGTCATCCTGAGCATGCAATACCAGAGCGTCTGCGAGTCGTACAGCTGCCCCTTTTTGGTGAAGGATCGGAGCGCTAGCTGCGGGTCGCTGAGGACGTAGAAGAGCGTTTGATCAATGAAAAGCTTCCACTCCAGCCTCGCATTGGTGGAGGATCCCCGGGCTGCCCGATGCTTCCGTCTAGCTAGCTTCCCTTGCCCCGAGTGTCGGTTGTGGAATCTGTCAACCGACCGAGGTTCGAGTATATGTTCTTCAGCGGTCCCATCCTCTTGAATGACATCGCAAACGAAGTCGACAACTTCCGCGGTCAACCTAGTTAGCGCTTGGGGAAGCAGTGCCTCATCCTCCGATTCCGAGTCCTGGCCCGTGGCTGCACCTGAGCCGTCGCTGTACGATTTCTCAGAGACGACGCCTGACGAAGTACTGGGAGGCTTCGGGCTATGTGGTCCACCGTTTCCCGCACTGCCGATTGCGACACGACCGGCCCTTGGCCTGAGATCGATGGTTTTCGGGGGAGGCATCTTCTCCAGGGAGACGTCGTCGAAAAAGCCTGCCGACGAGAGCTGAGATATGGGCCGTGTGATGTTGGAGCCAGCCGCTTTGGAAATGCGTGATCCTTTCTCGGCACCACCTCCAGTGGTGCGAGGGGATCTCAATAGAGCTGCGTAGGGTTCTTCAGCAGAAGTGTCTTGGGCATACGGGTCGATCGACAGCTGTCGCTTCGGTTTCGGCCCGGATGAAGTGCGGACCTTCGCGTTCGAGTTACGGCGCGCATTTGCCGCACGAGGGCTGGATTGGGGATCCTGTTGCGGTTGGCTGTCTTTTACACTGCGGGTTTCCTTCTCGGCCTGGCCATGCCCAGGTAGGTCAGGTCTGCTGGTCAAGTCCCCGTTCGGCAGTACAGGCAAGACCGGTGACTCTTGCAACTCCATGCGTGCGCTCTGCCCAACGCCATTCTCTAACCCGGATTCGTCTTTAGGAGGGTTCGGATGTTCGGCGTCAGACTGGGCCCTGCCGCCGAAGGCCCGTGTCTTGTTGTGCATATCTTCGAGCGCCGCCGGGGTCAACCACTCGAGCATTTTGAAGGCAACGGTGCCAATGACATTCGCGGCAAAAGAACGATGGTCCTTGCTAACCGGCTTCTCCGCGATCGTGAAACCGGGGCGCTGAGCTTGCTTGTCAGAATCCACCCCAGCCTGGGCGCCTGCGGCTTTTTTATTCTCTTTACTATCCCCATTTAAAGTACCACTGCGGCTCCGAGAAAACGATGGTGCTGCGCCATTACCATCGCCCGTCTTGGGCGAGCCGGGTGGGTTGCGGAACGGCAGGGCCTTCGGGGAAGGATGAGGGACACCGTCATCTCGTGGCCGGGAATTGGGATTTGGCACGAAGACCAGGGAGGCTACTGCAGCGGGAGGCGTCTTGGGGGGTCGCAAATTTGGACAGAGGCCGGTTTCCGGGTTGTCCTGACTCGCGAGGTATACGGCTAACGATCTTGCGCTCGTTGTGTTGTACTTGCGGGTTGGAGCTCGACCTGCGATCCTTTTCCGGCAAGTGAAGCACGTGGAGGTTGTGCATTGTTCAACGCCACAGCCTTCGCGGAGCTGAACGATGTACCTGCGCAGGTGGTTAGTGTCAATCGAAACGAACAGAGCCGGGAGATCAGGCCTGGATTACTTTTGCACAAGCTGTTGGAAGTTGTGGCGGCGGCTGGCCTTATGTATCGCATAAATGCGCTTCGGGTTGTCGATGTCCTCAACCAAATCCTTCAACTCGCTGGGCGCATCCCACGGCAGCCTCGCGAAGTGTGCCTCTTCCCAGAGACCGGCCAGAAGGTCCAGGTCATCGCTATTCTTGTCTCTGCGACTGCCGGCACTAACTGGCCGCATGGTGTCTCGCGTCATGACATGGATGGGCCGAATAAGTCGAGCTTAGCGGAGAGGGTTTCGGGGATTGAGTAGGCCTTGAGCTTTCGGGTTGTTCGGAGGGAGGTGGGACGTTGGGGCGTTGGGACGGTGGTAAGAGATGCAATGCCGAGTGGTCAAAGTCTCCAGGTCGGTAGCTTGATTTTCCGCGTTGGGGATCCTTAGGTTCGTCGTCAAAGCGGCAACATCGGTGATGCTGCGCTCGGTGAGTTGCGTTGCCGCCGTTCGGGGCGAGGTTTCCACAAGCCGGGCTGCAGCACGCGGGCTGGACCCACTGATATTCTGGATCTCGGCTTGGCGGGGCGTCTGGGCACTGGGCTCCTGGGCCAAGTCCCGTCTCGGTGGGGTCGCTTACCAAACCGAAGGAAAGCTTCCATTCGACGTGTGTCCCGTGACTCACTTCCAACACCCAACGTCTGCGGCGGGATGTCATTATTTCCACCATGCTCGAAAGTTTCAGATTAGTTTGTTGGTGGGATTCTATGCGGCTACCTACTCATCGTACAACAAAACATTCAAAGAAATCCACGTACAAATCAACTAACTTGTCTCTTCCTCATTTTCAGACTCGCACTGTGGATCCGTACCGCGAGCGAACTGCCCGAGCGAACCGACCAGGGCTTCCCGCATGCCAAGCAAATGTGACGTCCACAGTTGAACCCCGCCATAAACCGCTTGCCACCAAAAAAATACTACGAGAGTACTTAACGCCGCCTCTCCTGTTGCTCTTTCCAGCATTATTCAGCAGGCATATTCTGTTCTTCCCTTCACATAGTAGAACACGTGCGTGAAGTGGTTTAAAACTCACTGGCACAACCCGTCCTCAAGGTACTACCTTACCTACCTACATATCCAGGATACAATTCCACAACCTTCAACAAACCGAACTCCACGGGCTTAGCCATCTCAGAAGCCATGGCAACGATTTCAAGCGGGAGAACTGCTCCTAGCAGCGACATTCCGACGAATACTTCGCATCCGTATACTTGCAACACATGTCAAGTCGCCTTCCGCAACAGCGACCTTCAGAGGGGACACATGCGCAGCGATTGGCAGTAAGTAACCCTGCCCTGTTGAACGATGTTCTCCGTGCTCAGACGCTTACCTTCGTACACAGCCGATACAACCTCCAGCGCCGTGTTGCTACGCTACCGCCCATCTCGTCCGAAGTTTTCACTGAGAAGGTTCTCCAGGCTCGGGCTGAGACAACCGCACAAGCCGACAAGGCCGGTTTCGAGCGCGCTTGTGAGACGTGCCAAAAGACATACTACAGCGAGAATTCGTTCCGGAATCACCTCAGCAGCGCGAAGCACAAGGCGAGGGCCGTCGCTTTAGCATCGCGGTCGAATGGCAAAGCCGACGACGAGGCGGGCTCCATGTCCTTCTCCCTAGGCGAGCCGGCGGCAGATTCGGTGGTGGATTCGGACGCCGAGGAGGAGTTCAACGAGGTTGTTGAGGGACTCAAGAACACTGGGCTTCAAGAGTCTACCTCTCCTGTCAAGCGACCCTCGAATCCCCATTTATCCGCCGAAGCTCAAAACAAGCCAGAGCACCCCCTCTCGCGAACGTCGAGCGAGGAGGAGTCGTCTACTACAACCCCGTCGGCCCCCACCCCCACGGGGCCGAAACAGGCCCCGGAGGCTCCGTCGCTCAAAACATGCCTGTTTTGTAACTACGAGTCTCCGACACCGCCGCTCAATGTATCACACATGGAGCGTATTCACGGCATGTTTATTCCGGAAAAGCAATATTTGGTGAACCTGGAAGGGTTGCTTGGTTATTTCCGGGAGCAGGTCTTTAGTCTGAACCAATGCCTCACCTGTGGAAAATTCAAGTCAAACGCATTCGCCGTGCAGACGCACATGCGTGACAAGAGCCACTGCCAAATCCCATACACCACCGAGGAAGAGCAGGTTGAGATTGGCGAGTTTTACGACTTCCGCAGCACGTACTCTGACGAGGGAGAGTGGGAAGACGAGTCGGACGACGAGGGACAGCAGAACGGGGGCGTCAAACTCGGGGCGAAGCGCGAAAGCAAGGTCACTGGCGAGGACGGCGATGAAGTTATGGAGGACGAGACTTGGGAGACTGACAGCGAGGCATCGTCTCTCGACTCTAACGATCTCCACGCTGTCCCCGCGGATCAACATTATCACCAGTACGACCGCCTCAACAAGCACCCCCACCACTCGCGAAACACTTCTCGTAGCCATCACCAAGCAGATGGCTGGCACGCACACGCCCCCAAACGCGCCCAGGCAGTTTTCCACGACGAGTACGAACTCCATCTCCCGAATGGAAAATCTGTGGGTCACCGGTCACTCAACAAGTACTACCGACAAAACCTTTACCACTACCCGACTCCGGAGGAGCGGGCGGAACGCCTGGCTATCGAGGAGAGCGAGAGGGATAACGAGATGGACGTTGACGGCGACGAACGTCCTCGTGGGCGGGCCCTGATACCAAGGGATGTACGGGGGCTTGGCGTCGCTTCTCTCGACGATCAGCAGACGAGAAGCATCGTCAACAAGGGCAAGAAGCAGGAGTGGACAAACCAAAAGAGTAAGGGCATGTTGCAGTCGCGGCTGGCGATCAAGGAGAGGGCTCCTCATCCGGCCACGTACCTGCGCTGAGTCCATGGATCGGTTTGGGGCGACGAACCTAGTCTAGGCGACGGTTTTTGGTTTTTTGCTAGCTATTCAGGCACCAAGGGACCTAGAAAGAAAAAGAAAATGATACGGCGTTGAATTCGACCTAAAACTTGTTTTCCCCGGCCTCACACACTCGGTGCGCCGAGAATCTTCCGTTGTGCCAACCAATGGTCCGAGCTTGGACCCCTGATGACGATCCTTGGAAATGTTGGTGGGACCGCGGGGCATGCGCCTTCCTCGATGCCACATCGCGGGTCATCTCAGGAACACGGGGACCCCACGGTATTCGTTCTTTCTTCTTCCCCTCAAAGACGAGGGGATTTCCTTCGTAATGTCCCAGCATCGCGTGCAGTGGTTTACAACTTCTATTGAGCCTTGCCAAGTCGCCTTGTCCGGTTTGTTGCTTGTTTGATCCAAAAGCTGTCTGTCCCTTACCCCGCGGTCCAACACTGCCCCCCACCCCACTCCAACCGACCATACATGCAGCAACCTGCAACCCGCAACCCGCATTCATTACCGCCGAGCTTTGTTCAGCCTTTCTCGAGCCATAGGTATCCAGAGCCTTACTGTTATTCAACGATCATTTTCTGCACTTCGTACATTTCAGCCGCATAGCAGATCCTCGGCGCGTCTTCTGTGCCTCGGCTCGCCGTGTCCCCGTTGACTCTCGCGACACGGCACTCTAATCGTCCACTTCGACTCTCTCTCGATTACAGTCCATCGGCTGGCTGTACCGTGCGAGATAGGAATCATGTTCTCCCAGGTAACATTGGCTGCACTGCGTTCTGAGACCTTAAGCTTACATTTCCGACAGAAGAAACCGTACTCGGCAGTGACCGTGACTATCGAGTCATTGACGAGTGAAGCGGTGCCCGTCGATGATTTGAGTGGGATTCCAGACCTCGTAGAGATCATCAACATCCAGGATACAGGCCCTAGAGAGGCTTCACGCGCCATCCGGAAGAAGCTCAAGTACGGGAACCTACACCGCCAGCTCCGTGCCTTAACCATCCTCGACGGGCTTATTCAGAATGCGGGATCTCGCTTCCAGAGAACCTTCGCGGATGAAGCCCTGCTCGAGCGCCTGCGTTTCTGCGGTACGGCAGAGCTGTCCGACCCGGATGTGAAAAAGAAATGCAGGGAACTTTTTGCCGGCTGGGCTGCCGAGTACAAGAACACGCCAGGCATGGGGCAAGTTGCCAAACTACATAGGGTAGCAATTCTGCTCAGATCATCCTTCCTACTATACTCTTGCTCACCGCTGCCAGGAAACCCCTCGCCGCAAACAAGTTGTTACGCAGAAGGAGTCCAAGGCTATCAAGGAGACAGAGAACCCGTTTGGCGAAGAGGACGACGACGACGACGCCGATGGTAAGCCCAGTCAAGCAGGGTTTTCCGGAGGTCACTCTAGAGCGTCGTCTCTTTCCAACCCGCTGGCGAAACAAGCCTCACCCGCCAACTACGACACGAAAAAAGCAAAGAAGGACAAAAGGGGCAAAAAGTCCAAATTCAACCTGGCAGCCGAACAGGGGCAGATGAAGACAGTCATCGCCGAAGCATCAATCATGGCGACCAATTTGACGAACACTCTCCAAACCATCAATCGGGAACAAGAGAGGATTTCGGAGAATCAGATCGCATCGCACCGGTTCGAGGAATGCAAAAAGCTCCGGCGGAAGATCTTGCGTTATATTCATCACGTTGAGGATGAGGAGTGGCTGGGCAGCCTGCTGACCGCCAACGACAGTCTGGTCACTGCGCTCATGATGTTTGAACAGCTGGATCGATCCATCGACGCGGACAGTGACTCGGACGACGAGCTCGCTGAACAGGCCCATCTTTACCGAAGTACGTTTAGCCGCTCACCCTCAGGAACATGTTGACCGGGTCGACTAACTCCCCTGCAGTGGCGACGGAGAAAGGCAAGGGCGTAGAATCAAGCTCGTCCACTAGTCCTCCGGCTTCGGGCATGGCCAACCTTCACCTCAGCCCATCGCGGCAATCACCGACGGCGTTGCGTCCGCCGCCGCCCCCCCGTCCGTCGGCAGCGACGAAGCCCTCGTCATTTTTCCCACGTCCCCGTACCGCGGAGAGTCACAAAGATGACATGAACTCTGACATAGACGCGGATAGCGGCGATGACGAGGAGGAAAATGACGAAGATAATCCCTTTGCCGACCGAAACGCTGTGCCGGCTGTGGCGCAGGGCAACTAGGGCAGTCCACCTGCGGGAACTAGCGGCGCGGCGACCAACGCGAATTTGGGCCATGTCCAGCCGGCTGACAATGAAGGGGGAGGAGCAGAGGCCAGTGGTGTTGATGGGGTTGAGCAAGGCGAAGGGGATGGCGAGGCAGGTGGTGAGATAGATGAGAGCCCGGACGGTAAAACCGAAAAGGCGAAGAGGAAACGGAAGAAGGCGCGGGAGAAGGCGGCCAGGAAGAAGGCTGCCGCCGAAAAGAAGGCGGATAAGAAGAAAGCTGCTGCTGAGAAGAAGGTGGCCAAGGAGAAGGCGGTGGCTGAGGAGAAGGCGGAGGGTTTGAAAGGATTAGGGGACTTTTTTGGCATCACAGATGCCTTTAAGAAGTAGACGACGTGGTTCCTTACGCATTAAGGGGCTGTTACTCGGCATATGGTGATTAGTGTATGGAGGCGAGACAGTGATTAGAAAGTAGGGTTAGTGGACATGATGTTCTCGCAGCGATCGAGGGGCAGATATATTTATCATTGCATTGCCCCTATTCACTCTACGCTATCGGCTTTTGTTTGCTTCGGCTAGTGCGCTCCCTTCCAACTTGGATCTTACCTAAAGTTTCTACAGCCTGTCGTTTTCAAATGTCTCTTCATGTGTACCACCATCCCTCCGCTTTGGAGGTAGCGTGTAAAAGTATCAGAAGGAAGCCATCAAGCCATCTCAGTGCAGATACCACTTGATTTATGGATGGTCCGGTGTTAAACTCCGCTTCCGACGTCAAGTTACGGTAGTCGGCCCCCCTTCTCCTCAGCTTGCCTCTACCCTTTTATCACCCATCCCCCCTTTTTTCGTGCCTACTTTCTCCCCCCCCAAAAACATGGGGCGAGCAAACACCTCCCACCACATCTTCTTGCCAGGCCGGGCGGGGGGAGACGGCCACCCGCCACGCCCCCAGTCAGTCATTCGTTGACCCCCGACCACGTACCGCTGGCGGTACCACAACGGGCGCACATGCGATGCATACTGGTGTTATATTCCAGAACGGTTACCTTTTTGCCTTTTGTGGCTGTGCTGTTGTTTCTGTTGTTGCTGTTGCTGCTGTTGTTTGTTGTATCCGTTCTGTGCCACCGCTTGGTGACAGTCATGGGGGGGGGCTTCACCTTCACCGGGGAAGTGGATGGGAGATGCCGGAGCGCTAGTTACCGAGTACCGTGATGGCCGACCGCGGGGGGGCGGGGGTGGTTTGTGGTAAGGTGGTCACTGGTGAGGGGGTTCTACGGGATAGTTACGGGGTACGCGGTCGCCCCGTCTGTTCCCTTGTGTTGGTGGTGCGTGGCATTTTGTGTGATGGCTTCTGTGACTTTGGGGTGGCGTGGGGGTTGGGGGGTTCGTGGGGTGGTGATGGGAAGTGTACATGGTGGTGAGGACGGTGGGTGTTATGGTACTTCGTGGTAGTAGACGGTTGTCGTTGGCGGTTATGGTACGGTTCCAACCAGCATCTTGGCCGGATGCGGCGCCAATGTGCTATTTCTGGTGTTGAGAGATATGTTGTTGGCTCCGGAAGGGAGGCTGAATGTCAGGTGTCTCCCTGAGGTGACTGTGGCTGGGAATGTGGGAGATGCCTGGAGAGACACCTGAGTAATGGCTGAGCTACATTGCCCCGCCCCTGCTTCTGCTTGGTCTCTTGAACCTTCTCGGTGCCGTTCCGGGCTGAGCGAGGCTGGGGCATGGGGAAGCTTAAAGTTGGAAGTTGGGGGTTACACAAATCTGATCGGAGGGTCCGTTTCATCATTGGGGCACTTCGTATTAGCCGTAGTCCCACCGTTTACATTCTGAAGAAGTGCTGGGAATGCGTCGTCGGAATTTATCGATTTCTTTTTTTACCTTGGGGTGGTGCATCAGGCGGTACCGTTTGTGGCACCGTCAGCGGCACACGCTGCAACCAACCAAGCTGTTTGCTTCAGCATCGTGGACGGAACAATGAAAGAAGCTTTGTCACCACCCACCAGGACCCTGATGTCTCACTTCGTGGTTTGCCCTGAGCCTATTCTCGGCCCCAGCTGACACGTTCGGTGATCGCATCCGGGGGCCGCACCTCTTGAGTCGTTTGTCCTTTTTCCGCTCTGGGATTTTAAATATTCATGAAGGCACGGGGAATTGCGAGAGAAAATAAATATACTTTGGCCCAGATGTATGTACTTACTTACGCTTGGCTGAAAGCCCAATTCCACATGCCGGTACCTCTCGGAAATACAAATCCCTTTAACGCGCACTTGGAACAGTTTTAGCGGGTCCGAAAATCTACTTGGGTACAATCAGCCACATTATTTTGGTGAGATTGTGGCGCCCAACAGGGGGGATTTTGGTGTTGGCTAGGGTCAACAAATGTATCACCACCAAACAACAATGTACTGTGGATACGGACTTGGCGCATCTACAGCTTCCAATTGGTGGCCCCGCTAAAACTGTTCCAAGTGCGCGTTAAAGGGATGATGTACAGAGTAGGTGCAAGCGACACAAGTGGCTCCGGTTCTCTCACTCGGCGCAAACGCCAGACATCTAAGGTAGCCAGTCGCCGTCCAACAATAATAAGTTGGTTGAAATAAAAAACAAAAAATAATAAATAATAAAATGCATTTTTGTTTGGTGTACTTCGTAAACCCCACGTTACAAGCCTCGACGGTGACTCGACTTGGGCGTCACATGAGCTGTAGGTAATAGGCTCAGGCTCGGGCTCGGTTGGACGTCCCGCCTTCCTCTCCGTCCCGCCCCTTCCCCAAATCCCCGCGCCCGCCCCAGGATTTAGAGGGTTGCCTCAGTGGTGAGGGTGTGTGGCCAACCCTTTGGCTGGGCTCGCGGGTGCATTGGAAGGCAGGCACACAGGTCATCTGGCCAGGCCGAGACTTGCCAACTCATCAACAATCGCCAGGTGAGTAATGCCATCTGCGCCGCCGCACCCTCCACCATCTCTTCACCGCTCTGTCGTCGAATCGTCATAGAGCCACGGAGGCGGGACACCGGGCAAAAGGGACCTCGGAAATGCAGCAAAATCAAGGAATTGCATCGCCCAAACCACTAATTGCATTTTGCACTCCGGCACGTCCGGCCCTTTTATCGTGTCATCAACACCAACCGCCCACATCACCGTCGCCACAGCCCCAATTCGGGTCTTTGCCCCGAGCCCTCTCCAGGAAGGCCATTTTCTCTATCCCACTCCAATCCGCCGACTGTGAGCAAAAGCAATAGGGAACCTTTACCTCGTCCTGCGAGTGTCTGCCCATCTGCCGTTCTGGCGACGTGACAAACAGCAACGAGGAGTCGATAGCCCAGGTCATCAGACAGCGGCCCAGACAGCGGATTGGCGCCCAACCGACTTCGGCACCGCACCGCACCGTAACCGCGCAGCAACCGCGCGGGATGGCCGCGGGGTTCGACTTCAACGTGGCAAAGCCCTTGTATGGACAGATGGGGCTTGATTCGTAACGGGGGACTCGAACTCGAACAGCGGCTGCCTGGGCGCCGTCTGCATGGCGCACTTGGGGCTGCTGTCTCGTTGGCTGTCCGCCGTGTGATCGTGGTGACCATGGTGCTGAATCTGATTGCGGTCCTGCAGCCCCAGCCCGATCACGCTGGCGCTCGCATGTACTGTACTGCGCAGCATGCAAAAATGAAGGGGAGGCTGGACCTCCCCACTGCCGTTCCCAGTCGCCCTACGCGCGTCAACCGTCGGGTCTCCTGCCGCCGAGGTCTTCGTTTCCTGGCACGAGCCTGCCTATCTCGTGCCCAATTCTTTGCATGCCGTTGGTTGATAACTTCAGCACTTTGCAGTTGGCCGACCCGGTAGTTCGGCCTGGTGTGTCGTCTGCCCTCGTCCCCTATCCCCAGTGAGAGGCTCGTGGTATCTGTCTTCTGACACTTGCGGATGCCAACTGGCATGGTCTGGTTGCACTCCGAGCCCCGTCACGCATCATCATCAAGACAGTGCCGAACGCCCGGGTGCCTTTTTAAAGAAGTGCAGGTTGGGCCCGGTGAGGCCTGGCTACCTTGATGCCTGACCTTGAGTACTGGCGACAAGAGACGATGTAGCTCGACAACAGCCCTTTCGAGGGGCTTCTCAAGGCGACCGGCATCGGATGGCTTTGAGACCTGCCGCTCAAGACTCCCGTTTCCACGTCAACATGCCGAAGAGCCCCGATGTGTTAAGAGATCAGCATCTCGGCTGCATCCAGGTTGTTGACTTGCATGTCTGCAGCTGCATGCACTGGATCTCTAGCTGCAAGTAGGAAGCGCCCTCTCACTGTGGACTCAACCCTGGTTCCATAAGTGCCCTGCAATACATCCATGTACGTCTATGCAAGCCACCTTCCACACCGAGGGTTGAAGAACCAGTATACCGAGATTCAGTCTGTGGTGGGATCTTGAAGACTAGTGTCGACAAAACAAACAATGTCGGCTGAGACTCGGTAATGGAGGCAAGTTGTGCTGAAAGCCACATGATGACAAAGGGGGCAAGGCCCTAGTCAACTTCAGTTTAACACAAGATGGAAGATAGGAGAAAGGGAGTTAGGACTATGTTGTTACCCCCTATTGCCATTGCCCTTTTCACACTCTCGTCCTCACCGTCCACTTATTCCCTACTGATTCCCTGCTACATAGAGATGCCATCAACTCTTTCGATCGTTTGAACTCAACGATACGACTATCGAAGGCCAGGAAATAGTATTCGAATATAGGTTGTCAGTGAATATAGTGCTTCCATTGGGTGGGTTGAGTAGTTGGCAGTCCGAGCTGATAATCGAAACCAAGCTACCATTGTTGACGACTCCCCCGGTTACTTTCCACAAGCCAGAGCAGATCGTAGCAAGAGCGGCTAGAACATGGAACCACACGTTAGACCCATCTTCAAGTCCACACATCAGTCCTTCTTCTTCGCCGTCCCCAGCCGCCTATACTTCCTCTTATCCCCACGCCTCATCAGCCTCTGGTCCCTCGTCCCCTTGCCACCCTCCCAGAACCCATTCCCCCTCTTCCCAATCACACTCCTCCCACAGAACGCACTATCATCAACCACCACGTCAGCCAACCGCGACCAAACCCAACACCACCATACCCTCCCACAACAACACCAAAAAAAGGGGGGGAAAGAGAGACGAGATAATACGCACCAACTCTCCATCTGAAACCGCTGTTCCCGACTACACCACCCACACACCATCCTCGCCGCCCACTCATTCCCATGCTCCTCCTCCGCATCATGGCACTTATCACACGGATACACTTTCGCACAGCACGAGAACCGAAACCACCGATAACTCCTCCTATAATGGCTACAAGCCCCCCTCGCGGGGAGCGGCTCGCCCGCGCGCAGGCCCAGGCGCTCCTGGCGGCGGCGCGGGCCGGTTGTGGGTGGTGGTAGCTCCTGAGATCCGGGGGAATAGGCGAGGAAGCGTACGTCCGGGAGCGCGAAGGTGAAGCGGGTGTGGCAGTCGCGGCAGACGTTGGTGGTCGTCTCGCCGCGCACCGAGGTGAAGCCCGTGCGGGAGGGGGTGGAGCAGGTTGCGCAGGTTGGGGTGAAGGTGCTGGTGGGGGGGAGGGGCGGTGGTTAGTATTGGTGTGTGTGGGAGTTACTGCGAGGGGGGGGGGGGGGGGGTTACCTTGGGAGGAGGTCGGCTACGGTGCAGCCGGTGGCGTCGATGAAGCCGGCGCGGGTCGAGTGTTGGTGGATGAGCTCCTGGCGGAAGCGGACGGTGAAGGGGGTGGCGCACTTCTTGCAGCTGCTGGCTTTTTCAAGGTTGTCTACTAGACCGGTTATTTCGTTGATGGTCTTGCAGCGCTCGCATTTGATGTTGAGGTTGAGCATCGAAACCTGGAGTAGCTCGATGCCATACAGTTCGACAGAAGGGAACGACATTGCTGTCCCGCGTTCCGGCGTTTGTATGGGCAAGCTGGGTTCAGACGGCCCTGCCTCCTCGATGACGGCCCCTCCATCCTCGTCGTCCTCATCGTATGAGTCGTCTTCGGACTCGGAGCTGTCAGTGCCATCGTCAAGAGCCCATTCCATAGGTCGGGGGATGACATGCACATGGCCCTTCCCCGTATCCATAGAGGACGGGCGTGTGGCCTTTTCTGCCCCCTGTACCGCATTAACGGGTTTATCAAGGGCTGGCGCAGCCTCGGCGACCGTCTTCTGAGCCTGCTTCGCCAAGCTGTGCATGTTCTGGGCGAGGTAGTTCAGATGGCTTGTCAAGGACATCTGCTTCTGCTCGGCGGCCTTCTGTATGAAGAGCTCCTCGACCGGCTCGGCATCCTCAGATTCAACGTCGTTTAAGAGGATCCTTAACGGTTGGAGGGGATAGAGAAGCGGGATGATGAGTTGGACAGACTGGACGGGCTGAAGACCCGGGGGAAGGCTGGCCCTGCGGTTCGGTTGCAGGGACAAGGTGTAGATAATGCCGTCGCTGGACTTTTGGTAAACCGGAGAACGGCTCATGCGAGCTTCGAGTTGCCTCACATCTTGGGCTCGTCGTGCTTTAGCTTCAGCGATCTGGTCCTTGGAGTATGATTCCTCGGGGATGTATGGCCGATCCACAGGCGGTTTGGTGACTGTTTTGACAGGCTGTGAAGCTGGTACGGAAGCCGGTTCAGCATCCTGATTCCTGGTACCCTTGAATATGGTCAACTTGACCGTCTCCACCTTCTCCTTTGACAACAGTTCCTCCAGTTTCCTATCCAGAGCTTTAGTCAAGGTGAGGAGGGTGGCGCCGCGCTTCTCCCGGACGAGATCTTCCCAACCCCTTTCGATGTTGATGGAGAACCCCCGAGCAATATCCTTGTTCTTGATTCGTAGTTGGGGTGGGTTCTTTGGGTAGCCCTCCGGGACGCGGAGATCGCATTCCAAGTGGTCGAGGTCGAAGGGGAAGTCCGGGTCAGATGGTTTCAGGTGGAAGGAAAGGGAAACCTCTCCGTGACCGAGGTCGGTTTCCTTAGCGGAATATCGACGCTTGATTTGATCAATGTGGTAACTCTTTTTATCTTTGGTCTCTCGTTCTGGGACCGGCCTCGGCACGACCCGAGACTGTGGGGTCTCGACAACCGCTTGCCTGCTAGATCTGGTTGAGGCACCACCGCGTGGCCGAATCGGTATCATTTTGCGGAGAGGGGAGGTCTTTCAATAGTAAATTGATAAAAATGCGAGTATGAGAGGGTGTCAAAAATAATTTGGATGCTGTTAAACAAGGCGCCGGCGAGAATGTTGCCGCAAAACTGATGTGGCAATTAATCGATTCCCAGTGTCAAAACCAAATCGCCTCCCGCTCCTTCACTCCAATTTTCCAAGTCCTCCCAGACTTCAATACTCTTAAAACTAATAAGAAATCGCCCCTGCCAAAAATGCAACACCACAAAGGGAGACGGCGAGGAGGAAAAGAAGCGTGAGTCAGAATGACTCAGATTGAACCAGATGCAGGAACGAGGTTGAAAGTGGGGTAGTTCATCCAAAACGACAACTCAGGCCTGTCTGTGTGCACGGGCCATACAGGTTCAAGAAGCACCTTCCTTCACATCTCGATTTTTGCCTTGCACCAACGAAATCTCAAAACCTTTCCATCACCTCTCTCATTAATTCTTATTGATTCTTAACTCAGAAGAAAAAGCATGACCATACACGCCCGGGCACTGGCTCGTCTCGGAATGTGGGGCAAATCCCAGCGGTCATTAGCAAACTCGACAGGCGCGTGACACGGGTCGACGGCTCAATTTGAAGTGTCTTGTCAACTCCTGTCGAGCAAGCAAAGAGCTAAAGTAACAAAAAGTCGTGATCGGCGCTATTACCAATCGTCGCCTCATTATCGAGTAGCTTCTGGAACATCCAACCCGAGCAACTGTTCTTGGGCCTTTGTCAGCTGCCGGGTTGGTTTTGCTGAAGGGAGCGACCGACTTGGTATTGCCATAACCAGCAACGCTCATGCAACCTCACAACGACGCCCAAAGTACCGATACACCATGGAAACACAGACCATCCTCCAAGCAGCTCGTCCTTCAAGACACCGCGCTTTGACAGTCAAATATGAGATGTCAGGTGCGCCTGCCCCTGCATTGGCGGCCCCATGAGCGCTAGCGGAATCCGGGGAAGATTTCAGGGGCCGAAAAGCCCAGCTCGAGCCCGGCCTGTCCGAGTCGGGTCCATTGCAAAAACAGAGCCGAAATGAGTTGCGGCCTGAGATGGACCTGTTCATAAGATCAGGCTTTCTCCACTCTCTACAATGATCGGCCCGATCGGGCGGTGCGGCTTTGATTGCTTGAGCATTGCATCATGCTTTCGGCCCATCGCAACCGAAGGAACCAGGGCATGGTGCTGTTGGGGACATGTTCAGGGCATGCCTGAAGGAAATCCGCCTCGGCCGAACGGTCAACGTCGCGCCATAATCGTCCCCACATCGGGTCGAGAAGAGATTTTTCCTCCAAGCGAGTCAAGAGAACGGCAACGCCGACCCCGACGTCAACGCTCGCGGTTTTCCCTGAGCACTGACTCGCAGGGGACGGCCGTTCGTCTCCTGGGGCTGACTGGCGTGGGTCCCAAACATCCTCGCCGGGATTCGTACCCTGTGCTCCATCCCAAGTGGAAGCTCCTCCGTACACTAACTCGTTAGTCGTCGCCGACGACACCTTCCACGCGGTTTCCAGAAGCCCTCGACGCCCCAAGAGGTCAAAAAGTGCTGGGAGCTGGTCCCTGTCCTGTGCAAATGCCTTCCCCAATCCGGAAATCACCGGCTCGATCGCCAGATGTTATTGGCTGCCCTGGGACCAAGAATGGCCTGGCTCGAGCCTAGTCAAGGATCAAAAGTCCAGTGTGGGTCGTGTCCTCCGTTTTCAACCTTCATGAAAAAGAACGCTGAGTGTTTCGTTCATGCCTCTATTATTTTTATTATTTTTATCAAAAAAACAGGAATAAACAGCGGACGAACGTGGTTCCGTTCGGCTCGCAGTCAATTTCCCGGGAAACTGGTTACCAATGATGATGTGCTCGCCTCCACTCATGTTTCACCAATTGTTGCCGGATCCTACACAGCAGACGACGTCACCACTTGTTCCTCCTTGTCGAGCCGTTGCTTCTCGGGCAAGGGAAAAAGCCCTGAGGCCATCGTCGCAATTGTCGAACGCCAACGATCTATGATGTAGAGGAAATACTGGATCACATCACTTCGATCAAGATCGCGGCTCTTAGATTGGGGGGTTAAGATCTCACGCGAAAGGATCCCTCGACAAGCTCTTTGCCATGCGAGAGAACATGTCGATTTGGCACCGGCAAATGCAGATCCCCTTATGATCTCTCCCGCAAACAACCCAATCGCATTTCATCGTATTGCCGCAGCAATCAGGTGCCACGGTACCAGATGCCCATCAACAAATCCCACGCGGCTCAACCTCTGACGTCGACCACCAAGTGATCTCACTGTTGCATCTTCCATTGGGCAAGCAGCGCCTTCTACTTCATCGGTGCTTATGTCTGAGATCATAGTGAGAGTACGTGTACAGAGCTGATGGAGCGAGGGATGAGAAGTGTGTCAAGATACATGGTACATTTCGTGGTGGGTGTTGCCTTGTACCAGCTACGATCGTGATCTGCTTCTAGGGATTGTCCGGCTTTCCGGTAGGTCTTGACGCGGTGGTGACATTGCAGATGGAGAATATTTGCGGAATAAGCACACTTGAGCGCGGAATGCGTGGTTGCAGCCGCGGACAACAATGCCCAATATCTGTCTATGGAGCTCTAACCCATACAAGGACTCAAGGCAAAGTCATTTTGCAGTTGCCGTCTGACTTGGGATTAACATTCAGTCAGGTCGAGGTTCACCCGGGCAATAAAGCTTATACATTTGGTTAAGTTGGAATTCTTTTATCGGGCCTTAGGAACACATAACCCATAACACTCGAGAAACCCGCCCGAACCCGGCAATTATCTTATTTATAAAGTCGAGTAATCACATCACAACTGCACCCTCTCCCTAGGCGATGTGTAAAGCTTAAAGCTATTACAGCACATAAACGTTGTCTAAAGGAACCTTCACTGTGTCCTTCCTTGGAGAACAGCATGCCTAAACCGGGACGCGACGTCCTCTCTGATCCTGTTCGTGCGGATTCCACATCATAATTTTGGCCCTGTTTGTGGTTATCTATAACTTCTGGTTTCTATACAACCTCCTTGGTTAGAGGCGGCGGCTAAAGCTGCGGTTAGTAGTCGCTTCTAGTTTCAATAGAGGTATTGTGATATCTGGTGTTTTCTCTAATAGAGAGATGCCTATGAACTTGCTCCTATTTAGTAACTACAAAAGGTCTTATAACGGTATACAGGTTTGCCGTTTAGGTTGAGAGACCAGTACCCGGACTTATGTGTAAGTGTATATGGATGCCGTGCTTTTGCGCTTCAGAGTTTGGAGTCCCTCGAGCTTTTGGCTTTATCTACACCTCAGCTTGTTCCCAACCAGTTTGATGCAAATGCCAGATGGCAAATAAGGCTCAAAGCAGAGAGGCAAGGGAATCAGGACACTGATGGGTTTCCCAGGTCCTTATTCCTGTTTTGATGCTGGTGTTGGTTCCAATTCCCAGGGTGAGACGGACATAGGCTCAATACAAGTTCATCATGAAGAACTCGTTCCTACCGTCCTTCCTGAGACAAGGCCTTGGACCGACCAATTCCTCAAGTATCAACGCCGTTTGCTATCAATTCTTTCGCTCTTTGCACGATGTTTCCGTGCCCCATCGCCGTTTGAAACAGCCGAGCCCTGATCCTCAACGCACACCGCAAGCATACACAGGAACTAAGGGCTTTGTAACCAGCACCAGTAAGACGGTTCGACCAACAAGGCAAATAGAGAATTTACAGGAGATACAAGCACTAAACAACTATCCTCAGACTCTCGTCCGGCTCACAATACCTTCAACGGCAAAGTCAACATCCCCCAGCGCCGCCATCCAACCACAGTCTCACCCTGTTTCAGAAAGGCACCTCGTGATCGCGGCCGCGCCGCCTCCCACCATGCCCCCTCAGCCCGCCCACCGGCCGTCTCACATCACAACCTCCCAAGCCGCAAGGTTCTGCGGTCTACCACCTCGCGTAAACTCACGAGACAGCCAAAACACCACACAGCATATCCACAACCCGAGGGGTAAAGAGAAACAAGGTCGTTGCAACACACCCAGCCGTGCCAGCGCAACCGCAACCGCAGCAGTCAGAAAAAAGGGGATCCGCTGATCGCCTCCCCCCAGCGTAACCCTCGCGTTGTCTCTCGCACCCCCCCATGACCGCAGCCCTATGTAACTGGCCAGGCCGGGAGGGGGACCCGACTGGCCCGATTGACCGGTCGGTCGGGGGTTGAGGGGGTGGCGACCATGGTGTGCCGCGCTGGGGTCGCAGCGCGGTCGCTGATGGACACGATGGAATAGATTAAGCCTGGCACCCAGCACGTTTGTGTGTGCACAGATTATAGATTACATACACACCCCCGGGCTTAAAACCTTATTGTTGACGACGGCGGCTTGTGGTAGGTGGGGATGCGAGGCCTTTTTCGGCAGTGTGGGCAAGTGCCGGCCGGCTGATTACTGTGCATGGCGGTGCAGGAGGGGCGGGTGTGTTCTTTCTTTACCGCAGTCGTTGTTGTTTGCTGGCCTTAGAAGGTGATGAGGTGCAGAGCTCTTGGTCGAAAAAAAAGGGGGGATGGAACGGAGGGCGCTGTCATCGCCGGCGCCTGTGCCTGTGTCCCGACTGCCCTCCCGCGCGGCGACCTCGCCCAGCAGCCGGCAGTGCTGTGCGGGTAGTATGGAACGGTGGGATTTATCATCGCCCAAACGGCGCAAGCCCATTGATTCGTTTCCCCAAATGTTTCATGCCTTACCAACACGGCCGGCTCACCTCGAGGGCGGCGCCGACCGGCCAAGCGGCCTCGGCCAGGCGCACAATGCGCGCGAGTCAGAGTCACGAACGCATACCGCCCACGCCCACGCCCGCGACGCTTGACCCGGTAGTTAGTGGGGGTTTTGGTTTGCGCGGGGGCGGTTCGGTTCTGTGGAACGACGCCGCCGAAGTCGCGGAGCAGCCCCTCCTTTTCAACAACCCAACACCAACGTGGCAGGGCATCACGGCCCAGTCGGCAGGCTCCGAGACCCTGACCGTCGACGACGGCTCCTCCCCAGCCTATCTACATACACTACGGTGCAGGCCAGTACCGGTCACCGCACGAGGGGCATGCGCTCGCTCGCCAATTCAAACGCTGTGCGACCCCGCCGCCGCGGCGGGGTCGTGGGGGGAGGGGGAGCCGCCGGACGTCTCCGAGCCTGAGCCCGCCGACGAAGGGACTACGCAGATTTGAGAGTGAGATGCGGCCGGGTATGCCGGACGAGAGAGGGGTGCTGCGGGTTCGTTGGCACCGGCGCGGTTACTGAAGAGGGGTTGGAGATGGTTGAGATTAGGTTCGTTGCCTTCGCTGACCACGGGAGGCCGCCCTGGATAACTCGGTTCCAATCAGCGAGACCTGGGAGGTCTTGCTCGTCTGTCTTTCGCTCTGGGGCGGTCTGCGGAGCTTGGGAGAGACGCCTCCGCCACGGTGAAGGACCTCCTGGAGGTGGATAGTTGCCCACTTCAACGTCGTGCGTATCGACAATGATAGGGGAGCGTAGTCTGATGCTAAGTGGCTGGGGAGGCTGTTCTTGGGCCTCGACTAAACTTGCGCAGCAACCTGACGCTTACCGGTTCATTTCCCCCAGGGAGTCAACGCCACTCGAATGGCGACATGCTGACCAGTTTCGTTGTGAGGACGCTGGACTCTCAGATGATGCGGGGTTTCTGTTTTTGGACTTTGATGAAGTCTCAGAAAGGAAACGTCAAAGCGGGTGGAGGTCCCTGCAGCTCTGGTCCGGAACTTCGCTTCGCTTGCCGAACCGGCCTGGAGCCGGCTTCTGGTTGTCAATGCTTTGCGGTCGTTCGCAAGGGTTCTTGATCACCTCATCATCGCGGGGTGCGGTGCGGCACGGCCACGGCGTGGGGTGAGTGAGGGATAGAGCGTATTTCGAGAGGGACGTCGAGGTGACGCGCCGTGATCGGATCCATCGCGAACCAGTGGTGCTCCTGGCAGTGAACCACGGGACAGGCCGAGTCTTGGGCGAACATCGAGAGCACGCAATGGTTCCACCAACCAGGCTCAACCCCCTTGGGGCCCTTGCTTCCCCGCCTCAAAACCACCCCCGCGTCCAGGGGTTGGAACGCGGCTGGAGAGTCAGCTGGTGCTCACTTGACCAGCGATCATGGGCTACGCAGCCGAGGACCGGGCTGTGATCAATGCAGTGCGCGGATTTGCTTCGCGCCCACAGAGAGAAAAGCAAGACCAAGATGAGGAACCGCGCCGATGCCGCCAACGCTAAATGTGACTTCAGCGGCTAGGTTGGAAACGGGCAGATTCGAGGCGATGTCCCTGCGAGATTCTTGTTGAAACGGGCGAAGTCCCGTCTCCGGCTGGGCAGCCGGATTCCGTCTCCGAGTCATATCCCCTGACGGAGACCCGACCATCACAGTCATCAGCGAGGATGTGCTGAGGATTGAAGTGAGAATTGCCAGTCCATCCTCGTTGGCCCATCGCGTCGTTCGACCCCGCGAGGGAGGATCCGAGTTCACCGTTGAAAACCCACCAACGAAGCGCGCTGGCGCCCCGCGCAACGGTGCCAACCGCGACCGTGACCCGCGGTCCAAGCGCGGGGCGTTCGGGTCATTTTAGCTGCCGTGCCGGCGCCAAAGGGTCTGGGCGGAGCGTCCTGAGCCATTTAAGGCGGCCGCGTCTTTCACGTCCGCCGGCTAAATGGAGAGCCAGGGTTGGGCTGAGAGAACTTCTCTCAGCCCATCAGCTGGCCCTCCGGCAAGTCGCCCAGGAGACATTAACCGGGTGATTTAGCCTGCGCGGGGACCAGGGCGACAAGCCTCACCGGCGTGCCAGTGAGTGCTCATGGCTCATCCTTCGTTCGGGACGTACCTGAGGTAGACCAGAGCCAACGAACCTCGTCGGGCCTTTTGGATATGAGGGACGGGATGAAGAGGCGGTCAAGAGTTTCTCGAAAGTCTCGTGCCTCGAATCCCGTCTTGGACTCCGTCCAATCAGCCTTCGAACGGGATGCCGGTGATCTCGGCCTGGAAGTACCGATATGTTGAGACAGGGAGAGAAGTTGAAACGGGCTTAACGAGGTTGGTGAGATAAAATCAGAAAAACCAAAAACCGAAATATGCATGCCCGATTCGCAAACAGAAGGCAGGACTCTGCCGGCACTTGACAACCGAGTTGGGTTGCGTAGGGCTGGATTTGGCAACCCCAATCCTCCCCAGTTCCAGAAACAGCCAGCCCACCCAAGTCTTCAGCCCAAAACTGCTCGACCTGATTGGACATCCTCCCTCAAGCAAGACAACGGCGAAGCTTCACCGAGCGGCTCACCTGCGCGCCGGGACAAGTTCCCATTGGGTTGTCCAACCCCGTGTTGTGCGACCCTGTGGCTGACGGTTGAGCTCGTTCGTCTGACCACGGGGAAACTCATTGATCAGAAGGCCGGGGCAGTGGAACGGTCCGGTGCGGGAGTGTCGTAGCGCCGGGTGCTTCCCCGGAGAAGTGATGAGATATGAACCAGGGAGTGAACGAATGTGGCGCAAGAAAGTTCTGAGGTCAGCAATATATGCCATGCCGTCCAGATGTCCCGCCGCGGAGTGTATGTATGTAGCAGTGTAGAGAATCGAAATGATCACGCCATGCCCCTAAAATTGAACGATAGTGGAGGTCGGCGACGACAAACCTGACGTCGCCGAGCGAAAGGATTGAGAAGGGGGTAGTAGAGAGGCGGCAGAAGCGAGGTGCTGAAGTGAGCATGCTGACGATACAGTCGTGGCGGTCTCACAACGTCAATGCTAACTGTATCACGAGATGACCTGGATCATGCCCCTTTTCATCTCCTCGACTCCAGGAGTCGAGAACACGCCGGGCCCGAAGGCAGAATCCCAGCCAGCCGCGTGGTGACCGTGGGGGACGGGAAGCTGTTCCACGAACTCGGTTGTGGGTTAACATGGTCCACCAACCCTCGGTGCTGCTTGTGAGACTCGTGCCGGATTTTGAATCAGCCCTGCTGCGCGGTCATGGAGCTGTTGCTCGCGCTGCTGCATGTCTTCGGATCTCATTTGCTTGCTCGCGGCATCGGCGAAATTTGCTTTGGGGTTGTACGACATCGTCACTTGGCTGAGGTAAAGGGGTGATCAGGAGACACGAGACTGACAGTAGCCTTTGACGCCTCGCTGGGTGAGCCGAAAGGTGACACAACAAATGCGTTGCTTCGTGATAGAGAAGCCGCAATACCAATACCCTCGTTAATCCGCGGCGCTGGGTTCAGGATGGTTGCACCGCAGCTCTGTCGGACTCCGGTTGAGAGGGATAAGGGTCAGATGGCACCGTAGGCCGTATAACTGGACTGCCTAGCTATTGTTGGTTCAGTTCATCATCGCCAAACCGTCCTGAATGGCCCGGATGCTGTCGAAGCAGACCATCGTGTACTACCATCGAAGCTGGGCGGAAGCAATATCATCAAAGTTCTGATGACCATACTCAGAAAGGGAGTTAACAGCCAAGCAATCCGATTCGACACCCAATAGCTGCGCCGTGAGGTGCCAACTGCCGGGACAAGGTCAACGAGTCAGCGGTGTGGCTCGGGTGCAAATTAATGGCCGCAGCTTGCGTGTCAGAGGCGCATCCGTGTGGTTTGGAGGATTGACGAAGTGGTGTTCCGCTGCACATGAGATCTCTGCTTCGCCGTTGTAGGTTGCCCTCAGGGGTTGCGGGCATGACCGGAGTGCAAAGGAACGGAAGAAAAGAGAAAAGAAAAAAAAGAATAAATAAAATAAAATTCAGTAAAAAGCCCCATAATTCGGAAAATTCGATTAAAGACCTCTGCGTCAAAGATACACGCTCTTTCCTACATGCAGCATCGTGTCTCGAAGAAATCCCGGAACGGGAGGACAATCGATCGGATGCAGCTTGCCTTGTCTCTGCTTGCTTCGCACTCGGCCGAATCGGGTTTTGACCTATCCGTGCTGTTGTATTACACAGATCCAGGCTGCTTCCGCTGGCTGCAATTGCTCTGGACCTGATTAGATGACTGTCATTGTTGTTGAATCTTGAGTCATTGAATTGATGATGAGTTGGATGAAGAGAACTTCGAAGCCTGAAGGCCGACGTTGGTTGGTTTGGGTGGATTCGGCCCCACCAACAGCCACTGAAAAGCCACGATGAGGGGCACCGAGAGGTGGGCCTCTGTAATTCCAGCGCCCAGGAGCCTGGAACTGATTTCCCCAGGTTCCCCAGATCCGGGGAATCAGCCTGAAAACACCAACCTCCATGCCCGAGCCTTGTCCCGAAATTCGAGGTGGTGACTTCGAGCCATGTTCACGGTACTTTGCACATGGCAACCCGGCCGGTGAAACCGCAATCTCGACTCCGGGTCGTCTTGCTACCTAGCGAGCAGTCTTCTCGGTTCCAACGGGGGAAGTACGAGGTAGCGCTGTGCTGTCCAGAGAGGTGGACTGCCGGGCCGGGTTGGAGTGCGTGCCATGACCGCTCCTCGTCACCGAACCGACCCCTCAAGTCCCGCACTTCCGGCGCAATTATCAGCCACGTGGGATTCGAAAGTACCCCAATTTCCACTCTGCGGGATTGTCGAGAGTCGTTCCCGAGACCCTGCGTTGCTCGCTTGTTCGGTCCTGCTTGCCATTGCTATCCTCGGTGTGGAGGAGTTGCGTCAGAGGAACGTACCAAGTAACGACAGCCCGAGAGAACGCTGGCTTGTCAGCGGTGTCATCCGGGGAAAGCAACGAACTTGCCCGCCGCTGCTGACCCGGACAACCAACAACCAAACCACACAAGTGCATGTGAGTGAGGGACAACGCAATTGCCGCATCGCCCATCCATCATTAGCAATGGCCGAGCGGGGTCCGACCCGTGCGACAGGCGCAAAGGCCAGGCTGGGCGAGCGGGCCAACAAAAAAAAGAACACAAGTCACTTGACGAGCGCCGCCTCGGTGGCACCACGGCGGCGGCGACCTCGCTTGGAATCCCGCTTCGGGTTTTCGTGATTGGCTTCCTGTTCAGGCATTGACTGGCCGGGCCGGTGGAAGAGGCTCGACGTTGAGCGGGACTCGAAAAAAGCTGCTGCTCTCCTGCTGCTGCGCCCGAACAAGATGGAAGTCTGAGGCCCAAAGTGGGTGCACATGACTGACTCCTGGGTGGCGCGGCAAGCGGCAAAGAACGGGCAGGCGAGGCAAGGCAAGGCAATCGACTCCATTTTGCCCCGTCCGTCCGCCCGCTATGTACATACAATTCCGAACCGAACAACGTGATCTGCAGCCGAGAATCTGGGGAAATGGTTGAGCGTGGAAGCGACTTTGGCGAGAAGGAAGAAAACTGGTGATCCCGTTCCCGAGGTCACGACACCGGGGATCTGGCCAGCTGTCGACCGACTGACCACACCCTGGACAACGCACCTTACACGCGGCAGTCGCTGGAGCGGCCGATCGAGGGTCCAGTGTCTCAACAGCACACACCCTCTCGTCTGGGCTTCACCACTCCGGACCCTGAAACGACCGCGGCGGCGGGTGAGTGTTGCTGTGACCCTACCTTCCCGCCCACCGAGCGAAGATCATCAGGTCCATTTCGCTCGACTGTGTCTTGGTCGCCTTTTCTCGGGAAGTCAGACCATCCATCCCGTATCCCGCGTGTCTCAGGCCTGGGCTAGATGGATGAAGCGGTGAGACATCAACGGGACGCTGAGGTTCATCAACCACATTGTGTATTGACGTGGTTGTTGGACAGGCGTGACAGGCCATATCAAAGTGTATTTTAAGCATTAACCGCACAGGGCTGAGAACTTCGATAGCCTTGTGACCTGTTCGTTTGCATCGGCTAATGTCGTCAAGTACCGAACGAACCCGCTGGCCAGACGAAAAAAACGGCCGCAACGGCGCCGCATTGCCGGTCCGCTTATGCGGGCTACGGCTGGGCAGGCGGAGCTGAAGGTTCCCGACTGCTTCTCTGTGTCCTCTTCGGCAGCTCAATTCGAAACGGTCGATCGGCGCCCGGGCGAACACTGAGCGGAACGGTTTACGGACCACCCGTCAGCGTCCCATTGAGTGCTCTGGCGATGCAACCAGCGTATTCCGTACAATATGTGGCAATGCCACGGTTGCGATGACCCCAGATGCCAAGCATCATGATCTGTTTCCTGCTTCTGGGAACGGTAACTCAAGACGGGTTGAAACTCCACAGAGAGACCCTGGGAAAGTCGGCTCGACCTTGCATACACAGTCCGGCACTTGGCAATAAATAAATAAAATAAATCAAAAGATAAAAAAGATCAAATGGTAAAAGAACGAGCGTTGATTTAATCCCGAGTTTTGACGCAATTGTTGTCCTGTCATCCACCGGTGTGGATTTCCCGAGTCAGGTAGTTACCGGCGGTCTTCCTCTTCACGGCTTTCCTTGCCGCGGCTCCACGGGGTTTACCCCGGCCAGTTGAGGCTGGCCGGCCGAAAGGGGGAGTTTGTTGCGATGGAAAGAGGAATATCACGTCACGAAACGCGTCCTTTCGCCCCAAACTCGGTTGTTTCTTCATCAGATGGGTTTGTCAACTGACAGCCGTCCCCCGTTCATCCTCACGACCATGTGTAAAGCCGGGGTTGCCCGGGATTGCCCGGGGCCGAGGCGGGGCAGGGGGTCCGGCGAGTTAAATGCCTCTTTCCTACATATGGGCGGTGACCTCGGGACTCGGCTCTGAATAATCGGGGGAGGTTTGCGACTGGAGCCTCTCGACAGGTTCATGCCGCGACGTCTTGTGATTCTCTGAAGAAGTCAGAATTTTTCTCCGACTTGTTTCGTAACTCGATGTCTCTCGGTTGGTTGAGATGCACCAGTCCCTGAGACGCGGCGACGCAATAAAGCGGAGACATCAAGGTGTGAACGAGCGGTGAGGCGGTGACGGCAGCAAGAGCGAGCAGGAATTCCTTGTCGGAAAAGCGCTTGCCGTGTGGATTTGGCAGATGGGCAAACAGGCACGGACAGGGAAAGTGACTCGACAGCAGCTTCGGCAGATGCGTCTTCAAACTGAGGCGAGAATGGCCAATACACAGGAATCGACATGCACAGTCGATCATTCATTCGTAGGGCCGGAATGACGGACAGCTAACCTGGCAGACTTCGTACCTGGCCGCAGACACAGCGTTTCCCAATTGGCGGATGTTTTTGTTCTGAAGATTGCCCCTCGGAGCCGGCGCCACATCCGTCATACATGAAAATACTTGATGTGGCACACGACTGCACGAGCCACAGTGCCACATTTCGTCTCATTCTCCCACCAAGGCGCACGTGGATGTGGGGTTGACTTCGGTCTAACAACGGACGGATCCACCACATGAGTTCGTGAGGTGTTTTCCAAGTCTGTTAGGTTGCGACGGGCAGTCATTCCGACCAGGGGACTTGTGAGGCAGGCACGGCAGGGGATTGAAAAAGGCCATTCTCGCCAAGCTGACAATTCTCGAACCCCATCCTCTCATGCGCTCGAGTCGAAAACCCCCAAGCAGTGTCGTCACAATGGAGACACGTTCCACTAGGGAGTCGGGCCGTCGCCGACTCACAGCAAGGAAGATGATGGACCGAGGGGAATAATTACGCCGGGACGACGGGGTTCAGGGCTCCGCAATGTTCTGGAAAACCCCGAAAATCTCCTTCGAGGGAGCCAAGAGAAAATCACGGGGCGATTCCTCTCCACACGTGCCGGGTAAATTTCGTCGACTTTTTTGACATCTGCGATGCGATGCGAGGCGAGGGCCTGTGAATAACCGTCGGGACGGAACTGCGGGGAGGACCGATTAATCCCGGATCTTTCATCAAAATTCTCATGGCGTCCATGGGTTTGAGAACGCCGCCGTTGCGGCAATCCTGGACCGACCCAAGGAATTCGGCGTTTGTCGCATCGAGTTTTCTTCAGATGCGACGATACCATCGCAGAGTTCCCGAGACATTCATCGGGATGATATTCTAGGTTCCGACCGAGTGGACGAGAAACGGCGAGAACAATCTCGTCCAGGGCCGCTGGGTCTCGCCTCCGTGTCTTCACGCGCCGAGGTGAAGACCTTCTGAGGCCTCGCCTTTCTGTTCTGTCTGTTGTTAAGGCAAGGATGTTGGGCCGCGCCAGAGACCGGCACCGCGGCTCGGTTCGAGCGCGGCGTGCTCGGTCACCAAAGACGTTGAAGTGCCTGGCTTGGCGCCCGAGAACGTTGCCAGGATGCAACGTTCAGGGATTGGATCGGGGTCTCCCTGCATCGGGGAAAGCGTTCGGCGTTCCTTCGTCATGTTGCCGGCTTTTGATGAAGGGGAATCATGGCATGTGGTCCTCCACTTCTTCCTGGTATGTAACAATGGATATCTGAGACGGATGACACTGTGAATTCCGTTGGCGGTGATTGGTGTTTGCGGACACCTGCTCGCGCTGACCTGGCTGGTCGAAACGTTGGGTGCTTGTATGTAATGACCGACCTTTGCGGCCGTCAGGTGAGAGCTTGTGGCGAAACGTTGTACGGAGGGATTCGTTTTGCGAGGACGAGGAAATCGGAACCTTTTTAGCAAGTAAAGACCTGCCATTATTCTTGTGCTGGTTGACTTGACCTCAGGCGTTTGTAATTTTGTATGTCTTTGAAACGCGACTGGCCTGCGGTTTGTCCACAGCAACCTCAGGGTTCGCCCTCCGTTTCCTAGTCGGTGAGACTCGACCAAAACCTTCCATCCCCACTGTTTTCCGGGTGGGGACCCCGACGAAGTAAACTCGCTTATCTTGGATTCCATACCTCGATACCCGATGCCTGTTGTCTTCAGTTCCCGAATGTCGGCTGGCGCACTGCATCGCCATCGATGTCGTGGACACATGGGCTGGGAGAGTCAAGGGGAATCAGCCTACGCGGAGCCCGGACCAGCTACAAAATCGGCCACTCAAATTGGGATGATTCGCACGTAAACCCCGGTCGGCTCTGTTTATAAGTGGTGTCAACATCCCTCAGCTGTCAGCAGACAGACGACACGCATCCGCAAAGCAGATCCCGGACGCCGATACCCGACGGGCGTCATGTCCAATTCGATGGGGAACGATACGAACGTTGCACAGAAATCGGGCATTCTATCTGTGCGTGCTGTGTCAAACCGAGGCCGCACTGACTGGCCGTTCGCTTGGACTTTTCGGAGTATGTCTAGGTACATACTCGCTCTCGAGGCCCCGGGCCGCGGTGTCTAGTCCAGTTGGCCAGGGTCCAGAGGTTGCACGGCCTTGCTTAACCAGATCCTCAGAAATGCAGCACATACATACTTACATCCAAGTTGCCAACCATACGTGTGTCCATAAATACAATGCAAGGTTGTGGCAGAAACGCGTGGTGAACGTTGCGTAACGAACGCCCGCATCTCCCAACCCCTGTCCCAAGGGAAGCCGCATTGGCACAAGCCAAACACCACGCCTTTCTGTGGTTCTTTCGGGTTGGGGGTCAAGAATGTGGGGGTTCCACGAATACTCTCCTCCAATTCTCAATTGCAGGCCTTGGGGGTTGGTTCTCCTGAGACGTGTTTCGAGGAAGTTGGCCCCTGATCGAGTGCGGCGCAGCGACGACCCCTCTGAAAAGGCGGGACGGTCTGGCCCGGCCTGGACAGACTGGCCGTTCTTGGGTGTTGGTGACGAGTACGTTTCGAGTTTCGCTTTTTGGGGACTTTGTTTGTTCGTCCGAAAGAATAAATATTCTTGGAAACGGATGGCGAAGCTGCGTACCTCCTCCGTTCGCACGGGGTAAAAGGGCGGTCCGTTGCTGCAGCTGTGCCGTGCAACCCCATGGGGCTGGCTCCGCGGTGTCGGGTCAGTGCTGGTTTTTTATTAATTGTCTTGTCTCGGGACTGTCACTTTCTGCGTAGGTATTCAAGGTGACAGCGGTCGAATTTTCCATGGTGGCAAACCTTTCATTGGTGCCCCGTTGTGCGGTTGTCACTCATCACTCCGGCCGGTTACCGCGGGCGAAGACAGGTCACAGGTTCCTGGCGAGCCCCTTGGATCTGCGACGCAGGAAGGGTGCAGGGGATCAATGTTTCTTTTGCTGTTCCGCCGTCTCAGTATTGAGAAAAAGTCGTGGGCTTCGGACTCGGGACAATTTCAGCTGCCCCTGGACTATTGGAGGATGATTCTTAGACGGGTGACGATCAGCTGCTTGAACCTCACGTGGTGAGCAGTGTCTGCTCAACTGGCTGACGTTGCAATTCGAATAGCATGCTGGTTAAACCACGTGTTGAGATTTGCGGACGTTCGAGGATCAGCACCAAAATTAGACGTCCAAAAAGCTCGCCCTGAGCTTCCAATTGCTGTGACCGAGAGGGCAACCGAGAAGGAGGTGTGAAAGAATTCATGTTGTAGCAGGGGTGATTGGATGTGGGGGCCAACGTGCGTCCGGGACGTCCCGCAGGTTTTGGTGGGGGGTTGCTTATGCCTCGAAGTGTGGGAATTCCTCTTGGTTTTGAGAAACCCGGTGGTCAGAAAGTTCAACGAGGAGGGAACGGACCGACCAAGCCTGTCAAACGTGCTGTTGATTACTTCCGGTAGTTCGTTACTTCGGATATTGGACGCAAAACCAGAATCCAGGGTTGGATGGACGTCTGGACGATGGCCGCCTGGCACGACGTCTTACATGCATTTTCAACCTTCTGGCCCTGTTTCTCGACCTGGGTACGGATCCGTTTCCGCGCGAGAAATCAACAACGGATATGCCCGAATTCCAGGATGATGACGACAAGAGTTCCCATGATCGCTTCCGAAGTCACGACATCTCGCAAGACAAGGCCGCCGTGGTTTGCCAAGAGAGGAGCAATTTCGCATCGTCCCAAAGCCACGGCGTCGCAACTCGAGCATGAACCACAGCGACGGGAAAACTGGGGTCTCCGCTTTTTCGTTGCGGGCGCCGACAAGGGAAAGGTGTATGTACCAAATTCGGTAAGGCATCGTCTCTCACACACACCAACACACACCGGGAGCACTTCCGCGAACAGGGATCAAAGTGATATCGGGCTTTGGGTTACCGGAAGCGCCTCCCGGGGTTGGTGAGATTGCGCCTTTGACAGGGGCTTTCGGGTCCTCGGCGTGGGGTGAACGGCGCCACGGAGGTATCATGTGAGAATGAGAAACCCCCTTTTGCGAAACGGTGTTGAGGCATCGCCATGGATTTTACAACCATGTGAGATCGATTGGGAGTCAGAGCGAGGTGTGGCCATGGCAAGCACTTGGGAGCCGTGGGAGAATGCCGCCCAACGTGGGAACAGGCCGTGCTGAAAGTTGGCTGTGGTGATCGGAACGGGCACCGTTGTGACAAACGGGATCACGGGGCAGGAGAAAATCATCACCGGAGAAAACTGGCGCCTGCTGGGCTTTGCAGAGCCACTGAGCGCCCGCCATCCTGGCTGTGTCAGCACAACACCGTTCGCGGCCATCAATTTGACCATCACCCCTGCTCATAAGTACGAGTCGTCAGTGAACTGACTTCTGACCAAATCCCTGTGATTGCGAGTTGAGTGATTCCAGCACCTGAACAAGCAAGCTGCCTATGCAATTGGGCCGTTCGAGTGCCCAACTGATCGTGGAATGAGCGCCCGCGGCGTGGGTCGTCCGCTGTGCGCATTGCCTCACTTGGCTTCTCCAAAATGAACCGGAAACAGCCACCTCAGTCGGCAACAGGAGCAAGCAATTAAAGAAACGCACTCGTGATCATGGGTTGGCTGATGAGCAACAGGCACGACTCAAGCCCTGGAGGCCGTGGACCGAATTGAGTGGTGGAGAGGATTTGCGGGGAAACGGCCTGGGCTTTCCAGCTGAGAGCACCTGACTTGCTTTGCGGCGGCAAGGCTGCCTCCTGACTCCCCCCGGAAGCTATGCCGATTTAGGAAAGAGCCAAAATCGGCTTCCTTCGCCCCTTGCGACACGCACTGGCACAGAGAGCAGGGAAAATAACGTTCGCGCCAAAAGCAACGGCCGCGAGAAGAAACGAGGGGAGGAAGATACCTCGTGTGGCGCCATGTTTTTCAATTCATTGCCTCGTTTGCGACAACGGATCCTAAAAATCGCGTTGTTGGGTTTGAACCGGTTGTTCGGGAAACCTCTGAGTCGCGACGCTGTGTTCTTGCCTCTTTCAGACAATGAATAATGCCGTTTTGGGGTTGGTGACGGAAAAGTGGGATCCCCCTTCCGTTCAGAATGAGGCTGCGTTTTACGCGACAAAACGCCGTTGGCAAGATGCACATGACCTGAGAAAAGTTTACTTCTCTTGGTGGTTTAGCGGTGCTGGGTGCACTATGCCAAATGGGGCGATATTATGGCCCAGCTTACCGTGTTAAGAATAGTGGCTCAGCGGCGGGGCTGGGCCAGGGTTTTCGGTCCGTTCGTGCGAGGGAGGTCGCTGGTGGTCTTTGTACCTCCGTCGGGTTCTCCTTCACGACTGTTGCTCAGTCTCCGTAGTTTCGTAGACTTAGATAGTTCGCTGGTTAATGAACTTCGGGATTGATGATAGCATCATCACTGTCACCGGTTTTAACTTGGTCAGATTCACTGCGCTCTCTGGGGTGCGAGCAATTGCGATTCCAAAGTGCAGTGGTCGAAATGCGTGCCGAGGGTACAGATGTACTTGCCAGGTACGTACTCTTTCTTTTGCCCCTGGACCCTGTTTCCATCACACGCTTTGCCACCAATCCCTCTCCTCGGCTCTCCTGGCTGGTACGCCGGGGAGATGCGAAGGATTGTACTGGTACCGGGAACTGAGACTGACCGGGGTATGGTGGTCGTGGGTACCTGCCCTGGTAATTGCTTTTATTCACCGCGAATCGAACCCACATCCCACGCACCTGGCCCTGGCCCAGTGGTTGGCGCCCCGACAATTCCCTTATACATGTACTTCGCATCCGCTCCCCACCACACCTCCCTTCCTTTCCAATTTCTGAGCTTCAGCAACACCACACGACGTTGATACGGGAGTTGATCGCCTGTGAACATAGTCGTCAACTCGGAATCCCGTCACAAACAACTCACCAAGTCGACACAAGAACCACGCTCTTGCCGACGACGAGTATCCAACCGGACGCGACCTCGACGACTTACCAACTATTTATCTCGAGAAACGACAACGAAGTCGATCCAGAGCAACCGAGTAACAAAGACCGAAAGGCATTGTCAGAATTCTCTCCCATACAAGAATTGTCGGCGTCGAGCAGATCCAACGGTCGCGCCTTGGGAGTCCCCACACTACGAAACACGGGAGCAACAACCAGGGACCCACGTCTGAATCTCGAGTTAGCGAAAGTGGACTTCGCTCTTTCCTCTGATCACTGCTCGGAACCTGTTCGAGAATTCGAACAATTGGCAGTCACCATGCCCATGTCATTAGAGGCACCAGTCCTCCAGGTGGACGCAAATGTGATTCACAAGGTCGACACAACAAACCCTGCAAACCTTTTTAGCATGTGGACTGGTGAGTTCAATGGCAATACTTTATTAGTGATCTAAGTTTACTGACCACAGCGACCAGTCTTTGCAAGGTGTCGTGACTCAGTCGCTCAAGGGCGGCGGCTTGAGAATCTGAGCTGGCGCTTGTGGAACAGGGAAACATTTTGCTGCGAAGGCGAGGAGCTGCTTATTTCCTCTTGCGCTACCAGCCAACCGCGGGATATCCAATATCCGCGTGAGACGGCCGTGGAGGACCTCCCGCAACTTTCTGGCAGCGTTGATTCAGTCGCCGACGAGGAGGCGGTCGATATGAGCACAGACACCACACCGGTCGACATTGTACGACCGAGGATACAGAGGCAGGATTCGTGTGCTAGCAGCCGGAGTCGTGGACGGGAACGCCATATCACTTCGGATGAGCTGGAGAAGATGGTTGTCTCTATCATGGAGGCCAAACAGCCACTCAATGCCCCCCTTCCCAGCATCCCACGCTCCCCATCCAGTGAGAGCAGCGTGGTCGAGCCAGAACAATCAGGATCGGCCACTTCAGAGTCGCCATGCGAAACCTCGGAGGATGCCTTGACCGATTTGCCCCCCTCGCAACAAACCCCGGAGCCAGAGCAGGAGGCGCAACCCCGTACTATCGTTACCCGTGGTTTCTCGCCATCCCCGATCCCCGTGAGCCAAATGGCGTTGGCGGCATCCAAGGTTCCGTCGCCATGCGCCATCCCTGAGCCCACTGGTTCACCGGCGCCGAAGGTCATTCTCCCGAAGAAGCAGCAAGCAAAGTTTGCGCTTGGTGGCTCCTCGGGATCAGACGAAGAGTCCTTTAAGGACCGTGATCTGGAGACGAGAAAGCTTGCCGTCCGGCCCGGAAACAAGATGTTCCAGCTCGGAGGCTCTTCCGGAGACGACTCTCCTCAGTCCGCGTCGCAATTGCAAAGGGCCGTCGCAACGAGCAATGGGCAAAAGAAGACGGCTTCGTTCAACAACCAAGTCGTCACACAGACTTTCACGTCCTCTGCCATTAGCGATACCGAGGACGACTACCTGGACGAGAGCGCCATTGACGACGACGATGAAGATTGGGAGGAGGAGGAGGCCGAGGAGACGGGCAGCTCGATGGGCGAGGACAAGATCCACTTCAGACGCGTCGATTCGTCTGCAAACCTCCCATCCCGGCGGTCGCTCATCACCCTCATGCTCGCGCATAACGACCGGACTCAAAGGCTCGGCAATGTGGCGTCGCAGTCGACCTCGGCCCTTCCTCGCACCAGGGCATCTCTCAATGGCCCGTCTTTGGTTGCCTCCCCGAACGACTCGGATGAGGCCCCGTTGATGATGAAGAGGGGCACCGCGCGCGCCCCGCCGATGCGCCCCATCAACGAAGTTCCTCGTTCCGCCGCACAGCCCATCAACGTCAATGCTTCAGGCATGCAACACCACGCAGCCCTCTCGCCGCGCACCACCCGGCGCAACATGCTCTCGACCGAGCTGACCGAGTCCCTGCGAAGGGGTCTTCTTCGCGAGCGGTCCCAGAAGGCCTCGACGGCCAATGCAGTCCTCAAGCGCCGGCACACGTCGACCGATGTTGCGAACCTGAAACAGTATCCCGAGAAGCCCTTCATGAAGAAGGAAAAGGACGTGGATACCGACCCAACCAGCTGGGATAAATACTTCCAGAACCCTTTTGCAGGATATGCGCAAGCCTGGTAATACCCTAATACCTATTCACCGACCACGCCTGCGACTTTCCCATTCTTGCATACGATACGATACCCGGAGGCAACAGCCTTTCTTTTTGGCAGACGGTTACCTCTGCCGTGTATTACTCGGCTCAATGAAACCAGCATGGTTTATGAGCTGATGCATCACCCGGTTGGAGTTTTAGGAAGACAAACATGGATGGAGGGTTCATCACGGGCTGTTTTTTACTATTTCTTTTCTCTTTTTCTTTTTTACCATTCAGCGGCGTTTCTGGTCACAATGATACCACGGTCTGCATTTTTTCTCACTCTCCCACACTTCTATCAAGAAGAGAAGTGTGTATTCTACCAAGGGAAGCCCCGGCGGGCAACCGCGGGGTAGCACTCCTATTTTTTTCTCCTGCTCCCGCGTTTTGTGCGGGCTGTTGGCGGGTTTGGAGCGGGGCCGCATGAAAGGGAGAAGAAAATGGGTCAGGTGGAGGAGGGACAAAAAGGGTAGACACAGCGAGTGGTTTGTGGAGTTGTCTCAACTCGAGATGGCGCTGCCTGTCTGCTTGGACGTCATCGTCGCAAAGCTAAAAATTTCAAAAAGTCATCAAAAAGACAGCCAAAACAATCCAAAACGTTATTTAAAAACACTTGACATTCCTTGAGTGACATGATGGCGAGCCGTTTTCTTGGGAGGTTCCGAAAGTGCGCTCTGTCCATGTACCAACCACCCAACCTAACCACCCTTGCGATGTTTGTCTGAACAGAAGTTCGAGTCTCTGCCCACGATGAACTGAACTGAGGAATTGTGGAGATCCGGGGACCGGCTTCAATAGGTACCGAGCTGCCGACCAACACCATCCCTCCCGCGTCATCTCTCCCTCTCCAGATCTACAACGGAGCTACGACAGACGGTTAGACTCGATCACTCGTTTTTTTTTTGTTTGCTTGCTTGCTTGCGGGCTTAGTTATCCCTTTCCTCGCCCGTCGTACTCGGGTTGCTTGCTCTCCCTCGATTCGACTCGACGACTTACACAATAGTTAGACGGCAACCGCCGCCGCCCCTCGTCACTGTCACATCTCGTCATATCTTCCCCGCGCCTTTGCTTGATCTTCTTGTTCTGGTTGGGGGGGGGTTCTGGCCCCTTCCAAAACCGTTGGAGATCGCATCAGTGGCTTGCGGGTACCTTACCTTAAGATTGGAACAAAGACGAGGCGCCTGGGCGGGCGGGATGGATGGGGCGGGCTGGGGAAGGCGGGGAGGGCGGTGGTGCCGACGGTCGTCGGGCTTTAAAAAGGGGTGCGGTCCAGACTCAGAAGACAATTAGGGTTTTGAGTTTGTTTCCCGTTCGAACTTGCCTTGTTGTTTGTTCTCGGCCGGTCCGGCTGTCTGTCTTGTGTCTTGTCTGGCCTTGCCTGCCCCCGGGCATGGCTGGTCCGGTCCCGAGATGGGCTGACTTGCGGCCGGGAGGGCGTCTTTTCCCTTTCTTTCGGTTTCTTGTTGTTGCTGGGAGCTGGCGCGTCTTTGCTGTTTGTGCCACGTGGGAGAGGATTGTTTGGAGAGTCATGTGAAGACGCCCACGATAGGATAGGGGAGGTATGTAGGGGGTACACGGACACACGTACATGCGTATGTACATACATACATTCATTCCCATCGCAAATCGGGGAGGATGCCGTCGACGGCCGTGAGATGAGCTCGTGCTTTTTTAAGGCTGGTCATGATGAGCGTTGTGTTCTCTGAGAGGCGGTTGATGATGAGTTCGGCAGACTTGGCAGGTACCACACCTCCATTGACACGATGTGCCATCACCAACACCACCACACACCCCCGTCCTCCCCGATCGGATCGAGACCACACCCACTGTGACACCCATGCGACACTACCGGCGGCACTCTCTGGTGTTACTTTAGCCAATTTTACCGTCGGCCCAGACCCTTCTGTCTTCCACTGTCACACTGAACCACATGCTCCAACGTTTTAGCGTTGAGTAAGCAGAGGTGAGGTCACTGACATGGCCCTTTCCAGGTTTTGATGTCCCCATCCATCGCTGTCACCGGGGCCGGTTCCGTTCCGTTCTTTTGCAGCAGGGGCACCGGGCCGACGCTGCATCGCGGTACAGGTCACAAAGTGTCACCGGACCGTTGGCCAATTTCGCGGCTTCATTTAGCTGCCGGAAGACAGCAGAGACGAAAGCTGTTGTTGTTGGGTACACTTGCCGAAGTGGGTATTTCTACCCCCATGCCAAACGGCTCGCCAGATTGCTGTGAAGATCTCGATGGTCGAGATGCTTGGCGCGAAGTCAGAAGACATGTTTAAAATGTGTGACCCTGGGCAATTGCAGCCGAAGAGGCTATCGAATACGTTTCCAACCCTTGTTCGCAAACCATTCCAAATATTCTCAGACGTTGAGATCTCGTCGCAGCACGTGAAGAATTGACGATGGCGATCGGCAGTGTCCGTGTGTCCGTGTTTGGGGTTCCATTCAAGCTCCGGGTGAAATTTCTTGTTACGGTGATAGTTTCCGTCTTGTCCATAAACAAACACCACGGACTCTTGACAGGTAGCCATCTCGTCTGCCCGGTCTCCTTTACACTGTTCACATGTCTATCCGGATTTTAGCGGCAGGGACAAAACGAGAGAATGACGACATTGATTCCTACCGAAACGGCCCCTAACCGTGGTGCCGTTCAACGCTCGCCGATCGCACTAACGTCGACGCGCATCGCGCTCCGGGGACCCCTCATCATCGGTGGATTTAGGGAACGGAGCTAGGAGAGAGTCGTACGTTTTCAACAATCAAGGCATTGATATTGTTACAATTCGATCGGGCAAGCGTTAGTTTCAACGTGAGAAAAGGCAGCTGATCTCGAATTCCGTTTTGTTTAATTACCTAGGTAATTGATGAGTTGACTTTTCTTCTGTTCCATGTGAGGCAAGCGCGGTAGGAATCCCGATGAGTGGGGTTCTCACGTTCGCAGCTCAGCTCCCGCCGTGACGAGCGAGCCGGCGCTCGTTGTCGAAGTTCGGAATGCCTCAATCAGGGCCCAATAGGTAGCATGGAACTCCTTTGACGAACCGGCGCGCGGGGTGGTTGGTTGGGTACACCTTCAAGTGAACGGGAGAGGGTCGTTGACGCCGGTGTTTTCCAGGGCTGCCCAGGGTAGGGAGGTATGTACTCATACAACATCGGGGTGTCAAGACTCAGCCTTGGAAATACAATCGGGCCATTTATTAATTGTTATAATTTGCAAATCCAATTTATCTCCATTTTCTCTCAATAGGTACGGTACTGTGTCGAGACTGGACTTTTTAGCGGGTTTCGGGCCACCACAACAACTGCGGGTTCGTCTGCTTGGTTGGATCGCGGCTTCCGCAGCGAGCACACCACAAATGGATGACAGCAAAGGCCCCGCTCACAAACGGGAAAAAATAAATAATAGAGGGGTAGCTCCTGCCTCAAGATTTTACTCTTTTCGTATGCCAATGGGCAATGGGAGGTGGTGCGTTGGCAAGGGGCAGGTAAGGGAGGTGTGGTGTTGCATCATTCCCGCGGTAGGGCTTGTCGAGGGCTGCCCGAATGCGTGCCCCGCCACGGCATGTTCCCTCACGAGCAGTCGTGTACAAATCATTGCGTGTTGCGCCCACTCACCGACTTTTGAGGCTGCAATTTTGCGCCAGAACATGACCTCTCTCCGCTCGGCCTTGGGTTCTCACCACGGCTCGGCAGCCAGTCTTTTCGTTTGCCGATGGAGGCGGAGGGGGGTGCGGGAGAAACCTCGCAGCCGGTCCTTTCCGCGTCCATCTTCAGGCATCGAGCCCCTGCCATGGGGAGACCAGCGTTTTCTTCACCCTCAAGAAAAGTAACTAGCAAACGGTCCGCAGTAGCCCCGTGCATAACATGCAGTGGCCGACATAACCTCCGAGGAAGTGCCTTGCCCCGACAGAGGGGGTACCGGACACGCCGGGAGCAAGATGGGTAGTTTTTGGCCAGAGCGCGAGATCTTGAAATGCGTTCCAGCTTGTCGCCAACAAGGCCAAGACATTAAGCCACCCTTCAGCTTTCTTGCCTGACTTTCACCAAGCATCCGAATCTCAATCATCACCTTACTAGTAGTTCGGGACCCAATTGAGTCTCACGGACGAGTAAGTTTGAAGTTGCCGAGTGTTGCAACTTACAAGCAGAAGCGGGACCATAACCACAAACGACTGCTCATCATTGGTGCATTCATCATCATCCTCTTGACTTCCCAGCAAGTGTTCTTTAAAACAGGGGTAGTTGCAGCAATTCACCGTCCCTGTGCCCCGCTGACATACAAGTATGTTCAAGAGCTAACAGACCGAGAGTCAAAACCTTCACTCACCAACTCGCTGAGCGAAGCGGGAGTCGGGCCTTCGTCGGTCAGCACCGGCGTATCATTCAACCCATTCCACCCGACCCTCCACCAGCCCCTCCAGCCAGCCAGCCAGGGGGAAACGGAACCTCGGCCGACCTCGAACCCCACCCCGTTTAGGAAGGCTTCTAGAAACCTTCGCCGGGCCCCACCCGGTCCACACCGGGACGTCGCCGGGAATGATATCGGGCGCACACCGGACTCCGGGGCTGCCGAGGTCGTGACCGCTCGGCACCCCCCCTTCCCCCCCCATCCTCCCCAACCGCTTCGAATTCGCTCCCGGCCCCGGTGCTCGGTCTCGCCGGAGATTCCTGACCATGACGTAACCAGCACACAGCACGCCATTGCATCGGAGCAGACTAGGACTGAGTCGGATCCCGCTGCGGTCTCGGAACATGACGGAGCCAGCGCCGGCCTGACTCGGGAGGGAATCAGGGGAACCCGTCGGTACATGGCCGAAGTAGCCGGTACGCTCCTCGTGTGGCGGCGGCGGCGGCGGCGGGGCGGCTGCGGGGCGGCGGCGGGCGATGGGATGGGCTACCCAAGCTGAGGGCGAGATCTCGATCTCGTTGTTTTTTTCAGCTACCATCCCTTTCTTGTACAGTACGCAGCGAGAAAAAAGTCCAGACGAACGGCGCACCCAAACACCAGTTGCGGCATGTGGGGACCGGCCGTAGCGCCGGCGGACCCGGCGGGCGGGGAGCGGACGGGTGGTGGGAGAGCGAGCTTTTTGCGCGACGTGGGGGGGAGGGGTTTGTTCACATGTCGGTGGGCGAGTAAGTGTCTTTTTGTTGTTGTTGTTGATGTTTCGTCACCCTAGGGTGCATTTTCAGAGCGTGTCGGTTGCTATGGGTGTGGTTTGGTTACTCGTAGACTCAAACGGCGCGCAGAAGCCCGGCGAGAATCACCGCCATAGCAAGCGCTCTCCCCTTCCTCTTCTTTAACTCCAACTTACCGTGTAAACTCCCCATTTCCTCGGCTCAAGCGTTCAACACAAGCTTGTCACTCATAAGCCCCCTTGAAAGAGGATAGCTAAAGCCGTGGCAACATGCCACCATCACGACACCCTTGCCTGTGAATCGGATCGGGCTGCTCTCGCGATGGTATCGCATCATCACGAGCCTCCCGTCGATCGATTGCGCCTCCATCCCCATGTGGCTATCAAACTCTGCGGAGGGTGGGCGGGGAAGCAAAATTTTCACATCCCTTGGTGTGAGGTTGTGGTGGTGAGACCAGGGCTGCTGTGTACAGCTTCGTCTAAACAAGTCGTGGAGAAAACCTGGGGTATGGGGTAGTGGAGTGGGTGATGAGTTGGTGGGCGGGCCTGCACAGTACGAGCAATTTCTTTCTCTCGGGTCCCCCTGAGATCTCGAGGCGGGTGGCTGATGATGGCCATCGTGACCTCGTGATTTGCCGCCTGTGGGATTTGGTCTGATGTTGGGTTGTGGTAGAGTCATGGGGCTGTGAGCGAGATGGGACGGTGATGTCAGGGCTCTGTAGGGCTATCACGAGAGCGGAGGCTCGAGAAAAAAGGGTTTATTTTCTATTTTGTGTTTTATCGATCAATATTATCGTGTCTCGTCTGATAGAGACCAGCGTTTGCGGCTACGTAGGTATGAAGCCGCCGTTTCTCGCGAACGCTATCGAAGGTTCAAGATGGGCTGGCCCCCTTTCATGTATCGTACTCAAACAGCAGTTCTGACATTAGGGCTAAGGCCTCTAGTTGCATCGGCTTGACCGTTATGTCACCGGATGGCCAAAACCTTTTCTCCTTCCACAAGTTTATTATCCTGTTCAGCAATCAGCATGTATAGGTCTGGGGGGAACCGGCTTGTACATACCGGCTCGGTACCCGACGACTGGCCTACTACGTAAGGTCTACGGCCTCATGTTCTCGTATGTTGCCTCTTCACATGTCAATATTGGGACAAGCCAGCATCATATGACCCTTAGGGCTGAAATAAAGGACACCTAACTGTCCAGAGTAAGCCTGTTCATGACGTATCCTTACGAATGTTGGGATTAATAGAATCTACCAGAACCCTTGGTACCTACTGCGATGTGTTCGGTACCTTTGCGCGTTCCGCCGTAGGTAGAGTGTTCGAGCTAGGGAGATGGAGGTGAACGGAGTTTCCAAAAGTAAGAGTGTCGATGATTCATCCCGGGCTCAGTCTCGTCACCGTTATGATGAATGGATGAGAAGTGCGTCACTAATTCGAATATCGTATGAGAAACGGTAGCTACCTAGATATGATGTGGACAACCTAGACGCGAGGGCTATGGTTCCGAAGCTAAGCGGCAGTTTGGTCAGAGCCGGTGCCCGGTGCGCAGTTCTGTATTTTCTCAAATTCCTTGGTGCTCGTATATGTGTCGTTGCATCAGTATGACTTGGAGGATATGGGGTCCCAGCGGAGTTCAAGGACGAAGAGGACGTCCCCGGAGAGGAGAATGAGAGGTTTGTTAGTAGAGATCTCGGCTTTCTAGGATTGTATGGAGCTGGAGTTGCCCAGCTACTATCGTTCACCATTTTGATATCAGTTCCCTAGTGTTATTCAACCCTAGGTTTGGCGATGTTAGGACTCGTTTATAGTCTGAACTCGAGCTTCCAGAATGCACCACCACCAACCAACCAACCAACCAACAACAGCAGAGGATCGTCGGAACCCATCATTAGCAAAGGAAGGGCTATTGGATGTAACCCCACGCAGCCGAGTAACACGTATCCGATGTATGCGAGGGCATTCCGAGCCGAGAAAGCCACCCGTCGCATTCCTCGGATTGGCAACAGACAGCTCGCCTGAGCGGGCCAATTATACGTCTCCCCTGATAGCTCAACATGGGCCACCGATCCAAGCATTGCTGCATTCTCTATAAAGACCCAAGCAGTCCATCCCCGTTAGATTTGGATTCCCGTGTTTCCCTTCCGAATTGCTTCTATCGGAGCCACTTCTACAACCAAGGTCCCAGCTCTTGTCTAGCCAGCCACCGGAACCAACGCCTATAAAACCACCAGCCACCCCCACATGATTACCCTGAGCATCATAATTGATACTTGTCGGTATCGTTTGCCCTTGTTCCCCTCTCAACATTCCCCTACCCTACATAGGAACCCTAACCGCTCCAGCCCCCTTCTCACCATCCACCCACATTCAGGTCATCCTGCTTAGATGGCGGTAGCAGTCGGCTAACTACTCCAACTCTCCGGAGTACGGACGTGGATACGGGGCAGGTTCCGGAGGCTCACACACGAATTCCACACACGAATTCCGAGTGTTTCGACGACCGGACCATGCTGGTGTGTGTTGCACCGAGGAATGGCTGGATAGGGGCGTACCAGCCCGAGCCGAGGACTGCAGCGGGCAGTCGATCGCCAACAGGATACTTCTGGCAGACAACGACCGCCGGGTGGATAATGCCGGGATATCCTCGCTCAGCCGACCAGCTCGGTCCGGACGTAGTTCGTAGGCCACTCGGCGTACTTCTTGTACCGGTCGGGCAGGTTGGCGGCGAGCTGCTCCATCCAGGCGATGCAGGACTTTTCGCGGTAGGCGAAGCGGCGGCCGACCTCGCCGAGGGCGACGTAGCCGATGGCGAACTCGACGAGGACGAAGTGGATGAGGAGGAGCTGCGCCGGGTAGTGCTTGGGGTCTACGAACGGGGCAAACTCCTCGAGAGCTGCGTGCATGACTAAGCCGTAGTGTCCGGACAACTGAGCAAAGGCTGGGCACGGGGTGTCAGCTTAGGGGAAGGAGGGTGAAAGCGATGGGTTGAGGGAGAACTAGTACTGACCTTCGGTAGGGGAGACCCTCGCGACCTTGACGACGCGCTCAGTGGAAGCTAGAAACTTGACCTCCAACGAGCTGGTGCAAAGGGGGCCGAGGGCGCGCAGGGACTTGAGAAAGCCGTCAAGGAGGTCTTGTTCTTTTGCCTTGAGGACGGCCGGGGCTGCCCCGAGGATCTTCCGGACGCTGTCGCCATAACCGCTTTGATTAAAGGACCGGAAGAGGGAGTCGTGGTACTCGGTCATTGTTGTACTCGCAATGACGTGGCAGCCTCTTATCATGGACATGAACTCGGTCATGCCCTCGGGCATACACGAGGCTTGAAAGGCTAGCGCTAAGATGGCAGCATACCTGGCATCTGCTTCCGCGGTAGACTTTGGCGGCGTGCTCAACGCTTGGTTTAATAGGGTGATGGCTTTGACTCGGTGGGACAAAGCGTGAGACGAAACGGCAGCACCGTATATGCCAAGGTGTGAAGCGGCCAGGCCCAGCATGGCGTGCATCAAGTAGTCATACTGGCACGCGCCCGTCAGCACTGTCATTCGATGGACATTTCAAGTAGGTATACACCACGGGGAACTGACGGAGTGCGCTAAGGGTGCTACATTCTTCCATATCTCGTCACCTTTCATGGGAAGCGGGGGATAGGCGGTAACTAGGAAGTGGTGGAAGAAACGCATGTCGTCCGGGGTAAATAGCGTCGTAGTAGACTGGAGCGGAATCGAGGGTGAGGGTATCATGGATAGTGATGTCGACTCGATCGGCGTCGGGGAAATCTGTGATTGCCGGGGGCGACTGTCGGGGTACTCGCAGTCTAGGCCGATGCGGGTGCAGTTGGAGCATTCGGGTCGTGACTCCTGGCATTTGACTTTTCTGCGCTTGCAGTTGAGGCAGCCTCGGCGCGACTTGGTGTGGCCCTTCCGAGGAATCGGCCTCCGGCGAACCCTGATGCTTAACTCGGCGGGATCCGGCGACGGGGTTCCGGTAGCCGATATCAGGGCGGAGCCCGGCGAGCTGACCGGGTCCGCATTCTCCGAGCTCATGGTTCCACCGGTTCCGGTTCCTGGTCTGCTTGCGACCTCACCCGGGATAACTCGCAACAGCGGAGGCGTCGTCGATCAACCAACTGAAGTGAAACGTGAGGAAGCCAGCAAGACGGAAGAGCGCAGAGACAAGAGAAGTTCGGGTGTGTGCCTTGACATTATGCAGCCACCAAAGCTGACGTTGATGCTGTCGTCAGTCAGAGTTGGCCGAATGTCAGCCTCCGGGAGTGCAATGGCCCGAAGGCCGCGAATGCAACTCTCATTGTTCCCACTTGCGACCCTTGAAGCCTTGCGACCGTTAATTGGGAGCCAAGACCAGGGGGGTGCCGTCGCCAAGAAACGGAGCCGTCCCCAGTTCGAACATGCTGGAGAAAGTGAATCGGGATGGAATCTGTGATTAGGTATATGTCCTTCGTTTACTGTCGAATGAAGAGACTCAAGGGGCGAGGTTAATACCTGACTCCATCTCCTAGAATAATTCTTGTGCGGAACGAAATGAAGGTGGAGTTGCATTCGGTGGGCAGTTACTGCGTCGGCCGGAACGTAGAAAGGTATGTACCTCGGTCCGTTGGTACCTTCCCGCCTCGGACGGAAACACCTTCGTTATGTCTTTTTTTACTGCTTGTCGGGATGGCGTGCCCTACTCTGACTTGCTGTGTAGAGTGGCCAGCCGCTAGTGTCGGCGAGGACCTGGCTTTACGGAACACATATAGGAAATCTCCCCGGCCCTCGGCTTGGGGGATGGATGCCCTGGGCTTGGCCGTCCCATCTCCACGGAAGCCCTGGCAGCACAGGATGAACACCACAACCCGACCTTATCTATATTCTTTAAAGAGCCATTCTTTATGCTGGCGGGTGGCCTTCGTGCTGTTCCGTTTACTGCGGTTATCTTTCTGCCCAGGGTTAGTTTTCTTTTGCTCGATCTACACAGTCGTTCGTTTCTTCTTTTGACTTCGTCCCGTGGTCTTCAACCCGGTCAATTCCTTTTTGCGATAAACGTCATGTGGGTTCTGAACGAGAAATGGTGGGTCGAAGTGACAGGCTTGGCGATCGGCAACGCGGGCTAATGCCTTGGCATGGCTCCGAAAGCGTACAAGTAACGATGAATCTGCTGTGCTGTGGAGGGCCTCCGGGGGTTCACTGTTCCACAGCTAGCTGGACCTAGTGCGTCATCGTGCCGCTTCGAAGATGCAGAGGAGAGCCAGCCTGAAAGAACCTCTCCGTGCCTCCTTCGCAAAGCGAGGGGGGCAGCTCAAAAGGACCAAGATTACTCAACATCTATCGACTGCTGCTCGCTGCGGCCGAAACGCCAACCCCCAGCGCGAATCTCAACAAAAACCACAACCTGTGTCTCGATTGGCGAAGCATACCGCCTGCGCCCATCTGCACTGTCTCACCTGCCATCAGCTGAATTGCAGGGTCCCCAGAACAGAACGCCAACCGAGGCCGCTCCCCGTGTGACCAAGATACAAAGTCGCAAACCTCGGCACACGACAGTTCCACCCACCATCGTAGTTCAATAACTAATTAAATACTAAGTTGCACGAGTACACTCCCCGATCAGTGAAGCTCTTTCGCGGAACGAGAAACATTTCAAGGAGCAAGGTGTCAGAGCTGTCTCCAACCAGCAGCTTCGCAACATGGTGTACAAGTACAGTGCCAAGCCGACGCCTCTGGGCAAGGTGCAAAAGCCCCCTTACACCATCGAGGCACCGGGTGCCCAGCCCGTGGAAGGCGAGACTATCCCGCGCCGGCATCCCAAAGCCAAAGATGGCCTGGTGGAGCGGCCAGCTCCGGATGTCAACACCACCTTCGACCTGTTGAAACGGAGTGTCGAGCACTACGGCAACGAGCCGGCCGTCGGCAGCCGGAAGCTGATTCACACCCACAGAGAGAAGAAGAAGATCCCCAAGGTCGTCGACGGCAAGACCACCGAGGTCGAGAAGGAATGGACCTACTACGAGCTGTCTGACTACACTTACATCACATACCGGGAGTACTTTACCCAGGTTTCACAGGTCGGCGCTGGTCTGAGGAAGTTGGGGCTATCGCCAAAGGATAGGTTGCATATTTTTGCAACGACAAGGTGCGACCGCCCCTCGAACCCGTTCTTATGTGGTGTACGTATTTGCTAACGCTCAGACGGACGGGATAGCCCACAATGGCTTTCCATGGCACATGCATGCTCCTCGCAATCCATGACCATTGTCACCGCCTATGACACCCTCGGCGAGAGCGGCGTTGAGCACTCGCTCGTCCAGAGCAAGGCGAACGCCATGTTTGTCGACCCGCACCTGTTTAAAACGGTCAACAACCCGCTCAAAAAGGCAGAAGCCGTCAAGTTTCTCATCTACAACGAGGAAACCCACCTCCCGGTGACCGATGACGAGATTGAGAAGTTCAAATCCGCCCACCCGGCACTCACCATCCTATCATTCGGCGAACTGCGCGCACTGGGCGAGAACAACCCGGCAGAACCGGTCGAGCCGAGCCCTGAAGAGATATACTGTATCATGTACACCTCCGGCAGCACTGGCCCGCCCAAGGGCGTTCCCGTCTCCCACGCGGGCTTCGTTGCCGCCGTGGCGGGCCTGTACTCGGTAATGGAGGAATCAGTGAGCCACAAAGAGTACATCCTGGCCTACCTCCCGCTGGCGCACATCTTCGAGCTCGTGCTCGAGAACCTGGTCGTCTTCGTCGGCGCCACCCTCGGCTACGGCTCCCCGCGCACGCTCTCCGACACCAGCATGCGCAACTGCTACGGGGACATGCGCGCCCTCGCGCCCACCATCATGGTCGGTGTCCCGCAGATCTGGGAGACGGTCAAGAAAGGCATCGAGAGCAAGGTCAACTCCTCGGGCCCCCTCGCCCGCACCGTTTTCAGCACCGCCCTCGCCCTCAAGTCCTTCCTGGTGCGCACCGGCCTCCCCGGCGGCGGCCTCCTCGATAGCACCGTCTTCAAGCAGGTGCGCGCCGTCACGGGCGGCCGCCTCCGCTTCGTCGTCAACGGCGCCAGCGGCATCGCCACCCCCACCCTCCACTTCATCTCCATGGCCGTCGCGCCCATGCTCAACGGCTACGGGCTGACCGAGACCTGCGGCAACGGCGCGCTCGGCTGCCCGCTCCAATGGAACCCCGGCACCGCCATCGGGCCCATCCCCGCCGCGGTCGAGATCAAGCTGGTCTCCCTCCCCGACCTCAACTACTCCACCGCCACGACCCCGCCGCAAGGCGAGATCCTCATCCGCGGCGCGCCCGTCTTCACCGCCTATCTCGACAACCCGGACGAGACGGCCAAGGCCATGACCCCCGACGGCTGGTTCCGCACCGGCGACATCGGCGAGTTCGACGCCGCCGGCCACGTCGCCGTCATCGACCGCGTCAAGAACCTGGTCAAGCTGCAGGGCGGCGAGTACATCGCGCTGGAGAAGCTCGAAGCCATCTACCGCGGCGCCGCCTGCGCCCAGAACGTCATGGTCCACGGCGACAGCTCGGCGCCGCGGCCGATCGCGCTCGTGCTGGCGAATGAGAAGGTGCTCGCTGAGATGGCGAAGGAGGTCGGGGTGCCCGAGGGGGCGGATCTCTATGCCGATAAGAAGGTGAAGGGGGCGGTGCTGAAGGCGCTGCAGGGGGTTGCGCGGAAGGAGGGGTTGAGTGGGATGGAGACTGTCGCGGGGGTGGTGGTGGTCGAGGAGGAGTGGACGCCGGCGAATGTGAGTATTCCTTTTTTTTCCCTTTCCCCATCTGTCTATTCCCAACCCACTGGTTGGTGGATGGTGGGAGATTATGGCTAGTTACTAACGTTGATGACAGGGCCTGGTGACGGCGACGCAGAAGTTGAATCGCAAGGCGATTAGGGAGAGGTACGGCAAGGAGATCAAGGCTTGCGTGGAGGGCAAGTGATTCATCTATACTTGGGACTGTTGATTCTTGGTTTCTAACTCGGCGATGCCGGGTCTGGGAGTGATTTTATTAGCATTCTACCTTGTGTTTGTCGTCTTGGAATTGGGCCGGGCGTAGGGTGAACAAGCACTTGGGCGGCGGCGTTGGGGATCTCGAACTGGAACTACTTCTCCATCTTGGACAATCTTGCACGCTGCTCTGGGACAAAATATTTCTGAAAACTTAGGTATCAAACTTGATGAACTAATGATGATATGATGGAACTAATGCAATGGTATCTCGATAACAATGCTTGGAGACGAACCTGTCCCGGGCGCCTTGCTTCCCCAACCTCTCTCATAACGCATTCCGGTCATTAACTCCCTTTTCTTCTTAGCTTCAACCCCTCTCAGAAAGCCCGCTCCCCATCTATATGAAGCGCCTCTTCCAGCTAATCGCTAATCGCACTTACTCCGTCTATCCAAAAAGCACCCCCCCTCCACCCACACCGCCACCCTACGTCCCCCTCCGCCGATAATAAACCATATACGCCGACGTATTCCCACTCTGATACATAGCCTCGGTCACGTCCCCAGACTGGCCGGCGTTACCAATCTTGACGCGGTCCACGACGTCGTCGTTGCAGCGGAACCAATCTGTCGGGTCCTTGGACAGCTCGTCCTGGACGTAGCTGTAGTAGTGCCCCCCGTTGATGCCCTGGCCGACGTGGACGGTGACGGCGTAGCAGTCGTAGCGCATCCTGCCGGCGAAGTGGCGGTCGTCGGTGGTGGCCATGTCCGGGTCGGGCTCGGCGCAGTAGCGCGTGAGGTCGAGGTCGCGGATCGGGAAGCGGACCTTGGAGTGGATCTTGCCCGACGACATGAGCCGGTTGCTGAACCCGCCGCCGCCGCCGCCGCCGCCGGCGCTGTTGAAGCGGTTGAGGCAGAAGGCGAGGCGGTCGGGCAGCCGCGCGAACTTGGCCTTGCGCGTGCGCCCGGGCTTGTTGCACGTCTCGCAGATCAGGTCGGGGAAGTGCTCCGAGGTTTGGTGGTTGGCGAGCAGGCTGTCGAGGTCCGTCGGGTCGTCCATGCCGGCGAGGTTGAGGATCCAGACGTCGCACGGCTGAAAGAGGCGGATTTCTTGCCGGCAGGCGTTGTTGTGGCACCGTGAGATAAACACCTCGAGCCCGCGGAAGTACTTGTCCACGACAGATGCGCTGGCTTTGGAGTAATCGTGCCAGTAGTCCACGGCATTTTGGATGATGGTGCCGTTCTTGGGTGTGTACGGCTTTTCCTCTTTGGGGGGCTTTCTGTCGCGGCGGACGTTGGTCTCGTCGTGGATATTGTCCATGATAAAAGAGTAAAACTCTTGAGCGTCTTGCTGCGAGCAGCCACCAAAGATGTCGCCGTCCGGCTTCTTTCTACCGTCCGAGCCCTTGGAATGAATAAAGTGGATGTACTCCTGTTTAATGTTAGCAACGGGCACATCGCAACAGTGACACAAGTACTGACCATGAACGTCTTGGCCGCAAGAGACCGGAACGACCCTTGGTTGAGCCAATGGAAAAGATTGGCCAGGCACTTGATGAGGAACTGGGGATTGTCAAGGTTCTCATCCGGCTTCATGGGCACCCTGTACGCATCCTTCCATTCGCCGGTCCACACCTCACGCGCGAAGCCCGGCGTGGCAAACATGGCTTGCAAGGAACTGTTCGCGAAGCAGAAGACGCCCGGGTTCTGCAGGCCTGTTCGGTGCTTCCGGACCGTATCGACGGTTTGGGTGCCGGACTTCTTGGCCAAAATGACAGAGCTGTCCTCGGCCTCGGCAAGCCCGCTGTAGCTTCTTCGCGGAAGTGCCGGCGGTGGGCGCGCGGGTGGCGACGGGAGCGAGGTGTAGAGGTTCTCTTCGTGTGATAAACGATGATGGAAAGGACTCTGCGGCCGACTTGTTGGGGGACTGATAGGAGACACCATCGACTCGTGGTGTTCGGAAATGGAAGGGAACCGGCGAAGGAAATCCTCGGTGGTTCTGACCGGGGATATCGCCCCGGCATCTCCAATCGTTTCTTCCCATCGTTTGGCCTCTGCCGGATCTTGGATCGGCCGAGTCACATACTTTGTGCGCGGGTTTAGGAATGAACGTGCCATGGGGCTCGCCGTGTGCCTCTTCGATGTAGGTGCTGAAGACGTTTGAAGACTCGCGTTGCCGACCAGACTAGTCCACGCGTCCAGGCCTCCGCGCAGCAATTTGGGGGAAACTTGCAAACCTGATGGGCCCGTAAAGTCGTACTGGGTAAGAGCATTGAACAGGCCACATGCGGCTTTCTCTTCGAGGGTTTGCGGCCTAGGAACGATCTGTTCGGAGTCCTGGTCGTAAAACACCACCAAGTCAAACTCATGGCGCTTTTCAAAGAATAGATGTTCTGACGTCGGAGCCAGAACCATGCTATTTGCGACCTGATCCGCAGAGATGTGGTTCCTCGCGAGCACCTCGGGCTCTAGGCATATAGTAGCCTGTGACATGATGTGACCATCATCGAATTCCTCGCGGCTCCTGATATCAATGAGTAGAATCGAAAAGTCCTTGGCTCCGGCCCTCATAAACTGAAGTAAATCTTTAACAGATATTGTGTTGCCGTCTGGGACGGATAGCTTGGTCCGTTTCGCCGGAGCATTTGCGGGCACGGAATTCGGAGCTGGTGTAGAGGTACCAAGGGGCCGGGTTGGCCTGACATGTTTGGGCGGATTTAGAGCTGTAGCCGAGTTGGTCCTCGTAAACATAGCACGGGGAGCACTCGAGGGCAGAGCAGCCGTTTCGCTCGAGATAGTTCCTCGTGGCGGGTTGTAAATCGCGTCAGGCATCCTGGGCAACCCAGCGATTGCCCCGTTTACTGGCGCGTTTCGAGTCGGCGTTTCTGGGGGGTTGTGACCCCCTGACAACCTCGACGACACGGCCGATTGTGTTCGGGCGTGGTTGGGGCCTTGGGGAGCGTTGCCTATGCGCGCGCGAAGTTTTTCGAAGCGCTGGTGAAGGTCCTGGTCCTTGATTGGGGTTCCCGCTGTGGCCGGGCGCAGCGCATTACCGTGGAGGCCCTGGGGCTTTGGGTGGACGACGGGCTTGTTTTTGGGCGGAGAGGATACCGGAGGCTTGTTGACCTCGAGGGCCCCATTCGCAGCGTTCCCTCTCCCCTCCCCGTTCGCGGTCCCCTTCCCCGCGGATTCTGGTCGACGGGTGGTAGGCTGGACACCCGTTCTAGCATTGTCCGTTTTTATTTGTGCTTTTAGAGCCTCAAAGTCGCTGTGGACGGCATCCACATGACGCATAAGCCGCTTGTAGCGCTCGAACTGCGACCTATTATCGCTATGCAGCGACACCCACCCCTTGTTCTTCTTGATGACGTCGAGGAGGATAATGTTGGTCCGTATGTAGTCTTTGAGGGCAAAGTCGGGCCTGCCGAAGCTCTTGGACGACTCAGCTTGCCGTAGACAGAGTTCTGCTGTCTGGAGGACCTTCTCGATGGGCGCATGCGGGTCAAGGTCTACTGTGACGGAGGTGATGTCTTCGATGTGTGGAAGCGGTCGCTTCCCCCCCTTTGCGTCATCAGAACTTGGAGGCGGCGGTGGAGGCGGAGGCCCGGCACGCCTGGGCGCGGTCGTCGAGCCCGGCATGGCGGAGGATGCAAGTCTTCGAGTGCCTGGCCGGGCCTAGGCGATGCGGTACCGAAGAGGGGCAGTCCGAGCACGGGTTCGCGGAGTGAAGGGTACAAGTCGACTATATCGGAATCGAGATTATCATGGCTTGACTTTGAGCGTGGGACTGGTGCCGTAGTCTCGTAGCGTCGGGGTTGTCGTCAGAAAATCGCGAGTGGTGGACGGGGAAAATGCAAGACTACTGCCGTGGATGAGAACCGGAAAACAAGACGGCGCAAGTCAGAAGATTTGTTTCTTTGTTGGGGCAGAGGTCATTCTTTGTTCCGAACTGTCTCGAACTCCGGAGGGGTACGTGTTGTTGTCGGTCTGCTGCTGCCGAGTTGTCATGTGGGGTGTTCTGGGGAGCTGGGGAAGCAAGCACCTTGGAGACTGGGGTCTTTTCATTGAGAGGAGCCTGTGACGAATGCGGCCCCCCCCCCCCCACCTCGCCTCTCGGGAGGTACCTTTTCTTCTTGGCAGTGGCTCATGGAATGCTTGGGATGGCCGCTGCTCAATGGACCACAAGGCGCTCAAATTTTGATCAGGGTTAAATGGAAACTCAAATTGTAGTCATGAGAGGTTGAAGGGTAAAAAACAAGGGGGAGGAGAAAAGTAAATAGAGGGTCAGAAAGAGTCAAGATTTGTATACTGTGTAATCCGACTGTAAACTGAAGTACGAATATACACGGTTCATTCAGCGAAAGAGTGAGCCCGCCGCAGCTTGCAGTGTGGAACTCTGCAGGCAAGGCCCGAGTTGCAAGGGACCCCATGTCGCCTCTTGGCAAGCTCGTGGGAGGCAAGCTGCGGCCCTCAGCGAGGCGACCCATACGTAACCAACAGCAAGGCAGCCGCATCCAAAAACTCCAACCTTCCTCCATCGCAAATACCCGCCGCGTAACCTGCCGACGCACTTACACGTGCTGCTTATTAAATACCTACGCTCAGATCATTGTTGCGTCGCTCGGATATTATCGATTCCGTCATCGACAGACAACTGCTTGACCCAAGACGCTCGCCCCGCAACCCTCCAACCCTCCAACCACCTACCTAACCTCGAGAGCAACTCCACGAATCGCATCCCTCGTTTACCTCCCTTCAACAGCAACATTTCTAGTTCCCCATTTATTCCCTCAAAATGATGGGGTGGTGGTCGTCTGGGGCCAACAATGCCCTAGATGAGCAGATCGACAAGGCTACGAGCAGCAGCCTGTATGAGCATACCGAATCCCCGTTACGAGCCTGCGACAGAGCCCAAACTAATTGTATCCCCTTAGTGAAGATATCGCTCTCAACCTCGAGATCTCCGACATCATCAGATCGAAGACGGTACAACCGAAAGAAGCCATGCGCTCGCTTAAAAAGCGTATCAACAACAGGAATCCCAATACCCAGCTCAGTGCGCTGAACGTGAGCCTCAGCCCGCACCCCATGCCCTTCGCTCCTCGCCCGGAATCGCGCGGACATGGCTGCTAACTTTACTAGCTCACCGATACCTGCGTTAAAAATGGCGGTGCCCACTTCCTCACCGAGATAGCCTCTAGAGAGTTTATGGAGTGCCTGGTATCGCTTCTCAAGGCGGTCGGCCCTGGTACCGTGAACGCCGAAGTGCGCGCCAAGATTCTCGAGCTCATCCAGTCCTGGGCCACGGCTGCGGAAGGCCGCTACGAACTCGGTTATATCGGAGAGGTGTACAAGACCCTGCAGCGAGAGGGTCACCAGTTCCCACCTCGGGTCACTGTTGCTAGCAGCATGATCGACAGTAACGCGGTATGTTTCTCAATAAGTCGAGGAGAGATGGATGGCGAAAATGCTAATACCACCTAGCCCCCTGAATGGGTCGACTCCGACGTCTGTATGCGGTGTCGAACCGCCTTCACATTCACCAATAGAAAGCACCACTGCCGCAACTGTGGCAACTGTTTCGACCAGCAATGCTCGACTAAATCTCTTCCCCTCCCTCATCTCGGCATTCTCCAGGCGGTCCGGGTAGACGATGGATGCTATGCCAAGCTTACCGATAGGTCTTCCAAGGCCGGCGGGTTCCCTCCCGAACGCCCATCCTCTTTCTCCGCCAAGCCCAAAGGGCATTCAATGCAGCCGCGGAATGCTCGGGTGGACGATGGTTTTGACGAGGACTTGAAGAAGGCTCTGGCGATGAGTCTTGAAGAAGTCAAGAGCCATTCCAGGGGCTATGTCTCCTCCCCTACACCCAATGGGGTGGCCTCGAACCAGCCAAAGCCAAATGGACACGCCGCGCCCAAGGCGGCCGAAGAGGAGGACGAGGATTTGAAGGCCGCCATTGCGGCATCCCTAGCAGATATGGAGGAGCAGAAGAAGCAGCATGCCGCCGCACTAAAGCAGCAGGCCTCAGGCGTGGCAAGCTCGTCATCAGCCGCCCCGTCCGCGCTTCCCAAGAACGATTATGAACTCACTCCGCTCGAGGCGGAGAACATCAACCTCTTTTCAACTCTTGTTGACCGCCTGCAAACACAGCCGCCCGGGACAATTTTGCGCGAACCGCAGATCCAGGAGCTTTATGACAGCATCGGCACGTTGCGACCCAAGCTTGCACGGACTTATGGAGAAACCATGAGCAAGCACGGTAAGTCGGCTCACGACGAAGTTAGGAAGCGGAAACTGACTCTTCTGACCAGACACACTCCTTGATTTACATGCGAAACTGTCAACGGTTGTCCGTTACTACGACCGCATGCTTGAAGAGCGCCTGTCCAAGGCTTATAGTCAGCACAGCATAGGGGGATACAACCTACCGCCACCGAGGCAGGCTCCTGGACCGTATCCATCATTGCAACCCAATGCGCCCCCTGCCGCGGGGCCAGCAGAGAACTTCTACACGGGCGAGCAACAGCAGGATTACAACCAGCCGACGGCGCACCAGCCTTATCCGCAGCCGACGCCGGCGCAATACGGGGCCTACGACAAGCGTGGTTCTGTTTCCGGGCCATCAAGCAACCAGTACCCCCAGCAACAGATGCCCCAGCACACCGGAAACTGGGGTCCTGCGGCGCCTGCCCAGCAATACGGTCAGCAGCCCAACTACCCGCCAAACGAGCCTCCTCAAGCCGCCCAATTGCAACAAACGCCGACTCCGGCGCACCTCTCCGCGCCCGCGCCAAACGACTCTGTCGGCACCACCCCTACGGCTGACCCCAGCGCGTCATTCTACTTCAATTCGCAGCAACAACAGCAGCCGCAGCCGCAGCAGGTGCCCAGCTCCCCGCCCGACCCGACCATGTCGCCATATCCTAACCTGGCTCAACCATTGCACTCATACCAGCCGTCCCTGCCCCAGACACCGGCATCCATTCCGGCCCAGCCTTCTCAGCCGCAGCAACCGCAACAACCGCAGCAATCGCAGCAACCACAGCAACAGCATCAAGCGCATCAAGCGCCCCCGCAACCCCAGCAGCCGTACTGGCAGCATTCGGCCGCTCAGCAGACGCAGCTTCCGCCGGTGTGGCAACCTCCTCCGAGCGCTGCGTACGCAGGTTATACTCAAGAGGCTTTCCCCTCCGCGCCACACCATGCTCCAAAGCAGCCCGTGATGGAGGAGAGCTTGATTGATCTATAGGCAGCGGCAGTTTCAAGTATGGCGGTGGGGAGGATGCGAGGGATAGGCAATGTAGGATGTTCAGTTTGGGAAGGCGTTCAAGCAAACCGGGCAAAGTGTGCCCGGTTTCTAAGGATGAGACGGCATCTGTATGTAAACGGAGTTATGGGGGGGAGGGGGGGGTGAACATGAGGGCGGCGCTGTAACGGCAAATTACCATGTATTGTTGGACCAACGAGCCAAGCCTTTTGAGAACTGCCTCTTTACCACCAGCTCCTCGAGCTCATCAAGACCCCGAATGGCCCGCATCCCGGAGAGACCTGGAGAAGGCTGACGTAATGGTGGCGTCCGGCCAATGGCGGTCTGCCGGGGCTGCCCGTGGTCGCCATATTGATGGCGAGCGGGTCCCTGTCCAGGGGATAAGACCGGTGATACGGGCTTGGGCGCCGACACGATCCGGCACCGGACTGGAGCAGACGGTGGAGACAGGTGTCGGGCCGACATGCGGTGAACGGCGTTTTGAAGTCCAGGCCGGCAAATGACTCACTGACGGTGTCATTTAAGGGACGAACTGGAAGTTTGCGAGACAACCAACAAGCTCAACCCAACAATCCATATCTACACTGAAGTTGTGATCAATACCCTGAGGCTCTCACAACCACCTACCTCTTATTAACCACCCGTCCTCAGTCAACCCCTCCCCTTCACGCAAGATGCCCACCTACATCCACCTCGTCCGCCACGCCCAAGGCTTCCACAACCTCTGCGTCGCCAACCACCAGCTCCCGGACCCAGACCTCACCCCGCTCGGCAAGGAGCAGTGCGCCACGCTGGCCAAGACATTCCCCTTCCAGTCCCAACTCACCCACCTCGTCGCCTCCCCGCTCCGCCGCACCATCTACACCTGCCTCCTCTCCTTCGAGCCCGCCCTGCAGCACCTCCAACAACAACAATCACAACAACAACAAACCACCCCCCCCAACCCGCCCGCCGCCGTGGTCGTCGCCCTCCCCGAACTACAAGAAGTCTCTCGCTTCCCCTGCGACACCGGCTCGTCCCCCGCCGCCCTCGACGCCGAGTTCGGCCCCGCGGGAACCGTCGACCTGTCGCTCGTCCGCGCCGTTCCGGACTGGAACGTGAAAACCGGCGCCAGCCCCTTCGCGCCGGTCATGGCGCGGCTGGAGGCGCGGGCGCGCGCCGCGCGGGTATGGCTGCGCGAGCTGGGGCGGAGGTTTGAGGAGGTGAATCCGGGCGTGGATGCGCATGTTGCGGTGGTGACGCATGGGGGGTTCTTGCACTTCTTGACGGGGGATTGGGATGGGATGAATCCGGAGGCGGGGACGGGGTGGGTGAATACGGAGTGGAGGAGTTATGAGTTTGTGGAGGGGGCGGGTGGGAGTGGGGATGGGGATGGGGAGGCGGCGCTGCGGGAGACGGGGGAGAGTTGGCGGCGGCGGAGGGGCAGTGCGGCGGGGTTGACGGAGACGGAGCAGATGGAGTTGAGGGCGGCGGTGGAGGGGAGTTTGGTGGAGGAGTGGGGGGCGGATGGGGAGAAGAATTAGGGTACATAGAGGTTAGGGTGTCTCGTGTTTAGATGGCTGGACTGGATATCTAGAGAGGGGGTGGTTGGTGAAGGGGAACTTGGGTTGGTCGCTTGGCTTAGAATACGGACGGGAGGGTGATGTTGATGTCCTTCGGCCCCGTCGCCGGTCGTTTTGGGGGTCATAGACATGCTTAGAACTCAGAACGCTTGCAAGTGGTTCCTGTTAGAGAACGGCTGTCAACCGATGGAGAGACAAAGTTACATTCATACAACCTTACGGAGTAGCTTACTTCTTCTGTGTTAGTGACTGGTCTGTCATTGGGAATACTTTGTAGGCGAAATGAGATGGCCTTCTGGGGTTTCTGTTCTCTCGTTCGTCTTTGCCATCGGTTTCTTTCCCTTTTCGGTCTTTCCTTTCAATAGGACCACGTCGAGAAAGTTTCACACTCTAATAGTTACAATAAGACGGCCTGTCATGTTCTGTGTTGAACTTGACAACGAACGATTTCACTACCAAAAGTGGAGGCCAAGTAAGACAGACTGTAGATCGGGGCCCTCTGTCCATTTATATCTATCCGAAAGCGCGCGGGAAGTTTGGTTGGCTCATCTCGCACGTTGCGTTGAAAGATGTAACACCAACGCCTTTGGTGCCGAGGTTGATTGGCAATACCGGTGCGCAGACGTTGGTTCGGAAATAAAATTGTATCAGGCAATAATGCTGACACGGAAAAGCAGTGGCGGCGTGCTGCGTTGCGCCGACGAAAGCTGTGTTGTCTCAGCAAACCATTCGGATCCCCGGCCCAATCTCGATATTCTTTTTGTCGGCATCGATGGCGGCCGCCAGCCAAGGAATCCGCCAAGTTGGTGGCTGCCTCTTGGCTTGCGCGGGCCAGAAGGACCGTTGATGCCGCGCAGCCGCCACCCGCGTCCTGCTTCTTCGGGATCGAGTTTCCGTGTTTCGCAAACCCTCGAGGTTGACTTTTCCATCCGTGGTTGGGCAAGTGTTTCATAGGGTCTGAACTTCGGATGGGGTTATGCAAGGGGTGCGCGACTCGGCCAATGGAGAGGCAACCGAAGGACTTCCGCGGCAGGGGCGGCAGGAACGGAATGCAGGGATATGGTGCCTGCAGTCAGACGAGGGACTCGAAGAGAGGGGACAAGATATCGGACATTTTATTCGCTCATTCACGGTCTAAAGTCGATAGTTTCCTGTAGTCAGACACTCCGAGATAGTTCCTGCCCCGCGTCGACCCACCGTCCGACCAATCCCGCACGCCATCTGAGGCCGCTTTCAGGCCCACCTTACTCGTGGGCGTCCCCCCTGTCCTTCTGAATTCATGCCCCTTATCCTCTCCACCTGTCGCAGATGCGCCCTCCCTCACCCTCCCTTCGTTCCTCGGACCCTTCACAAGTCGTCAGGACGGCCGATCCAGGATCAGTTGGAAACACGATCGACTAGCCAGTCATTCTTTACCGCATGCCGCAGTAAATAACATTCATTTTTTGTTGTGAATTGGGCAATACACGGCGCACTATTCACAAAACCACACCGGGCTATTGTTCCCCGACAATTGAACAATAATACTTCATCGACCGCACAACTTCCGATCTCAACGCCCTCCTCCCCGCTCTGTCGCATCTTTCCCGATTCGGCCGATCCGACTCCAGGCCTTGGAACTTCGCCTAGTCGATCAAACCCGGACTCGCAGGCGTTGTCGACATACCCCACGATCCCACGGCCACAGAACCCAGCAGCCCTCCTCTAACCTCACCCGACCACGACCTCGCCTCCCCGATTCTGGGCCCTCCTCCAACCCAGCACAGCGGACGCTGGCCCATCGTGATCCGGTATCCCCACAGCGCCGAGACGACTCTCGCAACGCGCTCCCTGCCTCTCAGGCGGCCGCATTGTCCCTCAACACTACGGATCCCGACTACCACCGTCATCGCGATGCTAGCGGGAAGAAAACGCTGTTGAGGCCACTCCCGGCCTTCCGATCCCACCAATCCGACCCACTCTCTGACGTTTACTTCTTTTGTCTCTCCTTCACGCAGCGGCGTGACCTCATCGACTCCGAACACTCGGAGCCTCTCGCTCTTTCGACGACCTAGGCACAGTCGGTTTCTTCGCGGGCGAGGAACGACTTGTGCGTCCGGCAGCAAAGCCATCACTTGAATCACTCTTTTTACGATACCCCAACGGCACATCGATTGTGTCGACGACTTCAACTTCACCAATTCTTCTTCGACAGTGTCGATACCACATCTTGTTGGTCCGGCTAGCCCGTTTTCTTGCGCCTGGTTCGCGCCATCCACACAATGGGTTTTCTTAGGCATGGTAGGCGGGATGTCGAGGTCCATCCCGAACAGAGGTGGGATTTCATTGTGAGTACAGATTACCCGGAAGGACACAGGAACTCGAGCCGCAACTAACCATTCTTTGTAGAGTCTCAACGATTTCAAGTCCACCTCCTGCTTCGCGCCGTTGGCCTACGGCTACCTCTGGTTCTCCCTATTTATCTCGCTCGCCGTCTATGCTGTTGACGTGTTCACCGCCTACCAACTTCTCGCCTTCAACAGATGGTCCTCGCAGATTGAGCCCGCCCAATTCGTCCCTTTCGACATCTCGAAATGGATCTTCACCGTCTGCATCCTTCTTTCCTTTGCCAATCTTGCCTATGAGTACTTCCGTGCCATAACAATCATGCGCAGAGGGAGCGTGGCCGAATGCTTCTTGGACAGCTTGGCTGCGCGTCTGGAGTGTATTCGGATGGGAAACGGCCGAGGTTGGAAGAGATTCCTGGTCTTTGCGGAGCTCACCAAGAGTAAAAAGGGCGCCGAGTACATTGCCCTCTTCACCTTCTTCAGCTTTCAATGTAGGGCGCCCCTCTCAGGATACAACCAAGCGGGGAGTGTGTTTACTAACAATGAATAGCTTGGATCCGCACTATTCTTTGTTCCGGGCCTCGCCAGGCCATCAACGCAATGACCCTCTACTCTGTCTACGACGCGAGGCTTCAAATCAACCAGGCCAGCTTCGAATCCTCTCTCGCCGACTTCTTTGATAAGATTAGCGCTCTTGCGACCGAGGAACCCCGTCAGGCCGTCATCCTGTCCGGTATGCTCTTCACTCTCGTCATCTGGATCTTCTCCTTCCTGTCATTGCTCCTCGCTGCGTTCTTCTTCGTCTTCTTCTTGTGGAGGTACATCCCCCGAGAAGATGGCGGCTTGTCCGGGTTCTGCGAGCGCAAGATCAACAAGCGCCTCAAGCAAATCGTCTCCATCAAGATCAACAAGGCCATGGCCGAGGAGGAGCGGCAACGAAAGAAAGCGGAGCTTAAGGCGGCGAAAAAGAACGGCGGTGACAGGCCGATGACGATGAAGCCATCCCTGCCCGTTCTCGGGGACGACAACCTCGCGCAAATGCCATCCCTCAGCCGGGCGGACACCTTTGCCTCTTTCGCAGAAAAGCCATCTCACCCGAGTACCCCTGGGAGCTTCGAGATGAACTCTCTCGGCCGAAAGCCGCCCATGCCATCGAGATTGGACACCAAAACGATGACGGCGAGCCAGTATTCGGCCGATACTTCACTTCTAGGCGGCGCTGCCGGGATGGGCATGGCCAACTCCGAATCATCTACCCCGACTTTGCCACCAATCGACCTCGGAGGCTACCCGCCAGTACGCACCGCAACGTCATCATCTAGCAGGAGCTACGGACCTCCTCCGCCACTCAAGGGATTGGCCTCGAGCGGCTCCTCTTTGCGCGGCTACACAGCTAGCCCCGCGACTTTTGCGTCCGAACCCATGCCATCTCTTCCGCCACCCGTTATGTCACCAGTTGGACCCTTTAACAACTATAGAGGCCCCGGTCCGAATCACCCGAACCAGCCGAGGTTACCCTATACCGGGGATAACAGACTGCCCCAGCGCGGGGACACCAGGTCACCTTTCCCTGAGGACCATAGGCTGCCCCAGCGCGGTGACACCAGATCTCCCCATCCTGGTGATACCAGGTCGCCTTTCCCTGGGCATAACGGACTTCCCCAGCGCGGGGATACTAGATCTCCCTATCCCGGTGACACCGGGCTGCCTTTCCCTGGTGACAACAGGATACCCCAGCGCGGCGACACTAGGTCGCCCCATCCTGGTGATACCGGGTCGCCTTTCCCTGGGGATAACGGACTGCCCCAGCGCGGCGATACCAGGTCTCCCTATCCCGGTGACAACAGGATACCTCAACGCGGCGACACTAGCTCGCCTTTCCCCGAAGACAACAGAATGCCCTACCCTGCCGACAACAGGTCGCCCTTCGACGACCTAGCGAGCGGACGTGCTAGCCCCGCCCCATCGGCAACCACATACCGCAGCAACCCAATGTCACCGCGCGGACCGGGGCCGGATGGCTACCCCATTCGCAGTGCCACGAACCCAATGCCGCCACGGGGTGCGCCCCAGTTCCCGCCCTCAAGAGCCATGACCCAGCCCATGCAGCCTTTCCACCGGCCAACCAATAGCAATGGCTCGCAGAGGAGCATGCAAAGTGCGGCACCGCTGTACCAGCCGTACCAACCCTACCATCAACCGAGTGCTAGCAACAGCTCGTTAAGGAATATGGTCAACGCGGTGTCGTACGATGAATCAGACATCGTTAGCGAGTACAGCGGGTTTTCAAGTCAGCCGAACCCTGCTCCGTCCAACAACCAGAGGGGACCTCAGGGCGGGTATGGCGACAACAACAACCGCAACGACGACGACGGGTGGAACCGAGACTTGGAGAGGGGAGGGCCGAGATATTGAGTGTTTCATAAACGGGACCGCACCGGGTATAAACAAAACATCTACCTTCCCCTGAGTTGATGGTAATCTGCCATTCCTCATTCTCGAGTGGCGACGTTGCATAAAGTCTCGAGACTTGGATGACTTCGGGGTGTATACAAACAGCACCAGACCTGGCATAAGGGTCTGGCTGTATTCTATCTATTGTACATATTTCATACAGTTGGGGGGATTGATGATGCAGCTTCAAAACGCGGAGCCGATTCTTCGTGACGAATACACTTTGTTTCAAGCTTGTTTTCTCCCATGGTTTGGTTGTGAATACACGCTTCATTCTGGTACAGACAAGGTAAAAAAGCGCATTATCGGATGGGGACTTGGGGCTTGCTGGTGGCCGGCAGGCACACAAGGCCGACAGCTCTTCCCAAATGATATGCCTACAACTCCCCCCTTCTTTTACCTTTTGGTGCTAGCTAATATAGTGACTAGAAATCACTAGGAACCACCACGATTAGCACTGATAGAAAAGCCGCGAGAAGACGCAGCGGTACCACACTCAAGCCACCTGGGGCCGGATACATGGCGCGGGGGTTCGAGAGGATACCCTTCTTCTTGACCCTCTCGATCCTCATCTCTAGCTAGTAGCAAGCTGTCCAGTGAAACAGCTACTGGGTTGCGGACCGCGGTTTCCCTTTCAGTAGCCCGGTCTCACGCATCCGACCCAGGCGCAAGCTGCTGGGGGGTTGAGTGATAAGATACTTTGACCACCGACCATTGTTTTATTTGAGAGCGGGACAAGCCGGTTTACTCTACCAGACCTACTAAAGAACTACATGATACCTAAAGACAACAACAAGTTCACGCGGCTAAGTTTTGACAAAGGCTCACCGGCCAGGCCCTCCCTTGCCAACCAAGCCACTCGCTTGCGTGGTGGCCCTCGTTGAAGTCTTACAAAAAAGAACTTTTACATATAGCACCGAGCAGTGGTCACGGTCACAACTTTTTGATCTATTGTTGAAGGGCGATGAATTCGACACCCAGTCCGAACCTCGGGGCTGCCCACTAGTGGGCATTTCTGTGGCTGTTCAAACTCATCTATAGAAAGATATCACAGGAATCATAAGTCTACAATGATGTTGTTTATAGCAAGTTAAACACACAAGTGCCTCTCTTTCCTGGTGTATCAAAACCACAGATCCCCAGCCGTTATTCTTCTCCCTCTTCTATTGAAGCTCAGTATGTGACAAGACCACATCTACAACCACATTGTAATCTATAACCAATATATACCCAAAGAAAAACAAATAAAAGAAGAATAAGAAGAAGAAAAGTTACCCGTCAGGGCTGTGCTCCCCCACTCCATCACCAAACGGATCCCGGTTCGCCCCACGCCCTGCAAGCAACCAAGCCACCCGCTTGACTCCCCGTCTACGCAACACAACCCGCATCTATTTCCCCCACTGCCACCACGCCTTCTTCTTCGTCTCCTCCTGATACCCCTCCTCCTTAACATTATGCGCCCCGACCACCGTCAAGAACACCTGATCCAGCGTCGTCGGGCTGACACTATAATGCTCAATCCCCAGCGCCTCCCTGTTCTCCTCCAACAACACCACCAGCCTGCCGATCGCCGACCCCGACGACGCCGAAGACGACGACCCACCCCCAGCCGCCGCGCGACCAATCTCATCCTGCTCCACCGGCGACACCCCCTCACTACCCTCCGCAGCAACCGCAGCCGCCGGCACCGTAAAGCGCATCTGGCCATGGTACGTCTTCTGCTCCACATCCGCACCCTCCAGCTCCCTTAGCACCCACTGCCGGACCCGCTCGACATCCGCATCCGGCGTGCGCGGCGCGCCCCGACAGACCAGATGCACATGCAGGCGATCGCCAAAGCGGTGGCGCAACTGCTCAACCCCGCCCAGCGCCAGCATGCGCTTGGCCAGAATCCCCGCGCGCCCGGCCAGCGCATCCGCCTCCTCCATGCTATGCGTCGTCAGCAACAAGCTCCGGCCGGGGACGGTCGCGGCCAGGGTGCGCCACATGACGCGCTTGGCGGCGGCGTCGAGGCCCGAGGAGGGCTCGTCGAGGAGGAGCACGGAGGGGTTGCCCATGAGGGCGATCCCCAGGGACAGCTTGCGCTTGTTGCCGCCCGAGAGGGCGTGGGCCTGGCGGGTGCGGAAGGCGGCGAGGCCGACGGCGCGGAGGACGGCGGACACGTTGTGGGCGATGTCGGGGATGCCGCGCACGCGCGCGTAGAAGCGCAGGTGTTCTTCCACCGTCATGACGTCGACGGCGTCGAATTGTGGGCAGACGCCGAGGTGGGTGCGCGCGGTGGCGAGGTGGCGGGTGACGCTGGCGTCTTCGACGAAGACGTCGCCGCCGGCGGAGGGTTTGAGGTCGCCGCGGATGACGCTGATGGTGGTGGACTTGCCGGCGCCGTTGGGGCCGAGCAGGGCGAAGACCTCGCCGTGCGGGATGCCGAAGGTGACGTTGTCGACGGCGGTGTTGGAGCCGAAGGTCTTGGTGAGGTTGACGACGCGCAGGCCGTCGGTCGGGCTGGTGGCGCCGGTGGTGGCGTTGGACTTGACGCGGACGAGCTCGTTGGCGACTTCTTCGTCGGAGATGGCGGCGCGCTCCTCGGCGGTGCTCTGCGAAGGGGGGGCGGAGCGCTTGAACATGCGCCAGAGGCTGAAGCCTGCGTTGCCGCCATCGGCCCAGACGAGGACGAGGAAAAGGATGGCGATCTGGACGAATAGGTACAAGATCGGGCCGCCGTATTGGACCATGCTACCCGGGTTGGAAGATAGTTGGTGGCCGTCGCAGGCCGTGGAGAAGAGGTTCAAGGTCACGAAGAGCGCGCGGATGACCGAGTTGATGGGCGCAAACACCGAGATGACAAAATGTACGACGAGCACAAAATTGTCGATCTGGTGGACCGGCGCGTACATGATGACGACCATGTAGCAGATGAGGTAGATGAGAACCCAGACGACCTGCCAGGCGGCCGTGAAGGCGTAGGACGACAGCTGGTTGGCAGCGACTAGCGATACGTTGTAGGCCAGCAAGATGGACGCGAGACCGTGCAGGATGAAGATCAAGAAGACGTAACCTATGTGGTACCACAAGTTGGGGGCGAGGCCAGCAAGCAGCGCGATGCTGATGACCGCCCCGGCCAGCACAATGGCGAAGTCGAAGGCCGTGTAGGCGATCCATAGGGGCAGCGGCTTGACTCCGTTTGAATACTGCAAGCCGCGAACTTGACGGCGGCGTTCCAAGTTGGGGTATAGCGAGAAGAAGGCCGGGTAGGCGCACAGAGCAAGACCGATGTACACCACTAGCTGTAGCGAATCACCGGCATCTGGAGCAAACGGACTATCGAAAGGGATGTAGTTCGATGCGATGGTGGTGTTGGTCAGCAACATATCCATGACCCATTTGCCGAACCAGGCGTAGACCATTTCGGGCGCGTTGGCTTTGTAGACGAGGGTTGGACTAGAATTGTCGTCGCCGAGCCAGATTCCGGCGGGCGTAATATTCTTGCGATACTGGACGACGGCGTTGTTGAACTCGTCGATCGAGTTGACGAGAGTCAGGTCCTGGAAGAGGGCGGCCGGTCCTGCCGACGACCCGTTACCCTGGCTGAAGCTGCCATTGCCGCCGTTGTTGGCCTGCATATCGAGGTAGATGGGCGCAAACAAACGAAGCAGGTTATCCTCCGAGAACTTGTCCGGCGGACCACCAACCAAGAATAAATCGAGGTCAAAGATGTTGACGGCCGTTGCCCTCGATGACTGCTCTAGGGGGGAGCACCCAAGGGCAGGCTGGTCCCGGACAAATAGCATAACCAGACCGGCCGCGATGACGGGGATCACGAACGCAATGGCGGACGGGAACCAGTTGCCCTTGAAGATGACGCACCGCTTAAGAAACAGCACCCAGATCTGTCTGAAGAAGCCGACGGGCTGTCCGGACATGAGTTCGAGGCCCTTCTCCGTCTCCGTAGCGTCGGCCGCCTTCTCAGACTTCTCGTCGGCCGAGCTAAGGATCCCGCGCGAGTCGAGCCCCGAACCGTCACCGCGAACCTCGTCGGCAAGCTGCAGGAAGACATCCTCGATCGTCGGCCCGGAGAACCGGTAGTCCGTAATGCCGGCCGCCTCAAGCTCCCTAATAACAGTCGCCGCCATTGCGGACGTCGATGCAATGTACGCAGCCTCTTCGTGAGTAGCCTTCTTCTTCACGCCGGCAATATTGGGCAGTTGCGGGATCAGCTTGACGTTGTTGATATGAATCTTGTACCCGCCGCCCAGCCGGTCCTTCAGCTCCACGGAGGTTCCCTTGGCACGGAGATTACCCTTGGACATGACGGCGATGTAGTCGGCCAACAAATCAGCCTCGTCTAGGAAATGGGTCGTCAGAATCATGGTGCGCCGTCCGCGCTCGGCCAGCAGGATATCCCAGATCTTCCTTCGGCTCAGGGGGTCCAAGCCGCTGGAGACTTCGTCGACGCAGCACACGGCGCTGCCGCCCGTAAGCATCATCCCGAGCTGCAGCTTCCGCTTCTGGCCGCCCGAGAGGGTACGCGACTGGGCCTTCATCTTCTTCTCCAAATCGACGGCCAGCACCAGTTCGCGGATCTCGTCCTTGGAGGCATATTTGCTGGGAGACTTGAGCTTGTTGAAGATGCGGATGTGTTCGAAGACGGTCAGCTCGTCCCAGAGGACGTTCTTTTGCGGGGCGATGCCCAGGCCGCCGGTGCCGTCGATGGTGATGCGGCCGCTAGTGGCCTTGTTGATGCCGGCGATGGTGTCGAGCGTAGTGCTCTTTCCGCTGCCGTTGGCGCCGAGCAGGGCGAGGATCTGACCCCGGGTCGCGTTCAGCGTGAGCTTGTTGACGGCAACCACGGGCTCCTTGGGTCTTGAGATGAAGGAGAACATGCGGCGCAGGATGCCGGGGCTGTAGACCTTGGTGAACTCCTCGAGCTGCACGGCGCAGTCCGAGCCGAGATCGCCCCGGTTCTTGTCGCCCACAACGATGTTGCGCCCGCTGGACGTGGTGCCGTGCAGCCACCGCTCGACCAGGGCTCCGATGATCGGGTACACGATGACCTGCACGGCGAGGAAGATGAAGAAGACGATACCCGGCAGCTCCCAGGGGCTATTGGGTGGCGATTGGGAGAGGTCGGTCGGCCATTCCTGCTGCTCCCAGCGGGCGAGCAGCGAGATGAAATAAGTGAAGTTGCAGGGCGTGAAGAGAAGACTAAGCACGACGACGGCGGACGTTTGGGGCCAGCTGATTGTCTGCGCGATGATGGCCAGAAGAATGAAGAGGATGGTGATCAACACACCACTCAGCTGGGCCTTCTTGAAGAAGGCGGCGCCGAGGATCGCCATGGAGCCGAGGGCTAGACCGGAGAGGATGAAGTAGAAGAAAACAACGGCAGCGCTCGTGTGGACGAAGACGCCAGACCACAAAATCAAAGCCGACACAACCCAGCCAGGAAGGTACAGGACCGAGAAAGATATGTGGTACGCAATGATACGAGCGGCCTGGGGTTGCCAGCGGCTTTTGTTAGCCATCATGGCCTCGATCAGGGTCGACATGCCCGACTCTCGCTCGGTCGCGATGAATCCAGCCATGTGGTAAGCGATACCAATGATCGTTACGATAAAGACGACGCCGAGGAAGTTCATGATCATGCCCTGATAAACGACACGGACGCGGTCGGCCAGCTCCTCATTGGTGAGCGAGGTGAAGGGGTACTCGTCCATGGCACTGGGAAGCGGCTCTGCGCCCTCGACGCCGCCATCGGCACCGCCATTCTGGCGAGAGATGGCGGAGTCAAGGGCGTGCTGCAAGGGCAGCAAATAGACCTGGGCGTCGTTCGTATCGCTCTCGGCGTCGATGCGGCCAGCGCCGAGGGCGGCGTCGGCGCGAAGGGTATAATTCCACCGCCCGCCACCGCCCTCGGTCGGAGAGCCATGGAAGATGACGGCAGCAGCGCACGGGGTGACGCCGCGGAGGGAAGCCCGGCAGACGATCGGCACCTCCTCTTCGCTCTCCACGACGCTGGCATTCAACCCGGCATCCACCCTCACCACCCTCGCCAACTCGTCAATCACGCGCTCGATCTCACCCCCCGTAAACCCCTTATTCACAAACACCACATTATCCCTGCCACTCCCCGAGGCCACGCTCAACCCATCCGCCAACGAGCGCACCGGACGGACATCACTGATGCCAAACGTCGCCGAGGGCACAAACAAGTTGCGGGCGAAGCTCAGGAAGGCCGTCAGAATGATGGGCAAGACAAAGGCGCGGATAACGGTGGCGAAGCTGTGGCGGCCGAGGACGATGAGCCAATTCTTGAGCACCAGCGTCCATGTCTGGCGGAGGAGGGCTGCCATGGCGGGCGCCGAACGCCGGCCCGTTCACGGACGGAGTCGGGTCGGCTCGGATTCCCGGATCGGGTCCGGATCGGATCGGGTTTGGTCAGGTCTCAGACGGGCAGGGCGGCAGCAAAAACAACCTTTCCCGTTTCGCGATCGGGATCGGCGTTGGCGTTTGCGCGCGCTGGCTGGCTGCTTGCTGTCTGGCTTCAGTCGATGGTCTCGGATCGTTCCGGGCCACTCAATGCGCTGCGTCTGCACCTGAGGAACGAGTTAAATTAAATTAAAAAAACGAGTGTCGGTTATTGGCTTTTTTCATCGGATTTCCTGAGTGTGTTTGCAGGTGACAGGCGGCCCTAATTACGAGAATGAAAGACGGTCATATTTGGCGAGGTTGATGACGCCGCCAATGATGCAGGAGATCAAAAGAATAATAAGTTGCCCGATCTGAGTTGAGAAAACACAGACGCGGGATCGGGAATAATTTGGGGGCCATCCGTGAAAGCAAGCGAGGCTCAGCGTGCCGCCATCAAGCTCGGCGCTTGGCTCCATGCTTTGTCCACTGAAGCAAGGTACTTTCGTTCTCCAACTCTTCGCCGTGGTTCCGCCTTGGCTGGGGCGGACACAAGCTCGAAGGATGTGGCACTCTGTAACTTCCGCGGCGATCGTTCAGATACGAAGCTCCATACCTCTTCGTAGGTAGTTATTGGAAGCAGAGATACATATATGTGAATGCCATAACTAATACTGCTGTTAGCCTACGCTGCCATGGAACTCCGTTCCGAGTCAGCCGAACCTGTCTTTGCGTCTGTTGATGTGAGTTACTGGTTACTTACAGACCTGTACATGGGCTCTCTCTTCCAGGGACTCGGCCCGTAATTCAGGTGCGGGCCTTGCGTGAGAGATTTCGCTTTCGCTCTCCAACCGAACTGATGATTGCCCCTCCTACCACGGCTCCACGGGTGACGGGATGCCAAGCCGGGTGGGGGGTTGAAAGATTGCCCCACTGCTGTGCCGAAACAAACCAATCCTCAGGAAGCCGCGTCACCAAAAACTGCATAGCCACCACGACAAGAAGCACGCCAAAACAAACTACACTTGAGAAGCAACCCAATCGTATTCTGTACCCTGCAGCTGCTGCATAGCCTACGTGCCGAGATGAAGCCTCACACACAATGTGTGACACATGTGTAAACAGATTAACAAGATCTGTTGAGTGAGAAAGAGGACCACTTCCTTCAGATGCTTCATCCGTCATCCCAATCATCCATCATCACGGGTATCCTCATCTATTTGTGGGCTGGAAAGATGTCAAAGTCAGCAATCGAACCTCGAGGATAACCAGGCTTCGGACTCACGAATGCCCTCCTCGGGAAGGGGCTGGACATTGACCAGCTCCGCCGCGAACTTCTCCTTGGTACCCTGCTTCTCCTCGCGCAGGAACGGGAAGGCAAGGACCTCCCGAATCGAGTAGTTGTTCGTGATGAACTGCATGCGACGTTAGTCCGAGATTCAACAACTTGTTGCCTACAGTCCTTACCATGGTGAGACGGTCGATGCCGAGACCCCAACCACCAGTAGGCGGCACTTGTCACATAAGTCAGTAATATGAACACCAAGCTGTCCAGGTTATGGAAACTCACAGCCATACTCGAGCGCATTCAGGAAGCTCTCGTCCACGAGTTGACTGTTACACAACATTAGCTTTGCTCGGATACCACAACAACACTAATAGAAACGTACGCCTCGTCATCGCCCTGGTCCTTCTGGCGCGCCTGTTCCTCGAACCGCAGTCTCTGGTCGAACGGGTTGTTCAATTCTGTGTACGCGTTCGCAATTTCCTTCTTGCAGACGAACGCCCTATCAAACGGTTAGTACCCCGGCAACCGGAACCTCGTGCAGCAGCAAGGCAACCTACTCAAATCTCTCGCATAGCCCTGTCCAACATGCCTGGTTAGCCTAACCTGCTTTCAGCGAAAGGGGTTTCGTCTGCACATACCCTTCTTGGACCGGTGATACTTGGCCAAAGGACTCATCACCTGCGGGTGTTCAACTGCGCCTCGTGTCAGCACACTTCCCTTCATCTCTTTCTCGTATGGAGCAGAACTCACTAATGAAGCTGGGGTTCACGCAGGTGTTCTCGATGAACTCGCCCGTAAGCTTGTCAATCATGCGGGCGTTGGTGAGCGGGGGTGAGCACTCGACGCCCATTTTCTTGCAGACCTTCTGCAAGAACTGGTTGGTCTCTTCTGTGTGAAGGTCCTCCGAGGGAGGGAACTTCTCGCCCGTGGCCTTCTCAAGCTCCGGAATCATCGAGACCCTGCGCCACGGCGCCTCCCAGTTCACCTCGTATGTCTCGCCGTGCTGGGTGGTGAAGGTGGTCTTGTAGGAGCCAGTAAGTTGCTTGACCAGACCGGAAACGAGATCCTCAGTCAACTCCATCAGGTCGTACATATCCGCATACGCCCAGTAGAACTCGCAGGTTGTGAACTCGGGGTTATGTGTGAGGTCGATGCCCTCGTTGCGGAAGTTCTTGCCGATCTCGAAGACCTTGCCAAACTGACCCACAATCATCTTCTTGAGGAACAGCTCGGGGGCGACACGCATGTACATGTCGATGTCGAGGTCGTTGTGATGAGTAGTGAAGGGAAGCTGCCAACGGTCAATATCTCCTCCATCCCACTTCCACCTTTCCAACTGGTCCAAAATGTTGACTTACGGCAGTTGCGCCACCGGCAATGGCGTGCATCATGGGGGTTTCGACCTCGATGAAACGACGCTCGTGCAGGTCTAGATCCATTCTATCAGTAATCCACCCCTTTCGCCTTGGAAAGGGACGAACATACACTCGCGGATGTAGCGAACCGCCCGGCTGCGCTGCCACAGCACTTCTCGGCTCTTGTCATTCCACAACATATCCAGATACCTCATACGGGCCCTATCACCACCGTCAGCGCCCGCCACCATCACCAAACCATATCCAACCACCACCAAACACCAAAAAGAAGAAAAAAGAAAAAAGAAAACACACCTCTGCTCCCCATCCGAAAACGGAAACCGCACACTCGGCAGCATATGCAGACACGGGCTCAACAGCACAATCTCAGTCGCAAAGACGGACAGCTCGCCCTCCTTGCCCTCGGCGACGCGGTTCTTGGGGTTGGTGCGGCCGGCATAGCCAACAATGCCGATGACGTCGCCGCGCCGGATGTTCTCGTGCTGCTTCTCGAACGACGCCGCCCCGGCATCCTCCTTGACCAGCTGCGCCTGGCACACCACCTGCAGCTGCGTGCCGATGCTGACCGTGTCGGCCGACGTGCGGAGGTCTGTTTCGTTGGGGTTGGTGCCGCGTGGCTTGTGGTTAGTTTCTGTTTCTGGGTATTGGGTATTGGTTGAAAAGGGGGGGGGGGTTGGTTTTGGGGGAGGGGGATGGGAGTGGGGAGGGGGTTACCGTAGAAGATCAGCTTGGAGCCGCTCGCGCGCTTGTTGTAGATGCGCCCTGCGATCCGGATCTCCTTGCCCTCGGCCGTCTCGCCCGACTTGAGGTGGCCGAACTCTTCGACGAACTTGGAATCGTCGTATGTGACCTGGAACTTGTGCGGGTACGGGTTCGTCTCGGGGTTCTTGAGCACTGCGTGTACGGGGACAGTCAGTAAGGTACACGATTCTGCAGTGGTGAGACAGTCGTGAGGGTGACATACGCTCATTGACATGCCGAGTCCGGATCTCGTAGTATTGGTTGGGGTTGAGGTCCTTCTCCTCCTCGCCCGCCGCGTTCTTGGGCTTGCCCGATGCCTTGGAAGGTGCGGCAGCTGCCTTGGCCGCCTTCTCGGCCTCCTTCTGGCGCTGCTTCTGGCGCTTCTTCAGTTCCGTCTTGGACACGCGCTCGCCCGTGACCTCGTCCAGGTGTAGGTTGGCGACCTCCTCCGTCGGAGGCGCAGGGGCGGTCGAGTCAGCCATGGTGGCTACTGGGAGTGGTTCTGGCTGGAGAACACGGTGAATCAGAGGACGGGAGCCAATGCAGCCGTCCGCTTGTTTGTATCGTTGTGCGGGAGGTTAGGTTTTTGTTGCAGAAGGTGCATCGAACCCAATTGCTAAATAACCCCACAGCGGGGTATTTTTTCAACGACAATTTGAGTCACAAACTTTTGGTTGTGGTCGAGGCGGGGTGACTCAGGCGCGGTGGTGGTCTCGCGTCTAAGTTAACCCTAACCCCCGTTATCAAAACGGAGGAAGAGGGTGTTGCCCCTGAGCGACACCAAAAGCACACAAGTTGTGGTGAGTGGGAAGGCTGTGCTTCTGTAACTACGGTATGCATCGTGTACATGTACACGGCCGTTTCCGGGTTTCGTCTATAGTCTAGTGATTATTACAAGTCATTGATATCCAACACATCCTCCCAAATTTGGTGCTTCTGGCCATGGAGCCCACCACAAGACGAGGCCACCTCCCTCGTCTACATCCACGCCGGTGCCAACGCTCTCACTTAGCTTTTCTTCGGATCTCTCAAGCCCAGCTCGGCATCCGGCCCCGCACGTGCACCTGTCCCTGACCGAGACCTACATAGCTTGCCGTGCCGTCGTCGGTATTGCTCCTCCTTCCACCTCCCATCTGTTGGCGTGTCCGTGCTACTTCCAGTTGCCCCATATGCTGTGACGGTAACGGCACGGGCACAACCGGGTGTTGCTGTTGTTGCTGCAGCTGCTGCAGCTGCTGCTGTTGCTGGAGTGGTTGGAGTTGGGCATCGATATACCCGCCAGGATCGTCTTCCATGTCAGCGTCCGCGTCCGCGTCGGCATCAGCATCGGCATCGGCATCTGCGTCGGTATCACCTTCGGCGTCTCCATCTGCGTTCGGCTCTTGTTCCGCCTCAGCGTTTGCTTCGGCGCCCGACCCAGCATCCCGATCGCTCATGTCCTCGTCTTCGTCATCGGCATGAATACTTATGGAAGGTGCCGTGCTAGGAATGGCCGGTGTTGTTGGAATCCGCGGAGTGAGGGCTGAAGTGGGCGAGGCGATCGAGGCGGGATAGCTCGTCCCCCCATAGCTAGCTATGGAGAGTTGGCGTGGCTGGGGCCGGTTTCGGCGACCTCCGAAGGACTGCTGGGGCAGACGTAGCCCTTGCTGCTGATTTGTCGGCGACACATCCCCGATCGAGCCTCGCGGGCTCGGGGCAGCGCTCCCTACATTGAGGGACCGCTGTGCTTGGAGGCCGCCACTCGCCGAGCGAGTTGACACAATCACCTTTCTCCACCGGTCGATGACCGACGAGACGACAGTGCTCAGGTCTGAATGCCGATCGGCAAGGTTCAAGCCGACGAAGTTCTTTCCGTCCGCCACCCCTCCCTCCACCATGTGCGTCATCAGCTTCTCGCCGACGTAGACGGTCGATGGAGGCGCGATGTTGAATTCGCGCGGCTGTTGCAGACGGGCCAGTTGCTCGATCTGGATTTTGAGGTTCGCATTCTCTTGTCGGAGTAGGTGTTGCCCTTCCTTTAGCTTGTCCACCTCTTTTCGTTTTCTGCCGACGCCCCGCGCCAATTCCAATCTCCAAAGCTGCTCACGCTGCTCTTGTGCGAGACCGTTCCAGATCGAGTAGGTGGCTCCCAGATGGTCATAGACATGCTTTTCCATCTGCACAGCTGCCTTCTCCGCCTTGAGCACTTCGGCCTTGGAGTCTGTTCTCACGTGTTCTGAGGATGGGGGGCAGGTCAACTCTTCACTGAAGGCGGTTGTGGCTGCTGCGCAGGTAACCTTCCACCGCCTAAACTCTTCCTGGAAGTGAGCGTGGAGCGCTTCAAGTTGAGTCTGCCCCGGCGGTGAGATTGACCATGACGTGGGCGTTGGGTGCTGCGTTGAGGCAAAGAGGGTCGGTGGGGGCTCGAGACATTGCAGTGTCAGAGCCGGAAAGTCCAGCGAAAATGGATCAAAGTCGAAGGGCGTCGAGTCAATATCGATTTGATACCTACCAGCTACAGTTAGCATACGCGTGGATCACCAGGTCAAGGCGCGACCGAGGAAGGGGAACGGAACGGACTTGGCGGCTCGCAATGAACTGACTAGCTCCCTCAATGCTAACTCTGAAGCCCTCGACTTGTCTTCAGCGTCCTGGATCTGTTGTCTCATGTCGAGATGCTGCTTGAGCGTCTGTCTGCAAACGGAGCGCTGGGAGGGCCCTGGCCTCGCTCCCCTGCCGGTCCCGTCCCCTCCGGCGTCCCCGGTTGCTCCGGCTCCAACTCCCCGAACGGCAAGGTCATTAATTACCCCCGTAGTTTCCCAGCGCGGCTTGAACGGGTATTTGCTTTCTGCGGCGGTCCCAGCCTTTGAGCTGTCTTTCTGGGATAGCGGAGACCTTGCGGCGGATGAGTCGGCATCCCCGGAAGCGGGACTTCTTCTCGACGCTGTGGTCGGAGTCCCCACCGAAGCTGACGTGGCTCGTCGAGCCACAGCACCCTTGGGTTGCCGACGGGTAATGTTTTGCCTCAGTTTTCGTATGGCATCTACATCATGCACCCCATCTGGAGCCTTTGGGTTCTTCTCCCGGATGTAGAGGTCGAGATGGCGGCCCAATGACGAAGAAGTAAAGGCCTGGTGGCAGTACGGACAGCTCTTGTCCTTGACCGCCTTCGTCGCGTTTGCCTCTAGAGGGCCGCTCGACGTGTCGTCCATGTTTTGTTCGTGCCTGTTTAGGCCAAAGGCCCGGGTGGCGCTGCCGGGTGCGGGCCGAGAATGATGCGGAGAAGATATCCCAAGAGTCCAACGGAAAACGGCAGCGTTAATGACTAGAAATTACTGCTGTCGAGGGAGCAAACGGCTTCATAATCATAGAAGGATCGTTCCGAGAAGAGACTGGTAGGAAGCCGCAGCGCGGAGTCCTGTGGGAGTGGGCGGTTTAATACGTGTTGGCGAAGTGTCAATGAGTGGACCATTTTTGCTTCTCGCGGCACCATCTTGACCTCCAAAACCAAAAAGCTTGATTATATTTGGAGCCCCTTTTCCCGTCTGGGTAGCATTTGTGGACAGGGCACCTCTTAGCCCAACCGGGGTCCCGGTGACTGCTGAACCGGGTTGCGTGTGTCGTGAGGCGGTGGTCGTTGGCTTGCAGAATGCAGCCGTCAGTTGCGGTTTGGCGAAGGGGGGTGCGGGCCGTTGAGGATGCCATGCCGTCTGGAACCTCGGCCCTTAAACGCTTCCCGTCGGCCAGAGAGAAAACACTCTCCAGCGTCGCACTTGTCGCAGGCTCTTGCATTTCGTACAGTGCCGAGCGGTCGTGTTCCTGCCGTTCCATCCCGCTTATTCATCTAATTTCAGATCGGCCAAGTCTCCTCGGTACGGTGCAGGTGGATTTCAACGTCTCTGAGATGCCCCTGTCACATCGCCGTTGAGATTGGAGTGACATCTGATGTGCTCCCCCAGCAAGGAGAGGCCCGGCTACCGGCTGCTTCGCTGTTGGCTCTGGCAATTGCTTGGCGCTGATCAACGGCCTGGACCGCAGGCTTGTTGCGGCTTCTTTCGTTAGTGTGCTGGATTCGCAAGAAGTGACAGGTCGAGGGGATTCGAGATCAGCTGGGAAGGGAACAGCTGTGATGAGTGAACGGCGAGTCCTCACAAGCTAACGGACTCTTCCGCTATATTTAGCATAGTTTATCCCTCCGTCTGTCGTTTGCACCTCTTAGGTCGGGCTTGATCTGGTTAATTTTGCCAGAAAAGGACGGATCCCCACAGGCATCCCGCAGCCAAGGTCGAGCTATGATGTGTTCCTGCATGTCGCAATTGCTTATTCCAGTGCATTCCAACTGTCAGAGCCGTTGGGAATAAGCCGACGCAAGACTCGAGTGTTTCTTTTTCTTGCGCAAACCGCGACCCCTTTCCAATTCCTGGAGTCTCAACCCCCCGACTGAGTAAATGAGCCCCCCCTGGAGAGGTACCCGGGGATCCTGGGACCGGGCAACTCGGTGCCCTTGCCGGGCCAATGGCCAGTGCCTTGGCGGTCCCAAGGAGCTCGCTAGCTCCGCCGTTAGCTTCGCCGAACACCTGGGGGACAGTCCCGCCGGAGTGGATTGTCGCGGGATTGGATGTGGAGGTCATTCGCATCAGTCGTGCGATTCCGCAGAAGGAAAGGACCCTGGGAATCGGCCACAGACCACAGAGAGAGGGAGCAAGTCGGAGGCGTTCCGTGTGGTGGTGTCCGGGATCCTGACGGTCCGGTGTTGCGCGGATAGACCCGGTGGCGGCAACGGCGGCAGCGCCAGGATTAACTCGAAGCGGCCAGCGTGTCCATCAGCATCCTGGGCTTCGTTATGGAGAAGTCGCTGGCCGTTGTATACGCATGGACGTGACAAGAAGAGTGTGGCGGGTTTCATCTCGGCGGTCAAGACGGGAAGTGGTTCAGAATGTTTGAAACACAAAACGGATGTTCCCAGAGTTATTGCCTGTTTGTTTCCTGGACGCCCGGCTGTGTTCCACATCGCGACCCTTGTCCTCTGGCGTGAGGCCGTTGATGGTTGTCTTCGCTTGGGGCTTTGAAGTAATAAAAAAAAAACGAGAGGAAGGAAGTGGGAGGAAACGAAACGGAAAGTCAAAGTAGCCGATAGAACACACCGTCGTCATATGCTCTCTTTCTCCGTGAAGATGTCCTCGTCTGTTCCGGTACGGCCGAAGGTTCCAGGTTTCGTTAAACAATGGAACGTACGATGGAATTAGGCAACGAACAAAACAAACCGGAGGGGTTGTGTTTTCCACCGAGAAACACTGATACTGCCGACCGCAGGCAAACGAGGCACAAACGAGGCAGCTGCGACCTAGGGAGTAGAATAAATATGGGAAGTGCCTCCCTGCCCGAATATCAGGGACCAATTGCCCCGTCAGGTGGCACCTTCCATAGGAGTTAGGTACATGTCGGGCCCCAACTTCCTTTAAAACTGCAAGTTTCGGCGCAGCCTTACGCAGATACAGAGGATGGAAAGATGACGAGTTCGAGGCAAACATACTGCCCGGCGCCCGAGCAACCTAGTGTCGAGCCCGAGTTTCTGAAAGAAGCCTCAGTCGATGCCGTCAGACTCACTGCCGGCAACCGGCACGAGGATGAGGTTGTCTTGCTAGCTGCATTGCATAGCTCATTTCTTCGACTGCCCGTATCTTGACTCCGCAATAACCTAGGTAGCTCGGTTTCTGCACGGATGTTTGCATAGCGGGTTAGTTCGGCTTCAGTTCCGACACATTCAATGCCCCTTTCGATGCCAGAGCCAACGCCGGAGCAACAGCATGGGCCAAGACCCAGGGCAAGGCCCATGTTGGGCAAGTTTAACATGCGTCCAAGTTGCACTACACTTTATCCCAGTGACATGGGTAAACTGTTCTCCTAGTTATTCACGTATCAACGCCCCCCTGCACCACTCTGGGCCACAGTCCTGAGTGAATGGATCTGAGTCAATCGTTCTGTCTGCCACTTCAAGAATTCCATCGAGGTATTCGTAGAACCTATTGCCAAGTTCAGTCTCGATGTCACCCCAACTTCATCATGTCATTGTCATAGTCTCATATAACCTCCTCCTTGTCCAGGGGTTCCAGATCGAGACAGCGATCTCTCTTCGTTTTTCAGTCGAAGTGACAATTCCCAACTTGAACGAACACGTGCCAGTATCGGGCGCATTTACTAGGCATACGCCGAGCTTACCCACAGGTGCTACTACACGGGACGGGAAAGATTCTACCTCATGGAGTCAATTTCCGTGCGGATGGGGCTGTTGACGAGGGGTGGGTTCCATGGTGACAGTGAAGGATGGGTACGGGGTAAAGGGGTGAGATCGTGGCTTGGGCGGTAGAAAAGAGAGAGATCAAAGACGGCATAAAACAGGGGAGAAAAGGGAGGAGGACTGTTTGGAAAACGATGCAGAAGGTGGGTGTCTGGGGTCGATCGATGCAATCTTCCCCCTGGAGTCATTAGTTGCGTACTGTGAGCGGCTGGGGGGCTCAATAATGCTTTGCTGCGGAGTTTGCGAATCGGATAAGAAGAGAAGAAAAAGGAACAAGTACCAAACTACCCAAATACTTTCTGGCACACATCATTGATAGCGGGAACGCAAGCAGCACAGAAAGGGGTTTCGTCGACATAACCCTAACCCGTTGTTTGTTTCTCGTTGTTTGCAAAGTGATCACGTGATAGCGTTATTCACCATGCCAATTCCGGCCCCAATTTCTTCTCTGGCGCGTTCGCGCGCGAAGCCATCACCACTTTCATCTTTCCGCCGGAGCGCGAGTTGAGCCCGAGCCAAACTGCCAACGCAACATAACCCTCCCGATAACCAATTCACCCCATTCAGAGACCTCAGCTTTTGTTGCACAGTTGTTGCGATGCCACCAGGTAAGCCCGTGGTCACCAAATCCAATTTAACCTGCGCCTGCGAGTTGCGCCTTGGCTCGCCTCGTCGCCGATCGGTCGAATATTCGATATCCACGACTATTTCTCTGCTGACAATGCCTCCCGTAGCGTTTAGTGACGACGAGGGCTCCGACGTCGAGGTGGAGCAAACTTCGGCCAAGAAATCGACCCGGACAAGAACACCCGCCAAATACGAGGACGAGATTCCTCAAGACGAAGATGCCGCCTCGGCTGATGAAAACAACGGGATTGCGGAGGGGGATGACGAGGAGGGCGACGATGACGACGAAGATCTGGACGAAGAAGTGTACGAACCATGATAACAATTGGGACCCGCCGCAGAGGTTACTGACACGGACTAGCTACGTGGTAGAGAAGATCATGTCGCATATGATCGATAAGGTAAATCATGAATCCGGCGGTCTTTCAGGCTGGATCATCGTCTGACGCGAACAACAGGGGAAGCCGCTTTTCGAGGTCAAGTGGGAGGGGTACGAGAAGAAGTCTGATCGGACGTGGGAGCCAGAAGAGAACCTCATGTAGGATACTGGCTTGCTTACTCGCAGCATACACTTGTGCTGACCGTTTCCTTTAGCGACAACGCCTCGGACGCCCTCAATGAGTATCTCCAAAGCATCGGCGGCCGGGACAAGCTTTACGAAGACAGCGCGAACGCATTGAAGAATAAAAAGCGAGGCAGGCCATCCTCGTCTACACCACAGGCGAGCGGGAAGCGTTCCCGGCGAAACGGAGACCATCCCGCCGACGAAGAACCACCGCTGAGCGCGAAAGCGGTGACATGGAAGCCACCACCAGGGAGTTGGGAAGAGCACATCGACCACCTTGACGCTTGCGAAGATGAAGTATCGGGTAACCTGATGGTATACCTCACGTGGAAAAACGGGCACAAGACGCAACATTCCACGAAGGTTATCTATCAAAGATGTCCACAAAAGGTATGTTACGTTATGGCAGGGCTGCTTTGACAAAAGCTTACCGGTTCCAGATGTTGCAATTCTACGAGCAGCATGTGAGGATCATAAAACGAGAGTCCGACGCCGACTCTTTATGAGGCCGGAGTTTATAATACCCGACGATTTGATTCCTTGCTCTCTGCATGCATTTTCCGCACGGCAGGCGTCCCCTCTAAGCGCTTTCTGCTTGAACAGCTGCGTCTTTTACGCGGACTCGGCGTTCAGCTTCGCATTCTTCGGGACAATATATTCAGTTTCCCTTCAACTTTTGTGTTGGTACCAGACGGGTCTATGGATGCGAGTGAGTTCACCGAGCGGTTGCTGGCCCGGGATGGCCTCCTCTGCTTTTGTACGTAGAGATAATTAATTTTGAATTCGTAGTTGATCCTTCAGTCGGCAAGACGAGGAATCACTTCCCCTACGGACAATTCCCGCCTTTACCGTCTCTTTTCAACGCGTACCACAGTTCCATGCGTTGGCCAGTTTTGTGGCCATGACGCACCCAACAATGAACCCCCTGGCAGCTTGCCAGATCCTCGAGCACGACCCCTGACCCGAGATTCAGGATTCGACGTATCAGAGCCCGACTTGCAGAAGGGGGCTGGACAAGGCCCCACCAAGATGGCGTGTGCACACCCTGTCGTACAGGGGTTAGGGTCGGTCCAGCTCACTGCGGCGCTGCCAGCCTTCTCTTTTATTGACTTTTTTGCAACAATGAGGTGGCGGGGCAACCACCTATTTTACGCGGGCGCCTCCTGGTCCCGCGCAACGCGGCGGGCTGCCCAACTTGCGCTGCATGTCGATTTTGTGATCTCACCAGCCTTTGACGACGTTACGGACCCTTTGTTGTTGATTTTGTTCCATTGTTTGAACATTTCGAAGTTTTGTGACTTCTGACGGAACACGGCGTCCCTTTGCGGAACATTCTAACCCCGCAACAAACGGAGAGCTGCTTGCTGCTGTGAGTTTCTCCCATTTCTAGTTGCCATCCAAGCCTCTTGCAGCTAACGTTTGACAGATTGAGCTTCAACTACCACAGCCCGACAGACCCACGCCGTCGTCGTCAAACTCGAGGCTCTAGCTCGACACACACGCTATCTTCCACTTACACCACCCCCCAAACCTGCGGACACAAGCATTGCCGTCTCCAACCGGCCGGATCGAACCCACGTTGCCCAAACGGTGCAGCTCGTCCCCGCCGTGCCACGAGCCGCTCTACCGGCCCCTCCCGTCCCGCACGACACGGCCCCGCACCACACACAGAGAGCGAGACAGCGGCCCGGCCTCCGAGCTAGAAATCAGCAAAGATGAAGCAAAACGATGTCATTGCGGTGATCATCATCGTCCTGTTCATCGTGCTGGCGCTGATCGCGTTCGGTATCTACCACCTCGTCAGCGTCGCGCGGCGGAACGTGCACGGGACAGTCACAACGTCGTCGAGTGGGAGCAGTGGTGATGACTTGGCTTGATCGACCGGAACGTCACGGTTCGGCGCAAAAAGAAAAAAAGGAAACGAGAATGGCCTACGCATTGCGACAATTGTCGGCAATTGAGGGCTCACACTTCTGCTATCGTTCTGCGGCGGGCGTTCGGTTGATGAGCCCCAAAAAGGGGTAGGTTGTTTGGCCAACCGGTCCCCACACACGTGGGAATGGGACGGATTTTCAACCTGACGGACATGAGAGATGGTGATGGGTATTTGATGACGACATTTGGGCGGACAACTGTCGTTGTTTCATCGGCATTGCATATATATATCACGGCGGGATGCTCTTTTTGGGGTACACGGCGTTTTTGGCTCGTACAGTTGGGGGTGGGTTAGGCAAGGGGCACGTGAAAGGCAGTATGAAGCGATGAGGGAATCTGTGCGATATTGCAAGCGGGTGCTTTCCATGTACAGGGTTATTGTTGTATATAAATATTCGTAGATGTTTCTCGCGTTGTTGTATGGAAGCGTGATGGTGAAATGGACGTTGGACTTCGAATGTTTCTCTTGCCGATGGCGCGAGCCGGTGCGGGGTTAGCAGCATCCTTCAACTCAATTCTGCATGATGCGAACAGTTATGTGGCTTCATTTTTGATCTGTTTGGGTGGATGAGTAAGAACAGTAAGAACCTTTTCGAGGGAAAATAGGTAGGAGAAAGGATTAGCCTCCGGATTTGTCAAAGAGACAGCCACTGCGCCCTTCCTTCTTCATGAGCCAGTGATTTGTCATACCTTATTCGGGGCCGGGCCTGGCCATGTTCAACATTGCATATAAAACAACAAATAGTCGAAGTAGGTAGCCCCGTCAATCTCCCGAACATTCTCATGAAACCTCCGCATAGATACTTGGCGCTCCTGCTTGTTAGCATAGCTCAGGGCACTGCGGACGTTGACCAACTACAATTCAGAGATTCCAGCTTCCTGTCCCAGTTCAACGGCCTCGGCTATAACAGCCCCCCAGTCATGGCAACGCTGCTGGACAACACCAACGGCTGGCATGCCGGCGAGCGTGCAGTTCACACTCTCCTCAAAGTCCCCACGTCAGGCCGCCAGAACCCAACAACTACCGGGTTACCCCCCTCTTATGCTCACCGTGTTGCCGTTTCGCCTCTTCTGGCCGTGGGGACACTGGATGACCAGGGCCGGCCATGGACTACTATCTGGGGCGGAGAACGTGGTTTTGCACAGTCGGTAGCTCAAGGCATTTTGGGTGTACGGAGTCTGGTCGACAAGGCCCATGACCCAGTGGTGGAGGCCCTCCTGGGCAAGGCAGCCGACGGGGAAGTGCTTCAACCAGAGGATGGGAAAGTCATGAGTGCCTTGAGCGTGGATCTCGAAACCCGAGACCGCGTCAAGCTGGCAGGGAAGATGACGGTCGGGACTTTGGCTGGGCGGTCGGACAACAGCACCGTCGCCGAAACACAGTTGGCCATGCTCGTCCAGGAGAGTCTGGGCAACTGTCCAAAGTACCTCAACATCAAGGATATCCGCGCCCATGTACCTTCGCCACAACTGGTCTCGCCCTCTCTGCCCCTTCCGGCGGAAGCATTGGCCCTGATCGAACAGGCAGACATGTTTTTCCTCTCGTCCACCAACGGGCAGACCATGGACACCAACCACCGCGGAGGGCCAGCAGGGTTCATCCGGCTCGTGAGCAACTCCCCGGACAGCGTCGTGTTAGCGTACCCCGAGTACTCCGGCAACCGCCTCTATCAGACCCTTGGCAACCTGCACACCAACCCCCTCATCGGCATCGCCATCCCAGACTACACCACTTCCGACGTCCTCTACCTCACCGGCTCGACCCAGCTCCTCGTCGGCCCCGCCGCGGCATCCCTCATGCCACACGCCAACCTCGCCGTCAAAATCACCGTCCACGCCGCCCGCCTCGTCAGAGACGGCCTCCCCTTCCGCGGCACCCCCGGCGAGCCCAGCCCCTACAACCCCCCGGTCCGGCGCCTGGCCACCGAATCCCCCGCCTCCCTCGCAACAACCCCACCCCACACACCCCCGGCCGCCACCCTCATCCTCACCCGGCGCGACCTCCTCACCCCCACCATCGCACGCTTCACCTTCGTCCTCCGCCCGGCCCGTAGCCCAGACAGCAGCCCCCCAAAACAACAACTCCGGTGGCACCCCGGCCAACACATCACGCTGGCCTTCGCGCCCGAGCTGGACATGGGCTACAGCCACATGCGCGAGGCCGACCCGCAGAGCCTCAACGACGATTTCGTGCGCACCTTCACCATTTCCAACCCACCACCGCCGCTTCCTCCCGCTCTTTCTGGGGACGGGGATGGGGATGGGGATGGGAAGGAAACGGAAGTGCAGCTGACGCTCCGCCGCCACGGGCCGGCCACGGGGTTGCTCTTTGCGCATCGGCTGCTGGATCCGACGGTGCCGGCGCTGGAGGTGCCTGTTCTGGGGGTGGGTGGGGAGGAGAGGTTTCGGATTTTGGGGGGTGGTGGTGGTGGTTCTGGGGGGAAGAAGGCGGTGTTTGTGGCGGGGGGTATCGGCATCACGCCGCTTCTTGCGCAGGCGCCGGGTGTGTTGGCTGCGGGTGCGGGTGCAGGTGAGGGTGTTGGTGCTGGTGGAAGTGGTTCGGCGGTTGGGGTGCTGTGGAGTTTGAGGGGGGAGGATCTGCCGCTGGCGGTGGATGTGTTTGAGGGGATTGAAGGGCTGGGAGGGGTGACGACTGTTTTTGTTACGGGCGGTACGGGCGGGATTGGGGAGGGGGTGGTTGAGAGGATGAGGGAACTGGGGGCGACGGTTGAGGTTCGGAGGATGCTGAGGGAGGACGTGCTTGCGGCGAGGGATGTTGCGAGGGGAACAAAGTATTTTGCCTGTGCGAGTCCTGGAATGCTCAGATCGGTGGTGGATTGGCTTGAGGACGAGGAGGTTGTGCTTGAGAGTTTCGAGTATTGATGGTGCCGGCTCAGGGGTTAGGGGGTGTTTGTTGACTGCCTACCTACCTACCTGGGTAGGTAGGTTGGACGAGAAACAGGGTCACACTGTAATTTACACTATGAGGCCATATTTCCATAACTTACACAAATGTTGGACTCATTCTTGAATCCTAGTTTTCGGGCAGTAAATTAATCATGTGAAAACTTACCAGAGCTCGCCGTGCCGAGTTACCGTCAGGTACTAGTACCTACACGCGAGGGGAGCGGTGGTTGGTTGATAAGGCATGCCGAAATCGGGGACTCAGGAACTTCAAGAGCAACTCCAAGGCTTGATTGAAGCTTACCTGCCGACCGCGTAAAGAACCTACCTAGGTAGTTTCGCTTTTGCTTTGTCAGACGTAACTGAGATTAGCCGGAATCACCGGGCTTTTATCGGGTTTCTGTTGCACTCTGTGTTTGTATCAAGGTGGCAGATGCCGAGTCACATAGCAATTGCATCCAAGCAAGCATGCATGTGCAACCTTCGTAACCCGCGGCAGCAGGCGAGTTCTTGGAAACCCCACTCTCTACTGCAAGGCCTTGGCCCGAATGCCCAGCGACGCCGGAACACGGTACTCGGCGCCACGCGGACAACCTACCTGAAGTGCTACAGTCCTGCATGGGAGGCCTCGAGGTTGGAACACATGAAACCTGTAAGAACAGACGGGTTGACAAAGCTGCTTGGAAATGCATCTTTACATACAGTTTGAGCGGTGCTTGTTTGTTTCGGCACCTGGCGCAGGAGGTATAAGCTTGGGATTGTGAAACCAGACAAAACCAACACATGGGCCAAATAGGTCGACCCAATCCTAGCGATTTCGGTCCATTTTGTAACAATCAGGTCATTGCGTGAGCTCAAGAGTGGGTTGCGTCTTTTTAGCCCAGGCTTAACTCCGGCAGCGGACGTTGTGAAGAAGCCCTGTTCGTTGCAAACAAATTGAGATCGAAAAAGAATGGATCTGAGGATCTGAGCGTATGGATCTGAGCGTCCGTCCCGATTAGGCGAGGAGGCTTGAGCATAGGTGCTGTTCGGCCCCCGCGTCACTCGCTGAATAAGTGAAAGGGCCGCCCGCATCCCACCTCTCTGCCTGGCCACCCTTTGTTCCATACCTTCATCCGACCTTCATTCACCTTCCTCATCTCCAAACGACCCGACTCAACAAATACTGCAACCTCCTCTCCCGATTGACATCCTTTAAAATTCCACTATACCAATCGCCCTCTCGATTGGTACCCTTCTGCGCCGTGTTTTCGGCGACAGCTCGACTCTCATTAGGTCCCTATCGTCCTGCTCGGCATTGCGCAAGTGCACGGCCCCCGCAGACACCGAACGCCCAGGTGCCATTTCGCCTGCCTCGCTGCGTGCGTCACGTCACCCGGCACGCTCGATCTCTCCTCAATTCAACGTCGCAACCACTCTCGATTTTGCCAAAATGACTGCCGGAACTAGCGACTCAGGCACACAAACACCCTCCCCGCCCATGGGGCAACCGATCCTCGATGGCGCCCAGTCGCCCTACACGTTCCCAACCGAGAAACTGAAGCGCCAACTGGTGCAGCCGGGCAAGACACCCCTGGTGCTGGTTGCATGTGGTTCATTTTCTCGTAGGTACCAGTGCCCACATATGATTGTTGCAATTGCTGACACCCACGCAAGCCATCACTTATCTGCACCTCCGCATGTTCGAGATGGCGAGCGATTTTGTCCGCTTCAATACCGACTTCGAGGTTTGCGCCGGATATTTGTCACCGGTATGGCCGAATATTGCTGAAGAAGATCTGCAACAGGGGGCTGATGATGAGGTGTCACAGGTCAGCGACGCTTACAAGAAGGTGGGGCTAGCCCCGGGCTCCCACCGGGTCAACATGTGCGGTCGGGCGGTTGAGCAATCGCCCTGGCTCATGGTCGACCCCTTCGAAACGGTGAATAGCGACGAGAATGGCGAGCCGCAATACGTCCCAACGGCCAAGGTCTTGCGTCACTTCGACCACGAGATCAACACCGTGCTTGGAGGCATCGAGGGCACTGATGGGCAGATGAAGAAGGCCCGGATTGCGCTCCTGGCTGGTGCGTCAATTACTACTCGAACGAACAGAGAGCTTTGTGCTAACATCCCATTTTAGGCGCCGACTTGGTCATGTCCATGGGTAGGTTTTGCGGAGGATCGCATCCGTTCGACATAAACGCTAACTTGCTCTAGGGGAGCCCGGACTCTGGGCACCAAAGGACTTGGCCACCATTCTCGGCTCGTACGGCGCGTTCATCATTGAGCGCTCGGGGACCGATATCGACGAAGCCCTGGCCTCGCTTAGGCAGTATGAGGACAACATCTGGGTGATCAGCCAAGTCATCCAGAACGATATCAGCTCCACGAAGGTCCGCCTGTTCTTGAAGAAGGATCTCAGTGTCCGGTACCTGATTCCGGACCCTGTTGTTGATGTTCGTCATGACCCCCAATGCCTGTTTGAACGTTCACTTACGCATGACAGTACATCAACGAGCACGGGCTGTTCGAGTCCAACTCAGCCATGTCCCGGAGCCGGACACCAGATGTTGGCCCTGAGCCTTCAAACTCGAAGCCTATCAAGGGCTGAGTGAGTTGGACGTTCTGACGCAGCTGTCAACCATCAAAAACGGCGACAGGACTGGGATGCGCATTGGGGGATACCCGCGCACAGTCTAGACTGGCAACAATTGGCGTAGGGAGGCAGCGACTGGTCGACACGCAGGAACTGCAGTGCTTCACTTGGACGTTGAGATACCCCGATACATGCTATCAGAGGTGTTGGGAGTTTAGAGGTGGCTGGCCTTTAGCTAGGCTCCGCACTGCCGGCATCTCGCCGAGGTAGCGTCGAGCCCTAGGATACCTTGCGGACGTCTGCTGGAAGAGCGGCGTTCTGCTCATGGGAATATTGGCCGTAGACACTTTTTTGTAGTAGGAGGCGGTAATGAATTCTGACGCGATCGCGACGCTTTACGATGACATCATCGGCAACATCGCGCTGGCATGCGTCGCCAATGCCCTAGATTGGTTTACTTGGCAGAAGGCTAGCATGCCAGATGCTGTGGCTTGCATGATGCAGCGGGAGGATGCAACACCCACAATGCGGTTCCAGCCCATTGGGTCGGGTCGGTTGCATGGGCGGCCAGTTTAGCCGTTCACTTGCTTTGCTTTCCTAGGTAGTCTCAGGATAGTAATGTCTAAGCTGATGTGTGAATATGAAACTCGTCATCTTCTTGCTTATTGTGCCTTCTACACGGGACGAATTATGCGTCTTACTCTAGCTAGAGGTACCTACAAGTATCACAACAAACAACCCACGACGGGGTCTTTCACATCTTACACACCCCTTCCCCCTCTCACCACCATCACACTAGTGTACATCCAAACTCACAACCCCTCCACCCCATTCCTCTTCCCCCCCTGCTCCCCCAAATCCTCATCAATCCTCTCCCTCAACCACTCCCCCACCACTGCCTCCCCCTGTCCATCCAACCCCAGCCCGCCCTCCTCCTCCTCCCCGTCCACCCCGGCCCCAACACCCGCCGCCTCAAAGCTCTGCACCCGCCTCTCGATCGCCTTCCACCTCTCCCCCCCGCGATCCACCCCCTCCCCCTCTCCGTTCTCCCCTTCGAACTCCCGCTCCCACGGCGCCGGGCCCCACACCCCGCGCCGCCGCCCAAACTCGTGCATGTCCAGCGAGCGCATCATCAGCCCCGCCAGCTGGTTCGCCTGCACGGCGAAGTTGTTACCGTTGCCGTTGCTGCTGTTACCATTGCTGCTGCTGTTTTGGGTGTGTGGGTGGTATGTGTGTGTGTGGGTGGGCGTCGTCGGCGCCGAGTAGACGAGCAGGGTGAAGGGCAGGCGCAGCGTGCCGTTGATGGGCGGGAACCAGCTGTAGCCCTTGCGGGGCGGCTTGCGCTGCTTGGCGCGGTGGGTGGCAAGGGCGAGGATGGTGGCGGCGGATTCTTCTTTTTCTTCTTCTTTTTCTTTTTCTTTTTTGGGGGGTTCGGTTTGTTCTGGGGGTGGGGATTGGGCTGTGTTTGAGGGAGTGGTGGTGGTGGAGGAGGAGGAGGAGGAGGAGGGAGGGGGGGTTGGGGATCGGGAGGGGGTTGGTGAGCGGTTGGTGAGCGTGTTGACGGCTGCGTTAAAGGCACCGCCGAGGGGGTGGGGGGCGCTGAGCGGTGTCGTGAAGTCGTCTGGGACGTGCAGGTCCGGGGAGTGGAAGAAGAGGCAGGCTGACGCGAACGGGTCGAAGAGGTTGGAGGGCGTGCCGAAGAGGGCTGGCGCGTGGTGCTTGAGGTCCGTGAAGATGCCTCCTTCTTCGATGGGCTCGTCGTTGATGGTGGCGATGGGGAGGAGAGCGCCACGGTTATTTCTGAGCTTGGGCGTGTGGATGGGGTGGTCGGGTAGGAACATGGTCCAGTTGTAGATGCCGTTGTGGGCGATTAGGCCGCGGATGGTCATGGGCTGGTAGCGGGTGGGCACGTGGGTCTCGGTCAGGGCGAGGCCGGCGGCCAGGCTAGCGCCGAGGTAAGAACCGTAGATATAGGCAGGACGGGGCTTGGTAGAAGGGTTGGTACCCGAGCCGAGATTGTTCATAATCCAGGAGTAGCCAAAGGTGATGTCGTGAAGAGGGACGGGCCAGTGAAGGGGGGTCGCACGCGGTTTATCTTCGTCATAGTCCTGCCACCGGTAGTTGATGACGGCGGTTGGGTAGTCATGGAAGCATGCTGGGACTGGCGCGACAGAGTCGGGGCGAGGTTGAGAGACTGGCGGGATGAGAATGATTAAAGGGGTGGTGGTGTCGTGGTCGTTGATGTTGTGGAGGCTGTTACAGTCAGTCAGAGAGATATTCGACATGACTGGGACTTGGATTGCTCACCTCACGGTAATCTCACCCGCAGATGCACATGGTATCCGGACATGTTCTATCGGTGACTGAGAGCTCAGAAATCTTGATTGAAATTGCCGGGGCCGAACCAGACACCGCACTCTTGTGAGGCGAAACCATCGCGACATGACTTTTCCGAGATGACAAGAGCGCGTGGTGGTTTGTACTTTTTAGACTAAAACCTTGATGTTATCTCATTCCATTCCGGCTCTTGATCCAGTGTAGCTCATGATCCAGTTTATCTTTTAAGTGGGTATGCCGGTTGGGGGGCAAATAGAGATTTAGGTAGTTATGATGGGAGATCTCATCAACCTCCTCCGCATGCAGAAAAAGAAGTGTGTTTCGATGTTTGAATCCGTCTCCATACGGGCCTTCGAGCTTTGTGGCAGCACTTTCAGGGATTCGAGGGGCGCTGCAGCCCCTTTGGCCAATCACAAGCCGCTATCGCCGCCATCGCCGCCAATCGTCCCTGCTTTGTTCAGCGCCTTCCAGGCCTGGAAACCAATCGTCATGTCAATGGATGGGGAGGGGTTTGCAACTTACCATCTGACCATCCTTCGCATTTCATCATCCCATTAACCCTCCCGACTTTCCTTTCCTATAATCATGAGACGAACCATGCCGATTGACCTGCGCCCGGTGCGAAAGCTTTCTGAACGCTTCGTCAAAGGAAGTGGGACAATGCACACGAAGGTCTGGGGGACTCTCACCCTCACTCAACGACGACACAATGAACGAATACAGCGATGAAATCCAGGAATATGTTCCCAAGCAGGTTTCGAAAGAACGGGATCATTTGAACCCTAGGTGAGTTTTGGCCTGGAAATAAATAATCCGCTATACAATATTTCAGCCGCTAATGGGTTGTTGTCACTCTTGAGTCGTTGGTGGTTCGCGTCCTCCGCCTTCCCCATGATCGCGGGTACCCTGGGCCCCGTTGCGTCTGCCTTCAGCATCTGTGCCCTCGTGAAGCCATGGCGCCAGAGCTTCCCGCCCGGGACCGACATTGCCCTGGCTCCGTACATCCGCGACCCGAGCTGGCTAACCGCCGTCAACGCCGTCCAACTTGTTCTTGCTATTGTCGCCAATATGGCCCTGCTCCTAAACATGACAAGGCGGCTCAGTTTCACCATCGCCCAACCTGTTACCATCATCGGCTGGTACATCTCGTCCTTTGCCCTGATTTCCCTCACTGCCACTGCTTCGGGCCCTCTGGTGGTGGAGCCCGCCGAGGAGTTCATCTGGTCCCAGGCATTCTATTACGGAATTTATTCGGCCGTCCTGTACTTCTTCGTCGCCTCTCTTATGGTAGTCACCTACCTGGGCGCCCAGGCTGGCCGCTATCCTAAAGACTTCATACTTACCTCGAGCCAGCGCACCCTTATGCTGCAGACCATCATGTTCCTCGTGTACCTGTTGCTCGGAGCTCTGGTATTCCGTCAAGTCGAGGGCTGGTCTTACCTCGACGCAGTCTACTGGGCGGCCGTGACGCTCTTCACCGTTGGCTTTGGCGATCTCTATGCCACCACAGCTCTTGGTAGAGCATTGCTGATTCCTTACTCACTGATTGGTATTATAAGTCTCGGTCTTGTTATTGGCTCCATCCGCAGCCTGGTCCTCGACCGTGGTAAGCGGCGGCTTGGGGATCGCATGTTGGAAAAGAAGCGACGCAGGACCTTGAGGCGGATGACGCGGTTGGGAAAAGACGAGGTTCTGATCCCCATCAGAGACGACCCACCGACTATGTTGTCCGTACGGACCGACTCCTCAGCTTTGACCGAGTTCGAGCGGAGAGAGCGTGAGTTCAATATCATGCGCAAGATCCAAAACGTGTCTGCTCACCGCCGGCGGTGGTTTGCCATGGGCGTGTCGACTGGTACCTGGTTGGCTCTGTGGCTCGCTGGCGCAAGGGTATTCCAGGAGTGCGAGGAGCGATATCAGGGGTGGAGCTACTTCGACGGCTTCTATTTTGCTTTTGTCAGCTTGACCACAATCGGGTACGGCGATATGACGCCCGTTTCCAACGCTGGCAAGTCCTTTTGGGTGTTTTGGGCGCTACTGGCTCTGCCTACCATGACTGTCCTGATCTCTAATGCAGGCGACACCATTGTCAAGGGGATACGAGACGCGACGGACCAGGTAGCCACCGTCACCATCCTGCCCGGCGAGCAAGGGTACAAGATGGAGCTTAGACGGCTGCTGCGGACGCTCTCCTGCGGTGTTTTCTTCAAAGAGGATACCGAGCAGGCGCCCGCCGGCTTTCTCGGCCGACCACGGCGCCTCGAACCCTCGACTGATCACAACAACCGGGCCAACGACGCCCAAGCGGGGATGTTCGAAGCCGAGCTCGGGTTAGAAGCCACTAACATGGCCCAAGCAAAGGAGGGATGCGCCAGCCATACCGATCCCGAAGAGGGCTACAAACCCCAAGCCGAAACCACCGCCGCGGAAACAGGCAAGAACGACGAACTCCCCGGCCCCACCAACACCAAAATTACCATCTTGACCCCCTCATCCTCCCCTTCATCTTCGCCACCAAGACCAGGACCCAACCAAAACCCCAAACCACATCCAAAACCACACCCCCCACACCCCGTCCACATCCCGCACGCCGTCACTCTCCCACCCACCAAACACGATCACGATCACGATCACCACACCCACCACACCCCGCACACCCTCGCCCTACCCCCCTCCAAACACGACTACCACATCACCCTCGTCGACGAGATCCGCCGCGTCACCCAGCACCTGCGCCACCGCCCGCCCCGCAAGTACACCTTCCGCGAGTGGGCCTGGTACCTGCGCCTGATGGGCGAGGACGAGGCTGATGCGGCGCGTCATCGGCGGGAGGTGCATGCTGTGCGCGGGGCGGCGGTGGCTGCTGGTGCTGGCGCTACTGCTGCGGTGGAAGCGGGGAGTGGGGATGGGGGTGGAGAGAAGAGGGATGGTGGTGATGGTGGTGGTGGTGGTGGTGGTGGGAAAGGGGGTGATGCTGGGAAAGGGGGCGAAGGATTGGTAGAGAAAGGGGGCCGGCTTCCCTGGAGTTGGGTCGGCAGCAGGAGCCCGCTGATGGACTCGCAGGAGGAGGCCGAGTGGATCTTGGAGCGGTTGATTGCGAGGTTGGGGGACGAGTTGAGGGCTGCTAGGGAGGAGCATCACTCGGGTCAGTGATTTGGTACAGGCAGGCATGCATATGTGGGGTGTTTGGAGTTGTGGAGGGGGGTGGGTTGTTTTAGCATGCATGGTAGAACGGTACATGCGGATGGATGGATGGATGGATACCCGGGGAAGCATATCGTTTGCGGGAGTATGCGTTAGTGCGTATCATTATTCTGTATTATGTGAGGGTTTCACCTCTAGCATGCGTATCTAGGAAGGGCTGTTGAGAGCAGTTATGCATTTACTTGCATGCATTAGGGGTGATGTCATATCGAATGACTAGATAGAATGGTCAAGCTCACTGCGAGGACACGAATTCCGAACACCGAGGGATAAACACCATATCGAGTGACAACCGTTTTAGAAGAGGATTACGGATATGTAACGATTGTATCATTTTATCATAGCTACCAGATGATGCGGGCCTGTACCTTGCCGAATAAAATCATGTATGCCGAGATCCTGCTTTATACGCCTGTGCTTCCCGATTTTCCATCCCCCACCCAAGTCCAGAGACCAACGCCGTGCGCCAGAAGCAAGTGATGATAGGTAAGAAACCTGGCCGAAGCACGCAATCAGAGTGAGGGCATCGTCGTGTTTGTCGCAACTTTCCCCAAAGAACCGAAGAGTTGGGCCGAGATTCGCTCGTAAGATGAGACCACGAACCCGACGGCCTCGCCAAACGCCAGCAACCCGATATTCCGCAGCATGGAAGGAGGAAGGCCGTAAGATCCCATAACGAGTGATGCGGTGGGGAAGACGACAAAGGGCCACCAGCTGCGGGTTGTCACGCGTGTGAAGAAGGACTCGTTCATTGAAGATGCCACGGCTGCCGTCTCCTCCAGTGCGTCGAGGATATCGTTGGTGATGTTATTGGCTTGCTTGAGCATGCCCGCGTGGTCGTCAAATTTCGTGGAAAGCTTCTCAGTTGCTGTGACCAGCCGGTCCATTCCTTGCTCGAGGTTATCTTGGCGTTGGGCAAGCAGAACGGCCTGTTGGTCCGCAACTTCCTGGGTGGAGAGGTCAGCAGCTGGGCATAAGGGGCGAGACTTGGATACTTACGATTTGCTGCTGTAGAGAGGTAGAAGAAATCACCGCTGACGAGACAACCGCTGCCAGAGCACTCATGTCCTCGTTTACCCGGTGCGTTGCTTGCGCAAGTGTGTTTTCGTGTGCGAAGGCTAGTTGAGAATTGCTCTCGAGGACATTGTTGACTAAGAGACTCAGTAAGTGTTGCAAGTTTTCGGCGTGTTGGAGCCCATCGTGGTAAGACTCGGAGGTCTTCTTCAGTGCGAGGTCAAGGTCCTTTGAGAGATAGTTTTCCACGCGTGCTAACCCTTCGCTCAACCGGTCAATGTGTGGGGTGAGCTGCTCGAGTGTCTCAACAGACTGACGGGCGCGATTGTCGAGATCATCCATGCGCTTTTGAAGCTCAGCCTCGACGCCGTTAGTGAGCTGAGAAATGACTCGCGTAAGTCGCTGATAGAGCAAGATGTTTTGGGCTGCGAAAGGGTCAGTCATGTACGGGATGGAGCCAGTCAAGCGAACTCACACTTCTCATGGTCGGCCCTAGCAGCCTCGCAAAATCGCAGTGCCTTGTGGCGATAGCTGACCCAGGTGGTCCACGCGGCATCCGACGCCGCCAGCGCCGACAGACAGAGACCAATCTCCCCAGGGCTCACATGCAACTGTGGCTCATCTCGCATGGCGATTTGGCTGAGTGACGGCTCGCGAAATTTGGCGCACTGCTTAGGGATCGAGAAGCTGCCGCGCTCCAGGTCGCAAATGGCTAGGCTTGCGGCATACGAGTCGACAAAGTCGCGAATTTTCCTCCCGCTGTCGGTGAGAATGGTCGCGTCGTCCTTGCCGTCGACTAGCTGGCAGTTGTTGACCAGGAGCCGTGCGGCCACGCGATGGCAGAGAGGCTCCAACTCAAGTTGCTCAAGCTCGCTCAAGGCAACGGCGTAAATGTTGGGGAGGCGGGATTTCTGGAGCACCTCGGAGGGCTTATCTGAGTTCGCTACGACTGCGGATGGTTAGTCGCTGTCGGGTTTGTTCCAAATCCTTGTCACAACTTACGGAATGCAGCCTTCTTCTCGTTTCTCCAGGAGATACCGTGGATGCAGGGCGCCAAAAGGGCTAGTAGGAGTATGGGGGCCTGCATGTTGGTCGATTCCGTCGTTTTTCGTTGCTTGTGCTAGCTAGTCGCAAGTGAAGTTGTCTTGGAAGACAAGTATACCAAAGGGTGGATCAAGAGTGTTGCTGGTGCGGCTTTGGGAAAAGTAAATGATGGTGGGGAGAGAAGGTTGAAGTTTAAGTTGCTGGAGAGGAAATAAAAGGCACAAACCTGAAGGAAGTGGGCAAAGTTTGGCTGAAGGGCATGGAGTTTAAACGGGAAGGAAGGCGCATCTTGAATAGGTGGGAGGGGGGTGAGGAACATCACATAGGCAGAAATGGATTCTCGATGCTGAAGTCTTGTGTGTCAAATTTGACTCGTGAATTGCTCTGGGAGAGGCCTGGAACTGGATGAACCATAGACAACTCAGAAATCCTAACTGCCTATACAATCCGGAACGGAAGAATTAAGTTGAGCACAGCGCTGAACTGCAACTTCATCTGAACTTAGTAAAATCCTGCAAAGTGTAAGCCATGCCTGAATACCTAACTATTGTGAAAGTTCAACAAGAGGAAAGGCTTTAGAGAGTTCATGACATCCCTTGTGCAGAATGGAAGGTGCGCTTGGGAGAGAAAGAGTACCTGGGAGGGTTTATTTTAGTGATCAAAAAAAGAACTAGGCAACAAAACCTTAATAAGAAAAACACAATAAGTATTTATGATTATTGACCAGCAAATTTATGCCATTGTGAGTCGTGGTTGCAAGCTGGGATCTCCAGCACGTTTTGGTGATAATCATGGAGGTTGAGCCTTGGTGTTGAGCGAACTGTCAAACCCCTGGCCGCTGACTAAGATAGAGCCCCACATGGAGCCCGCCGGTGCTGTGCCCGAACTTTTTTGAGCAAGCATCAATTGAAGGAGAGCCGATTCCAGCGCGCCGCGAGTTGAGTTGCCAGTCCGCCGTCGCCCACAATGCTCGCACCAAGGACAGGGCGACAGGCCCTCCAACGGGCATTGGGACCCAATCCCTCCTCGACCGTCACACTGCCGGGCTTCCTCGTCCCGGCCTTCCAGACATCGCAAGCATCGGCCCGGCGAGCCTTCTCGGCGACGACACACCGGCCCTCCAAGCTCGGCAGGACGCCGCTCTCGGTGCCGCCGGGCGTGGACCTCTCGATTGGCGACCTGTTCATCAAGAAGGACATGACATCGTACCTGAAGACGTACAAGCGGAAGATCACAGTGGCCGGGCCGTTGGGTGAGCAGCATGCGTCGGCAACCCGTCGACCGGGGCACTGACATGTTCTAGGAACATTGGAGCTCGAGATCCCCGACTACGTCAACATCGACCATGACGCCGCAGCGAGGAGGGTGGAGCTGAGCGTGAAGGACCGGGACCAGAGGAACCAGCGGGAGATGTGGGGTATGGACTACCGTCGCCACAGCCAGCAATGCGATCAGACCGGAGGCTGACAGACTGCCGCAGGAACCACGTGGTCGTACCTTAACAATCACATTATGGGTGTATCGGAAGGGCACACGGCTGTCCTCCGCCTGGTCGGTATCGGTTACAGGGCGACGATCGAGCCGCGGCCCGCGTTGGAGGAATACCCCGACCAGCAGTTTGTCTGCCTGAAGCTGGGCTTCTCGCACCCGGTCGAGATGGGTTTGCCCAAGGGCATGAAGGCCAGCGCGCCGCAGCCTACCCGAGTGCTCCTCGAGGGCATCAACAAGGAACAGATCATGCAGTTCGCCGCCAAGATCCGCAGGTGGAGAGTGCCGGAGCCGTACAAGGGCAAGGGCATTTTCATCAACGACGAGACCATCAAGCTGAAGCAAAAGAAGATCAAATAGACGAGTCGCGGGTGGGCCGTTGTATGTCTAGCAGTATTTTCCTCCATCACCGGATTTTTATTTGGCTGTATCTGTGCAATAGATATGTACAATATTTTGGCATCGATCACGAGATGGCTTATTTCAGCCCGAGAACGTCCTGAACGACGTCGAGGACCTGGCCGTGGACTGCCGCCGGCGCGGCAATCACGCCGCTGTTGCTAGCCAGCGTTCTGCCAACGCCAAAGTCGAGACGACGCCCCTTGGTGTCCGTGACCCGGCCGCCAGCCTCGCGGACGATCAGGTCGCCGCCCGCATGGTCCCAGATCTTCTCTTGGTAGGTCTTGGAAGTCGGCAGGCGCAGATAGATATCGCCAGCGCCGCGGGCAATGGAGCCGTACTTGGCCTGCGAGTCCATCCTGACGCTGGGCTTCGTGATTCCCAACTTCTGCGCAATCTGCGCAGCCTCGGACTGGTTCGAGTGACCCGACTCGACACTCTCGCAGAAGCTCGCGCTGGCCATCTCGGTCACCTCCTTCATCTTGATGCTCTTCCCCTCCGTCAATCCACCAGTGCTCAACGGCCTGCTCGTCGCACCCTGCCCAATGACCGCCGAGAAGATCACACCGCGTCCCTCGTCATCCGTCTGGTTGGCGCCAATATCCGCCGCCAACGGCGCCGCATCATCAACCGGCAAGTTGGGGCACCCCAACACCCCAACCTTCACATCCCCATCCTCCAACAGCGCCAGCGCCAGCGCATACTGCCCACCCCTCAAAAACCCCTTCGTCCCATCAATCGGATCCAGCGTCCACACCCTACCCGTCCTCCCCCCTTCACTCCTCCCCAGATCAATCACCTCCAACATATCCTGCACATCCCGCAACCCACCCCCCAACAACGCCTCCGCAGCCTCGTCCTCCAGCTTCGTCCCCTTCACCAACCCCCAGATCAGACCGCGCAGCGCCTCGTCCGAGCGCAGCTGGGCGGCCTCCTCCTCGGCGACGATGGCGTCGCCGGGGAAGTTGGCGCGCAGGGCGGCGATGATGAGCGCCTGCGCGCCAAAGTCGCCCACCGTCACCGGCGACGCGTCGTCCTTGGACACGGTGCCCTTGGCCTTCTCGTGGAAGACCCGCTTGGTGAGGATGGCGGCGCGCTGCACGGCCAGCTGGGCGATCTCGAGCTCGCGGGCGTAGATGGAGGTCATGGTGTTGGTTGTTGTTGTTGTTGGGGTTGTGGTAATGGTGGTGTGGTGGTGGTGGTGGGTGAGGTGGTTGAGGATGAGACCTAGACGGCGAGGGATGGTGGTGGTGGTGATGGTGGCGAAGAAGATTGCCAGTGTGAGGACGAGGAGGGAGAGGATTGAGATAGGATGGAGTTTGAGTTTGAGCTTGGGTTTGGGTCGGCTGCGAGTGGCGGCAGTTGGAGATTGTCGAGAGTTGATCATTAACTTAGCCGTGTGAGATAAATTGCTGTTCTCTTTATTTATCCCGCTTACAAGTTGGTCCTGCTCTCCGTAGATTCCCCGCATTCCAGAAGTTGCGATGCGATTACGCTGACGTTGTTTCCATGGTGGGGGTTGAGTGCTCCACAGCGGAAACCCGGGCTTTCAAGAAGTCCAACCACATCACCAGCGGGCTTTACGGGGACCGCCACGCCGGGCATTGAGGCATTTCCTTCCAGGAGCTCTGGAATTCATGAAGATAACTGCACGCACGAGCTCTTTGGAGCTAACGACATTAAGCTTCTTGAAGGAGACAACTTTAGGTGGGCAAACCCTCGAGAAGCCGAGGTTGCTCCACCATAGATGGACGGGACGGGGCATCTTTGCTGGTTCACAAAAGAGAGAACCGGAAAAGCCTGGGAGGGGAGGAAAAGGAAGAGAGCAAAAAGAGTGGGATAACCAGGAATCGAACCTGGGTCCTCTCGGATCGCTGTGTTAAACCACAACGAGAAGTACTGACCACTATACTATTATCCCATAACTTAATTCTTGCTTAGTGTGATTTAGGCTTATATCATTTACAACCATCGCTTCCTTTTCCGTCTATCTTGCTATAACATCATTGACTTAATAGGATGTTTCGAATTGAACGGGATGCTTGAGTTCTATAATAGTAGAAGTCACTTTTGTAACATGTTAGTTAGCTTACAAGCCCCTCTGTTCGACGCTCTGCCGTACTAAGCTCATTACGATTGTGCTCCGTTCTCAGAGCCTCATTTTGGTGGTAGTTCCTTACTTGATTAGGTAGTGGTACGAGCAGCGGTTAAGGTTGGCAGTCTTTTATGAGAAAAAGCCTTCGTTAGGTCCGATGAGAAAGTAGGTCTCCTTCTCTCTCACGGATTATCTGTGATTGAAGCAGACCAGCCGTGGATGCATTCGTAGCTCGGCATGCGAGGCAGAAATCTGCAGCGTCTAAGTCCGCCTCGCTTATTTTTGGCACAGCCTCATGTCGGGTTTTACACTCCGTCACGGATCTTGCTCCTCGTTCCCATCCCAAGAGTAAACCGCCAAGGTGCATCTTCCTTCTTCAACCCTACTATCCCAACCTGTATTTGGCGTTTGCACGAGCTATGACCGAGCCCGACCCGTATATTTCTTATTCCCCTGTAAGGGTTAGCTTACACCGGTACGTTCAGGAACAGCAAGCAGAAAATCAAGCAGAGCTGTGGAGACAGACGTTGGAAAATGAACGGTTGGCGAGGGAGAAGACACTAGAATCGGCCGTACTGGCCGACTTTTACCGGTACAAGCCCATCCAGAATTACTACGAGTCGCGCGTGCTCGTTCTCAAGGCCGGCAAGAAAACAGACAAGCTGGCGGGTAGTCTCGAAGACATGTGGATCGATGGCAACGGGCCGCGCTACTCGGCACTCTCCTATGTCTGGGGCGAGCCTAAGTTTAATGATGTGATCCTCATCGATGGGAAAAGACTGGCCATCACAAACAGTCTCGGTAACGCCCTACGGCGGCTCCGTCCTGTTGCCGGACAACCTCCGCTACGAATCTGGATCGACCAAATATGCATCAACCAGAGCGACTCGATCGAGCGGAGCCAACAGGTCCGGCTCATGCATGCTATTTTCCGGGACGCACACCGAGTTCTCGTATGGCTTGGTGCAGATCCCGAAGGCCACGGACCCCGAGCCTTTCAGCTTGCAAACGCCCTACGTTCCATTTTCGAGGACAAACTTCTTTCGAGCCTCTGCAAGTCGAAAGGGGCGAATCTTGATTGGATTCCTGTCGAAAATTGGAAATCTCTGCGGGAGCTCAGCAGACTACCTTGGTTTCGCAGGGCTTGGATCCCTCAGGAGATTGGGACGGACGCTGAAGCAATCGTCCATTGGGGTTCGGAGAGCATCCAGTGGGAGGCTTTGCATCACTCCATGAGGAAGCTGGAGACCCAAGGCTGGGAGCTCAAGAAAAAGCACAAGATTAATACCAGTTCTGTCACGGTGCTGTTTGGGCGGTTTGTTGAGCGGCCACGAGAGGAGCCCGAGGGACGAGCACGGCACAGTTTCGTTTACCAACTGTGCTTGAGTGCTAGGAACTTGGCCACGGATCCTCGAGACTATGTCTTCTCACAGCTTGGCCACTACTCGGCATGGATCAAAGCTGAGCAGGCGCTCATCATCCAGCCCGACTATGACAACACCATTGCGGCTGTCTACCACGAGATTGCCATCCGCGCACTGACTGTTGATAGCACTTTGATGCTGCTGAACAGTGTGTCGGACAATGGGGAGACTAGGCCACCACTTCCGGGACCAAAAGCACTACCGAGCTGGGTGCCGCGGTGGGACGCGGGGAGATTTCACAGCCTTATAGGTCACCCTGGGCGCTACAAAACATCCGGCTCGACCAAGTCGTTGATCACAAAGGATTCGTTCGAGGATAACTACGACACTTTGTTAGTCGAGGGCCTCGTTGTTGACACCATTGACAAGGTTACCGCCAAATTCACCTCGAGCTGCTTCAACTCGGAGTCTCCCAAGAAGGAGGTTATCCAGACTGCATGGCGTTGCTGTCGGCCTCCTAAGCCCACGCCTGGCCAGAGTTCCAAACACGAGCCCTCCAAGTGGTCCACCCAGGGAACATACCAGAACGACGCCTCTGTACCGGCTCTCAAGGCATTCCTCGACACTTTCGCCCCATCCGCACTCTTCGGTCATATCTCGTCTCCTTCGAGTTCTTCGACACCGCGCGACATTGCCGACGCCGCATACGCTTCAGGCATCTCGGTGTTATCCAAATTGTTTCCCGCTGCCGCGTTCAGCACTAAACACGACCCGCGCAAGCCTCCCAATAGCGAGGCAACGCCGGCAAGAGAGCCCCCCAAGCCAAACCCGACTGCGTGGCTACAGGCGGCAGAGGGCCACGCCGTGCATCGCTGCTTCGCCGTGACGGAGGAGTCGCGCTACTTTGCGATGGTGCCGCCTACGACCAAGACGGGCGATCTCCTGTGTATTTTGCGGGGAGGCGAAACACTGTATGTGCTGAGGCTCGATCCAAAGGACGCTGATAAGCGGACTTTCATTGGCGAGGCGTATGTCCCGGGTTTGATGGAGGACGCCTCGGGGCTGTTTGGGACTGGGACCGGGATGGAGCTGGAGAGGTTTCGGTTGCGATAGTTGCCGGATGCTTCAGCAAAGAACGCGGTTGCGGAATGTTTCAGCAAACAACACGGCGACGGAATCCATCGACTACACAGGGTTCGAGTGCCCCGAATGTCCCCGCCCGCCACACAATCGGCATCGAAATACCAAATATTGAAGATCCCAAAGAACCGACAGACATACAAGCGTTCTTGGGCTGGGACGCGGAGGTCTCTCGTTCGACCGAATTGCTAAATTATGCAACTTCTGTTTCCATGCCGAAAACTGGTGCTGGCTTCAACGATACCGTTCCAGGTTCCATGAGGGGACCTAAGCCGGGTGTGTTCACAGATGGTACACAAACCAACCGTGGCCACCATGCCACATTCACGGACAGAAACTCGGCAAACGACAAGATCCACACCCCTTCTACTTTTATCATGCCCGCGCCCCATGGTCCCCAACCCAACAACGATCAGTCATACCAAATAGCATTCATCCCAAACCCCGGCTCCGGAATCCGCAGGCGCGCCACGCGGTGCAGGAACTCGTCCTTCCACCGATATATCTCAATCCAGCCCTCCTGGTCATCCGTAATCGCCACCCACTCGTCGCTCCAGGGGCACGGCGAGACGGCGTTGCTGTGGCCGCCGCTGGTCGGGGTGGGGTGGAGCAGGATCTGCCTCTCAATACTCCCGCAGTCCCGCAGCTTGAAGGCGGCCACGTAGCCCTGCAGGTCGAAGCGGTTGGCGCGCGACGACGCGAACATGTGCTGCCCGCTGGAGGTCAGCGCCACCACGTCCGCGCGGTACAGGCCCTTGCCCGTGTCCTTGTCGTGTGCGGGTATGCCGGGCGGGATCAGCGGGTAGCTGTGGTGCGTGTACACGGGCAGGTGGGTGGCCGGGTCGATGAGGTACTCGCAGATGCGGTTGCCGGCTTCCATCAGCGCGTAGAGGTAGTTGCCGGTCGGGTGCATGGCCACCCAGCGCGGGTGGTCGCCGGCGTCGGGGGCGTCGACGCTGCCGACCAGCTCGACCTCGCCCGAGGGGAGCTTGCGGTGCGTCCACAGCTTGTTGGCTGTTAGGTCGGCCGAGTAGAGGTACGTCTCGGTCGGGTCGAACACCATGCCGTGGATGCCCGTGTTGGGCTGGTAGGGGTAGTTCTGGATGTTGGTCTCGAGCTTGCCGGTGTCCGAGACGGAGAAGATGTTGCCGAAGCCGGCGTGCTTGTAGAAAGGGTTGGCATAGACGGCGTAGGGTGGCTTCTTGGCCGCGAGCAAAAAGATGGCGCGTGTGTTTGTGTCGGCGCTGTTCGCTTGGGCTAATGGGCGAGTCAGATTGTCAGCGGTTGATTGCGGGCAGGCGACTCGGCTATGACTATGACGTGAGAATAATAATAAAAACATACGGTCGTCACCCATGGGATGGGATGCTTCGTGGACAATTTCAGTCGGGCTCCGGACGGCAAAGCTGGACCACTTCTTCATGGCCGCGCCGTAAATGTTTTTCCTCGTATGCTGCATCCCATTGTGAGCTGATCCTCCTTTATTGGACGGCCAATTGGGATCGTACGTCGAAGGTCATCCATGATATCGGCTCGTCTTGTGGAATCTCGGTGCGCTTGACCAGCTTCAGGGTGAGGTTTTCGTCGTCGAACTGAACGGTGAAGATGGCCCCTGGCGGGGTCCATGTCCCGATCATCAAGTGGTGGAGGGGCATGGCTGCCAATGACGTCGGATGCTGTTGCCGGGGGCTTTCTTGGGGGGGTTCTTGGGGCTGAGAGGAATAACTTCTAAAGAAGGAGAAGCAATTGCGGGACGCCCTTAGAATCGTACGAGAAAAGATTGGTGTTGAATGGAGAATTGTCATTGCAGTTGATGCTATCTCTCTTTTCTGTAACTGGTCTGTAATATTACCCTCCATCAGGTTGCTTGACCTTTCTTGGCGCTGGACATGACGCTGAGCGCTGTGTGAATCTTTACCCCTCGGCGCGCCTCGCCTTCGGAATTGCGATTGTGGGGTCGGGAGCGGCGGCGGTAAATGCAAGAACCGCCCAGCATTTGTCGGGATTTCTTGCGCTTTCAGTTCTGCCCCACGCGACTCGGGCCCCGGCAATTCCACGAAATGGTTTGCTCGGCTGCCAGGCTGCCTGCCGCCTCCCGCCTCCCGCCTTTCGCGCATCTTGCTACCCCGGATCGAAAGGGTAAAAAGCTCATCCCCACCATTTTGTTGATGAGATCCCTGGCAGTCGCGAGGCCGAGCTTCATTCCTCACATCGTCGCCACAAAGCGCGAAACCTGAAAGGATGAACCCGAAGGAGTATCCAAGTTGCGGCGAAATCGATATTTTTGCGCGAGCTACCTACCTAGTGCTAACACAGTACGCTTTCTGGCTTTGCAGTACATAGAGCCATCCCATCACGGATGAACCTCGATGCGAGCCGCTCAGCGATTCATGAGACGGCAACGGATGCCATGGAAATGCACGGTCGCAGGGACCTTGTTAGCACGTTGGACGCCATGACAGGGAAGCCGATGTCAGTGAACTGGGGATTGGTTGGGGTTCAGCGGGTTTTCCAGCGCCCCAGATCCGTCCGAGCACGGTGGTCCTGGATGTCCCTGACCCCTGAATGCATGTCCTGGCAGGGCAGCAGGGCTAAATTTGTCCCGAGTTGCCCCTTCCCCAACCCCACTCCCGTAGCGGTGACCTGGGGATGAACAAAGCTGCCGTGACAACACCCCGATGGTTCTCAGCGGGGAAAATGATGCCACATGGGCCCTGTGCGCCTATCACGTTAACCCAATTCACAACCGGCTGCCCGGCCGCGATGTCTCATCTGTACCGGAGGGCGAGGTGAGGCGAGGTGCCTCCGGGTCTATATAAGTCAAATCATGTTACCTGCCTTGTTTCCCGCTTTCTGCTTCTCATTCACACCTTGCATCTTCAATATTCACCCTCCAGGCTTGATATTTAACGTATCATTGTATCCTTGACTTCCTATCCGCTACCACCTCTTACACTCACCCATCTCCCTTACTACCACAACACACACCACCATAACCACCACAATGGCCCCCGACAAGCCGTCTCACCGCTTCGACCCCAACTTCACCGCGCAGGTGGTTGATGGTATGGGGCCCAAGACGACCCCTCGAAACCGTGTGGTCCTCGGTGCTCTAATCCGCCACATCCATGACTTTGCCCGCGAGACGGAGCTCACGATCGAGGAGTGGATGGAGGGTGTCAAGTTCGTCAACGCCCTAGGCGAGATCTACGTGAAAAGCAACAAGACCCGTAACGAGACACACCGCATCTGTGATGTCCTTGGTCTCGAGTCGTAAGCCCACCCCTGTTTCCCCTTGCCAGAAGCAAAAGCAAACCTTATTCTAACATCACCCAGGCTGGTCGACGAGATCGCCCACAAGATCATCTCCGAGTCTGGCATGGACCCCACATCCTCCTCCATCCTGGGCCCCTTCTGGTCGCCCAACGCGCCCTTCCGCGAGCACGGCGACGTCATCTTCCAGGACGGCGTGCCGCCCAACGGCCGCGTGACCAGGATGCACGGCGTGATCCGCGACATCACCACGGGCCGGCCGATCCCCAACGCCGTCTTCGACATCTGGCAAGCGTCGGCCAACGGCAAGTACGACTTCCAGGACCCGGACAACCAGACGCCCAACAACCTGCGGGGCAAGTTCCGCGCCGACGCCGAGGGCAGGTACTGGTTCTACTGCCTGCACCCGACGGCCTACTCGCTGCCGCGCGACGGGCCCTCGTGGCAGCTGCTCACCATGATGGACCGGCACCCGATGCGGCCCGCCCACATCCACATCATGGTCACCCACAAGGACTTCCAGGGCTGCACCACCCAGCTGTACCCCAGCGACGACCCGTGGATCAAGAGCGACACCGTCTTCGCCGTCAAGGACGACCTCGTCGTCGACTTCAAGCCCCTCAAGGGCGACCCCAAGGCCGTGCTCGACCTCGAGTACAACGTCAACCTCGCCCCCAAGGGCTACAAGGGCCGTCTTTAGGTGACGGTCCGGGTGGTGGGATTGTGACGATTGAGAAGTGGGGTTATTTCTTTGTACATATATCGGCATGTATATACCCTGCTCCAGGCGCTGGCTGGATGTAGTTGGGAGGGGATTTGTCATTTGAGAGAACTAGCGATCATATTATTTCGACATGTATGAGAATTAAAAATATTAACATACTGGTGGTGCCTTGTTTGTGCTGTAATGAATCCGCGTCCTGTGCCGAACCCCGGATTGGCTGACGACCAAATCACATCTGGTACCAAGGTTATGGAGAGCCTGGTATCACTGTTGGCAATACTCGACACAACCCACCCTCTCATGGACTACAGTTTGTGCCTCGCAAAGCTGAAGGTCGAGCCATGAGAGACAGCTGCCCAGTGGGAAGATCCAAAGTAGACTGAATAAACAAGCGGTAGCAACCTCAAAACGAAAAAGAACGTGACCCCTAGTAACAGTAAAAGGAAAATACGAGGGCTCAGTTGCTCTTGAGAGAAAAGCCAACAAAACGAAGCAAAACCATAATGTTCACTGTGTGAACTAATGAATGACAAGGGTGAGATTCGAACTCACGCCCCTTTCGAGACCACGGAAACTCGCAAGAGTCAGGATCAAGGATTGAAACTCCTTAACGTGGCGCCTTAGACCGCTCGGCCACCTTGCCTTCTGGAAGATTGTTGAGAGTTGTGGGGTGGAGATGGGGGTTAAGGACGGGACGGGATGGATGGGTGGTGGTGGAGTCGGGGGGTTGCCCCCTTCGTCCAGGAGGCTGGGTTAGGGTTGGTTGTTGGACATGGAATGTTGGGGGTGGGTTGGAATAAGTGTGAACACCTGGTTTGGTCTGCGTCAAATGGGATGGATGATAGTGCAATTAGAGGTCGATGAGGGGCTGAGACGAGTAGATGGATTGGAATGTAGCATGTTACTTCCTCCCTCTTCGGCCTTGCTCAGTCGGGTTGGGGGGAGATGCCTCGGAAAGGAAGCCTGGCACAGGTTCCGGTGGCGCCGGGTTTCGGCTCTCTGGGCGGGAGCTGTAACTGCCCAATACTAGGACACAGAGCCATGGAGATTTTGGGTTTCAAACAGGGCGGTTGATACAGGGACCCATCTGACCTTGCGCTTGAGGCAAATGTTCAGGCCGATTCAACTTCAATTGGCCCCGCACACCCCTTGGGATTACCTCGGATGCAAAACAACCGCCCTTTTGCGCCTCCCAGCACTGGCGAATTGGATGAGTTTTGTTGTCAGAATATGTACAGCACCACAACTGTTCTATTTCTTCTCCTCGGGCTTCTCTTCTGGTTTCGGTGTCGGTAACTTGAATGTGTCGGGTGTCCTGTCCACACCACCACCAATCTGTTCCCACGCGCTGGACCCTCCCTCGAAGTTACGGAACGCCTGCGTAAGCTCCAGCGGTTCTGTGACAATGCGCTTCTTCTCCTCGTCCCACCGAATCTCGGTATAGCCCGTGACTGGGAAATCCTTGCGCAGCGGGTGGCCTTCGAAACCGTAGTCCGTCATGATGCGGCGCAGGTCAGGGTGATTGAGGAAGAAGACGCCGAACATGTCATACACCTCCCGTTCGTACCAGTTGGCGCCGTCGAACAGGGGGGTGGCGCTGGGCACCGGCGTGGTCTCGTCCGCATAGGTCTTGACGCGGATTCGGGAGTTGTGCCGGACACTGAGCAAGTTGTAGACAATTTCGAACCGTTGGTCGCGGGTGGGGAAGTCAACGGCCGTGACGGTGCTCATCTGGGTAAATTCAGCGGCGGTGTTGTCTAGATAGATAATCAGCTACCGGTCACACAGGTCGTCCAGCGTCGCCTTACACTTCAAGAAAGCGAAGACCGGGATAATGCCGGCAGGGGGGATGTAGATGGTCAATTCGTCCTTCCAGACCGAGAACTGCTGGATGTACTTGGGGAGACACCCCATGAGCCATGACCCATACTTGTGCATGTTGTCGGACTTGGACTGGTATTTGTCTGCGGGGTTGACGAGAGGGGCCTGAAGAGGGGTGCCGACCTGACCGCGGGGTGCGGCGCGCGGGTTCTGGACATCCTTGGGAAGGGCGACGTTGGTGCGGGCAGTTGTCGCGAAACACCGCACGGCGGCCTCGTTGCGAGCTACGGCCGATGGGTTTGCCGGTCGTAGTGCTGAGGCCAGAGCCCTATTTCTGCAGAGCTTGCTGGCCATGGTTGTGGTCGGGAGGCGGGCGCCAATTGATCGAGAATCAGCCGGTGGCCTCGGTCGAAGACTGCTTGACGATGCGATTCGATTTCAGATTGACGTCGAGCTTGGAGCTTGGTCCACGCAGCGCATGGTGGACAGTCACGTGGATGGTTACGTGAGCAAGTTCCCTGACACTCTGAGCAGCAATTCAAGGAGCCGACCCGCTGTGTCCAACCACAGACCGAGGGACACGTTCAGCAGGGCACTAATCCAGGATTAGTCTAGCGTCAGCACCGGGCCCTTGGGTGAAAGGCTCTGCGTCGCCTGCATTCTTCCTCAAAACACGCAAACCACTCCTCCTGCTACCTATTTTCCACCAACAAACCAAACTTGCGGGGGATGCCCATGTCCTCGTTGTGAATTTCCAAAGGCGTTCATCAGAGGGATCATTTCTTATTTTTCCTTCTATTTTCCAGTCACATTCACGATACCTAATACTCAACACTCGAGTTCGCCAAGATCTTCAACGAACCGACCGATCGATCGTTAACCTCAACCTTCTCAGTTCGACGCGACCACGTTGCTTCATCCCTGCCCTGAACTCCCGCCGCAGCCATGGCGCCAGAAGATACATACTTCGATGATGAGGAGGACTGCTGGTATGGAACTTCCCACCAAACAAATCCCACCATCTCAACCCCGCCACTCTCCGTCCATTGTGCCCTCAGCGTCCCTCTTCCACCCGTTAACCCCGCGTGCCACAGCCCTCTTTGCATCGAGGAGTTCGATCTCTCGGACCGAAACTTTCGACCTTGCCCTTGTGGATACCAGGTACGGACTTGGCCGCCTCTCTTCCCCCATACCCCTGGCTGTGCGCCGCTGACAGCTCCTCCAGATATGCCAGTTTTGCTTCAACAACATTCGGTCGAACATGAACGGGCTCTGCCCAGCATGCCGCCGCCCATATGATGAGAAGACCATACAATGGAAGGTTGTCACGCAGGAAGAGTAAGCTGAGTCCACCCGGTTCTGGGTTCTCAGTCACTGACTAGCTATAGGGTCGCCGAGTTCCGAGCGAATATTCAGAAGAACCAGAAAAAGCGCGCCGCCGAACAGCGACAGAAGGAGGTGCAGAAACGCGAGGCCGAGAAGGAGAATCGGAAGAATCTAGTGGGCGTCAGGGTCGTCCAGAAGAACTTGGTTTATGTGACCGGGTTGACCCCAACAGTCCGCGAGGACGAGTTGCTCAAGACCCTCCGGAAACCCGAGTTTTTCGGTCAGTACGGCAACATCCTCAAGATTTCCATTAGCAGTCGCAAGGGCACCGACGGTCACAACCAGTCTCTCGGCGTTTATGTGACGTTTGAGAAGAAGGAGGACGCTGGCCGGTGCATTCAGGCTGTTAATGGCTCCCAAAACGGCGATAGGGTGCTGAGGGCGCAGCTAGGAACAACCAAGTACTGCTCGGCCTGGCTGAGGCATGAACAGTGCGGTAATCGACAGTGCATGTTCCTCCACGAGTTGGGGGATGAGGAGGATAGCTACAGCCGACAGGATCTATCTTCGATGAACAGCATCAACTCGCAGCGACCTATCCAAAACGCCGGCTCCTCCCGTTCCGCGTCGAGACAACAAGCTCACCCGTCCCCATCCCCCGCCATCGCGCATCCCATGGTGAGAAGCTCCAGCAAAGACGGCTCCGACAACGGCGATGCCCCAGCACTACCGGCCTCGGCGAACTGGGCGCGTAACCCGCAGGTTCGTAGCCGACGGGGCAGTCACGCCACTAGCGCCGCGGCCCCCAGTCCGGCGATCTCGAACTCACTGCCGGTAACTGCCGAATCGGCTGTCGAAGACGCGCCAGCTGAACCCTCTACCGGCGCGGGTCCCTCTCGGGATACCCCGGCAGCAGTTTCCAAGAGGCCCAGCGCTAGCCCGGCGGTCGAGAAGGCGAAGCGGATCCCGCACGACGCTCTCAAGTCCTTGTTGAAATCACTTGAGGGGTGCTCACTTGCATGGCCTAAACCCGGCGGCGACATACCTGACGAGGAGTTTAACAAGCTCTACCCCCCGCTCTTCGATGTCCGTGGTGGCATGCGCCGGCGAGCTATGCGCGCATCCGAAGATACCAGCAGCGTGGACGATCAGCAATCGAGCGCCGCCCGGGAGCCCTCGGAAGACGAACCCGAGAGCAGTGGAAGTCTGGCTTTGGGCGGTGAACCCGAGGATCGGGAGCATGGTCGCGAGGGCCCTAGCTTCGACCCCCGGCGAGCCGCGCAGCCGCCTATTCAAAGAGGCAGTACGGATGGGCTTTTTGGCCAGGCCGTCGGTTCCGCCTTTACACAGCCGGGCGCGAATCTAGGCTCAATCGGCGGCAGCCGCACCATGACACCGCAACAGCCGGCGTTCATGCGACAGCCGAGCAACTTTGTCGACCACCTGTCTGCGCAGCCGAACTTGTTCCAGGGACAGGGTCACAATCGCCAGGGCTCGCGTTTTAGCTTCGCCAACGAAGGAAGAGAGACCGCTTCGGCTACGTCCGTGAAGCTGGCGGCGAACCCCCGGATCATGGCGCAGCAATCGTCGATGATGCCGTCGTCCTTCCACAACCAACCTGGTGGTCAGTTTTACGCCAGTTCTGTCCCCGGACCCCCGCCAGGGCTCAAGTCGACGGGCACACCACCGGGCGTGTTTGGGCAGCACAGCTTTGGGTCGGCCGCATTCGGCGGCGCTTCGAAGGACACCAACGAGATGCTGCAGATTTTCCGCAGCCGGGGTGCGGGCAGCCAGGCGCATGATGCCGGAAAGCGTGAGTACATGTTCTCTTCCTTTCCTAACCAGTACCCACCCTCCACCTCATCCACCCCAGCTCCTGCCTCGAGCCACCTGGCAACGCTCTACGGTTCTCAGCCTGGAGCCTTCCATGATTTGGGTTCAAAGCAGAAGAAGAAGGGGAAGAAGCACAGACACGCTAACACTTCCTCCTCTGGGGGGAGTGGCCTAGTTGATCTTGCGGACCCGAGTATCCTGCAGGCGAGGATGCAGTCCCAGCAGCATCTGCAGCAACAGAGCAATGCCGGTCTCGGACAGGGACTGTTCGGTGGTCAGTCGCAAGGTGGGTACACGAACCCGGGCATGATGTATAACCCGGGATACCGGGCCTGGTGATTTCGGTACTGCGACATTTACGATTTCTATTGATTCATCTCTTCACGGGAGGGGCGGCACCCGGTTTTGTTGTTTTTCTTTCCTTTTTTTGTCAAATTATATATTACGGCGGCGTCGCTGGCAACGAAGGGTATGAGGGTTCAAGAGGCAACGCCTTGATTCCGTGGAGCATCGCCCGAGCGCCGGCTCCGAGGGAGGAGCCGCCTCGGGCTGGCGTCATTTGCATTTTGGGCGAAAAAGCACGGTGCCTTTCTCCGGGGGTTCGCAAACTTGGGCTCACTTTGTCCTGTTGGCTTCCTCGGTCAGGGTCTTTGCATCGCCAGGGTTATCGGGTTACGTCAGGCAAGCTCTCATCGTCTTCCTCTCAGGTTCCCCATGTACGTTAACTTGGGCCCCAGGTTTTGCACCGTCGGGGCCGAGGTGGCATCGGTGGTCATAATAGAGCATCATTACACCACTTTCTCATGACCGGATTCCAACTTTCCATCTTTCAGGAAGACGATGATGGTAGTCTAGACGTAACCCAAGCCCTTCTGTACATAGCGGCGCTGGCGGCTTGTTGTGTTGCCCCTCCCCTGATCAGAGATGTTTCGGTGTCTTCAGCTTGTTTGCCTGCGCGTTGTTGCATTTGCCGCATTTCGAACCAAGACGCTAACCCCGGTTTCCGTAGATGACGAACTGCCCTCACTCGATGAGGTGAGGTCCAGCATAGATGCTCTCGTCGCCGACGAGCCTATTGACATCGGCATTCGGCAACCCCCTGGCGCGTTTGAGCTACTTGGTCGCGTAGGGACCCCGTCCGTGCCTCCCGGGTTCTCGTTCCCGAGCGCCCAGCCCTCCCCGGCCATCTCGCATTCGTCTCTGCCGGCTACTAGTGTAGGGCGGCAGACGCCACCGGTTGCGCTCCCCAAGGTTCCGGCAAAACCGCCCGTCGCCGCGTCCAGCCCGCTTACCAAGAAGGCGATCACGCCGGCGCCAGAGTCTAGAAAGGCTGTCAAGGCTCTCGCCGCTGAGAGCGGGTTATCAAAGGACATTGCAAAAGCCAAATCGAAGGTCTTGCAGGATGAGGACTTTCCGGCCCTCGACTCGCCCAAGCCCCGGTCCGCAACGCCGGTTCCCCAGCCCAAGGCTGCGGCCAGCAAAGCAAGTGGTAAAAAGTCTCCCGAGAAGCCTGCCGAAAAGGCAAAGGGAAAAGACAAAGGGAAGGAAAAAGAGAAGCCCTCACCTGCGCCCGCACCCATCCCGACCCCTGAAAAGAGCGAGACACCCAAGCCGGAGGTGAAAGCCCGTGGAACGGCCCCAGACAAGGCCTCTGAGGTGACGCCTGGGAAGAAGACGGACAAGCGTCCCACCCCTGGCATACTGAACATCGCTGCAGCAACCAAGGTATCTCAAATCAAGAACCTGGAAGCACCATCGGCGACGGACAGGTCGGCCACGGATCGAGACTCTGCCTTCCCAGCTCTCCCAACCCTTACGCCTATCTCTGTCGCATCTCCTCTCGCTCGTTCGGCTCCCAAGACCCTCCGCGTAGTATCGACGCCAAAGACAGAAGCGCCATCGACTCCGATCTTGGCGGCTCCTGGCATGCGATCAGTAACAACTGCGGGCATGCGCCCCGAGACACCCGCGAGCGAGCTGATCTCGGACACGGCGTCTATCATGTCGGCTTCCATCTCGGCGTCACGCACGAATTCCCCCCCGCCGTCCAAAATCGGTTCCGCTCCGGTAAGAACGACGACAAAGAGTCAGCAGCGCAAACAGCGGAAGGAGGCGCTGAAGAAAGAGTCGGCTACTATCGCAGCGCAGCCTGCCAAGGTGGAGGCGGCCGCCGAGATCGCGCCCATCGTTGGCCGCAAGAAGAAGCAGAGGAAGGAGAAAGAGAAGCCTAGTAGCAAGGGCGCAACTCCTGCGGCAAGTCGCCCGGAGACTCCGCTTGCGACTGTTCCGCCGCCTGTCAAGGAGATCAAGGAAACCGTCGAGGCCGAGGCCAAGGAGATCAGGGAAGAGTCTTCAGCGTACCGGTCGACGGCAAACGAGACCACCACCTTGACTGACGAACCGCCGCTGCACAAAGGCCGGTACGGGGACGTGAAGGGGAAGGCCGGAGAGAAGCTCGACAAGAGCTCCGAGTTATCCACTCCACGAACCCTACCCACGCCGGCCTCGGTACTGCACGACCTTCAAGCGGCCGAGCTAGTGCCGGACAGCGTCGAGAGCCTGGCCTTTTTCAAGTCGGTTAGCGTCCAGCTGGACAAGTCGCGGAATGATGCCAACAGCGCGGGGCTTCGGGATCAGGCAGCGAAGAACTCCATGACCCCGACCAAGTCGATCGTCACTGAGGACGACCAGGCGTCGCTCCTAGCGGGTAAGCCCGTCCGCAAAGTCATGGACGGCACGCGTATTCTCTTGACCCCCAACGGCGACTGTATCCGCAATCTCACTCCCGATGAGGAAGACCGCTTCCTCGACCTTCAACGGCTCGTCGCCGAATCCACCGCCAGCCCTGCCGCCTTTGTCTCCTCCCGTCACGAAGCCGGGGGCGGGTTCAGCCTGATCAAAGGTCGCGCTGTACCCAACGGACCTCCCAGTTATTTCCCCCCGGCCCCCGGCGCCTATCCCTCCGATCCAGTGAACAAGATCCAGCGCGAGGAGGCCATCTACTACATCAACCAGTACGTCTTGCCGCGGTTGAACCTCAACTCGAGAGACATGAGCCTGCCCAAGGCCATGTCCACCTGGACAACCGACCCGCGCGGCTCAGCCGCCGCAAACCTCAGCTCGGTCGCTCCATGGCTGTACAGCGGTATCGGCGGCGCCGTGTCCTCTTCCCACCACCAACCGCTCTCCCACGACGACATTCTCGATGTTGGCGTCGCCCCACCCGAGCTGAGCTACCCAGGCCCCGTTGGCGCCTTCGCCGACGAGCTACACCACCACACCGACCCGCACAGCGCATACCTCGACATCAACTCCCAACTCCCCACCGTCGAAGAAGTCTTCAGCGCCGCCTCCGGCGCAGCAGCAGCAGCAGCAGCAGCCTCGTCCTCCTCCCCCCGACATCACCACCACGCTCACCATCATCACCACCACCACCACCATCACCACTCCCAACAACAACCCCAACCCCCCCAACTCCAACAACAACAACAACAACAACAACAACCACAACAACGCCAACAACAACCACCCCAACCACACCAACCCCAACTCCCAATCCCCTCCGCCGCCGCCGCCACCTCAGCCATCGCGGCCGCAGCAGCGGGCGTCGGCCCGGGCATCGGCGCAGGCGGCGGCGCCATCAACTTCACGTCGCCGGGGCCCTTCGGCAACGTGCCGCTCATGTCGCTCGAGGACGCCGAGCAGGCGCTGGCGACGGCGCGGCGCGAGACGGAGAAGCTGGAGAAGAGCCTGGGGCAGCTGATGCGGAAGAATCGGAGGCTGCTTTCGGCTTCGGCTGGTTCGGGGTCGGGGTCGGGTTTGCATGGTGGTGGTGTTGGGGGTGTGGGTGTGGGGGGTGGTTTGGGGATGGTGGGTGTGGCTGGTGGTGGAGGGGGAGGTGGTGGTGGTGGGGGGCATTGACTAGCCTGGGCTGCCGAGGGCTGTCCCGGTGATGCGGCTGCGGCTGCGGTGGGTGCCGGGTATGGGCACTTGCATGGGCTGGGCTATGCGAGGCATTCTGCTACGGCTGCTGGCGGTGCGCGACGGCGGGACGCGGTTGCGGCGGTGGCGGTCGCGGTCGCGCTGGCGAGGGTGCTCAGGGGCTTGAGTAGCATGGGTGAGGCGGCGTTTGCGGCGGTGTGGATGGCTGTGTTGCTGGTTGAGAGCGTGGTTGCGATGGCGGCGAGGGGGGCGGTTGTGGCTGTTGAGGTGGTTTGTGCGGTTTTGGATTGGGTTGGGGCTGAGTATTGATGGGTGGACGAGGGGAATGAGGGATGGGGGGATGGGCAGTGGATGAGCTTGGGGTGTTGGTTGATATACCCCCCTAGCTGTCCGTGTCTTGATCTGGTAACCCTATGGATGGCGGGATTATGGTATGGGGTGTGCGTGTCGTGTGATCAACATGACTGACTACTTTGGCGTCTGGGTGTAGGACGGATGGTCTGAGGGTATTTTTGTGTAGGAATACGCATGTGGGCTACATGGTTGGCGATATTGGCATTCCAAGAACATAGCAGAATCAGCATCAGCGAGATGTCGGATTATGTTTAGTTTTGTAACAACAGCAAGAAGTCTCAACGGTAGAATACTACACCAACGGTTACAGGATGAAGCGTGTTCGACTAATCTGTACGCGGTGCGCATCAGGGTGATGGTCTTGGAACTTGGTCTTGGCGTGAAACATGTTCCGCCCATCCCTCGACCACTCGAATGTCTCGCCGAAGAGTTAGTTATGTGTCACTCACGATCACACACTCTTGTGGTTCCAGTTGTGGTCTTCGTCGATGCACTTTCCATAGTTGCTTTCGTCTCGTAACTCCTGCCTCTCACCCGGTCTGTCCACCTCGAGATCGAAAGTCATTTTTGCGTCACTGCCGGAATCGTTCTGCCCCTCTAATGCCGATGGCTTTGCCTTCAGCCTTGTTGTCACATTTCTAGATGACTGCACTAGAGAAAGCAGTCAGATTTAATTCTTGGGACGGACAGCACGACTTGGGATGGATAGGGTAGCAGTCATCTGAATCATGCTGTCCGTCTAAAGTTGACTTACCCTTTCCTAACCTAGTTACTACTATAGTCTAGCTATTTAACGACTATAACCAACTCGAATGAATTAAGATTTCCATCCCAAGGTAATGTCCATTCCGTACGTACCGATATAGTTAGGGCGAGATACTCCGGGCCATCCGACGAAATAGTGTCCATCCCATGCTATAGTGTCCATCCTATGGCGGTGTCCATCCTATAATATAGCGTCCGTCTTACCTTTGAGACGGACGCTATACTATGGGATGAAGTTAACTTACCCTTCCCTAGTTAATATTATTATTATTACTCTTATCACGCTAGGTACTAAGTACATGCGTTCCTTCAACAATTGAACCGGTGGGAAAAACCAAAGAAGAGAAGGAGGGAGATGAGGCATGGGGATGGGGCCGAGGCGGGAGAAGGGCGCACGATCTCGGCGCGGTCGACGAGGACCATGTAGGCGAAGGCCTCGCGCATGCGCATGGTGAAGGGGACCAGCTCGGCGGGGAGCTTGACGGAGCAGAGGTCGGAAACGGCGTTGTCGAAAATGGTAGCGATGCCATGAGCGGTGTCGGCGGGCGGGCAGCACTTGGACAGGCCGACGGCGCAGCGGAGGCAGGAGGGCTCGCTAGGGACTCTGGAAAGGTCAGTCTCGGGTCATGCTCGCGGCGGCGAAGAATCGAGATGCCACGGATAAGACGGCAAAGAACTAGGGTTCCACCGAGCTGGCGACCCGGGTCATGGCCGCGACAGCGGAAACCAACGGTCCGTGAGAAAGTGCGTTCGGGAACGAAGTTCTTTATATTACGAAGCAGTTCGGCGTCGTCCTTAGACTTGCGGAGAAATTCCTCGATTTGGCGGAGCCGAACGTTTCTACGTCGAAGATCCATTCGGCCTTCGTGGTTGCGTTATCTAGTTCTTGAAGGCTATTGCGGATGGCGCACTTCATATCGACATTCCCATCGAATTTTCGAAGTCTCCCCGCAGTATTAAGCTTGTTTTCTTGAACGTAGTCGAGGCGAGCATTTCCACACCGAAGAGGATGCGGTCGTCCCAAAAGCACAGATTTTGGAGGTGACTCCCGCGATCTGAGTACCTATGCTTGGTAACGGTTAGGGCGAACGCCGTTGTGAGAAAGAACGATCGTATCCTCTCCCTCTCCTTCTTCCTCTGGATCTATGTCTAGTGCTGCCATCCGTCTTGTCATCTCTCGAAAGAGAGTCCCTGGGAATAGGAACTCCCAGGTCGAGAAATTGCAAAAGTCGGTCGGATATCCAAACAGGTAGTAACACACCTCTACCGCCGATATCTCTCTGTCGGTAAAGATCTTGTTTGCCCAGTATATAAAGAACATACGAGTCTTGCTCGTATTAGCGCCGTTATCGTTGTTAGTCTCTCCTCGAGCAGTGTTTCGGTCTGTGTTCTCATCATCTAGGCGTTGGCGAACTTCGTTTATCAAGGCTAGCCGCTGCCACATCGGGGTCTGGAGCTTGGTAGCGTAGTTTGTTGTATAGAACATAAGAGAGAGCGACCTGGTTGTTGTGTTCAGAAAGGAGATGTCATGGTTGTGTCGGAGGCTGACAGCCATGGCGGTGTTCCATCTGTTGATGAAGCCATGGTTTCGCTTGACGTGGATGTCGCCATTGACAAACCAGGATTCGATTGTCTACAATACTCCTGGCTTGCGGCCTTTCATGGAGCAAATCGACACGGAGGAAGATCGCACATCTACCGACATCCCAGAGACCAGGACCAACCCCATACAGGTCCGCGAGCTATACGGAAACCTAGGAGACTTGCAAATCGAGACCTTGGCAGACGACATTACAGTGGTTGCAGGCCTCCAGAACTCGGCACACAAAACACGCATCAGCATTTCCACACCGAAGAGGATGCGGTCGTCCCCGGGATAACAAACAAGGTCGCATCGTAGAAATTGGATAGCTTGAGACGGGCAGTATAGTTTGGGATGGAAAGCACGGGTTAGGACGGACGGTGTGTTTCCATCCCACGGTATAGCGTCCGTCCCAAAGATAAGACGGACACTACCTTGGGATGGATACTATTTTAAGACAGATACTTCGTTAAGACGGATGTTATAGAATGGGATGGACGGGTACTTTACACACTCAATTAAAAGCTTTAAATATATTAATAATATTAGCTACGGGGTCCCGCAGTACACTTGGCCGTACACATGTACGGGATGGCGGCGTCGATGGCCTGCTCGACGGACTCGGCGTCGCTAGAGGGAGGACACTGCTTGGAAAGGCCGACGTCGCAGCGAAGGCAGGCGATCTTGCTAGCAGCAGCGGGTTTGTTGCATGCCGGAGGCAGGGCCAGGCCGACGCGGGGGGCGGCTATAGTAGGATCAATTCGTTACTTTGACCTCGAAGGGTGGGTAAGCCGTTCTCTTCATCATCGTCGACCCTCGAGTTCACTAAAACACGAAAGCTCGGGGACGGAAGGCCTACCGTGGTATTCTTATCGGTGTACCGTGGAAAGGACGGAGACAAGCGCGTCCTCTTCGGTTGCAACAAACCGGACTGGAAGGGACTTACCGTCATCGCCGACATGGCCAAGAAATTGCGGAATGTTAGCAGCTACGGGCATACCTTGAGGTACGGCCTTGAGTCAGCCAAGGACCAATGAACATACCATACTTCTATCCCCATTTCGACTTTCATAGCATATAGCAATATATTAAGGATTGCGAGTCATCTTGTATGACAACAATTGCGAGGAAACTGTATCCCAGCGACAGCGAGGCCGGAACACTGCCCATGTCGGCAGACACTGCGCGGCGGCAGGCCACAATCTGAGAAGGAAGTTGTAGAGCGGTACCGAGCGGTTTGGTTTGCGCCCTTGTCTAGGTAGCTTGTGTTGAACAAGGACAAGCAATCATAACAGCCGACACAATGTCAGAGAATCAAGCTGAATATTGGGCCAACGGTGGGAAGGCAGGTCATACGTCGACGAGCCGAGCTTCGAGGCCGTCATCGAGGACATTCAGGCCGCGGCAGAGGGTGACGTCGTCGACGGCGGTCGGAACCTGCGTCAGCCTGGAAGTCTTTGACCGTGGCCTCATCATGAGGAATAGAAGAGTACGCCAGCCAACCAACCCGGTTTATGTTGCCGATTTCGGCCACGTACTCCCAGTCGCAGCTGCTCGGGGTGATCAGGTCCAGCTTGCTGAAGCGCTAGGCCAGCGAGCCAAAGGACTTGACATCCTCGATCTTGTTGAGGGCGGGGGTGGCGGTCATCATATGGAGGGCGTTGGCCTCCAAGAGGCGGATGATGCGTGAGTTGCTGCCACACATCTTCCGCATCGACTGCGCCTCGTCGACGCAGACGCGTGCCCATTTGAAATCCTTGTGAGGGAGCGACAGGATGAACGACTTGATGATGACCGGTAGATCGCTGCCGCCTTCCTAGACGGCAACATCTACCTGCCGCTTTACAACTTCCTTCTTGGACTAATGGAAGTTTGAGGCCAAGAAAAACTTTGCGTTTTCTTGCGAGAACTCTGGTGAGAATTAGCAAACAACCGCCTCATCCCGATCATTGCAATATCAGAGTTCACAATGGGCGTCCATCTTAAAGGTACGTCCGTCTTACCTTTGAGACGGACGCACCTTTGAGATAGACGCTATACCATCGGATGAAGATCTACCGTCCGTCCTAACCTGTGTTGTCCGTCCCAAGCTATACTATCCATATCAAGCTATCCAACCTCCAATCTCTACACAGACGTACCGTTGGTTTCCGCTGTCGCGGCCATGTCCCGAATCGCCAGCTCCGTGGAACCATACTAGTAGTCCTTTGCCGTCTTATCTGTGGCATCTCGATTCTTCGCCGCCGCGAGCATGATCTGGACCGCCTTCATCGTGGCACCTTCGCCGGCTTTCGTCATCGCCGCCGCGACAGTCGGTGCAGCCTTCTCGTCGCGACCTTTGATGTCGGCGAAGGTCCCACGATGAAGGCGGTCCGGGTCATGCTCGCGGCGGCGAAGAATCGGGATGCCACAGATAAGTGCTGCTAATACTGCAAGGCTCTGTCGGTTCCCATTCATCATCATCCGCAAGGGAGTGCATGGCAGAGAATACACCCGTAGCGAGCCCGGCAAGGGCGTGCGCGAAACTACCCCCTCCGACAAACACATAACAGTATGGATGGGCCCGTCTCGCGACACGATGTTCGTGGCCGGCCACATCTTTCTCATCATGGTTCTGGACGCAATGGCGACATCGTGAAGGTCGGGAAAGCGATGGACGAATTGAGCCGCCAAGTTGAGCAGCCTGACGGCCTCGTCTCATCGAACGGGGACTCATTCTGCACGTTGCCGCTCTCCGTGCTTGACTTTGACGAGGTACCTGGGCAGTGTCATCGAAGACATCAAGGTTGCGGCGGAGGAGGAGCAAGCTGCAAATTGGAGCGGGCGCCATGGGAAAAGCCAAAAGCCTGCCGGCAGAACATGAACGGGCCGCGGGAGGGCTGGGCCGCATATTTCCGCATATTTGCCGCATGGCTCGGCCGGCTGCTCGCCGTGGATTTGGATAAGGAGGGCGTTAAGATAACTTCGGACGGTTGTTACTCTGTCCATCCAAAGTCGTACTGTCCGTCCCAAGGATCAATGTCCGTCCTAAACCCTAGCGTCCATCCCAAGACCTGGTATCTGACCGAAGGCCTTCTATCCATCCTAAGAACTAAGTAGTCTTAGTTGTGTTAACCCAATCGAAAATATGGTTCTGGCAACTTGCTCCTACTTGCCTACCTTCTTTTCATCTTGTTTGTAGTTGATACGAAAATGAGTCACCCGAATCTCAGGTAGTCTAGAAAGTAATCACCAAGGTCGCTTCATAAAAATGTAAACTACGCCTTCTCCTTTTATTCACCAGACTTTCCATAAGGGATTTGTGTCCTTGGTAGATAGAGTAAATGAGTGGAGTAGAGTGAGATAACTCGGAACAATTTGAGAAATAGGTTAGGGTATGTATTTTATGGATATTAACATCTGCTCAATTCCATGATGAGATGGTAGAGCTAGGATAGCTCAGACAAGTCTAAAAATAAACACTAAAAGTTATGGACTCTAGATAGGGGCTCAATCGGGGATCGAACCCGAGACCTCGCACATCTTCTTGCCTGTTTACAGGCTGTGGGTGTCCACCCGAAGCGCGAATCATACCACTAGACCATTGAGCCGAATCCATTGATGAACCGGCCGTTCGGAAATGGGCTACATGTTGGGAAACATGGAAACACCACCCGACATGGGGTGGACAACCTTCAGCACCGGCCGTTCCAAGAGCTTCAAAGATTTTGACTGTCTCTAACAACTGGAGATACATATGAAAATGAAAGCGCAGGCTTTACTTGTGATGCTCGAAACGCACTTGTTATTTATGTCACCAGTACATACAGGGAGACGCACAACGCACTGACATATATAGTGCGTTCTTTATACCAACATTCCTGGACAATGGTGGCCATTTCTTGGGTAGGTGTCTCGGGAGGGCCTCACACCCGAAAAGTCTTACAATCTACCTACCTATCTAGGTAGGTACTCTACATTCCCGCCTCGAGCCAAACCCGATTTAACTCCCCCCATCCTCATCACCGATAAAGCAGCCCAACCAACGCATCCCACCCCGCCTCCTCCTCCTCATCATCATCACCACCCTTCACAACCACATAATCCCCCGTCACCACCAACTCCCTCCTCACCCTCTCCGCCATGTCCCTCAGCCGCCACTCCTCCTCCATTCCCTTCCGCTCATAAACCTGCGCCATGCGCCACCAAACTCGCGCCGATTCGCCCGCGTTGCCCCGGTGCGGCTCGTTGAGCTGGCAGATGGCCAGCGCCTTCTCGAACAGCTGCAGTGCTGCGTTGTAGTTGTCGTAGTCGTCGTTGTAGTCGCCTTGGAGCATGGCGATCCAGCCCTGGCGGTACAATGCCGCCATGACGCTCGCGTGGGTGGGCTTTCCGGCCGAGACGAGGGCGTGGGCTTCGCGGCTGAGTTGCGCGGCTAAGGTTAGGTTGCCGCGCCAGGCGGCGATTTTGGAGCGTTCGTGTTTTGTCCTGGGAGACTGGTTAGTCTGGCACCGTTGGATCGTTTTGTGTCTGTTTAGGCGTATAGCCATGGTCTAAGGTTCGGGGGGTGGTTGGGAAGCTGCTGGGACATACTCTCCGTGGTAGTGGCTGTCAGGGCCATGCACCTTGTCCTGGAAGTATTCCGCCTCGTCAAAGTCCCGAAGAGCCTCGTCGAACTGTTTTAGCTGCATCTTGCAGCGGCCCCTGTTCCTCAGGAAGCGGTCGATATTGAAGTCCTCGTAGCACTCCGGCTCAGGGTACGACCTGGCTATTGCCACTGCTGCATCGAGGTACTTCAGACCTTCTGCAGCCCTGAGTGCCGAGGTCCTGGCGTAACCGACATTGCTCTTGGCGTTGGCCGCGTCATTGCCTTCGGAGACGCCATGCTTTTCCAGTATTTCGAACTCGATTTCAGCAGCGGCACATGCTTTGACGCTTCTGCCTGTCCGTTCGTACAGTCCAAGCAGGCCTCGCTGGATGGTAGCAGCGAGGAGGGACCCCTTGTCGAGATCGCCGAGGATGGACAGGAGAGCCGTCTCGGCCTGAAGAAACTGTTCTGTCTCAACCATGTACCAAGCATCGTCACGGATAAGGTCGATAAACGCTGGCTCGTTTGTTGGGAGTGTACCACGGCATTTCCCAGATTGGCAACGATCGCGAAATGCGACAATGTGTTGATGCAAACGGGCGCATAAATCCCATTTTGTGTAAAAGTGACGTACCCCATCCGACTCTTGTGAAGGGAAGTGAGTCCGAAGCAGGGTAAGGGTGGAATGGAAAGACTTGAGGCGACTTTCTGCCGTCATCTGGAGGAAGTAGCTGTCTTGGATTAGACGGTGCACCGCGATAGTGCCTGTTTCGTTGTTAATGCCGACCAGGGCAGACTCCAGGAGGATGTTAGTAGCTTCCTCAACTCTAGTCAACGCAAGGTTAGCACAGATATCGCAGCCGATGGTTACATAGCAATTGTAGCCTGTAGGTAAAGTACCTACCCAACCTACCTTTCTTCATCTTCCAAGGACTCCCAACGTGGGCGGAGCATAGACCAGTCTTTTCCGTGGAAAAGAAATGACGGAATTGCCTCGGGGTGCATGAAGCAGATCATACCCATCAGTTCCGTAGCATCTTCGCTAAGTTTGTCGAAGGCCGGCTGCCAAAGATTATGCAGGTCCCGAGGGTACCACGGATCCTCACCCCCTCGCTTCCGTCGCTTCAGGGCCGGCTCCTGGTTCCCTCCGTAGTACACCAAATATCCTGCAACGGATTTGAATCTTGGAGAAAGCTTGATCTGCTTGGCAATAGTGTCAATGGCAAGTGGGAGCCCCCCAAGTCTGACAGACAGCTGGTTTGTCGCGTCCTCCTCGAGCTGGTTGCTACCCCCAGGCACCGACCTTTTGTTTATGATCTTGTGGATCATTTCGGTACTTTGGGCAACTGTAAAGGCCGGGACTTCGATTGCGATTGCAATAGTATTCGCTTCTGCTACAAAGGTGTTGCGGCAAGTCACGAGGACCTTGCCATTCCCAACCGTTGGCCAGTTTTGGATAACGGCCTCATAGCTGCCGACGTTGTCAAGGACTAACAACCAAGGCACATCTATACAACCCAACCAATTAGACTTGTATCTCACGACGGAAAGAAGCAACGTGATGTTGAGTACTCGCCTGTATGCTGAAGCCACTGGAACACCAACTGTCTATTCCGGCGCGGGGTATTGACGGCGGAATACTTTTCGAGTTCAAGCGCCTTGGCCGCATCGTTGAAGGACTTGGAGACCTCGGCTGTCGTCTCGCTAGAGATCCACAAGATGGTTTCCTCTCCGCTCAACCACAGTCTGTGGGCGAATTCGAGGGCAATATGTGTCTTTCCAATACCGCCGGTGCCCCAAATGGCCACCGATGCCGGTCGCAATGTCTGCCCCTCAAAGGCCACCGAGATGGCCTGCAAGATATCGTTTCTCCCGAAAAAGGCCGGGTTCCGAGGGTAGGGAATGGTTTGACATCGCCGGAAGCGCGACCTGCTGGTCTTGGTTTGTGGCCTGCATCTTCTCAAGCTTCCGAATCAGCTCAGTATCGGAGTGGACTAAGTCTTTTTCGCCTCGGCGAGTTTCCGAAGCTGTTAAATCCGAGATCTGAGTTTCCGAAGGCTTCCGGAGTCGACCGAATAGAGTATTCCAGTTGTTGTACGGCGAGAGTGTCCTGGATCGTGTAGGTAGCTCCGAAAGCCTGAAATGCCTGATGGCTGAGGCGATGGCAATGGTGAATTCCACTCACCTGGATAGGTACCTAGGTACCTACATACTAGAACAGTGCAGCCACCCGGGGCAACACGCCATTCTGCACTGGTCACACGGATCGCCCGCACTTGCCATAATCAACTTCTGTTTCTTTCACGCGTAGCTCTAGGCAGGTGGCATTTTCCACTTTCTTGAGCCCAGTTTGTCCCACGACGCTCCCTCGTACATCTAGTAGCCCTGCCGGGTCTTGTGCGACAAGGGTCCTCGTCGAAGCTATTATGTTTGGGCGTCGGTTCCAACATTAGCTGTTCCTTCGCTCTTTCATCTTCGCCTACAGTGTTGGTCTCCGACCTCGAGCCTCGCACGCCTGCCAGTCCGTTCTTGGCTGTCCATTCTCCCCCATCCTCACGACCCAGCAGTCACGACTGTACTCGACAGCAACCATGGCAACCATTGACTGGCCGACCGTGCCTCTCAAGGATGGTGTTCTTGTCCCCATTGTATTAGCGCCCTCTAATTCCCTGTTTTGTCGTCTCTGAGTCGATGCTAATCTTATTTTCCGTTGCAGCTTGGGTTTGGAACCGGTACCGCCTGGTACAAGGACGACCCCAATGACCCTTTTAATCCCGAGCTTGTACTAGTTTTGAAGGCCGCCCTCGCCAAAGGACTTATCCATCTCGACGCAGCTGACTCGTACGGCACCGAGCGCGAGGTTGGTGTCGCTATCAAGGAGAGCGGGATCCCCAGGGACAAGTTGTTCGTCACCACAAAGGTCCTGGAAGGCTGGCGTGACGCGCCTAAAGCACTCAAGGAGAGTTTGGAGAGACTCCAGCTTGATTATGTCGACCTGTATGTACCCACTAGCCCCAATTCCCGGCCCTGTCCCTATCCAATCTGTTTAGGAATTGCCTGCGTGGGCATCGGCTGACAAAAGCAGCCGGCCTCACCAGGGCCATTGGAGTATCCAACTTCCAGCGTCACCATCTCGAGGCTATCCTGAAGACATGCACCGAGCCTCCGGCCTTGAACCAGCTCGAGTATCACCCCTATCTCCAGCGCTCGGACAACTACGTCCCCTGGATGCAACAGAAGGGAATCCAAGTCTCGTCCTTCAAGACATTAGCCCCTGTCACGGTAGCACCTGGTGGACCATTGGACGCCGTGCTCTCGTCGATTGCCGTTAAACACGCTACAACCCCCGACGCGGTACTCCTCAGCTGGGCCATCGGGAAAACTGTCGTTCCCATAACAACGACAAGCAAGGGCGAGAGGATGGATGAGTACCTCAGCGCCGTTGCGCTGAAGCTCTCTCCGCAGGAACAGGAAGATATCACCAAGGTCGGTCTTGAGCGCCACTTTCGATGGTGGGGGAAGGCCTTCTTCAAACCTGATGACCGGTCATGACGGGGATGCCGAGACGCACAGAGAGACCCATTTACTTATCTTTTATTTGATTTATTCTTCTCGATTTCTTTTTATTTGTTCCCTTTTCTTGATTCTTGTTCTCCTTTCGATTTCTTTGTATTTGGTCTTTTTGCTTGATTTCGTCTCCACCTCCTCCTCCGAATTCCCCAGAACTTCAAACGCCCTCGCGACAGACGCGTCTCGTGATGGTACGGTGCGCGAAGTCGTGGTCATAGGCCACATGTCTGAACACCTGAGGCTGGCCATTGAGCTACATAGAGCGAGCGCCACGGTGTGCTTGGCAGTCGACACCATGGCATAATGGTTCATCCATGCCCCGGCGTGCAGCGTTCTTCACTTCTTCCGCCCGAAGCAACTGTTCTCCGTTTCAATTCGCCGTCCCCCGCCCCAACCAACTACCACCCCCTTGATAAAAGCCCGAGACTACGCAACCATCAATCATGGCCTGCGGCTCCGGTTGTTGTGGGCAGCCAGTTCCGGCTCCTTCCCACCAGGCCGACTCTGACCCTGTTCCCACTCTCACGCCGATGCAGGACGATCGCGACAGCTGCTGTGACGATGTGAACCTGGGAACCGACAAGAATCCCGAACAGCTCGGGGCTGTTAGCGCCGCTCGTGATGAGTCTACCGAAGAGGAGGATTGCTGTGCTCCCGAGCCTTCATTACCTGACTCGGATTGCAACAAGGGCTGCTGCTCTACTCAGGCGCCGCCTCGTTCGGATGGCACAGCCGTGCCTAGCTGTTGCGAGGTGAAATCCACTCGTGACGAGCCTACCAAAGAGGGGGGCTGCTGCGCTCCCAAGCCTACCGAAGAGGACGACTGCTGCGCTCCCAAGCCCACGCCACCTGACGCGGACTGCAAGAAGGGCTGCTGCTCTGCGCCGGCGCCGGCGCGTTCGGATGACACGGCCGCATCCGGTTGTTGCGAGGGGAAAGCCGCTCCCTGCTGTGACCAGTCCTGTCTCGATCGCCTCGCACTGCGCGAATGCGAGAAATACACGCCCAGCCTTACAACCCGCAGTATGTGCTCCATCGACTCCCCCACCCGCTCTTCCGCGCGTGTCGCTAAGATGTTTATTTCGCAGGCTCAACCGTCTCTACTTGCGGCCGAGGCAAGGACCGCAAGCCGTGCGTGGACCATGCAAACAAGGCCCGCCTGACGTACGCGGAGACGCTCGCAGCCCTCGGCTGTATCTGCCGTGCTCTGGTCGCCCTCGGGCAAGAGTCTTGTTGCTTGCCTCCGCCCTCGTCGTCCGCGAGGAGCATCCGCCGCTGCTCCCGGGAGACACCGTCATTTTCTCGCGTCTCTGTCGACTCGTGTTGCGCCGCCAGCGGTGTAGACGCGGCCGGTTGCTCCGCGAAGAGGCGTCCGGGCTCGAAGAAGGGACGTCGCCGCTCTGGTTCCACAGATGCCGAGCCTGGGCCTCGTAAAGCCGCAGGCGTTTGTGCCGATTCTTGCTGCGACGAGAAGAGGCCTGCAGGCCGCGTCAGTGGGGCGGTGGAAGTCTGCGCGGATGAGGAGGACGGTGCCGACGTCGAAAGGGCATTCACAAAAAATGAGAAGGAGCATGTCATTCTCAGCATCTCCGGTATGACGTGCACCGGGTGCGAGACCAAACTGGTCCGCACTCTTGGCACACATCCCGCGGTCAAGAATCTGAAGACCAGCTTGGTACTTTCCCGCGCCGAGTTTGACGTGGTTGGTGCTGCTTCCGTGGTCGAGGTCATGAAGCATCTCGAAAGGACGACCGAGTTCAAGTGCGAGAGGGTCACGAACAAGGGGTCAAACCTCGATCTCATCGCCCCTGGCGGTGATGCCGCTGCCTTCGTCGACCGACCCTGGCCGGGCGGAGTGACTGAAGTGAGAGTGGCGGACAAGAAGACGGTCAACGTCAGCTTCGACGGCAAGGTTATTGGAGCTCGCGATCTCGTCAACCACGGCTGGGATGATGGTCCAATCGATCTCGCTCCGCCTCGGCCCGACCTAACTCTCGAAGCCGGCAGCAAGCACGTTCGCCACATGGGATACATGACCTTGCTCTCCGCGTGTCTTACGATCCCCGTTCTGGTTATGGCCTGGGCTCCGCTTCCTGAACGCAAGATCGAGTACGGCTCGGCATCCCTAGCCTTGGCGACTGTCGTTCAGTTCGCCATCGCAGGTCCCTTCTATCCGAAGGCTCTCAAAAGTTTTATATTCTCGAGGATTATCGAAATGGACTTCCTCATTGTCCTGAGCACTAGCGCGGCTTACATCTTCTCGGTTGTCTCGTTCGGCTACCTCGTCTCGGGCCAGCCACTGTCGACGGGCGAATTCTTCGAAACGAGCACCTTGTTGGTCACCCTGATTATGGTGGGCCGTTGGGTCGGCGCCTTGGCCCGTCAGAAGGCCGTGGAGTCTATCTCCATACGATCCCTGCAGACCTCTACCGCCCTCCTTGTCAACGACGACGGGGAGACGGAGATCGACGCCCGCCTTCTTCAGTACGGCGATGTTTTCAAGGTTGTTCCTGAATCGAGAATACCTACCGATGGCACGGTGGTGTCAGGCTCATCCGAAGTCAACGAGTCGATGATTACAGGAGAGTCCAGACCAGTTGAGAAGCACGCCAAATCCCCAGTCATTGCCGGATCAGTGAACGGTTCAGGCGTGCTGCTTGTCCGGCTCACGCGACTCCCCGGCGATAATACCATCAGTACCATCGCCGGAATGGTTGACGAGGCAAAGTTATCAAAGCCAAAGATCCAGGATCTTGCAGACCGTGTTGCCGGCTATTTCGTACCGGCTGTTGTTGCGCTGACAATAATCACGTTCGTTATCTGGATTGCCATCGGCGTCGCTGTACGCCAACAGCCAGGAAAGGAAGCTACGATTGAAGCAATTACCTACGCGATCGCCGTCCTGATCGTATCTTGCCCATGTGCCATCGGCCTTGCGGTCCCTATGGTGATCGTTATTGCCAGCGGCGTTGCCGCCGAGCGAGGAGTCATCTTCAAATCGGCGGAGAGCATCGAGGTTGCCTATAAAACCTCTCATGTCGTTCTCGACAAAACGGGTACCATCACCGAGGGAAAGTTATCCGTTTCTCGGGAATGGTATGCTAGAAGCGACCAAAACACGGCCAAGTCGCTGCTTCTAGGCCTGGTAGGGAGCATCAAGCACCCCGTCTCCGCCGCCGTAGCAACACACCTGAAAGGTCAAGGCGTGTCACCATCCCCAGTCTCTCAGCCAAAGACTCTCACTGGAAAGGGTGTCGAAGGGACTGCCAAAGGCTCTGGCTCGCTCCTTCGGGCGGGTAATTCACGATGGCTCAACCTCGGTTCCGATCCGGAAGTGCAGTTGACGTTGTCGCAAGGATACACCGTATTCTGCTTCACCATCGCCGGTTCTATCGCTGCAGTCTTTGGTCTCGAAGACTCGATCCGACCCGACGCCGCTTCCACGGTCAAGACTCTGATCGAGAGTGGCATATCCGTCCATATCATCTCAGGTGATGACGATGGCGCGGTGCGCTCTGTCGGAGCACAGCTGAACGTCCCCGAAACCAATATCCGATCCCGCTGTACCCCCTCAGACAAGCAAGCCTACATCCAGGCGCTGCTTGACCCCAGTACCTCTCCAAACCACACCACCACCGCCAAAGCGCAAGAAACCGGTCGTCATCTTCTGCGGCGACGGCACCAACGACGCGGTTGCTCTCGCCCAGGCCACCATTGGCGTGCACATGAACGAGGGCGGCACCGACGTCGCCAGCTCGGCGGCCGATGTCGTCCTCATGCGCCCGAACCTCGCGGGTATCCTCACCACCATTGCCGTGAGCAGGAAGTCGATTCGTAGGATCGCGTTCAACTTCGGCTGGAGCTTTGTCTACAACCTCTTTGCCGTCCTGCTCGCCGCCGGTGCGTTTGTCCGCGCAAGGATCCCGCCCGAGTTTGCCGGCCTCGGCGAGCTGGTTAGTGTCTTGCCTGTTATTGCTGCGGCCATGCTGCTGAGGTGGTCTGAGATTTGACCGGCTGGCTGCTTGGTTGTGGGGCGGACGGAGTGCTAAAATCGTGGTTCCGTAGGGTCTGATGTGTAGTAGTGTAATGGGCTGATTCAACATCGCTCCCTAACTGACGGAGTAGCAGTAGCTTCTTTTGAAACCTACCTATCTGAGATGTTTGACTCAGGATCCCAGCTTCAACGGCCGTTTTGTATTGTCCGGTTGCTTCTTTTCCTTTCGGTAAAATTTGGGGGGATACGAAAGAGAGCTCGAGCGGAGCTTAATATCCAACACGAGGTACTTCGTCATTAAGGGGTCGAGCAAGGCTACTATATGTTCAATATAGCTACATCATTCCTTCCTAGGTAGTCCTATGACAACGACAACGACACACAAAGCCCTGATCCCATCGCACGCACTTCTTCCAGGCTTCGAGTTTCATCATCCCGAGTACCAAACGGGTTAGGTTACCATACGCAAGCCGCCAACTCCCTCGTCTAGGAATTCAAACCTGAGGCTACCTTAGTTCTCCAACTCATCCGCCGAGAAGGACTGGCCGTCCTTAGCGCTGATGCCAGCACGGCAGAGTGTGAAGTGGTGGGATTCCCATAACACCCTTTCAATTTGGTAGGGCCCATCACGGTTGGTGTTGGCAGTGGCTTGGATGTACACCGTGTCCCCGACTCTGAACTTCGGTCTCCCCTAGCATCAGCTGAAGTTAGCATAGCCATTTGTTGGTCTGGAGAGCAACACACATTTTTCGGCTTTACGATGACTGCGCGTTTGTCGTTGCCTTCGTCCCGCCAGTGTCTGACGGTTATTGATGATGAACTGCTCATCTTATACAAGGCCGGGGGCGCAGGACGTCGGGAATCTGCCATGGTTCAAGGTCTTCGAGGGATAACAAATGCGAGGTTAATTTCTAAACCATATTCGAAGGGGCAGGATACCTTATTATGTTGAACTCGATGGAGACCACCGCTTGTACGGGAGCCTGACAGCTCTCGCTCGCCTCACACATGACCCGACGCCCAACCAACTAGGGTTCCTGCAATTGTGGGCTGTGTGCCATTGCCATGCATTGCATTACACTGCCGTGAAAGCGGTGTACCTACGGAGTAAAGTTGTTGTCTGGCGCAGCCACGCTCCTCAGTAGCTCTCGGGGCCGACGAATCGGCGCGCGAGACGTGCCCCTGGTTTTCGTGTGCTCTCAGCTTGTGTAACCCAAGAATGGCTTATGGGCTGAGTCTGACTTTGGAATGGCCAGCCAAGGCTGCCTATACTTGGGCGCAAGTGCTAGTTACACTGCCACGTTGGTTAGGGTGGTGATGTGCCCCTCCCTGCATAGGACCGCAAGCGAGTGGTCCAGTAACCAGAGTTAACGCTGGAGTGTGGCAACATGGCTCCATCCAGAGCATGCCAGAGGGGCCAATCCCGATGTCCTGACAGCTTATTGTGGACGAGTGAGACTACCAGGCCAAGTACCGCCAACAGTTGCCCCTTTCTCCCATGCTTCCACAAAATAGTTTTGCACGTTGACTTGACATAGTTACCCCTTCCCCTAACCATTCGGAGTAGCGGTAGCCCAAATGTATCGGTTCCGGGCTGTATTGTCTAGCTGGAGGAGGTGGTGGCCGGCCACCCAACGTGTCGAAGACGCCGCAGAGCTCCTCCCAGTTGCCGAAATCGGTGTCAAGGCATGCCCCAGTAGGTAAGAGTGCCCGATTGCACGCGAGAGCTCTTTTGTTCACAGAAGCCAGTCGAAGAGTATCCCTCCGGATACCCACAATACTCGGCCCTTATTTCGTCCTACGGCCCTTTCTTCGCCTTTCGGTCTTTCCGCCAGTTGCGGGCAAGACTACTGCTCTTGCAGCAGGATGAGATCGGCGTCCTTGAAGCGCGGCTCAACCAAGTCGACCGCGAGGAGGCCTCACCGTTCTATCTCGGCACATGCCGGGGCGACAGGAATGTGGCACGCGCCGACATTATCACGCAGATTCATTCAAAATTAGCTGACTACGGTGTGTTCAGCTAACAGAGTCCATCTTCTGATTTCGTTATGCTAAATCTCCGAGCTCCTCCAGATGCTCTTGTCGAGCGATGCCGTCAGATGTTGGCCTATAGCCGAGGGAGCCCACGGGATGTAGCCAGTCTTCAGAATTGGTTGGACCAGACAGGATGCTTGACGCGCGAGGAGACCGCATACCTCGACCAGCCCAGCGACCTGATCACCCTCGCGTCGCCCACCGATTCGGCATTGAAACGACTGGAGGACTGGGTCGAGGATCGACTGGTACGGCACTACAAAAGGTTCAGAGTTGTACGAAGGAAAACCCACTATCTTGAATTCACAGTACAAGTGAACTAATAACACCACTAAACAGGGCCTCGGGCATGACATCTCGACCAACCCAACCGTCTACGTACCCTCCGGCCCGTTCATCAATAACATTGCGAGGGCCCTGATGTTATGTCTCATAACCTTTCTGCTCCTCGCTCCCGTGATAGTGTGCATTCTCGTAAAGAGCTTCGCCGCACGGGTCGTTGTCATTGCTGTGTCCACAGCTTTGTATTTGACGGTTCTATCGCTACTTACAAGATCAAGGATGCTAGAGTTGATATTGGCAGGCGCAACGTAAGAAGCAGCCCCTTGTTTCGTTCTGCACTAACGTGGTACATTCTGTTCTCGAGGACATGCTAACGAAGCCCCGTGCCCAGATTTGCAACTGTTCTGACCGTGTTCGTGTCAAATTCCGTCGGTGTTTAGGACTTCTTAGATGTCGGGATAACGGTTTGTTCCCTCAATATATCAAGTACCTTTACTTGGGTCTTCGCCCAAGCTCTCCAGAGTGCCATCACATCAACAACTTGGAAAAGGAGTATAAAGTCCTGGCCACAGGGGTACCAATAGCCTCCATGTTGGACTAAGATTTCGTGAATCTTAAGGAGTGGATATAGTGTTTAGGTAGTTGCTTGTAATTACCGCCACTGGTCCCGTTTGACCATACAGGGAAGTGTTATGAGTATGATTTGATCTGAAGGTCTGACATCCGCCGTCCATAATACTGCTTTTGTAATTGACATGCCCTCTAATTCTTAAACTTTGCTGAGCCTATCTACCACCTACACAAGGTAGACCAATATATCATTCTTAAACATCCCCAACGCCTCATACGTACTCGGCCCATCCTGCACGCACTCCATCACCTTCACCGCACGCAGAAACGCCACCCACACAAAATACCGCTCCGCCGGCGAGCGCACCACCCTCTCAATCCATGCCGTCATCCTTTTCGCCAGCTGCCGCACCGCATAATCGCCCCCGTCCCGACTCCACCGCTCCTCCCGCGTGCGCATGATATCGCTCCCAAGGTCCAGCCACAGCTCCTCCACCACCGCCGGCGCGTTGCTCACCAAGTTCCCCTCCCCCTCCGCCAGCGCCGGCGTGTCCGCCGCGCACGACAGCCACAGGTCCAGCGACGCCAGCTCCACCAGCCGGTCCCGCGCGAGCAGCGGTTTTGATACACCCCCCTTGTCGGGGCTGTGCGCCGCGTCGTGCACCGACTGCAGCAGCGCCAGCGGCGGGAGGGGGGCATTCTCGCCAAAGGCTGCGAATTTGGTTAGTGTGGTGGGCTCGAGCCCGGTCACGCCGCCGCGCGCGTTGATGGCGTACGGCGGCCAGGTGTGCTCGCCTGCGCGTAGGCGTTGCCAGAGGTCGTCGAGGCGGAAGACGCCTTGGTCGGGGAAGGACGTGTAGATGACTTCGTTTTTGAGGATGGTGGAGCGGGGTTGTTTTGCTTTCGCCTTGGGGGTGGTGGTGGTAGTGTTGTTGGTGGTGGTGGTGGTGGTGGCTGAAGTGATGTTGGCGGATGCGAGGGTGTAGGACAGGCCGATCAGGGCGACGTCGACCATCATGGGGAGGGCGTTCAGGCAGGAGGTGTACAGTCCCCGCGCCCAGGGGGTGGCCCAGTAGCCGAGCTCGATGTCGATTTGGGAGGCCCAGAAGAAGGGGAGGACTGGGGGGCTCGGGGTGCAGTAGCGCGTGCTGGAGGAGACGTAGGCTTGGCTCATGCGCCCGCGCCAGTACTCTTCTGAGTCGTAGGCGACGCGGCGTGCGTAGCGTGTGGGTCCGTGGAGGTAGTCGTCGTCCTCGTCGTCAGAGGAGTCGCCGGAGTAATAGGACATGGAGGTTACGGAAGCTGCCCGGGGTTGGGGTCGAGGTCCAGGTCCGGCTGAAAGAAAAGAAAAAAGTCTAGCTTGATTTCCACGTCGGGGTGGAGCTGGAGCGCTCTCGATAGGGTCTTCTTTGTTGTGTGCCACCAATGTTAACGCAAGGGGGGCCTTCCTAGGCCGACTTCGTTTGGTTCCCTGAGCAACACCTCCTGCCGGCTCATTGGGCATTTCCGTTGGGGTTTCTTTCAACTCTATGTCATTACCGCCATCCGTCTCCCCGTTGGCGGTGTCTTTTGTGGCAGCATCTCGGGCATTATCGGAAGGCTTAGTTTCAGGGGTAACGGGTGCGCCAGGCGCCTCCGGCCGCGGCAAGATGTATTCTCCCTGGGTGATCTGGTTCATCGGATTAGTTTCGGTAGTTATAAAGGCAACGGCTTTCTTACCTTGAAGGTGGGTTTTAGATCCCCCTTGCAAATCACCCTGTGTAGCGTCCTCCAAGACTTTGGCGCAACGGCCTTGTTGTCTACGCCTCTGATTATGAAGGGAGGTTTCGCTACGCTTTCACTTTCCAAAGTTTGCAACAGGGCCTATTTAGAGTAGGGGTCAGCGTCAAACCGAAGATGGGACCGCCAGGTGGATAATAGACACAGGAAGACGCACATCCCAGCTCTCACACTTGTCCGCTGGTATCTTATGTTCCACCCCTTTAAGGTCGATGAACGGCAGCAATATCTTCTCCTCCTCGGGGGCCTCGTTCTCGGAGTCCGTCTCTGGTTTGTAGGGCAACTGGGTGGAATGCGTACGCCATCTCATGCCGATGACCTCGTAGTAGCGTCTCTTGGCTTTGTCAAAGGGCTGGTTGGCCACAGACGCGATGCCCTCCATCCGCCGTAGCCAAGACTTGTTGATGTCTCCCTTCAGCAGTGTCGATCGGAGGTCAGCCGAAAATGCGGTGAAATGAAGTAGACGGCCGAGGAGCGGGTGGTCGCTGCTCTTGATGAAGCCTGACGGCCCGCTCATCTCGATGAAGTCCCCGCCGGCCGCCTGGAGGGACATTCCCGTCATCAGCCCCAACGCAATGACGTCCCGGAGACTGACCTGCATCGGCACCACGGGGAGGTCTGCCGGCAGCCGGTCCACGTCGCCCATCATGAGTCCGACGCGCACCGCCGTGGGGCACACCCGGCTCAGCTGCCTCGCGAACGCGACCCAGCATGCCTCGGAACGGTTCTGGAAGACGGCGCCTCCGCTCCCCTCGAGGTCGATCTCGTTCCCCTTGGTTGGGGACGGGCGGTCGAATGGCGCCGGGAGGGTAGTTATCCGGTGCGGAGGGAACTGGCGAGCGTTCCCGGGAGTCTCCCAGTACTCGGTCGGGAGGAAGATGTTGGGCATGTCGAAGACGATGCGGAACCGGAGTTGGTGCCACACCCACACCCGGCGTCCGGCGTGTCCGGGCATTGGACCCCAAACTGACTTTTCACACTTGCGCATGTTCTGGGCCGTGGCGACATACTGCTGGGTCGCCTGGGCGAGGGCGACGACGAGGGCCAGCAGTGCCGCGGCAAGTGCTGCCCAGGCCGCGATATCACCCGAGTCTGTCATGGCGCTTGAAATGTTGACTTTGTTGAGTTGTGTCCAATGGCAAACGTCAGTTTAGCTTTCTGAGGGTATCAACTGTCAACTAAATGGTCAACAACCGGTCCAACTCTGCTCACCAACCCAAGAGATCGTGTGGCGTAACAGGCCGTGATAGAGTAAACTTTAGATTTACGAGACACAAAACAATATTATTATTTTCCCCGAGCGGCCGACTTTTGTGAGAGAGTGTGGCTGTGCTGTCCGCGAGGGAGCAGGCTAGGTGAGCCTACGATGCTGCCTATCTGCAGGCTGAGCGGCAATATTGGGGCTGAGCATGACTACCGACGACCACGTTGAATAAACCTATCGAGCGGTGAACTTACACATATGAAGGAAACCTCTCGCCATGAATCATGAGCACATCGGTTACGGAGACCGGAGCCGGGCTGCCGGATTCTCGGGGACTGGATCTTGCATTTAGAATTTCAGAACTTCGACCCCTGTTCCCCTACTAGCATGGTTCGGGCCTTAGTTAGCTTGGCCGCTGACTGCGTCTCTGTTGATTTGATAATGGTTCGCTAAGGCTCGAGTCCTTCACCAAGACTTAACTAGCGCCAACGGCGGCAACACCATACGTGGTTCCGGGACAGGGAGGAGTTACATTTCTCTCACGGAGGCATTTGGCCCCCAATATGCTCAAATCTTCTTCTGGTACACCCCCTAATTTCCACGTGCCCGAGCTTGTGGTTGCGACAATTATCAAGTTAAAAACATGGGTTTCTGACTTTTTCGCATCCTGCTCCTCCACTTCGCTACCCCCTATTGCCTCTCTTGAGTCTCTTCCCACGCCAAAATGCGTCTCCAGGTGACACTGCCACTGCTCCTCACAGCTAGCCTTGCCACGGGACTTCAGCAGAAGACCGATCCTGGCTGCAGATGTGTAAGTCTTTCGGTTCATACTGTCTTCAGAATTTTCAACTGCCTCCCTCGGTGCGTGCTGCAAGCTGACCTCGTTTCCAAACCCACCGCCAGGTCCCTGGCGATGCCTGCTGGCCAAAGCCCTGCCACTGGCAAGACTTGGACGAGAAGCTGGGCAAAGGGAAGCTCATCAAGACTTCTCCCATTGCCGAGTCATGTTACAACGGCCCGCACAAGGACCTTGATGAATGCGCCCATGTGACACAGATGTGGTCGGATCAGGACTTCCAAACGAATCAACCCATTGGCAGACCTTATCCCTACAATATCACCTGCGCTCCCGTGGACTATGCGGCTGGAGAGACTCCCACGTCTTGCATTCTTGGCCCCCTTCCCCAGTACGCCGTTAATGCCACCACAAAAGAGGATATTTCCCTCACGCTCGACTTTGCTAAGCGCAACAACATTCGTCTCGTCGTCACGAGCACGGGACACGATCTTCTCGCCCGCTCTGACGGCTATGGCAGTCTCCAAGTGTGGCTGCGCCACTACCGCAACGGCATCTACTTCCAAGAGACCTTCTCGGGCAAATCCTCCGACGGAAAAGGGGTGGGTGGGTCGTGCACAAAGTCTGGCTGGACAGGCAGCGCCATTCACATCGATGGCGCATGGCAATGGCGTGATGTGTACAAGGTTGCCGAGGCAAACAATGTCATCGCCGTCGGTGGTGGTGCTGTCTCTCCAGGTGCCATCGGAGGGTGGTCGTCCGGCGGTGGCCATGGGCCTGCCACACGCAACTACGGGCTCGGCGCCGATCAGATCCTCGAGGCCGAGGTGATGCTCGCAGACGGGACAATTGTCACCGCCAACCACTGCGAAAACACTGACCTCTTTCGTGCCATTCGCGGCGGTGGCCCTGGCTACGGCATCGTCCTCAGCCAGCACATCAAGGTGCATCCCAATGTGGACGTTGTTACCGTCCATCGACTCGCTATCGCTCCGCTTGAGCATACCCCCGAGAACGTGGACCTCCTCGATGCCGTTGCAGTCCTGCTCCAGCATCTCCCTAACATCAGCGAGGAGGGATACGCCGGTTATGCGTATTGGTTCCGCAACTTTCCCATGCCCTTCATCGGCGAGACACCATCTGGTTATTCCCACGGCATCTGGGCAATTGGCAAGGGGAAGGCTGAGGCTGAGGAAGCCATCGCCGTTGCACTCAAGGCCCTTGAGAAGTTTGAGGACAAGCTGTTTATTCACTCAACGTTGGCCGAGTACCCCGACTACTGGTCATTCTACCACGCCGAGTCTGGCCTCTACGATCCCACGGGTAGCACGTCCATCTTGACGTCCCGTATGATCGATAACAAGGCCGTGTCCGATTACCAAAAAGTCCGCGACACGGTGGAGATCATCAGCGGCAAGCCCGAGGAGTTCGCGTCCAACGTTGTCCTCCTCGTTTCAGGCGGCCAAGTCTTCCAGGATGCCTCGGACACCACCTCGGGCCTGCACCCCGCCTGGCGGACCTCCCCCTTTGTCCTCGTCACCGGGCAGGGCATACCCAAGGTTGCGAGCCGCGAGATTCGGGACTACGTCACCCATGAGATCACCCACGTCAAGGGAGCAGCCCTTAAGAAGCTTGCCCCTGACACGGGAGGCTACATGAATGAGGGTGACCGCCACGACCCGGATTACATCCAGGCCTTTTATGGATCCAACTATGAGAGCCACCTGGCGGCCAAGAAGAAGTACGACCCGGAACATGTATTCTACTGCCCAACCTGCGTGGGCGCCGAGGCCTTTATCGAGAAGCCCGACGGGCCTCTCTGCCGCAAGTCTTGAGTGCAGTGGATGGTAAGACTGAGCCCCGAAAAAGGCTATCATGCAACTCACCCTTTGGTTGTTGGTAACTAGAGATATAATCAGCCGGTTAATAAATGCATGCATATGGCCAGCCAGGAATAGCAATTACGTCGTATTGCCTCCAACTGCTTTCTAGAATAGCTAATCGACGTTGTCCCAAAGACAACTTGAGGATCAGTGCGAATAGTATAATAGTATAGTCACTCTTCAAGTACCTTAGGTAGGTAAGTACCTAGGTAATTTAGTCGGCCATAACAGCACCCCTAAGCCTAGTCTCCATAGTATAAACAACTAAACAAGCCACTAACCCATCAGCACATCCTCCGTCCCCTCACACTCACCTATTTCTCCCCCAGGAACCCCCTCCCCTCTCAACCACTAACAACCCCCCTCAAAACGACAGATTCCCCCCATTCACCCCATACGCACTAGCAAGCGACTGCGAGCTCCTGCCCTCCGCAATCATCACATAAACAGGGGCAAGCTCCGCCGGCTGCGCAATCCGTCCCAGCGGCAGCTGGCCCGCGATGGTATCCGCATTCTCCGTCGTCAAACCATGCGACGTCAAGAAATTAGTAGCAGTCAGCCCGGGAGCCACCGCATTAACCCGAATCCCCTGCGGGCCGAGCTGCAGGCCCAGCGTCTGGGCCATAGACACCAGCGCGGCCTTTGTGGCAGCGTAGTCAACTGCCGCGCCGTGCGGACGGCGCGCCATGCCCGAGGAGGTGAAGATGACGGATGCGCCGGGCGGGAGGAGGGGGGCTGCGGCGCGGACGAGGTAGAAGGAGGCGAAGACGTTGACCTGGAAGGTCTGGAGGATCTGCTCGGTGGGCAGGGTCGCGATGTCGAAGTGCTGCACGAAGTAGCCCGCGTTGCTGACCAGGATGTCGAGCCCCCCCATGGCGGCGTGCGCGCGGTGGATGAGGTCGGCGCAGAAGGTCTCGTTGCGCAGGTCGCCCGGCATGGCGAAGTAGCGCACGCCGGCGGCTTCGACGAGGGTGCGCACTTCGTCCGCGTCGGGTTGTTCTTCGGGCAGGTAGTTGATGGTCACGTCGGCGCCTTCGCGCGCGTAGGCGATGGCGACTGCTCGCCCGATGCCGGAGTCTCCGCCCGTGATGAGGGCCTTGCGGCCCTTGAGTCGGCCGGTGCCGACGTATGATTGCTCGCCGCTGTCGATGGGGGGATCCCAGTTCCGGTGAAGGCCCGGGAAGCCTTGGTCAGGGAGGATGACCCGCTGAGGGTAGAGCGTTCGCGGGTCGATCAAAGATGGGGCGTGGGAGACGGTGTTGTCTGTACGTGTTAGCGGACTCAACATACGGGGGCTGAATATGAGTTCTTACTGTTCTGAGCTGAGACAGCTCCGGAAAGGAAGGAAGCTGAAACAAGGATAGCGATGAAAGACTTCATTGTGCCGAGGACGATGAATGTCGTGAGGATACTTGAGGGAAGCAGGGTGCGTGTATGCGATGAACTGTCGAGTGAAGGATGAGGATGATGAGAAGCGGGCGAAAAGACGGCATACTGACGGCATACTTATAGACCATTCTGTTCATGCTCAACCCCGTTATCAATGGCCAACATGATCGTTATGGATGTTCAACCGTCAACGTCGTAGCCGGGCTTAGGAGTGACAGTGAGACGGAGTTAGCAATAATTAACGAACATGAGCCACTCCATACGCGTCAGCACTTCTATCAGTTTAATCCAGCACTGGAAGTCGTCAACCGACCATACCGCCATCCCATTGTTTTCCGTATCTGGGTCCAGGTCCAGGACCTACCAAGATTGCCTCCACACTCCGCCTTGCCAGTTTGAAGCTTACGTCCCAAACCGGACAACAATCTGTGAGTGAAATTCTTGTCTTGGCGCTGGCTGAGCTTACCTTGACGGACCCCAGGCTCTCGGCGCGCAACGGTCGAGCAAGGAAGCCCTGATAGTCTGACATACACGTAAACGAGGGTCTCCTGAATGTGCCGGGTGGGTCAACTGGCTGTGAGGGAGCCATGTGGTCGAGACGCGAAAGTAGTGGCGATCCGGGGTTGGAGGCTTGGGGAACATTACTAATGGACCGGCATGACGTTGTATACGTAGAGTAATGTTTCTGAACATGTTAATGTGTGAATTTTACCTCCATAAAAACCACCTGTACAGATTTCGTTGCTGGAACGGTCCTTTTGCCGTGGTCTTTCAGCGCCTGCCGAGACAGGCTCTCTCCATGTTGCCCAATAATGATGGCTCCCAGACCCATATGCCCTTGACCTCTCCAGTGTATCTCTCTGTCATGTCCCACCGCCGGAAAAACACGAACGAGAATGAATTCATATTCTCCTGGTAGTGTTGTGTCTCCCTTCTCCGGTTAGTAGCGGACGATAGGTAGACGGGGGAGGGGGAGGGTGGCATACCATAATACCAGTAGGCATGACCACGGTATCAACGTTTCCGGTAGGCTTGCAGAGTTGGGGAAGGCGCGGGCCGCGTTTCTCTTTAAATGCAGGAATTTTGCGAAATGCGCCGTCGACCGACAGGTTTATCTAAAGAGGCCCGTTTCTATGGCGAGGTACATCTCTTCCGAGGCGTTCTTTTTTCGGGCGGGGGCACCGAAGCGGCAGGTGCGACGTGACGACGGAAACGTGAGTGGCTTTTCAAGCCGGCAACGACATCACCTGACGTGCCTGTGACTAAGATAGATCCCGTGTAGCACTTTGAGCAAATGACGTCGGAAAAGAGAAGATGAAGGGAATGGGACGGTTGGGAAGAGGCGGTGCGATACCATCGGCGAGACTTGTACGAAGTTTGAATGCATCGGACGCATTAAACGACAAACACTGGAATTGTTACTCCATCGAGTACATACATGTAGTAACGTACTTGTGTTACTGAATTAGTGTGTGGTCCTCGATTTTTGGCCTTCGCCCCATATCGCAATGACGTATCTCTCACCTTTGACGAGAAAAGCCATATAAGATTGAGATACTCAGAGCGACAGACATGCAGATTAAGTTATAGTTGTAGTTATAGTTAACAATTTAGCATCACCATTGTCCGAGAAATCTCATTACAAGAAAGAATGGATAAGTACCAAGTATCTGTTTAATAGTGGTAAGGAAATATAAAATACTTAGTCCAGCTTTTGGAAATTATACCAAGCTAAGGGTCATGAAACACAGCTCAGGCGAAAGAAAGTAAAGTAAGGACTAAGAAGTCAGTCGAAAAAGCACATTTTTTTCACTTACTTGCACGAGTAAGTTTTATTCGATCCTGCTCGCAACCGTCAAACCGCCCCTCTCAGGTTAAATTACCTCCGATATCGCACACGAGATGAAGAAGGGCTGTTGGTCTAGCGGTATGATTCTCGCTTTGGGTTAGCACCTATTCTGCGAGAGGTCCCGGGTTCAATCCCCGGACAGCCCCAATTCTGTTGAATTTTTAACCTCATTCTTCTCCAAACGCGACGTGCAACACCGAGCAATTCACGGAACTTTGTTGTTGATCTTTTTGCACCTATTTTGAGGGGGCCTGTTCACTTGCTCGAGTTTTACTTACTCTTATTAGTCCGATTCTCAAGTCCTACAACGAAACCCCGGTTAAAGCCAAGAAGTATCATAATAAGCTCTAAGAACTAACCCCATTGTTGAAAATCGACACGTTCAAGAAAACAAGGCTACAGAGTCACATGCTAGCCTGGCCGAGGTTGATCTTTTCACAGGGCGTAGAGAAGGTTGCGATACAACTTGTACATGGTTTCGTGGAGTTGGCTCAAGCCCAACAACACAGTAACCTCATTGCCTTTTTACACGCTTCAACATCCGAAAACAATACAAATGCCGCACCCTGTCGCCCGCCCATTACTCCCCGTACCATTCCGCTACCCTCCCATAACACAACCTCCCAAACCATCCAGCCCTACTCCCCACCGCCCACACTCGAATGCGACGTCCCCGGCCTGCTCGACCCCAGCTTCCTCAACTTCCCGCCCGCCTTGGTATTAAACAGACTCTTGACCCTCCTCAACCTTGACATCATATCCCGATCCTTCCTATCCCTCGCCTCCTCGTCATCCCCCTCCCCCTCTTCCTCCCCATCCTCATCCCCACCCCCACCCAATCCCCGCGGCCCCCCACCCACCGTCATCGGCCGCTCAGGCGTCTTGGGCACCGCCTCCCCACCCGTACCCCCCGGCCCCGCAGCAGCAGCAGCGCCCGACCCGGGAGCAGGAACGCTACTCTTACTCCGGCCATGGCCCGGCACCACGCCGCCCCTGGCCTTCTTCTTGCGACTGCCCCCACCAATCCCACCAAGCTCACCACCACCAGCCACCCTCTCCCGAATAAACGCCTCATTCCTCAACCCCACAACCAGCACCTCCCACGCCGCCGGCAGCACCCCCTCCTCACCCTTCCCACCCCCGCCAGACCTCACAGCGGCACCCGGGTTCCGCTGCGCCTCGGGATTCTTCCACGGACAAAAGAACCGGTGCTCCCGCAGGGGATCGAGGTGGTCCATCGGCGCGGGCACCAGCACGGCGCCCGAGGCCGGGTCGATCTCGCGCGGCTTGAACATCCACAGGCCCAGGCGGCGCAGGCAGGTGTGGCAGGAGGCGCTGTTGGGCACGGCGGTGCCGAGCTGGGGGTGGGTCAGGGATTGCCAGCCGAGGAGGGCGAGGGCGAGTGCGGGGCGGTTGGGTTTTGGTTCGTCTGTGGCGGCGGTGGTGGTGATGGTGGGGTTGGCTTTGTTGGGGGGTGGGGGTGGGGAGGTGAAGAAGTTGGCGGGGAGGTGGGTGATGATGGTGTCGAGGTCGAGGGTGGGCGGGAGGCGGAGGTTGGATTCGTAGGGGAGGAAGGCGGAGCGTTCGCAGAGCTCGTCGTAGCGCTGGCGGAGGCCTTGGAGGGCGAGTTTTGGGTTCGGGAGGGGCAGGCGGAGGAGGGAATCTGCGGGGTTGTTAGTTATGGACTGGGTAAAACGTGACGATCGGCGGGCGGTGGGCGGCGGGCAGAAGAAAAACTTACCATCGCATCCCCTCTTCCTCCACAGACAGTCCTCGGCATGCGACTCGACAATCAGCTCGGCGTACGCGTCCACGACCGACTCGGCCACCTCGGACGCGATCAGCACCGCGACCTCCTTCCCGTCGACCTCCTTGCGGTTCACCTTGACCACCAGCTCGCGGCCGCACAGCGTGCACCTAACCCGCTCCTTGCCCTGGCACGCCCAGCCGCGCTTCGCCCACTCCACCTCGCTGACGCGGTCCGGTTTGGGCGTCCAGTCCGTCAGCTCCTGGAAGGTGCCGAGCCGCCGGAGCAGCTGGTCGCGGTCGCCCGGGCAATATTTGGGCGCGGGGGGGAGCCCCTCCCTTGCGTCGGGCGCCGGGCTGCCGGCACCGGGTGTCCATTTGCGTAGTGTGACGTTCGAGACGGAGGTCGTGGTCGGGGCGACGCTGCGTATGCTCGCGGGCGAGGATCGCATCGGGGTCGTTTGTAATGTGGTATATTTTGAGGGGGTCGTAGTCGGTCCGCCGACGCGGCGCTTCTTTTGCAGATCGACGCTGCTGTCGCTGGCCATTGTCCTCGGGAGGTGCGGCGATGAGCGCTGCGAAGCGGGTGATGATGCGGGATCGGCTATGCTGTCGCGATCGGTGCCGTATTCAGCTGGTGGGCGGTTGCCAATGCCCTGGAGGAGCGCATTGAACTTGCGCTTAACGTTGGAATTCATTTTTTTGCTATGTGCCGAAATGTGATTGCTCTGCTCCGTACTGTGTTCCACGGCTGTGCGGCGGCTGAAGTTGGGCGCGGCTGGTGTGGTCGCCGTAGTGACGAACCCCCACTGTTTGGTGTCGTAACTTTCGATTGAGAGCGAGGAGAAAGAAACGGCCTGCTCTTTGTAACCACAAAATCGGACAAGTATGTTAGCTAACACATATTGGCCAATATTCAGGCCTGGAAGTTAGATGAAGTGGATGGAAATCGGTTCCTTCCGTTGTTTGCTCATGTTGACTGATGAACATTTCGGAACCAGGCCCAGTCGGATCTGAGCTTGCGGCAGCTGAAGCTCTGATCCTGGCATGCAAATCACAGTGCCCGCACAGTGTGGACTTCCATCTCATTTCGAGTCTCGGACCAAGACGACCTCCTTTCCCGAGTTCCAGGTTAAGACCTGTAACTAAGCTATTTCTTTACAGCAACAGCGAGTCAGCTAGTTCATGGACATCTCAAGGAAAGACAAAGTAATACAAGACATAAGACATTGAATAAAAACTAAGGGTATCTAACTATCTTTATGTGGCATGCAAACCAAGACATGCATGCTGCCTGTCCGACCCAACCGCTCCCTCCCATAGGCCACAGCACAAGCACGACCAAGAAGCCCAAGAAAACTAACGCACGCAAATCAACTCGCTCACTCGCATCACTCGCTCACTCGATCCGCCTCTCCCGGTACCCGATCCCGTTCATCCGCACCCTCAGCGCCAGCGAGCTCAGCACCACGCTTATACTGCTCAGCGCCATCGCCAGGCTCGCCCACACGGGGTCCAGCCTCACATGCTGCCCGTTGCTCATGATGGGGTAGAAGATGCCCGCGGCCACGGGCAGCGCGATGCAGTTGTACACGACGGCCCAGCCAAAGTTGAACTTGATGCGCGTGAACACCACCTTGGACAGGTCCAGCAGATCCACGACCGAGCGCAGGTCGCTCTTGACCAGCACGAAATCGGCGCTGCTGATGGCCACGTCGGCGCCGGACCCGATCGCCACGCCGACGTCGGCCGTGGCCAGCGCCGGCGAATCGTTGATGCCGTCGCCGACCATGGCCACCATCGCGCGCTTGCTGCTAGACTCGTCCTTGTCGCCCACCCGCGCCCGGAGCGTCGACTGCAGATACTTGATCTTCTCCGCCTTGCCCGTCGGTAGCACGCCGGCGATGACTTGGTCGTCGGGAATGCCCAGCTGCTGAGCGACGGCTACCGCCGTGGTGGGGTTGTCGCCTGATAGCATCCAGACGCGGGTGCCCCGGGATTGGAGGGCGCGGATAATACGCGGAGCCTCGGGGCGGATGGGGTCTGAGATGGAGAGTGCGGCGGCGAGGGTCCATTTCTCGCCGTCGAGGGGTCGGGTGGCTGCCAGGGCGACCGACTTGGCTTCGGATTTCCAGCGCTGGAGTGTGGCTGTTGTTTCAGCCGGGATCAAGACGGAGAAGTCGGACATGAAGGACTCGTTGCCGACGGCGAGCTCGAAGGAGGATTCGGGCGTGGCGGAGCTATGGTATGTCGCCTTCATCCCTTTACCGGGAACTTCTTGAAGGTTGTCAATGGTGGCTCTGGAGGTGGTGTGGGTAGCGCAAAAGGAGACGATGGCCTTGGCGATGGGGTGGCTGCTGTTCTCCTCGACCGCTTTGAGGGTCGCGAGGACGGCGTCCCTTTGGGAAGCATCTTCCCGGTAGATCTCGGAGTCGGTGATGCTCGGTTCGCCACCCATGGTCAAGGTCCCGGTCTTGTCGAAGACGACGCAATCGATCCTGCTGGCCTTCTCGAACGCCTCGCCGCCGCCCTTGGCCAGGATACCATGCTTCGCCGCGAGGCCGCTACCGACGAAGATGGCTGTCGGAGCCGCAAGAGCGAGACCACAGGGGCAGGCCACGACGAAGACCGATATGGCGAACTGCAGCGAAAATGCAACCCAGCCGCCCGATGTGACATCCAGGTAATGGGCCGGGATGCGGCCACTGAGGCCGAGGGAGAGCCAGGTGATCCAGGTGAGGACGGCGATGAAGGTGACAACAGGGACGAAGTACGACGTCAACATATCCGCAACCTGTTCGATCGGGGCCCGCTTCGTCTGACCCTCGCGGACGACGTGGACGATCTGGTCCAACAACGACGTTCCCGCCACGCCGGTGATGCGCACCAGGAGCGAGGCGTTCTTGTTGACCGTCCCCGAGAAAACCTCATCACCCGGCACCTTCTTCACCAACCGCGACTCGCCCGTCAGACTGGACTCGTCAAAGTTGCTCTCGCCCCTCACGATCGTGCCGTCGGAGGGGGGCGAAGCGCCGTGCGTAACGCGCACAACATCCCCAAAGTCGAGCAAATCCGCCTTGACGACGACATCCGCCTCCTTCTCGGTCCCGTACCCCTCCACTAGAATCGCCGTCGTCGGCCTCAGCTTCGCTAGCATCTCCACCGCATCGCCCGTCTTCGACTTGCTATAACTCTCGATCAACCGACCCAACAATAAGAAAAAGGTCAAGAACACGACCGAGTCAAAATAAAAATTCGAGTCGTTGACCTCCTCCGGCTGGTACACAGCGGCGGCAATCATCTGGCTCACCGAGCTGATGTAGGCGATGGTCGTGCCCAACGACATGAGCGTGTTCATGCTTCCGAACCGATAAAACCGCTGCAAAATGGGCACCCTGCTGCCACGCCGCCAGAGGGTGCGGATCTCCTTGATGGCGCGGCGGTGGAACAGATCGGCGGCGAAAAAGTAGACGGGCGTCGCCATGATGAAGAGGGCTATTTGTGCGCGGCCGATGCCCGATGTCCAAGGCTCCATCATGAAGTGCTTGGTATGGTCGTCGGAGGGGATCAGCGACATATACACGATGCCGATGATGAAGGAGGGGATGCAGACGGCGCCGGTGAAGATGACACGGTAGAGGATCTGGAATCGGTGTTTGCGCTGGATCTGCTTGGAGCGCTCTTCGAGGGTTGGTGGATGGTAGATGGTGGCGGTGAAGCCCGGGTCGCTCGCCTCGACGGCGCTGAGGATGCGGCGGATGGTGAAGGACGGCGCGTCCGGGGTGTATGTGAGTTTCATGATGGGGCGCTGGCGGGTTGGTGGGGTGATGACTTCGATCTGGCGCCGAAAGCCGGCAAGGCTTTTGGTTACGCGGTCCGGGCAGTGCTCGCAGTAAAGGCCGTCGATGCGGATCTCGACCGTTCGTTCGTGGTCCTCGGCGGCTTCTTGGGCTAGGCTGACGACGGCGTCAAGGGCGGCGTCGTAGCCCAGGTCTTCGATCGCTTCCACCAGCTTGTCGGCATTGTCACGGCCTTGGATGTCGACCGAGGCACTGTTGGTGAGTAGGTTGACGGTTATGTCCTCGACCCAATCCCTTTTCTTCATTTCCCTCGTGATACCGTTTGAGCAGGAGGCGCACGTCATACCGCCAATGGCAACGGTTACCCGCCACGTGTCTGAGTGGTCTGGGCCCTTCCGCTTCTCCTGGTTGAGGTCAGTTACCGAGTCCAGGGTCGCTTCGTACCCGAGGTCCTCTATGGCTTGGACTAGCTCGTCGGCCTTCTCCTTTTCCCTTACGTCCACGGTCGCGCTGTTGCCGAGGAGGTTGACGACGACGTTTGTGACCCAGTCATTCTTCTTCAGTCCTTCGGTGATCATATTGGCACAGGCGGAGCATGTCATGCCTCCGACGGCCAGCGTGGCCCGCCAGAGCGGTTGAGCCAAGGAGTCCATATCGCTCTCAATGGCAATGAAAGATTTGGCGGCGCTGGTGTGCGGGCTTGAGCCAGTGGGTGAGCCCAGGGCCAGGTTGGCATGGTGGGACACGGTCTCCAACACGCCCTTCTCGTCCGTTTCGGCACCCATGGTGCCTCGGCACTGCTCGCAATTTGCGAGATGGGCCAGTGTCTTTTGAGACCGCGAGGTCTGTGGCCCGGAGGGCTTGAACCACCGACTGAATCCTGACGCTGAGCGCTCCATGTTGCTGTTACTGCTCTCGCCGTGCTGCTGATCGTCACCAAGTTCCAAGTCCAGGTCAGATACGGCGTCGGACGAGGTTGTGATGCCGCATACTTCGAAGCCGTTTTCCTCGAGGGCGTTGCGCATCTGGCGGGGAGATGCGTCCGGGGCGTGCTCAACTGTCACCACGGAAGTGACTATATTAGGTGAAATCCACTTGATGAGCTCCCCACAGGACTCGTGGAGCGCGCTTTTTATGGTCGACACACAGGTGGGACAGTGAAGATTGGCCAGCAGGAACGAGGTTGAGACAGTCTCAGGCTGTCCGGTTGCCACCGGCCGGCGGATAGAGGGTGCCATGATGTGATATGCACGTGCGGCTGCCCAACCCGGGCGGCCTGAGCCCTGCAGAGTCCGAGCAAGCAGCGCCGGGTCAGAGGGTATGTGCCGGCGTCACTTCGGCTGGCTAGTGCCGAAAGCAGCAGCAGTGTGTGTGCGACCTGAGTGATTGGCGATGTCAGTCGGACGTGGCACCGCGGGCGTAGATTAAAGGTTTCCTTTCTAGGAAATGCGGATGTCTGGGGTAGCCAGCGCCGGGATATAGGCTGAAAGCGCCGATCTGGGCGCCGTTTGCTGTTTGCTCGTGGGGAAATGGGGTACTGGGGCAATCAGTCAATGAGAGATTGCAGGTACTGTACGGGAACAAGACGGTACTGAGTGTAAGAAGGTTTGGGATGCAAAGAACAGGAATGGAAGCAATAATAAATAAAAGGAATTAATGGCGATCTGATGGCAAACAGGGTATGACAGGTGCGAACAGGAGGCGACTGACTTTTTGATTGACAGGGCTGATATAGTTGCAATACAATAGTTGTCGTCAAACGCCATCGAAGGCGATAGTTTTTTGTTCCCAAAATTATTCAGCAGTTTTCACGCACAATTGACGCAGGTTTCAGTGCCAAGATGGCTGCGGTTGTCTGGACTCCGTGATGGTTTGGGATCCGCTTTCCAAGTTTGGCGTGGTTGCCGGCCCGGTAAAAGTTGGACTGTTCCTTCCATCTCAGTTTCTGGTTTCCCCAGGTTCCCATCGATCTCGGACTTGGGATCTGGGAGATCCGGCAGTCAAGTCCTCCCGCTGCCCGCATCCGAGCATCGACAGAGAGACTTTTGCGGTGCTGCATCTTCTTTGTCCCAACAGTGGGTACCTGGAAGTACATAGTCCGGCCTTCGAACCGAACCTCACAAGCCGGATTGAAGTCACACGATGGCGAAAAAATTAATATTATGCCTAATACTTACGGGTGCCTTGGAGGTGGTTCTTCGCAAGCTTGATGCCAAGGAGGAATGCATCATCAGTCTGGCGATTGCGAGGGTGGCGAGACCAGATCATTGGCCAGCCCGCGGCGCACAAAAGCCGCAGCCGGTTCGGGATCGCCTCCCGCATCGGCGCCCGACTTTTGCAATCTGGGCCCCATGACACCCCATGACGCATCTGATGAGCGGTGCAGCCTCGCGAATGGACGGCGGCTGTGGGGTGGCTCGAGACAGGTTCGGAGCCGGACACGCCGGACTCTGTCCGCTTCCACCCGATTCTGCTGAAAATCGGGCCGGTTTGGTCCCCGGCCGCCGCTCCGGACGACGTTTCCACTTCGCCGGCTTGGCACCGAGATCGCCACGGCTTGCTGATGCTTGACTGACGAGGGAAGGGTCGAGCGGAAGATATGGTTGGGACTATTACGATATTTAGAGCTTTTATGCGGGTATCGGATAAAATTACTGATGTATCGCGGACTTCCACCACCCTGTGCCACCACATTCATATTCTCTTGAGACCATTGTGCGGCCAGCAATTAGGGATTCTGAAAATGATTCCCCACATTCGGAGGAGTGGACCCTTTTGCCGTGCCAAGAAGGGGCTCCTCTCTCCGGGCGCTAAAATCGTTTTGCGGAGCATGGATGCCTCCGCAACCTCACCTCAGCCAATGCATCTCTCACTCACTTTCGAGTTTGCTTTCTTAACTCCCCCATAACCCCCAGTGTTGTCGCGGGCATGGGGTGGTAACATTTTGTGCGACCGACTGCAAAAGGCTAACTTGGCCGTATCTTGTTTCCTGGTGCATGGTTTCAGGAACCAGGCACAGGACGAATGAAGAGCCCTGACGGGCAGGACCACCCGGCCGTTGGGAAGTTGTACCCTGCCTAGCCTGTCGGATTCTCTTGTTCTCTGTTTTTGATCGGTGCTTGATTCTTTTCAACACTTTGGTCTTTGGTTCCTGTCAATTAAGGGATCGGAGGCATTTCACTTCATCTGTATGACCACTCTGCCCCCATGTTCTTCCACGAACCAACCTCGCTCGGACATGTCTCGTCGAGTTGAAGTCGGCTCGAGGGTGGCTCGGCGTCGGGGCTCGGTGGCTCTCGGCGGCTCGGTGGCCACGGCACCGGAATCGGAGGTCAAACACGTGCCATCCCACGTGGGACGGCTTACAAAAACCTCAGTGTTGAAATCAGCGACCCCCACAAAACCACCAAATACGGCTAGCGTCAATCACGCCATCGTCCTCCATCAACGCGACTTCGAGACGAAGCCACAGCATTTTGATGGCTCGGTCCAGAATTTGCCATACTGCGTAGTCATGTTTGCGGCACTTATGGAGACGCCGCGCGGGTTGCCGTGGGCCGAGCGGGCTGACAAAAAGGTAGGATGAACATCTCGTTCAGTGATTTTCCTTTTTTTGTTTCTGCAGAACTCTCTTCAAGAGCTTCCAATTCCACCATTTTCCCCAGCATTTCTCGCTGGCGCAGTCGTTTCTCTCCGTTTCTGCGGTTCGCAAGCGCTTCGAGGCAGTTCCCGGGCCCTTCTCGAGCCTCTTGCCTCGTTACTTTGCGAACGGCCAAGCCCCTGCTCTTGAAGAAGCGTTCAAGAGCCACTCCGCCACTGCCATTGAAGACGATATCAACCTGCCCACCATGCAATTGAAGCACGAGGTGAACACGGGAGGCATTGCGCCCGTCCCAGAAGCGAATATCCCTCTCGCCGGCCTCGAAAAGACCTCCCCGAACCAGCAGATCCCCCTTAGCTCCATCTCCGGGCCGACATATGCCACCGGTCAGCTGCTCGTCCAGCAGACGGCTTATAAGCTCTCCGACAAGATCTTCTCCTTCTCTCCCGAGACCTTTAACCTCGACAATGCCGTGAAGGAGTGGTCGAATGCCGACGAGAAGAACATCCATGGCGAGACAACAACTGTCGTGCCGCTCCAAACCCGGGCCGGTGCCGGAACCTTTGCGCTGGGCTACATCTTCTCCAAGGACTTTGACCTCAGCAAGCGCCACATCCCCCAGACCCTTCTGGCCCCCTCGCTGAGCCTTCGTCACCTGCGCTCCGCCCTCGACCAGCTCTCGTTGTTGTATGGCGTGGCCAGCCCCTTTGTTGCCCACATCGCTGCCGCCGACTACTCGGCCCACGATGGCCTGGTCCCCGACTACGAGAGCGCTCTCCAGACTGCCGAGGACCTGGGCCTGGGTCTCGTCTCCAGCGCCTCTGCCTACGAAGTTCAGCACATGTCGCTTCTCGCGACTGCCCTGGCTTCGTTGCTGCCCACGCTCCACGTCTACGACGGCCTTCGCACGGCCAGGGAGACGCTGAGGGTGGTGGATGCGCTGAGCGAGACCAGCATTGCCGACATCTACAAGAAGATTGCGCAGGCAGCCGGCGCTCTGAACAAGAGGCTGGACACCGCCGGCAAGGTAGTCGAGCTCCTGCGCTCGTTCAACAGCGAGCTCGGAACCGCGTATGCCCCGTTCGAGTACCACGGCCATGAGGCGCCGGAGCTGGTTCTCGTGGTCTTCGGCAGCGTCGAGGCCCAGCTCGCCAAGCAGGTGGTGAACACGCTCGCCGCCGAGGGCAAGAAGGTCGGTGCTATCAACGTCCGCATCTACCGGCCGTTCATCGAGGAGGCATTCCTCGAGGCCCTCCCCGAGTCGGTGCGCCAGATCGCCGTGCTCGGCCAGGTCCGTGACGCCGTGGCCGTGGACGACGCGTCTGTACAATCTGCGCTGTACTCGGACGTCCTGACTGCCGTCTCGTTCGCCGACCGGTCGCACGAGCCGGTGGTTGTCGACGTCAAGTATGCCGCGTCGACGGTCCACACCCCCAGCTCGGTTGCCTCCATCATCCACCAGCTCACTGCCAAGGACAGCCAGAACGAGATCACCCTCGCCCTGCAAGCGCTGGAACAGGCTCGTCAGTACACCTTCTGGGACGTAGACAACTCGTCGGCTGTCGCTGCGCCCAAGTCTCTCGGTAAGCTGCTCGCGCGCGAGGCTCCCAACAACGTCTACGTCCACGAGACGTACGACAACCTCATTCAGGGCGGCGCTGTGCGCACCGACATCCGGAGCTCTGAGAAGTCCATCGAGGCACCTTTTGCCATCGAGGAGGCCGATGTTGTTTTCGTCGGCGAGGAGAAGCTGCTCAAGGACCTCGACGTGGTGAAGGGTTCCAAGGCTGGCAGCAAGCTCATCGTCCGGTTGCCCAACTTCAAGGAGGATGACCTGGAGAAGCGGATCCCTACTGCGGCAAGGAAGCAGATTCAAGAAAAGGGCCTCGAGCTTTTTGTGCTCGACTCTTCTTTCTCGCCCGCTCTGGAAAAGGACGCCGGACTCTTGGCCCAGCTTGCCTTCTTGCACGTCGCACGGCCCGAGATTACGGTGCCCGAGCTCGCCAAGTTGGGTGAAGTCGCCCAAGGCGAAGTGACGCTAGCCGAGTTTGCCGATGCCCTCCCGCAAGCGCTCAAGACGATCGAGGTCCCGGCTACCTGGGCTGAGGCGACCGAAGCCCCAGCCGTGCCCCTCAAGGCGCTCACGCCCACCAGCTTCGTGCCTTTCGACAAGAACGAGCAGGAGCCGGCGCTCAAGCTCGATAGCTGGCAAGAGGCTGCCAAGGGCCTCGTCTTCAAGGAGGCGTACGGCACCCAGATCGACCTCCGCCCCGACCTCACGGTGAAGACGTTCACGGTCCACGTCCAGGAGAACCGCCGGCTCACGCCGGATGCCTACGACCGCAACATCTTCCACATCGAGTTCGATCTCGGCACCTCCGGGCTCACGTACAACATCGGCGAGGCGCTCGGCATCCACGCCGACAACGACCCGAAGCAGGTGGTGGACTTTATCAACTTCTACGGCCTCAACGCCGACGACCTCGTGCAGGTGCCGTCGCGCGAGGACGCGGCGGTGGCCGAGACGCGCACCGTGTACCAGTCGCTGGTGCAGAACCTGGACATCCTGGGCAAGCCGCCGAAGCGCTTCTTCGAGGCGCTCGCCGAGTTCGCGACGGACGAGGCCGAGAGGAAGAAGCTCGAGTTCCTGGGCGGCAAGGACGGCGCCCACGACTTCAAGAAGCTGTCCGAGGTCGAGACGGTCAGCTACGTCGACGTGCTCGAGACGTTCCGGTCGGCGCACCCGGCCTTTGCCGACCTCGTCCGCATCGTCGCCCCGCTCAAGCGCAGGGAGTACAGCATCGCGTCGGCGCAGGCCGTCACGCCGACCTCGGTCGCGCTCATGATCGTCGTCGTCGACTGGGTCGACACCAAGGGCCGCACGCGCTACGGACAAGCCACACGCTATCTGTCGGGACTCAAGCCGGGCACAGCCGTAACAGTCTCCGTCAAGCCCTCCGTCATGAAACTCCCCACGGCCGACACGGCGCCGCTGATCATGGCCGGGCTGGGCACGGGCCTGGCGCCGTTCCGGGCCTTTGTGCAGTACCGGGCCATGCAGAAGGCGCAGGGCAAGGAGATCGGCGCGATCTTGCTGTACCTGGGCAGCCGGCACCAGCGCGAGGAGTACCTGTACGGCGAGGAGTGGGAGGCCTACATGGACGCGGGCGTCATCACCCTGCTGGGCGCCGCCTTCTCGCGCGACCAGCCCCAGAAGATTTATATTCAGGACCGCATGCGCCAGACTATTGCCGATATTGTGCAGGCGTATATCAAGGATGAGGGGTCGTTTTACTTGTGCGGGCCGACGTGGCCCGTGCCGGATGTTACGGCGGTGCTGGAGGAGGCGATTGCGGTCGAGGCGAAGGAGGGTGCGAGGAAGGTTGATCCCCGCAAGGAGATCGAGAGGTTGAAGGAGGATTCGCGCTATGTGTTGGAGGTGTACTAGATTTGATTTGCACAAGCGAGCGGTTGGGTTTTCTGTTGTTTTTGTGTTGCATATACTTTCTTGGTCGAGGTGACTTTGGCTCGTACATACCTTGGCGGCATGATCAGTTGATCCAATGAGATATTATTATCCAGTGACTGGAGCGTTGAGTGACAAGCTGGTTGCCATTCCCACCGATCACCAATGTCGGAGCGTCGGTCGTCTGGTGTTGTGCGGGGGAAGCTCCGCTGTGGGCCGGGGATGCCACCGCCCCAATCCCCGAGGATCCGGGGCAAGCAACAGCCTATGAGAGGTGTCGAGAGAATGCTAAATCCGGCGCAACCCGCCTCAGCCCGCGCGGGAGTTGCTTAACCGGAGTGTGGGGTAACTGGGGCTCGGTCCGGGGGAAGGCAGTCGATACCTCGGAGGGTTTGCCGTGTGTGCTTGCCCTGCATTTGTTTGTATGCAGGACCGCCGTGAACCTACTTTCCTCTTAGACATACTTTTCCACACTTTGGGTTCTCATCTCATCGAAGTCAAAACAAAAACCTACATTTCACACACTGAAACTAACAAGTAAACCCATCCCTGAACTTATCAATCACCCCCTCTTCCAACTACAGCGGTCAACATGGGAGCAGCAACCATCCGCGTCCTGCCCAACGTAAGCCCCCCGCCTCATCCCCTTCTCACTCACTCACCTCCCGGGCCCATCTCAACTCACATCACCACCACGCAGCGGGCCGCCCGAGCAGTCAACCTCCTCCGCACAGTACAATTCAGCCACCCGCCATCCTGCCCCTGCCACTCCAACCCCAACCACCACCACCACGCCGCCACCGCGCCCTCAGCGTTAACCACCGTCTCCCGCTTCGCCGACCGCACCTCTGCCCTCCACCACACCAACCGAGGGAGCGGCAGCAGCAGCAGCCGCGGGTATGCCACGCCGCGCGACCCGGCCCAGCAGAAGGAATACGCCTTCGAGATGGCGGCGTCGTCGATCCGGTTTGGGCCGGGGGTGACTCGTGAGGTTGGTATGGATCTGGCCAACATGGGCGCTAAGCGGGTGGCCGTGGTGACGGATCCGACTGTAGATCGGCTGGAGGCGATGCGCCAGGTGCGGGAGGCGCTCGATGCGGAGGGGATTGAGTACCGGGTGTATGCGAAGGTGGTGGTGGAGCCGAAGGATTATTCGTGCGTTTTTCTCTCTTCTCTTTTCGGTTCTCTTTCGTGAGGTGTTTGGTGTTTGCTAGGTGAGATGGGTTGGAGTCTGACAGGCTTGCTCTGGTAGTGTCAAGGAGGCCATCGAATGGGCCAAGCCGTACGCGCCTGACGCCTTCCTCGCCGTCGGCGGCGGCTCCGTCATGGACACGGCCAAGCTAATGAACCTCTACACCTGCTACCCGGATGCCGACTTCATGGACTTCGTCAACGCGCCACTCGGCAAGGGGCGGCCGGTCGACCGCAAGCTGAAGCCGCTCATCGCGGTGCCCACGACAGCCGGAACGGGCAGCGAGACGACGGGGACGGCCATCTTCGACCTGGCGTCGCGGCGGGCCAAGACGGGCGTGGCGCACCGCAACCTCAAGCCGACGCTCGGCATCTGCGACCCGCTCAACACCCGCACCATGCCCGCCGCCGTCAAGGCCGCCTCGGGGCTCGACGTGCTCTGCCACTCGCTCGAGTCGTGGACCGCCATCCCCTTCCAGGAGCGCACCCCGCGCCCGACCAACCCCATCCTCCGCCCGGCTTACCAGGGCGCCAACCCGATCAGTGATATCTTCTCGCTGAATGCCCTGCGCCAGACCGTCAAGTACCTGCCGCGCTCTGTCCGGGACCCTGACGATATGGAGGCCCAGAGCGAGATGCTGCTGGCGAGCACGCTCGCGGGGGTTGGATTCGGGAATGCGGGCGTGCATCTGTGCCATGGTGAGTGAAGCCTGTCCTACTTTAATGGTTTAGATGAGAGAGGGACCTGGCTGCTAACCCTCCTTGTTTCCCTCCCCCAGGCATGTCATACCCCATCTCGGGCCAGAACCCGGGGTACCGGCACGCCGGGTACGAGGTCGACGCGCCCATCATCCCGCACGGCGTGTCGGTGGCGGTGTCGGCGCCGGCCGTGTTCCGCTTCACCGGCCCCTCGAACCCGGAGCGCCATCTCGCCGCCGCCGAGGCCTTTGGCGTGGATGTTAGCAACGTCAAGAAGGAGAGCGCGGGCGAGGTGCTGGCCGACGCGCTGACCAAGTTCCTGGCTGATTTGGGTGACCAGCCTGCCGGGTTAAAGCAACTGGGGTTCCGCCGCGAGCATATTGAGGAGCTGGTCGAGGGCACGATACCGCAGGCGCGCGTGCTGATGCTGGCCCCGGGGCTGGCGAAGGAGTTGGAGCAGGAGAGGGATCAGCTGAGGCGGTTGTTTGAGGATGCGCTGGAGCATTGATGAGATGAAAGGGGGCTATTGTGCCGCTATTGTTCAGGGTGGGGGCGGCATTGTGTAAGTGGGATGGTGTCTAATGTGGAATGAAGCACAGTGTGCGAGTGTGCATACCTACTTCACAATGTTTACACAATAGGCAAAGAATTGCAATCAACTTCAAGCTTGTGAGGCTTGAATGGGAGCATAGCTTATTGTGCGAGCTAGGTGTTCATCAAGGATGAGTATATAAATATCATTTTCCTCCCTCTTTCAGAACAACCAACTTAGAAGTGTCTCTTGTTCTAAGGTTCTTTGAACAAACCCAGTAAACCCACCCTTATTTACCAGCTCCTCCGCATTGGGTACTCAAGCATTTACTTATCCGCGCCAGTCTTTACCATATCTTCCTTCCCTTGTCGTCGTCTTAAATCTTTTCTCGTCCGGCGTCGACATCCCCGAGTGTGCCGCAACTTAATCAACTCACCGGTGATTTGCCTAGTAACGAGGACACAAATCAGGTCGACAACCCCATCGCGGTCCACAACACGGTCGATATGGACAACCAGGTCACCCCCATCGACCAGCACGCCACACGCCTATTCCACAATACCCTGTCTTTCCTGGGATTCCCTGTCAACACTGCGATTTACTTCAGCAACAACGCCGCTGAGTGTAACCACCACGATGGGATAGAAGGCCATGGTTGCCTGTCCTGCCCTTACATCGACTCCTACGATGCCGACGACGAGCTTCTGGAGGAAAGCAATGACGAATGGGAGAGCAGCGACATCTATTTTGAGGACGCCGACTCTCCCTTCTCTACCCGCCCCGCCGTGCGCTCACCTATTATGGGAGCGCCCTTGTCGCCACTCCTCATGGAGAACATCACAACCCTTGGCGAGCTCACCCTCTCCGGAGACTCATCACCAACTTCCCGGGATATCCACGACGGGTTTTCAACACAGTCCACTAGCGCGAGCATCCCACCCGCCGCTCTCCCATGGACCGTTCATCCCCTCCACCTTCCCGCGGGGGGTCCCAACCGAGACGACCCGTCACCAAGTCCTGCAGCAACCATCACCATCCCCAACCATTTTCAACCTATTCCCTCCTCCCTCCCCCCCGCTTCATCCTCTCCCCTTCCCACCGCTCCCACCCCCACCCTCCTCATCTTGTTCGACACCCTCAACCCCCCAACCTCACCCACACCACCATCTATCACCCTCTCACCCCCTTCCCCGCCCCACTTCCCCACCACCTCTACCAACACCACCACCAGCTACCAAAGCGACGCCCTCACCTACTACAGCGACGACTCCGCCTACGACGAAGCCTCTTCCGTCTCTTCCGTCTCAGACGGGAAAGAAGGTGGTGTTGGTGTTGGCGTTGGCGTTGGTGCTGGCGGCGGTTGGGGCCGGTGGCGCGGGGTTGCGGCGGCCGAGGTGTCGCTGGCGGTGGTGCTGGTGGAGCAGGAGCTGGGCTCGCTTGGGGAGGGGGTGTGGCGGGGGCTGATGGGTGTTGATACGGATGAGGAGGGGGGGAGTGATGGGGGGTTTAGTGGGGAGAGTGATGGGGGGAGTGATTGGGGGAGTGATTGATGGTTGGGACTGATGGTGATGGGGTTTCTGATGGGGAGGGGGGGAATGAGGGTGGGGATAGAAACTGGGTTGGTTGGCTGAGGGTGCAACGATGGGAGAGGAGAGGAGAGAGGTGGTTGGGGTTTTGGATCGTGGACCTGGTGTCGTTCAGTTTCGCGGAATAACGTGGCTGCTGGGAGGAGCTAGACTCCTTCGGCTGGGGATAATTCGACGTGACCTTGTGCTTCTGGTTAGGACAGAATCCAGCGATATTTGAGACTGAAATAATGCTTCCAAAGCGTTAGCTTACCATAACTGTCAGGTGACCCAAAGAACTCGAGACGGCATTGAGCATGGCTACCCACGATGGCCGTCCCACGGGGCCTTTGTAGTTGTTGAGGTTGGGTCATGCAACCCTCGAACAAACAAACCCAAACAAAGGCGTGCTCTGGCAAGGTGATATCAATGCACATGGTCCATAAACCCAGTTTTTCCGTTTCCAATCCGCAATGTTGTATAACCAATGCACACAACCCTCCGCTCCCCGCCCCCTGGCTCCGCAACCCTCCCCCCTGACCACTCATCACTTCATAAGTTAGGGAAACACAACTTCCAAAAAGAAAGAAATGAAAAGAACTATATATCAATCACCATAGCCCCCCATACTATCTAACACACGCTACCCGCCAGCTCACCTCCCCGCCCCATTCGAAAACGCGCTCCGGACCTCCGCGCGCGGCCACTCAAACAGCACATCACCACCATACACATCCGTGGTAACCCTCCCGACACGCATCTCCACATCCCCATAAAACTTCTCACACTCCTTGGTAACCCGATTCACCAGACTACTATTCCCACCGCTCACGCTCCGGCCCGGCAAACTCGGCACGCCAGCCGCACCACCCCCGCCGACAGTCAACCCGCCGCCACCAGCCCCACCACCACCAGCCTCCTCCTCCCCAAAGTGCTTCTCCACCCGCTTCCGCAGCGCCTCGATGCCCTTCCTGACCTCACGCCCATCATACCCACCCAGCACCTTGTTAAACACGGCCTTGGTATTACTCGGCTGGGCCGCGACACCCGCAGCACTCTTCCCGCCCTGCAGCTGGGCCTCGATGTTCTCGAGGTGCTCGAGCAGCTTGCCGAGGGGCCTGCGCATGACGGCGTTGAGGTAGAGGCCGAGGTGCTCGGCCATCTCGCGGTGGGCGGCGTCGCGCCAGTCGTCGAGGACCTCGAGGCGGCGCGGGTTGTCGACCTCCTCGAGGAAGTGGTTCATGTTCTCGATGAGGAGGATGTGGAAGTTGAGCGCCTCCTTGTCCTCCGGGTCGGCCGCGGCCGAGGCCGCCGTGGCGGCGGATGGGATGCCCGTGCTGCCGAGCGCCGGGTTCTCGCGCGCGATGACTTTGAGCGAGTCGAACATCGATTTGAGGAGTCGGTCGTACTCGCGGTCGACCATGCGCCGGACGGCGAGGGACGGGTCCGTGGAGGCGAGCATGTTCTCGACGGCCGTGCTGAAGTGGGGGAAGATGCGGATGAAGTGGATGACGCCCTTGCGCTTCTTGATCTTGACTTTGGTTTCCTCGATGGCGCGGATCTGGTCGTCGACGAACTTCTTGAACTTGGTCTCGAGGTTGCCGTGCAGCTTTTGAAGGACGTTGTTGAGGAAGTCTTGGTTGGACTGGCTCATGTCGGCCATTTTGCGCTCGAGGGTGGCCAGGATGCCGACGCCTTGTCTAGGGGGTTGTTAGCGTTCAGACGAAGGAAAAAGGAGGGCGGGGGAAGTCTTACAGAGGGTCCATGACCAGCACCCAGTCCATCAGTTGTTGCAAACCGGACTCTAGGAACATGAATATTGTCTCCATCGCCTTGGTGACCCGGCGCGCGAGGTCGCGGTCGGGCTCCATCAAGCGGTGCCGCTTCAGATCACCACCACGTCGGTCGTGAGGTCGCGAAGCCGTGACGAGATCCGGGAAGTCGGACTGTTCGAGTGTCGTGGCGTGGAAAAAGTCAACGATAAAGTTCTGCTCCATCTCCACCAACGGCAGCAAGTCGTCTAAGACGCCAGCGAACACCTCGTAGGGCAGCGCCCTGCCGTCCGGTGTCTTCTCGGCGAGGTTCGTCCGGCTACCCTCGCCGAGCGGGGACCGGAGACTTCTCGCCAGCGTTTGGCTGCGCTTGACAGTGAGCTTCCGCGCCGTTGTCGCGAGCCCTTCCTCCTTCTTCTCCTGTTGCGAAGTGAAAAGGAGCTCGCTCTCATCGCCCGTCACCTTCCTCGCGTTCTTTTTCCACGCTTCTATGGCGTCCCTAAATTCGGTCTTGTAGATCGGATGGCTCCGGTCCTGGTAAATTTGGAGGATGCGATTCCAGTTATCGAGGTCGACGTCCCTCGCGTAGAGAATCAGCGGGCTGTACATCCACAGGAGATCTCTACCGGGTTCATGGTTGCGGGCGTCGGCCTTCTTCGCCAGCGCCCCGTCAAGTGCCATCTTCGTCTCGCGGAAGGCTTCCGAGAAATGCCGCTCCATGAAGACGACGAGCCTGCGCATGAACTGGGAGCTCTCGGCGAGATACATTTCCTTCTTCTCTTGTACGATGCGCATCTTGCCGTAGTCGCTGTCGAGGCCGAGGGACTGGTCGGCGTTCATGTCCTCGCTCTTGCGCGACTCACTATTACCCAGTGTTGGGTCAATCTTGATCATGGCCTTGAACAGCGTCACAAGAGACGACTCGATATCCTCCACGCCAGCTGCTGTCTCGAGAGGTGCCACCTTGAGAGCGTCGAGGTCGGTTTCGCTGATGGCGCAGGTCTCCAGCAGCGACTCTAGCTCTTTCCTGAGCAGCTTCTGATTTGCGGCTTGCACCTGGAGGCCATGGCCCTGGGCCTCGATATACGCAATGTCATCCGACAGCGTCTGCACCCGTCAGACCACGATGGGCAACGATGAAAAATCAGATGAACTTACCGATAGCTCAACGCTGTAGAGCGTAAGCAAGTTGTCGAGCTCGTCACACTCAGTGATGGATAGATCGATGCCCCTTTTGATGGCCTCAACCCTCTCATCCTCCTCCTGAAAACGGGCGAGCCAGCCGCCGGCTTGCGCTTTGCTTAACTCGCGATCCAGGTCTGTCCGCATCTCGTCAAAGTTGCGCGCGCGCATCTTCTCGCCTGGAACCCACCCAAAGTAGTCCAACCACTTGGCAAACTCGTTCGTCCGGTTGTCGAGCAGGGACGGATCTATGCCGAGCGTGGCAAGATATTTGGTGTCATTGCCGGCGACGACAGAACGCCTCGGCTCCACCACCGCTGGTTCCTCGGCCTTCTTCTCCTTGAGATCCCCAATCGACGGTTGAGCACTGATTGACCTGGTGGTGGAGTCGGAGCCGGTAACCTTGACTTCGGGTATGCTGGGGGCGGCGGCTTTGTCCGCTGCCTTAAGTGGTGCTGGAGCGGGCTCTGGTGGTTTTTGAACTGGTACGGGCTTCGGAGGCGCTGGGACGACGCTCGTGATACCATCGGGGCCGTCGCTAGTCTTGTTTTGATTCGACCGCAGACGTTCCGCGGCACCACCAGGCCTCGGCTTGAACGCGCTAGCTGCGCTCGCAGCTTTCCAAAACGCTCCCGCAATTTCCCCCTTAGATTTCTTGTTAATCATGGACCTGAGGCCCGGTTTAGTTTCCTCTTCAGGCTCTGGCGGAGACTCCGGTACGGTGTTGTCAGCGGGGGGCGTGGGGATGGGTGGTATGGCAGATGTTGGAGGGGCAGAAGGCGGCGTTGAAACCGCCGGGCTGGGCGACCGCTTGGGCGTCGTGACCTCGGCTCGAGGCGGAGGTTCGTTTCGGCGACTACTAATCGAGTCCTTTCGAGGTGCGACTCTTTCTACGTTTCGCGGCGGCACCGTAGGCTCTCGGCGCATGCCTGGGCTCATAAGCGGGGCAGGTATCAGGTTCTTATCAACTCCCAACGGCCGCAGAGGATCCATTGGAGGCCGTTTCCGCTCAGGGGGCTTTTCCTCGGATGCTGGGGCTGGGGTCGGCTCAGGGGTAATGTAAGGAGAGGAGCCGTTCGGCCCGTTTCTCGTACTCGGCCGTAGGCTGATTGCATCTTCGCTTCTCGTAATGGACGACGCTGCAACTGAGTCTTGGCTCTTGTTGCTAGATGCGAGCCTGCGCAGTGACTGATGATCCTGAGATGGCCGGCCCGTATCGATACTCTGAGCAGGCGACGAGTTTCCGTTCGGCACCAAAGGGTTGCGAGAGACCATCCGTTCAGGAAAGCCGGCCGGCGCCGGAGTGGTTTGCGCGCTGAGGGGCGCATTGTATCCAGAAGAAACGGAGGCATTCGTACTGTTTGGGGCGGTGTCGAGCGGGGAGGGTCGAGGGGGTGGTCGCTCCTGTCGCCGAGGTACTTGGGCACCGCCGAGGACTTGGTCTAGCTCGCGTTGTTCAAAGCCTGTTAACGTGGGGTTGCGCCCGCCGGTGTACTTGTTGTAGATCTTGATTAGGCTGGCGATGAAGAACTTCTTCTCCTTGTCGGACTGGGCCTGCCAGTAATACGGCTTGCCAAGCGACACCACAAAGCCCACATCTCCGGCCCATTGCTGGCTGTTCGGGTTGACGGTCGGGCTCGTGAAAGACTCGATCGCTGTCAAGTCGTCGAGAAACCAGGTCTTTCCGATCGAGAAGGTGCCATTGGGATTCTCCTTGGATTTGTGCACGCGTACGCGGCCGGATTTGCGCACAGCGACGATAATAACGCGGGGCTTCTCGTACTGGGGGGTTCTCGCCGAGGGCGGGGGCGGCGACGTTGGGGAGGTCTGGTACTCGGTGATCTTGATATGTGTTATATATGTTTCGAGGGCTATACGACACGCTGTCAGCTGGGGAAATCTGTCCGGAACAAACTCCAGATAGAACGAGAAGGGGTGCTTACGGGATCCATCCTCGTCGCGCTTGGCGAAGCAGCTATCGATTATCCTCCTCTTCTCGTCCTCGAACCTCTCCGCCCTGTTCACCTCGCGGCCGTTCATTGCCGTGGTTACGACGGGAAAGAGCGCCCGTCAAGCTGAGGTTGTATTTCGAGATTCATGAACGATCGGGCAGCGACTGATGGCGGGGGTGCCGTGACATTTTGGGGGGCGCTGCTCGCACAATGGATCGACTGGAGTCGCGGAATGTGTTGTCGTTTGGCCGATGTTCTGTGTAGATCCGGCTGCGAATGCCGTCAATGCGCAATCGAGCCCAAATCGCGGGGGCAGCTTCGTCGAGATGCAAAAGGTGGAGTTGCAGGTGGAGTTGGATGAGGCTTGCAAGCCCCTGTGATGGAACCGATTTCGAGGAAGCGCTGCTGAGCTCGAGGCCCGTGCGGTCTTAAAACGGCATGCTGTGGTTCGTTGGACCGGGTCCTGCCGCAGGCCACGCAGGCCAAGACATCTGCAACAGGGACTCGAAGATGCTGGCTCTTGGCGTGCTGTTTTGGTCAGATCTCTTTTCACCACACTACATCTTCAATTGAGGTTTGCTCACAAAGATGGCAATTTCAGTCTTTTACCCTCGAAAGCCAGTCCTATTTCCCTCCATCCTCGAAGATAGGCATGCACATCTTATTCAAACAATAACAGACAGCCCTGAATCAATCCCTGGCAACTGCCGTACCTCTGCGAGTCGTGTTCATGCCATGGTGTCCCCAACGAATCATTAGGTGACCATATGTTCGTAAAAATAAACTACAAATCGCTCTCGCAACAAGACCAAATACCAACTCTGGTATTCCATCTTTGGTCCCAGTTTTCGTGTTCCCCTTTCCGGCTTCTGTTCCGAAAGCCATCCCTCTAGTTCCCATCCATGTATATAACCCCGTCGTGCTCCAACCACCAAACGAACAAGTAAGCGTATACTATGTATATATGCACATAAAACGACGCTGGCTCCTCCCACCCCCAACAAATCCCCTCCCACCATCATTATAAACATAACATAACCCAACCCGCCCAACGCACAAACCCAATCAATCACCCCCCATACCCCCTCCCCCTCAAACCACATCCCCATACACATCATCATCATCATCGTCCGAATCCCACACCTCCACCGGAGGCGGCGCCATCCTCACATCATCCACCAGCAAACTATCCGGCGGCAGCACCCCGCCCTGGGACGACGACAGGATCAAGCCCGGGCGCGGGCGCGGGAGCAGGCTGGCGCCCGCGTCATCGTCGTCATCATCCGGAAGGCTGGGCAGCGAGTGGTCGCTGGACCCGGGTAAAGGGGGGCGGGGCACGGAGGGCGGGCCGGAGGATTTCTCGGGGGATGAGACGGCGGATATGTCCGAGGCGGTGGTTGCTTGGGAGGGGCGGACGTATCGCGATGACGGGGGTCTGCGTGTTGTTGTTGCTCGGGAGGGGGTTGGTTGAGGGCGGTGGTGGTGCGGTGGTGGGTTGGGGCGCGGAGTTGTCGATGGTTGGCTGCTTTGGTGGTCGCGGATCCGTTGGCTTGATCGTGCCGGGACTGGGGGTCGGGTGAAGCCGTTTTCTGCTTTTTGGGACGTAGTGGGAGCTGGGCGCTGCTTGGTCGGGCTCTGGCTGGCGGGGATGATATCTTCCTCGTTATGAGGGCGGCCGCCGCGAGACGGTTTCTGTGTCGAGTGCAGGATGTCGCTGCGTATTTGGTCTGCCAGTTCCTGCGAGATTGTCACATCCTCGTCGTCGCCTGAGAAGTCTTCCTCGTATTCTTCGGCAAAGAGCGGACACCTCAGGTTTGCTACCAGCTGTCCCACAATCGCCGGAGGGAGGTATTTGTAATGCTGCGGTGCCCCTGGTCCTAGCCCATTTTCTTCCATATCTGCCAGTGGCACCGGGTTGTTGAGTTGATACACTTGTAAAAGCTTGTGGGCAAACTTGTAGCCTGATGTGCCCGCGTTGAACTCGGCGTTGCCGACACCAGTGCGGGCATCGATCTGTCCAGGCTCTTTGGCAGGACCAAGGGTGGCCATGTATTTCACTTCGCCCACGGGGAGGTCGGTGTAGATCCAGCAGCGTGAGATTTGGACCGGGAATTTGTAATTGCGAAACTCGTGGTCCCTCACGCCGCTCGTAATGCCCTCAACAATATCCGCGGGGAACAAGGTGAGGACGTCAGAGCGGTCGGTCTGCGGTCCAAGGGAGCGAATAACCGCCAGCGGAATACGCTGGCTCTCGAGGCCCTGGCTGTAAAACTGAGACCGGACTTGGGTATGTCGTTGGTAAATGGGCGACGATTTGTGCGGCTTTCGGGGAGTCTCCTTGTAAACCTCACGGGGAGATGACGGCGGCAGCTCGATTTGGACCCTCCGGACGACAGGTGTTGGAGTTCCCGGAGCCTGGCCAGTTGACGACTCTGAGTTGAGCTCTGGCGTAGACTCGCGCTTTTTCCTGCTATCGGCGCGCTGGCTTTTTTGTGACGTCGCCTTCCGAAGAATTGAGACTGGCATATGTTCCTCCTCGGCCTGCTCTTCTTCCTCGGCCTCGCTGGCTGTTTCATCCGGATCCTCGAACTGGAGACTGCCCCTACGAATCCGTCCATCCGATTTGCCCATGCTGCCGTGGAACTGTGATGCGAGAGGAGCCGATGTTGGTAAACCGGGCTGGTCTTCTTCACTGACCATTAACTCCTCTTCCACCACAAGTTCGGTCAAAGGTTCGCGTGAACCCCCAGCTGATGCCCCTATGCTGGCATTATTCTCAGCCGATCCCGTCCAAAACTGCGAGGCCGTGTTGGGGCTGACTTGGCTCGCCCTGTTAGCCGCTTGCGATTTTCTGCCCTGCGTTGGAGTTGGCGTGCCCTCCCTCTCATCCGCGCGATCGTCCTCGTCTTCCCACATCCCGATAGTAGGTGTCCCGTGGGCAGGTGTCCCATTCTCCTTATCTGACTTGCACGAACTGGCGGGAGTTTCCGAACTAGCAATCACCCTAGCTCGTGACCGTGAGCCTGGATCCGCAGCTATGTCGAAGTCCTGCGTCACCTCTCGCTTCAGAGGTGTTTGCTGTGTAGAACGCGTCTTGAAGGGCGTCGACGCGATGCTGTCCAATTCATCGTCCGTATCCGGAATCTCAAAAAACATCCTCTTTCTCCTCGCTGTGGGTGTTTCCCCGGCCGGAGTGGAACCGACACCGAGTTCGATACTAGCAACTGGTATCTCACTCAACGGCTCCCGCATCGATTGTTGCGTGGGTGTCTCCTCCTTTTTCGGCGTATCACCTGCCGCCGACGACGGGAATCCCAGACTGCTACTATCCCCCATGCTGTAACTATCCTGGATAGTCAAAGTCCGCGGCAACTTCGAGACCGTTTCTATCGTCGGCAGCGGGGCATCGAGATTGGTCGACTTCTGCGTCAGCGGCGACTTGATCGGCACAAGCGGACTGTGACCCAGCAGCGGCGTGAACGGCGTCGGTTGCGAAGCAGGAACCTCGTCAGGGTTGACCTTGATGCGCTTGTTGCTGGGGGTACAGGGGTCGTCAGGCACCACAGCCTTCCCTTTCCCTTTCCACCGCGGCACAGAGGCCTTGACAGGTGTCTCCCCGGACAGCGGCACATCCCACACATCCCCCTCCCCATCCTCCTCCACCCGCAACCCCTCATCCTCCACTCTCGACGCAGACCCCCCCAAAAACTGCGTCAGCGTTTGGGTATGAAAGCTCGACCCCTTCTTCACCAGTGCCGGCGTGGGCGCGGGCACATCCCCCATCGTCCTCCTCCTCTTAGACCTCCTCTCCGGCGCCGCTTTCCGCTTCGCCACCACCTTCACCATCTCCACCTCCACATCCATCCCCTCCCCCTCCTCTCCTTCCCCATTGGAATCCCTCCCACGCTGCAACCCCTCCACCTCCTCCTCCCCCAACAACAACCCCTCCCCATCATCCCCACCCCCTTCCTCCTCCTCCCCCCCAAGCCCCGACGAAGACCTCACATAATCAATCTGCGTCAGCGTCTGCTGCCTGAGACTCCTCCTCGTCGCCGCTCTCTCGCTCGACGCAGGCGGTGTCGTGGTCTCCAGGCGCGCGGGCAGGGAGCGGCGACCGCCGGCGCCGTAGGTGCGGACTGTTTTGCGGCGGGCGGGGAAGGTGGCTTGCTGGGGGACGGGGGTCGATTCGTATTTGATTCGGGCGGGTGGTTTGGGGGCTGCGGTTGTGGTGGTGGGTTTGGGGTTGTTGTTGTTCTTGGTGGTGGTGGTGGGTGTTGGGGCGGTGGTGCCGGCGGGGCGCCGCGGGGTTCGGCGGGGTGGCATGTTGGGTGTCTTTCTTTCGCTAGGTTGTTGTGGAGTCTCTCCCGATGTTGGTTTCTTGAAGGTGTGGCGTGGGTTGTAGCTTGTTTCGTGGTTACGCGGTTGTGGTTGCCGCTCGGGTGGCCGCTGTGTGTTGCGGTTCACAGTTATGTTTATTCGGTGTGTGTGGGTGTGGGTGATAGCCGGTCGATCACGGCTGTGCGTGGTGGACGAAGTAAAACAAGTGGTGATTACAACTTAGACCGAGGAATACGCATGCGCCACAGATGTGTGCGACCGAGTTGGCTGGATTTTGATTTCGAAAATGAGGTTGTCAATGGGGATTTAGTTTGACTTTCGCAAGTCCAGGGCGCGTCGACCAACGCGTCTGTAAAGTGGGGCGCGTTGGTCGCGCACCCCTGCAGCAGCACTTCATTTAATGATCGAACCGCAAGGAATGACATCATCGGCTCTGGTCCCATCCCGAGTCTGTGCGAGTTTGAAGATGGAGTGCGAGTTGCGGATTCTATCAGAATCGAGTCCAATTGTCCAATTTTGTAAATTACAGATGGGAAACGGCTTCGATTTATTTACACTACCTATTTACTAAGGTATGGTAAACAAACAAAAGTCAACAAACGAATCAGCCAGCTCAACTCGTCAAATTAGTTCAAACAACCGCTGCCAACTTTTGGGAAAATAATATGTGTCTCCTGTTCCTAGTCCCCTACTTGCCTCCAAACTCAAGAGTATATCTTCGTTTCGTCGTTTAGTGTTTTAATCTTTTGCCTTGTCTTCTTCCTTCCTTTTTTACCAAACAAACATACACAAATACACAACCTCTCGCGAAGAAAAAGGGGCAGTTGCGTCCCAAGTAACCCTAACTTTGACCTTTTGCGCAGGCAAATCCCATCCACCATCACGGTGACCCTATGTCTTGAGGCATCAGATCAAGCCAACGAATCCTACGGCGGGATTAACATGACCATATTAAACGTTGTAGACGGTGACTTTTAACTTCACTGCACGCTGACTACCGTGGTCTCAAGATATTCGAAACCCATGATAATTGTACCATAAGTCTTGCTATTGCGAGGTTGCCGAAGAAAGAGATACGGCCCTGTCCGGTCCAAACAAAATAACTACACTAAGTACACGGCCTCCCTCCCAATCATGCTTTTGCCCTCCGTGTTTCCCCCCCTCAAGACAGATGGAACGCCCCCTGACCCTCCTTCACTGCCGTAAACAGCTGCTTCCGTAGAATATCAATGTTCGAATAGTCGGGCAGCTTGAGGTAGTTGACACACGTCATGACGCTGGGGAGGTAGTCGTCCGACGTGTAGGGTGACTCGCTGGGCTTACAAACCACCGTGAACATGGGCGTGAGCTTCCTGAAGCCTGTTTGTAATGATTCGTTAGTTACCACGCCAAAGATACGAGATGGCGGAAAACCTACCACCAATAGGAAGCTTCGGGCTGCCCGTAGTAAACTGCAAGAAATCGCGGCGCTGAGCCGGAGTGAACTCGCTCATCGCCTGTAGCAAGTTCCTGACTGTCTTGCTATCCATGTTGTACCCGTGATCCGCCTTGACCGAATCCATCAAAGCTAAACAGACATGGTTAGATACGGCTCGCAATTCGTCGCAATTCATCGTGGCAAAAGGGGAAAAGGTTGCTTACTCTCGAGTGACCAATCCTCATCCACCCGTCCAAACAACGTGCATAACTCGTCCGGCGTGAAGGCGCTCAGCGCCGAGTATGGGAACACCTGCGAGAAGCCCGCCTGGAATGCATCCACCTGCCGACGGACTCCGGACCCCAGAGTCATGTCGATTACCTTCTCGAGATATAGGTCGACGTTGTCGATGGTCACCTGCGTCTGGGCCCCCTCGGGAATGAGCTCGATCTCCGGGTAGCCGGGCAGCGTGAAGTCGAGATACAAGTCGTCAATCCGGATCTTGTCGACCACGATGTTTTCCGTATCGATGACCTTCTGGGCCGCACTCCGACTCGGATCCTCGTCAATCGCCTTCTTCGCCAGCGCGAACTTCTTCACAATCATGAGCGATCTCGCAACCATCGGGTCGACCGACTTGATCGCGCCCAAAGACGGCCGAACAGCTGTCAGCTCCGCGCCGATGCGGAAGAAGATGGGGTTGAAGTTCACATCGATAATCCGGGAATCGATCATGGACCGCGCAACGAACTTGCCAAGCATCTTGTAGAGCTGAAGAATCTTGTCCCCTTCTTCGGAAGCCGCAAATGCTTCGCTGACCGGCCGAGGGAAGAGCCCGTTCGGGCCAAAGACAAACTCGTCATCTCCGTTGGGGTCATTGTCGCGCCAGAGCTTGAGCTTCTTCTTGCAGAACTCCTTGGAAACGGTCGAGTAGAACTCGAGCGTGGGTCCAAGTCCGGTGCCAACTTCGTCAAAGTATTCGACTTCTAGGATGCTTTGCGAAGCGCCGTAGAGCTCCATCACCTTTACGGCCGACTCGAGAATCTTGGATCGGGAAATCCGAACCTTTTGGCGCTGCAGGCGCCCGAGGAACGGCCTCTCGTCTCGCCGGTCTCGCCGAGCCTCTTCCTGAGATTGGGCGCTTTGCCAGCGGCTCATAGATCTGGCGTAACCGAAAGAGGTCGACTGTAGGAAAAGATGACGGGTCTCGAACGGGAACAGGAAGGGATAAAGCCTGGCCAGGTCTTCACTCCAGCTCGGGAGGCAGTTGCTCGCCACGATCAGCGGCTCCTCCAGCTGCCGGTTCAACTTGGCGGTAAGTTTGGTGTTGACGAACTGCGACAGGGGCTCGACATTGACTTTGAGAGTCTCCTTGTTTTCGACCAAAACATCGTCGATGTTGGCGTTAAGATCGTGTAGTTTCTTCAGCAGTCGCAGAATAGACGCCGTGACCGGAGACTTGGCCAGGGATCCAGGAGTGTTGCTGTCCTCGGAGTCCGCGCCCAGCTCGGTCGGGTTGCCAAAGGCGGCAGATTCTGTCGGGGGCGGACCAGGCACCCGCCTGAACTTGATAGGGTGAACGGACGACCAGACGGTGCGGCCATAATGGTCATTAGTCGTTTGCGCAGAGTTATGCACAGCACGGTATATAGTCGTCTCGTTGGGCACAACCTTGCCGTCAATACTGAACTCCAGGTGCCAATCTTGCGGGACGGACTGGATCGCGGCTGCATAGGACATTGGTCGTGAAGACCCGGCAGGAGTTGGAGTCCCAAGCAAAGCCGCGGTCAGCGCGCTTGAACGGTTGGGAAGCGAGGTCGTGGGTCGGCTCTGGCTCTGGGATGGAGTGGGCACTCTAGTCCCATCCTCCTGGCGTGCCGTCACCTTACCCCCAGCAACAAACTCTAGGTTCACGGCGGACGGGTCAGGCGTGGGCGCGTCTTCCATTCCCTCGTCAACGTCAGGGACCATATCCAAGGCGTCATCATCACCCATCTCCTCGTCATCCGACAGCTGCCTCTCATCAGCGCACTCGAGCGTATTCTCAACGTCATTCTCATTCTCTGGCGGCGGCGGCGGCGGCGGCGGCGGCGTCCCTTCCGACACCACTTGACGGCGAGAGGACCGGCGCAGTGTAGTCTTCTCCTTTGAGGATGAAGGTTCCGGTGTTGCTGGTGTGTCGTTTACTGGCTCTGACTTGGACTTGGACTTTCGGGTCGACCGCGAGCCTGATGGCTGCGATGATGTTGGAGCCGGAGGTGGCGCAGGGGCCTGGGCCAGACCCCCCGGCAGCGAGCGCTCCATTAACCGAGCTGCTGCCGCACTCATGGGAAGACCCGAACTGGCCATCGCAGCGAGCGCCCTCGAAACGGCCTCGCGCTTAGACGCACGAGGTCGATCCGAGAGGCTGATTCGAGGCCTCAAATAATCGTCGAGGGACTTCAAGGTAGTGATGGCGTGAATTGAGACCATGATGTTCCGATAATGTCGAGGAATGTCCGAATCATCATCAGCCACGAGCTTGAGTCGAATCTGCTTTGCTAGCATGGAAGTTGCACTGCTCCGATTGCTATCAAACGATTGGTGATGGACGGTAAGAACCTCAAAGTGTTCGGACCTGCTAAGCAAGTCCTGGAGCTTGTGGATCATGACACTGAGAGGGGTAGCGGGGGAATCGGCCGTCGCGGTCTTCGGCTTCGACTTGACGGTGTATCCCATAAACACTTGGAGGAACGCTGTCTGCGCCGCCACGGCGAGCTGCTCATCCGGGTTGCCCATGACCTCTTCTAGAACGCGGACGACGCCAGATGCGAGCAGTTCAGCGCTTGTGACACTCTCCAACACGTCCGAGTCGAAGTAAGACGCCAACCTCTTGAAGAGTTCGGTGCCGTTCTCGAGCGCCAGTTGTGACGAGAAGGTGCGGTGGAGGTAGAAGTTCTCAATCTCAGACGCCAAAGACGACAGACGGTCAAGTATTTCGGTCGCCTTCTTCTTCATTGCCTTTCCCTCCTCCTCGTTCTCGTGGACCTCAAGGAAATTCTTGGTACGTTCAATGATCCTCGTTTTCATAGACGGGAGGTCCGAGGGGAGGCGAGCGGGAGGCCCAGAAGTGGACATGGTGGAGCCCTCGGAGCTAACTGGAGAGGCCGACATGTCGTCCCGATTTTGTCCATCGACGTGCCCGTTCTCATTATCCTCATTCTCGTCGTCATCCTCTGAAGATTGGTGAGACTCGTCGTCGTCTTCGTCGTCCTCGTCGGCTTCCTCGTCCTCTTCGTGTTCGGCTTCAGACCCATCGTCGTCGGCATGGCCGTCGGCGAGCTCTGCCGAAGACCTGTTTGACTCCGGCTCAACCTCCAGCTCGGCTTCCGGCTCAGCATCCGTCTCCGGTTCATCCTCTGGCTCTGGAGTCTCATTGGTGGAAACCTTCAATTCCGGTTCTTGCACCGGCTCCGGTTCGGGCTCTACTTCCGGCTCGGGCTCCGGTTCCTGGTTGGCCAGTTTCGTGATTTCGGCGATCACGCCCTCGCGGTGGAGTTGATACCGATACACGGTGCCCAGGCGCCTCATCAGCAAGTCGGCAGCCGCTACTGCAGAAAGAACAAGCGAGGGGTGATCTTGTTGAGAAATGATTGACGCCAGGAAGGATGCGTAGGAGACCGACTTTAGGGCGTCCACGAGAATCTCTTCGTCCAGGTTCGAGAGCATCTTGAGCTGAGCCGTCAGGACCCTTTCTCGGACACTCAGGTTGACAGTGCTCGAGTAGGCGTCGGTGAGGGTGGGGAAAAGAATCATGCAGAACCGCCGGACCTCCTCTTTGCAGCCCTCGAGGAGCTCGATCCGCCTCTCGTTTGTAGTCTTTCTACGGGAACCGAGGGACGAGGGCGTGATAGGCTCAGCCGGTGGGCTGAGCTCAGGAAAGTCGCACGAGGCGGGATCGGCCGACTTTGGCAAATCCGGAAGAAGCTCGCAGATGACGTTGAGTGTTTCGATGATCTGGTCTCGCGGGCGGTGAATGAGCGCCTGCATGATCAAGACGCTATCAAGCTTCGAAGCGATGTCATCATGGCCACTCGGGGGGGACACGCCTGTCAGAATCTGATAAAGCGTCTCTACCACATTCATCTTGAACAGCTCGGCTGATAAGCGGGGGCTCGCCCGTGCGGCGAAGGCAAGGATTCGGAGGAACTGCGTGTGGATATGCGCGCCGATCAGGTTGGTGCTGCCCGGGACAAGGAGGCGGAGAATGGCCTTGAGCAGGTCGACACTGACGAGTTCCTCCAGCTTTGACGGGTGGAACCGGAAGCTCTCAACGATGCGGGTGACGCAAAGCGAGCCCTTCTCGACGACCTTCTGGTCGCTGCTTCCGAGAACATTAAGGAGGATTGGCATAACATCTCGAACGACGGGGAAGGTTTCTTGGTCGAGGTTCTGACAGCAGTTCGCAGCGGTGGTGACGGCAACCCGCTGCGTGCTTGTGGCGAAAAACTCTAGGTAGGAGAGGCAGGCAGTCAGGCCGCCTTCGCGGACGATACTTGAAGGGTATTCGATTGAGATCTTTTCCAGGGTGCTGAGCGCTTGCTCGGCCAAGTCGATGAAGGAAATCTCGAGCAACTTTTGGCATAGAATAGGGACGGCATGGCCGTAAACGACATTCGAAGTGCTGGCTGGCAGGGCTTCCATGAGGTTGGCAAGACAGCGGCATGCCAAGAGCATAATCTCTGGATTCTCTTCCCCCGTGAGCTCGTTCGGTTGCATCAAGCCTACCAGCTCCTTCACGAACGCATCGGGCGAGAAATGCCCCGAGAGTGTATCTTCGTTATGGATGAGCAAAAGCTCCGAAAGCTCCTGCAGCGCGATCAGCTGCATTGTGGGATCTTCCTTTTGTCGAAGGTTATGCAAGATCTCCCTAAGCCTTGAAGATGTGCCCGACACCATGCCAGTCAGCGTTCGGAGGGTGTTGGTGAGGCCCGGAACCGAACCGCCAGCGGCGCCAAAGCCGCCAAAGGGATCACCGACGTCGTCTTCGTCGTCGTAGCGCCGTAGGGCCTCCTCGTCCTCGTCATTCTCGTCACTATCCTCTGGGAATCTATCCTCGGGAGGAGGCGGCGGGGGCGGCGCTTCGGATGCCTTTTCGTGTTCTTCGGTGCCGCCCATAACGACGTCTTGGTCTTGTGCATCGTTGGAACCCCTCTTTGATCGCCGGCTCGAGGTAGGGGCGGGAACGGATGTGTCCACTAGAGATGGTTGGGTAAGACTACTAGAAGAGCGAGTGGGAGGTGACAAAAACATACCTCGCGTCTGCACAGGCTTCTTGTTGCGACTCGATCGCCGACTGGACGATGCGGTTGGCGGGTTCTCGGGGTGGTCGGCAGGGCCTGCCGGCGTTCTGTGTGGGTCTTACTTAGCATCTAATGCGATAATGAGACAACGTCTAGGGGTTAACATACCCAGGGCTCGACATGGCCGCGAGACTTTTGCCCTTCCTACGGGAAGACGGGGTCAATTCTGGGACGGGAGGTGGTTGCGGCGGGGGGGATGCTTGTGCAACCCGTTGTCGCTTGGGCCTGCGGGATGACGGCGGCGACTCGGCGGCACCTTGGGCGGGGCTAGTATTGTTCTTTCGCTTCCGAGCGCTCGGTGCCGGCTTCGGCGTCGGCGGGGCCGGCGGGGGAGGTGGTGCAGAGGTGGGAGTGGCGGTACCGGTAGTCGTACTTGAGGAGGCTGCTGCGGCTGCTTGGCTCGCTGCTTGACGGGCGGACGAGCGGGTAACCCTGGACGACATGAGTAAATATGAGTTCAAGACCTGCTTGTCATGGAGGCGACAGCAGGCAGGGTAAATAAGGAAGTTTTAGGAAAGGTCGCAGAGGTCGACGGCATCAAAGAAATTTGTGGGCAGTTGCAAGGGAGATCGCGATTGAGTGGCCGCCCGCGAAACAGAACATTTGTTGCCCAAGATTGTGGGGCAGTTTGAAGTCGAGCCGAGTTCCCTGCATGCGTCACAGCCCAAGCGAGCACGAGACCAAACCACCCAAAGGCAAACAAATGGAGTAGATTTTATCTCGCTCTCCTGTTCTTATTGTTCTTTTTCGACTTTGCACCGGTGTTCCGAAACTGCAGGTAGGCGCTGGGTGGTTGCAGGAAGCAGTGCCGTGTGATGTCTGGTCTCGATCGGTCGCTCGGCTGGGCACGGCGGAGGTAGGCGACAGAGTGGGAGGTTGACAGGACGCAAGTGCAGCACTCGGGACAAAAGGGAAAGAATCAGGAAACGAGTGGGGTGGGGGGGTTGTACCTTGAAGAAGAAGGAGGAGGCAGGAACGATGATGAAAGCGTGGGGGAGGCAGTCACGGCTGGTGATGATGATGATGCCAAAGGCAGGCGCGCTGGGTCGTTCTCAAGAGCCGTTCTGGACCGCGGATTTGCAGTGCGTCGTTCTGCCATGGATTACGCCATCGGAAGGCAGTCAGGCGGCGGTTCGGATGGGAGGCGGTTTGGAGGAAAATACGGTTTACTCATCGAACGATGGATTGTGTTGGGTATCGGGTGTTGGTTGCTTGGTGATGGTTCGGGGTCGGCGGCAGGTCGACTTCAGGCGGAGGTGGTTGGCTGGTGGGGATGCTTCAGCAATGGTGAGCGAAATGCTGCGTTGGACAAGGCGCCTGATGTCAGAGCATCTGGTTGGCGCTTGTTTCGGCGGGATCCTTGTGCCGGCTTCGGCCAAGAGAGACCGGCATGGGTGGCACGGATTGAGTGGATACGCTCCGGAGGGGCGGCGCGGGCGAGATTGAGATAAGCTCAACCTCCCCCAACCCGAATCATCCACCATCAAATCACCCCTCAAGGTGACGGGAGGGCGAGGCGGGCCCATAACTACCTAACTGCCCATGTCTGCCAATTACAGGTTCAGCCCAGCATAAAGAAAACACAAAATATAGCTTGCGGAGAGCACACAAAGTGACAATGCTGATTTAATGGGTTCTTGTCTAGAACCATCTCCAAACCAGTCTAGAGCTCTTCTTCTAACATGATCAGTTTCCAATCATAGAACTTGTTATGCCGGTTCTCTTTGGGACTTGTTTGGGCCGCAATGGTACTCTACTAATATTCATATATAGTACCTAACCTAGGTACTAAGAATTACGAAGGTGGAGAACCTTGCTGGGTAGGTCGTCAGTAGAGATATCTTACGCTGAACATACACCGGGTGCAGAGTGAGGACGACAGATTAACAGATGGTGGTAATCCCTGCCCGGTAGAGGCTGAACCAAAGTGATAATGCTTGCGTTGCCCCCGAGAATGGGAAAACAGGCAACTCAACGGCCTCGCGAAAAGGTTCGAAGAAGAGCATCAATGTCCCAGTCCAGGCCTCTCGGGGGGTGTCTGAAGTAAGAAAGAGATGGCAGATATACTAAGATTCATGTTATGGCGGTAATGGCGGCTGTTGAGGTCTTTGGGGTCTCAAATGCTAAACTTGAATGTTGCGTACCTAGTAGCCAAATTGATTTACAGTTAACTCCATAACGGCGAAGGCCGCTGTACAAGGCGCCGGATATTGAGTACACTTAGTTTAGGTATTTAGACAAACGAAATAAAACTCCCACCGCCTGGGAAGAGTAAAAATTTGGGGCCATGCCATGGTTCAAACACGTGCCGCTTGTCGTGCTCCTTTCGCAATCTCCACTTGTCGTTGAAAGGCTGAGAACGGTGTTCCTGGTACTTGCAAGCAAGTTCGTTGTTTTGGCCTAGATTCATAATTCTTCAGGCAGTGAGGGTGTCTGATTTCAATAAGCTCGGGGTACTTCTTCAGGGACTCCTCTATGGTGTATCGTTTATCGTTAGTGCTGTGGGCACTCGATGATGGCTTAGTTTAGACGGAGCTCAAGTGTCGGCTGGCCGGCCGGCATTGCACTCAACATTGTCATGAATGTGGAAGCGAGGACGTTTTATTTTGAGATGTGCATTCGGACTTTCAACTACAGGAACTAAAAATCGCCACGCTCGTGGACGAGCACCAGGTCACGAGTGGACACGATAACCTTGATTGTGTGTTTATGTTAATTCCGCTAGTACTGAACAATCCGGGTTTTCGACCGCCAAGGTATGTACTTGCAAAAGAACCAACAGAGCCACGCCACTGGTGTTTCGGGAGGACACAAAGTCTAGAATATGGCTGCGAGTGGTGAGATGTGGTCGGTCCAGGGGTTCGGCCCACCGGAGAAAACTAGATGTGTAGTCTTGGACAAAACACGGCCGATCTACAGTAGGTCCAATGTCCCGACGGGTTAATACACAATACACAGTAAACTGCCCACCATGTGCTTGATGAGACGAACCTGGGTTTGTTGACTTTGCAGGCAGGTGAGCAGGGAGCAAGGAGCCGCAGATGCCAAGCTCTCCTCCGCGGGAAGGTTTCGTGGAGCACCCCAGACAAATACACCCCTGAACGCCAAGACCCCGCGAACATGCACGGTTTCCGTCGGCACAAGTGACGTCGTTATCCCGGAACAGCGCCAGCTGACCTCTCTCCTCCCGCCCCGAGGGACGACGTCCTTTTTCCCATTCCATTGAAGGGCAATGGACTGAAATCTTGACATCTACCACTCCATTTGACAACCTCTTCCTCCAATTGACACTGCCCGCCGTCTAGAAATGAAGAGAATGCGCCTGTCCCGCCCTCATGGGGCGTTCTTGCGTCTGGGAGGGACTCAGTTCTCTCCCTTAGCCCAATCCACACAGCTACTCACCTCCTCATCGACCGGGTCCCCGGGTCTTCACCACAAACGCGACAATTACCAGCGACAGCAAACCCGCCGACATGCCGGTTCCATCTCGCAGCGCCCGGACTCCAAGCACGTCATGTTTCCCGGGGCGGTCAAGTCGGCCTTTAGCAGCAGCATGCAATTCGAGCAGCCGGCGGGCTACCCGGCGCTGCCGACGTACCGGGCGATCGACCAGAACGGCGTGGCCGTCGACCCGAGCTTCGAGCCCGACCTCAGCGACGAGGAGGTGGTCAAGCTGTACCGCGACATGCTGACCGTGTCCGTCATGGACCTGATCATGTTCGACGCCCAGCGCCAGGGCCGGCTGAGCTTTTACATGGTGTCGGCTGGTGAGGAGGCCGTGTCGGTGGCGACTGCGTCGGCGCTTGAGAAGGAGGATGTCGTGTTCTGCCAGTATCGCGAGCAGGGCGTCTTTAAGCAGCGCGGGTTTACCCTCGCCGACTTTATGAACCAGCTGTTTGCGAACCATAAGGATCCTGGGAAGGGCAGGAACATGCCGGTGCACTACGGCAGTCGGGAATTGAATATCGTAGGCGAACTCCTGCGTGGCACGGGATATTAGTCCATGTTATGCTGACTACCTTGTTCCAGCACACCATCTCTTCGCCCCTTGCGACGCAGCTTCCGCAGGCTTCCGGCGCCGCCTATGCCCTCAAGATTCAGCGGATGCAGGACCCCAGCATACCTCCGAGAGTGGTAGCAGCGTACTTTGGCGAGGGCGCAGCCAGCGAGGGCGACTTCCATGCTGCCTTGAACATCGCGGCGACTCGGTCCTGCCCGGTCATCTTTGTCTGCCGCAATAACGGGTACGCTATCTCGACGCCGACGCTAGAGCAATATCGTGGCGACGGCATCGCCAGCCGCGGTCTTGGATACGGAATTGAGACGATTCGCGTGGACGGTAATGACTTTTGGGCCGTCCGCGAGGTGATGAAGAAGGCGCGCGAGATCGCCTTGCAGGACGGCGGCAGGCCCGTTCTGATCGAGGCCATGACATACCGCGTCAGCCACCACAGCACATCGGACGATTCGTTTGCCTACCGCGCCAAGGTAGAAGTGGAGGACTGGAAGAGGCGGGACAACCCGATCGCGAGGCTGCGCAAATGGATGGAGGCGAAGGGGTGCTGGGACGAGCACAAGGAGAAGGAGGCCCGCGAGAGTATTAGGCGGGATGTGCTCAAGGCCTTCTCTGAGGCCGAGCGCGAGAAGAAGCCACCGGTCCGGACCATGTTCGAGGACGTGTACGAAGAGCTGACGCCGGACCTGCAACAGCAGATGAAGGAGTTAAAGAGCCAGCTAGAGAGATACCCTGATGAGTATGACCTTGGGGAGTTTGTGGGCGGGAAGGAAACTCTAGACAAATAGCGAGCGAGCGCGCGAATTCATCTGATTTTGGCCGACCTTTTTCCTAGGTATGTACTGTGTACGTTAGATTGTGTTGTTTCCAGCAACCCCTCACCCGGCAACCCGAGTCACCGGCTTGTGCGACTGCAGCAACTTTATCGTGTGCCTCCCACAAGATACAATTGCAACCCCAGTCAAATCCAAACAACCAACCTAACCATCAGCACAACCTGAAATCCCACCTTTAATTTACTCAAGCAGCATGACGGACGAAAGCCGCATTGTCATCGCCGTGCTCTGCGTCTTGAGCATCGCTGCACTTCTCGGCGTGCTCGGTATCAAGTACGTCCGGACGGCCACTCGTGCTATGGTAAAGTCGCGCGAGGCCCGTGACTCCGAGGCCCAGTAAGCCAGGTACGTGCGACTGCATCCCAACAGGCGGTACGTCGGTGGTATTGGTGAGGTGCAAGGACGGCGGCACGGCGGGAACAAACAAACTCGAACGTCAACCCCACCATCCATTCCACCCCCTTGGCGCGCATCTCGACCCCGCAAACAGGGCTGAAACACACAGGGCGTTGGATTCCCGGGTGTCAAGCCACATGAGACAGCCACACCTCCGGGCGGACCCGATTTATTTTTCGGCAAGCAAGCATGCATGAGCTGATCCCGAATTCTTCCAGATCTGGTCCCGGAGCTGTCTCGGTGCCGTGAACTTGCTCAACATGGCAGCCCGAACAGCCCTCAGAAGGGCCCTCCGCCCCGTACGGAGGAGCGCCTTTACACATCCCGAGCTACAATTACGATCCACACGACCCTTCTCAACAACACTCCTTTCCAATAGCCCGACACCGAATACCTCCCCCGACTATGCCGTCCCCGATCCGTCCAGGCCAACCCACTTCGGCTTCGAGACAGTAACAGAAAGCGAGAAGCGGGAGCGCGTGGCGGGTGTCTTTACCAGCGTAGCAGAGTCGTACGACCGCATGAACGACCTCATGTCCTTTGGCTGGCACCGAGTGTGGAAGTGCGTTCTCCCCTTAGCCCCCCTTCGCCGCCCTCCCCAGTCACCACACCCACACTAACCACACCAAACCCCCCTTAACAGAGACCACTTCGTCGCCTCCCTCAACCCCGGCTTCTCCCCCCTCACCACCGGCCCCGACCCGCGCGGGCCGCAGCACATCCTCGACATCGCGGGCGGCACGGGGGACATCGCCTTCCGGATGCTGCGCACCGCCCACGAGCTCAACGGCAACACCGACGTGCGGGTGACGATATCCGACATCAACCGGGCGATGCTCACAGTCGGCAAACAACGCGCCGGACAACTCCCCGCCTCCCAACAAGCAGCACTCTCCTTCGTCGAAGCCAACGCCGAGAACCTCACCCAGACACGCCCCCTGCACGCCTACCCGTCCGCAGTCGAGCCGACAACCCACGACGCGCAAGGCAACCAGGAGCAAGCCTTCTTCGACCCGGCCACCGCCACCGGCGGAATCGCAGCGGAATCAGTCGACCTCTACACGGTGGCCTTCGGGATCCGCAACTTCAGCAACATACCCGCGGCGCTGCGCGAAGCGCACCGAGTCCTAAAACCCGGCGGGGTGTTCGCGTGCCTGGAGTTCAGCAAGGCTTCGCGGTTCCCCGTGTTCAACGCGCTGTACAAGGAGTGGTCGTTCCGGGCGATCCCGCTGATCGGGCAGCTGGTGGCGGCGGACCGCGACAGCTACCAGTACCTGGTGGAGAGCATCGAGCGGTTCCCGAGCCAGGCCGAGTTCCGCGACATGATTGTGGATGCCGGGTTCGTCGTGGCCGGGCAGGGATACGAGGATTTGACCGGGGGGGTGGCGGCGATTCACAAGGGGATGAAGCCGCGGGCTTGATTGACGTACATATTGTTGCGTCGGTGTGTAATAGCGGAGGCTTGTGTGTACATGTACGATCCTTGTGTGCCATAACATAAACTAGATCCGGGCATCCCGCTCAGTCGTATTAGAAGGGGCGTGGATATTTAGCGATGATTTACAACCACACCTTGAAATGACGCGGCTTTCGGGGCTACCTTGGCCACTTTACCACAAGGTTTCGATTGGGGGTCACATGTTAGAACGATATATGTAGTTGGTACAATGCTGTTGAGGGCGTCGAGATCACAATATGGGACAAGACCACATCCCATCCCCCCACGCAAAACGATGGCACTCGCAAGCGAATATTCACTACCAACTACATCCCAGCAGAAGCACAAGATGTCGCCTCGCTGATGCTACCGCTAACTCCCTTGGCGGGGCGCGAAAGTGGTTGCAGTGTAGTTGGTGTCCCGGGTGGACGAGGGCAAGTGAAAAAAAAACCAGTTCAAGAGGCAGCCAACCAACCAACGACCAACGGATCTCTAAACTCCCCCACCTTCCGATCCCCAAGCGCAGTTCCAGAAATATCAAGAGTCACAGGGATCTTTTGCTTCTTTTCCGAACCACCTCCCCCGTTGTTGTGTATTATCTCCGAAGCCAAGCAAAGAAGAAGCGAGCCCAATCCATCCAGGTTCCGCCCTTCCAGAAGAAAAAGAAACAAAGAAACAAGGTTGGCTGCCGAGAGGCGAGCCGAATATCATCACAGTGAAATGGTGTCGTCGATGGGATTGTGTTGGTGGAAGGAGGAAGCCAAGGTTGTCGCGTGTCGTAGTCGGTTCGTGGGATTTCATCCTCCTTGCATGATCGGCCGTCGTCGACGTGGGCTGGCTGCCATGGGTTGAGGACGGCGAGTGAGCACGCCGCTACCAACCCTCTGTCGACAAGCGGGACGCTGCCAGGGCCTCAGGCTGAGCCACCTAAGAGTCAGCCGGAGGAGCAGGGCTAGCGCCCTCGTTCTTGATACCACCCCGTGGGCCTCTGCCCCGCCCCCGCTCCCCACCGCGACCACCGCGTCCGCCACGTCCACCGCGACGCCCGGCACCTTCGCTGTCGCTAGCACCTCCGCCGCCGGCGCTTCGGTACCCGCTCTGGGGATTGCTACCATCCCGACCACCGCGGCCGCTGCCCCAGTTGCCAGCACCGCCGCGCGAGAATTGACGGGGGGCGGGGGGAGAAAAGATCTTGACCAGCGGCTTGGAGCGATCCTCCTGACCGGGGGCGCGGTTTTTAACGTCGTCAGGAAGACGCTCCATGGCAGCATCCCGGTCTTCGGTCGTCTTGAACTGCGCCACCTTGTTATTAACACCCCAGCGGTCGATCTTGATGATCTTGGCCTTGTCATCCTCGGAGAACAAGTCTCGGACCTGGTCATCGCTCTGGGCATTCATAACGAAGAGGCCGATAATGTTATCGGCCGGATTCTTGGGGGCTGGGGCCGCATCGGGTGCGTTTGCAGCGCCGTTAGAAGAAGCCGGTGCCGCCTTCTCTTCCCGAGGCGCCGGGGAAGTAGCCGGCGGGGGCTGGGGCGTGGCTGGCTTTGTTTGCGGGGGGGGTGCCGGTACCGGGGCGACGACCCTCGGCTGAGCGGCAGGGCTGGCCGCCGGTGGTGCGGAAGGGCCTGTGTGGATGACCGGGCTACTACCGGCAGCGATAGGGGCGGGCTGAACACCGGGTTGCTGCTTGGCTCCACGGTGAGAGAAGTTGAATCCCTGGGCGCGCATCTCGGTTCCGATTCTGCCGTCCTGGATCTCTAGGACGAGCCAGCCAAAGGCAGCATCCGCGAGGTTGAAGTTCCACATGTTCTTGAAGGCGCTCTCGTCGACCTGGCCCAGGGCCGCGGCCGACTGGCCGGCAGCAGCGCCGCCAAATGGGTTCCCGCCCGCGGCAGTCGTAGGCATCTTCTCAACGACCGCCAGTGCGTTCTTTAATAGGGTCTGTTGGGCCTCGACCTGGCTGATAGCCGGCTCGACTTCACCCTTGACCGTGTCCCACACATCGTTGAAGGACGCTTTGGACGCTGCGAGCTTGCCGCGGTAATGGTCCAGGGTAGGGTTAACGCTGAATTCGTTGTACGAGCTTCCATACCTAAAGTGCAAGCCAGCCGACACGGAGAAATCGGACTTGAGAGTAACCGACAACTGGTTCAGGATACCCTCGCGAGCCGGGGACGCGTGTGTGATAAAGATGCGGGTTTCGGTGGGGTCGTAAACGCGGTTTGCCGTGTCGACGAGCTCGCCCATCTGCAGCAGAGTTGTCCACATGGTGCCCTGGCCGCCAGCGATCGTCGTCCGTCCCTCGCCGTTGTCGAAAAGCTTGTGCATGACGACGGCGCCGCCCAGCCCGAGAAGCCGGAGCTTCACGCCGCCGACCTCCAGCAACATGGACTGAGCCTCGTCGATGATGAAGAGGTTGTGCACCTTATACTCCTTGGACCGAAACTTCTCCAGCACCCGCACATCCTCACACGCACCCCATACCGTGTAGACCGGTACCTCCAGCTTCAGCTCGCCGGTGATGAGCTGGGGGAGCTCTGAGAGTGGCAGTTCGCTTGCGTCGAACCGTGACTTGACCGGGCCCTGAACGCCCTGCGCGATGAGCTTCTTCGTGGCCTCCGAGATGAGCGGGGAGTATTGGGCGACATGCTTTAGGGTCCTGTCGCAATAACAGTCAGCAGGGGCCGTGGCCAGATTTTCATGTCAACTCACTTCTCGGCGATGCGGTCGAGAGATGTCTCATCGTAGAAGCCAAAATCGCCGGTGTGAATGATGTAATCCGCACGAGCCGAGCGGGCGAGGTCGTTGAGGGAGCGGAGGTTGCCTATGTATCCATCGTCAACAAACCGAGGTCGCGCAGTCTGGGCACTGCTGGGTATTCGCACCTCGCACATCGGCAATGCAGAGCACTCTAATAGGACCGCTCTGGATAACACGGCCTTGGTTCGGAAGCAGAGGGGTGGCGCCAGGAACGGGGCCGCTAGCGCCGTTGGGCAGGTAGCCCTGGTTGTAAGGGGTCGGACGAGGTTGCTGGTCTGGCATTAGCTGTGTGCGAACACTTCGAGCGTCGCACGTGCCGAACTCGCAGCACATGGTGCGCGGCTATTATGCGATAAAATCGATACAAGAATGAATCGGGGCGCTTGTATATCGAGTTGGCAGAAGGGTAGGATGGTAGTGTAGCGGGGACCGGGCAGAAACTCACAGAGGCCATCCCGCAAGTTGATTCCGCGCGCGATTCGGGGCAAGGCGGACTAGAAAATCGAAGGGAAGGAAGAAGTCGTTGTTGACGTGGGGATCAGCGGAGGCTGAGAATCGAGGAGGCGCGACCGATGTTCGTAAAATCAACCGAAGCTAGCGCAGCCGAGACGGGTATCAAAAACTTAAGAAGAGAAAAGCGCTCCTGGGGCAAGAGCCAATAAAGCAGGTCGCGGCGGAGGCGATGTTCGTGGAGGAAAATCGAAGAGGAAGAGGATGGTGATTACGTCGGTCGTGGCTGAAGTTTTTCGAAAAGTCGAGGTTGCCCAGCACTGACTGCTGCGAATCTTTGAATGGCTGAAGTGCAACTGCGGCAATGGCAGCTCTGCGTGGGCGACAAGGGGGAGGTCCGTTGGCTTGGCCCTGTCGGGCTTAGCGTTGAAATGTTCGACCCCACCAGCCAGGCGGGGACCACTTACCCTGCGACAAAACATCGAATGTGGATGCGTTTGATGATTCACACTCCGAGTCCGGTCAATTCTCGAATACTGACGCGCTTTGAGGAGAACGACTCCCAGGCACACCATGGGAATAAAAAGCCGGACTTCAAATGTCGAATGTCGACCAACCTCGACCACAGAAATGGAACAACATCATCCGGCAGCCAGAATAAACTGCTTCAAACCCAGTACTCGATTTTTCTTTTCTTTTCGATTTCGATTCCTCGATATAGACAATAGAAGTTTTCCTTTACTACCTTATGTACCGTCCCCGGCCAAACATCCCGCCCGTGTTTGTAACCGGGAAATCTAACTACGCCTTGTAACCCGGGAATACTACTGCGAAGCACACGAGCTAGCACCATCTTATCGAAGCCCAGGCCGGGCGTGGACTTGCGGCGGTCAAGCGAAGCAGCCTTGGCCCCGCCATAAAGAAGCCCCGCCAACCTCGTGCTCTCGCTTCCTACACATCCATAACAATTCGAAAGGTCGATTTAGCCACCAGCAAGTTTCGTTCATTTTTGAGCCGGGGTTGGGCCGGGAGGGGAAGGTCTTCGAAAATGAAGCTGCCCAAAATGCCGCTTCATTGCTTCAACCTTCAGCCCCAACCTTTGACACTCCCCGCCCGCTAACTCAACCGAGTTATTGCCCTCTCGCAGGCCATTCAGCAGTACTCGTCGACAGTGACAAGCACAATGGCGGACAAAAACCAAGTCCAGTCGGCGTGGAAGATCATCCCACATTTCCGGTCTGACAATATCCAAACCACGGTCGACTTCTACACACGAGTGCTTGGTTTCACGGTTGGCGGCATCCACACAGATGATCAGTCAGGCAAACAGACATTCTGTTCGCTCTATGCGGGTGACAAAGCGGCGGCCAACATCTACTTCTCCAGTGCTGTTACGCAGTCGTCGGCATGGATCGCGTTAGGCACGGCAGAGCTGGATGACTTCTACCAAGAGCTAAAGTCGCACGGGAATGCTGAGATGGTAGAGGACATCGCAGATAAGGAGTGGGGATACCGGCAGTTTACAATCAAAGATACGGACGGGAACAGGCTCACCTTTTTCAAGTTTCTGGAGGATGGAAATCCCGGGAATGGAGCAGAGTGAGGAGACAGGTCGATGAATACCCCGCCGATTCCCTCACGGAACATGCCTCATCCATACGTGTTTTGGGAAGAGGGGGACGGATTGTCCCCTGCTCCCGGGCAGACCTTGGACCAATTGCAGGCATGCCGGAAAGCCTCCGTTGATCGTTGACGACGTGGGCACAGCCGAATCTGTTCGACCAGGCCCACGTAAGCCGTTGGAGTTTTCAGCTCTACACAGACCATCCCTTTCTTGGATGTGATGAGAATCTTCCTGATAAGTCCGCATTGGTCCGGGGTATGAAAAACGGACTAGTTGGTGCATGAGAAGAAGAATGATTGATGTCGTGGCGTACATGAGACCAGACAAACTTGAAGCTTATTTCTCTCTAAGTCGTTTTCGGTCGAGGGCATTGCATACCATCGTTGCGTGATGGATCATAAATTCGACGCCTTTCGCAGGTGTCAGAGACACGGCACTCAGATCTTGTCAAACATAATCCCTTAATCCCTATTTCTGCAGAAGTTCACGATGGTCTCACTTCGGTTCCTCGCCACTGCAACGCTGCCGTTCCTCTGCGCAGCCCAAACCCCAGCGGAAGTTTATGACGCTAGCTATGGCAACGGCTCGTCCATTCTCCTCAGTATCGGCAACGGGGGCGCTGGGCAGAGCGGGCTGATCAAAGGTATCTAGTCAATCCAAGGGCGGCCCTCGAGGACAGGTCTTAACTCAAGCCTGGGGAATAGCTCTCGCAGATGCCTTCATCGAGGACAAGGTCTCGAACGGGTCAGACCCCTTCAGGGTTGCCTGGTATCAAAGTGATACAACATACAGCATCAACTACCTCAAGGATGGCCTGATCGACATCGGCATCACGTACAGCACAGCAGCGGAAAGGATAGCTATCGAGCAGGGCATCGCATTAGCCCCTGACTACTACGCCTGGCGAGACCATTTCCTTATCGTCGGTCCCCCCTCCAACCCTGCCAACATCTCGGGTGACTCCGACATCTACACCATCTTCTCCGACTTGCACGAGGCTGCCGAGGCCGCCAACACAACCCCGTCGGTGCGGTTCTTAAGCCGCTACGACAA